TGTTGTTTGATTTGTTAATGCTCCAGTGCTACTGGCTGATGTTGTTGTTGTAGTTCTATTCACCAACGCTGTTGTTTTGTTGGACGTTGTCACTGAAGGGGTTGAGCTTGAAGGCAAAGATGATGAAGGTGGCCTCAACGTTGAAACATTTGTTGGTGTTGAAGATTTCACGGTAGTGACATTTGAGATTTGTGATGTCGTCTCAGATGTTGTTGGAACAAATCCGGTGGAAGTCACGTTGCTTATCTTCGTTGACGCAGTAGTTGGAGTTGCTGTTGTTTGATTTGTTAATGCTGCAGTGCTACTGGCTGATGTTGTTGTTGTAGTTCTATTCACCAAGGCTGTTGTTTTGTTGGACGTTGTCACTGAAGGGGTTGAGCTTGAAGGCAAAGATGATGAAGGTGGCCTCGACGTTGAAACATTTGTTGGTGTTGAAGATTTCACGGTAGTGACATTTGAGATTTGTGATGTCGTCTCAGATGTTGTTGGAACAAATCCGGTGGAAGTCACGTTGCTTATCTTCGTTGACGCAGTAGTTGGAGTTGCTGTTGTTTGATTTGTTAATGCTGCAGTGCTACTGGCTGATGTTGTTGTTGTAGTTCTATTCACCAACGCTGTTGTTTTGTTGGACGTTGTCACTGAAGGGGTTGAGCTTGAAGGCAAGGATGATGAAGGTGGCCTCGACGTTGTTGGAGTCTTTGTTGTTGCTACAATATAAAGACTGTTGTCAATGGATTGTAAATATTAATGATGGTATATTTGATTTGCTTTTTGTCATAGTTTTGTTGTATACAACTTTTAGTACCATACTTTATAGACTAGCTCTTTGTATTTTGAAGTTGGTCTCATTGGTCTACAATTTATTTCTCATGGTCGACAAAATTCACAAGCAGTCATTTTGATACCGTGATGACACAAAAGTGAAAATCAAATCTTCGTCCTAATAACAATTTTTTTTAAAATTTTTAGAAACAGATTTCCTCTTGAGCGTTTTTTACTTCAAAATTTACATTAAAATTCTATATTTTGTAATTGCAAACAAGGATTTTGTTTTGTTGGTTCATAAACTACTGTTTCTAGCACTGTTGAATTTCAGCAAAAACATTTGAATGGTAGAATATTTCGTTGTTTATCTAATATCAATATAGTTTGTTTCTCAATTTCATAACTAATTTGTTACATTCATATATATGCTTCATGAGGACAATTTATATGCTTGAGTTAATCTACTCTAGCAATATTAAAAGATAAATAGTGAACATTAGTTTTCTTGTATGTTTTACTGGCATCCACTTTCATTGCGGTCAAATGAGTTCAAATAAACCTTTTATTAAAGAGGCCCAGAATTTTATTTCAAAACAAAATTGCTAAACTGACTTGCCTGCTCCCGTAGCATTACTAGTTGCTTGAATTGCTTCAGTTGTAGTTGACATTTGTGTGGCGGGAAAAGGAAACGTTCCAATTGACTGTGTGGTTCCTTCTGTGTACGGAATTAATGTTGTCGATGATACAGATGAACTAGGTAGATTTGTTGACTGCTCGAAGATAGACTTGGCTTTCGTTTGCATTGTAGACGTCGACTGACTCACTGTGCTGGTCACTATGGTCGTCTGTAGGCCTAAATGACATAAAAATATTGTTTATAAGCAGGACAGAAAATGAATGTATCCTTTGAAAAGAATAAAGAAATATTTGTTTAAAAGATCCTGCCTAGATTTGTTTGCATCTTGTCCCTCCCCTATGATATATTGATAGACATTGATTTTGCTTATTTTATATGGCTACTGATACAGCGTTATTATCCTATTCAGAAACTCGCAATGGCAGCTTTAGTAGTGACAGGTGAAAATATATTGCAATGGGTGTTTGGAATTTGACTAGGGCTACTACTAATCCAGACGTAAATATTTTTTCAAAATTTCCAACGAATAAGTTATAAAGCTGCCATAAGAATATGCAATTTGGAAAAGGTTTTTAATGGCATAAATGATCTACAAGAAAGATTATGCCCAAGGTCGTTCACTGTTTAAAGTTTTACCTTTAGTTGATCAAGTGAGAAAAGTAAAAGGGTATTTCTGAATACACGAAAGTACAGCGTTATTTGTGAAGCCGAGATACATTAGCTCTAAGATAGGAGGGTGACTTTATGGGAAGGGGGGGGGGGGTTTAAGCCATTTTGTCCCACACTCCTGGATGCCAAATTTAGCAGTGTGACAATTAAGGCATGAAATTACAAAATAATTGTGGAGCAAATCAATGCAGGGATGTAAAATACAAAGTAGTTAGTTAACTACGTGCCAAAATTTAAAGAAACTTGCTAAAAGAACATAAAATTTGCGGAAATTGCTACTAACTTGGGCGGCATGTAGGACCACTACAAACAAGGCATCCACTTATGCAAGTGCTGAAATACAAAGCGAAGAGATAAAACGTCATATCACTGAATAAAAATCTAGATATCAAACATTTCTGTCAAGAATAGAGCAAAAGTTTTTTAATCCATGTATCTGTAGACAGACCTCACATCACGAGTTTCCTATAGCATTTTACATAAAATGTAGTCATTGAAGGATAATAAAGTATATATCTATCTTACAATCAATTCTATCGATAATCGCACTGTTCATACTTTAAACGCGACAATTGATGTTAAGAAACTCACTGCTTGCTCGCAGAAGTAAAATGCATGGTAGGTGCGAGGCAACTTATACCATTAACTCCCAATTTATCACTTACTGTAGCATCAAAGATGTTTTTTTGAATCTCTAAAACTACTTTTACCGCAAGAACTCATACTTGTCAAAAGCTGAGGGTAAAATATTTCAAAATAAATTTACCACTGCTGACAGTTTCTGATAACCAACGATCCAGGTGGATGAGCAACGCCATCTTGAATACATGGACACTGATTTGGGTTAACACAGTTGCCTTGATAATTGACTGTACCGTTTGGACAATGGCAGCCTTCGGTGCAGGTTAATGGCATTTGAGGAGTCGGCTTGCAAAGGTTGTCGCAGGTTCTTGCATAACTTGGACCACATGCTACATACTGGCTACCATAATCACACTGCATAGCTGGGTGCAAAGTAAAAACGTTGTTAAAGTTCTTTTCAAGTACATCATAAAGACAATCTTTTGGTGGTACAAAACTTGTAAATAGCTTTGAAAAAAGCAAACATTTAGTAAACTAAAGCTTTTCGTCTGACACTCTTCAGAGTTCAAAACGTCAGAACATAGATCGAAAACTCTACGCTAAGAAAGATATATACCCAGTTGTGGATCGAAATAGGCCAATCAGAAACACGAGCACATGACTGTAAAGGTTGACCAATCAGTGCCGCTTGCCCATTAGAATGTTACCAATGGAGTCCTAAGGTGAAAACGAACTCCTTTTGTCTACACAGTAGCGGTTTTTTCGTGCTTATGTAGATAGATTCTAAAACTGCTAGGTGGAACGACGATCGGGCTTTACCAATTATCCGAAACATGTCGCCATTATAGTTTTTTGCACAATCTGGGTTTTCTAGCAAATGCTGCCCGATAGCAGAATCGCAGGTTTTATTAGTAATTTTGGATTTGCAAGACCGAGGATTTGCAACGTTTTCACCTTAGGACTCCATTGGTAACATTCTAATAGGCAAGCAGCACTGATTGGTCAACCTTTACAGTCATGTGCTCGTGTTTCTGATTGGCCTATTTCGATCCACAACTGGGTATATATCTTTCTTAGCGTAGAGTTTTCGATCTATGTTCTGACGTTTTGAACTCTGAAGAGTGTCAGACGAAAAGCTTTAGTTTACTAAATGTTTGCTTTTTTCAAAGCTATTTATATCATAAAGATAAACTGCAGGTTTTAGTTTATTATAAAACCATGATGCGTCCCTCGACTGGTTTGGAACTGCTAAATTTTTTCAGCTCTAAAAAGAATATTAGAATTTTTCTTAATCTCTATGATGAATACGAGATGCAAAAGTGACTTTTTTTTAAGAAAATTATTATAATACAGTGCCAGAGATCAGTTGTCATTAGGAATCTTTTTAACGTGGTACTATCAACACATGCAACAATTACGTGGAATATTTTAATTAGATTCTAAAACAATAACCAATTACGAGTCTAGATTTTTTACTTCTCTAAGCATTATGCCGGTCGAAGCCTGGGCGTTGTCTTTATCAAATAACATTTATCATCTTATGCTGTAAGTTCTGAGAGTTTACTTTAGAAAAAAGGGTTGCAGTCTTTCCAATATCTTACTTAAAACACACGACCGTATAATTTTATGGGCATCCATTCAGATTAATCATTATGACTATTTTCCAGAGACTAAAAGAATGAAACTCTTTATCTGGCATATATGATTATTATTGCTCTGTCGATTGATATTACTGTTACCTCTCGGATACAGCAATTATCCAGAATTATAAGATATGCTTTTTTGTAGAGAACAGGACGGTCCTAAGTTGCTACTCCGAATTTCACGCTTAGGGCGATCATCAAACAACTGTCCCGTTCCATTAAGCAAGAAATTCGGAGTAGCAACTTAGAACCGTCCTATTATATACAGCAAAAGCGTATACAGCTCTGCCTGTACGGCATTGAACACTTAATGAAAGACCGATCAACAGTAACTTTCAGAATTCTAAGAGAGATATTTACTTCACTTACGACAGAAGTCTTTTGATCGCCATCTGATATGTACTCCTTGTTTACTGCATTCTGATGCATAGGCCGACACTGCAGTGCAGAGACATTCACAGTCACCCCCAAGATCACAAGAGCATGTGTCCAAGAAGCATGCATCAAAGTATGGTTTTGGATTCACCGCCTCGTGGCACTGTATAAACGGTTCTTTATTGAGAATATTGCATTGTTTATGTGCCCATGGTGCTCTGTTTTTGTGGAATACGCATGCGTTTGGTGGATCTTGAGCATTGGGGCAATTCTGTTGTGTTGACCAGCTATCACCAAATGATGTTGCCAATACAGATACGTCATTCTCTGGGGTTTGAAAGTCATCTGCTCTGTCTCCATTGAAATTACCACACAAGCCGCAAGTTTTTCCTGAAAAGAAGGAAAATGATATTTACTAAGAGAAAAATACTGCACACAATACAAAAATATGAAACATTTCAATAATGTAATATTCAATTTTAGCCTCAAAATAATAGAAAATTTTCAAGAAAAATGTTTTCATAGATTATGTAGACCTGACATGATTCAAAAAAGTGAAAGATGTAATTTAAAAAGCTTTAGGAAAAAAGAATCTAAAAGCAAATGAGCTCACCTTTATATGTTGGACTGAGCGAAACATAGACAGTAGTACCACCATCCCATATCACGGACAATCCGATATCAGTAACAAGTATTGTATATATACCACTGCTGACAATGTCATACTTTGCTGTCATAGTCAGAGCACCGACTTCCGGCTTGGCGGTGATTTCTTTTCCCCTTTCCATTTGCAGAACAGTATCCCCAACTTGAACAGTAATATCCTTTGCGCACGTGACTCCAGTACTACCACAAACAACGTTCTGTGTTTGTACTCGAAAGGTACCATTTTTTCCATTACAGAAGTCTTGCACCATAACATACTCACACGAGCCTTGAAACATGAACTTTTTGCCATCAAAAGACGTATAGTGAGGATCTCCATATGCCGAACACCAGCCAGCACACTCACTTTTTGTGCAATGCCATTTTGTGTTGTTACAAATGCTTGAAAAAAGTTCGTACAAATGCTTGAATAAAGAGTAAAGCTGATAATTGTGATAAGAAAGTGGTCTTCTAAAGATCTTATCATCAAGGAGCGCACGCCATTTCAATGATGTTATACTACATATCATATCATAAAGAATAGAAAACAGACAGCAGGAGCAATTTACTTACCACTGATTGCATCCCCATTGAATCTTTGATCCTGGTTGGTAACTTCTTCCATGATGGTGACATGGGCACTCGGATTCGTGAATACAGCGCTTGATACTATCATCCCAGACCAAAGGGAATTTGCATCGACAACCTGCTGTTGTAACCGAGCCAAGACATGGTAAATGAAGTGTTGTGCATGTTCTTGCACACTCTGTTCCATATGTCATCCATACCTGGTTGGAGGGACACGCTAAACTTTCACAGGTCGTCTCCTGCTCGCATTTAAAGATGCCATCTTTGCACAAACTGCATTGAAAGGACTACATAATTACCTGACAATGCTGGTTAAGGTGTTGCAGTGAATCTGAAATACTGGTTTAAAAGTAAATTATAATGATAAGCTTTTCACATTTGTTACTATCAATCTCGGCTGGCACAGAGTGCTTCAAATGGTTTGCCCATAGCAGCAAAATTTACAAATGCGGCATAGATGTGTAATAATAGTGCTCAAAAGAGATGTTTGAGTAATACAATGGGCTCTCTATCAAGAATGAATCAAGAAAAGTTACAAATGGCTCACATACCACCGTAAACAATCCTTGCGGTACAAAATATGGCCTGGCTGATAAACATTAGTCTGATCGTAGCAAGGACATTGATTCCTTGTAACACACAAGCCATATTCATTCAGAAGAGTGCCGTTTGGACAATTGCAGCCTGGTACACAGATCTGAGTGCATGGAAAGCTTCTTGTTAGATCTTTACAATGCCTCTCACAGCCATTACCGCATTCTTGGTAAATAGTTTCACCATCGCATTGGACAACTACATAATATAGCAAGTATAGGCAAATTATCGATACAGATTTTCTTACTCAAATTTTATGTCTGTGCGTGGTCTTTTTCAGTGGAGCAGTAGAATGATCGATGGAGCAGTAGAATGATCGATGTAGCAGTAGAATGATCGATGGAGCAGTAAAATGATCGATGGAGCAGTAGAATGATTGATGGAGCAGTAAAATGATCGATGAAGCAGTAGAATGATCGATGGAGCAGTAAAATGATCGATGGAGCAGTAGAATGATTGATGGAGCAGTAAAATGATCGATGGAGCAGTAGAATGATTGATGGAGCAGTAAAATGATCGATGGAGCAGTAGAATGATTGATGGAGCAGTAGAATGATCGATGGAGCAGTAAAATGATCGATGAAGCAGTAAAATGATCGATGGAGCAGTAGAATGATTGATGGAGCAGTAGAATGATCGATGGAGCAGTAAAATGATCGATGGAGCAGTAAAATGATTGATGGAGCAGTAAAATGATCGATGAAGCAGTAGAATGATCGATGGAGCAGTAAAATGATCGATGGAGCAGTAGAATGATTGATGGAGCAGTAAAATGATCGATGGAGCAGTAGAATGATTGGATGGAGCAGTAAAATGAATCGATGGAGCCAGTTTAGAATGATCGATCAAGCAGCTTGATATTGATTGATGGAAGCAGTAGAATGATCGGATGAGCAGAAAAATGAGTCGTAGTAGCGTAGAATGATCACTGGCTAGCGTTAGAATGAATGAATGCTAGCAGTAGAAGATTGATGGCAGTTAAATGATCGAATGCGATCAGTAGAATGATGATGGAGCAGTTTTTAGAATGATCGAATGGAGCAGTAAAATGATCGATGGAGCAGTAAAATGATCGATGGAGCAGTAGAATGATCGATAGAGCAGTAGAATTATCGATGAAGCAGTAGAATGATCGATGGAGCAGTAAAATGATCGATGGAGCAGTAAAATGATCGATGGAGCAGTAAAATGATCGATGGAGCAGTAAAATGATCGATGGAGCAGTAAAATGATCGATGGAGCAGTAAAATGATCGATGGAGCAGTAAAATGATCGATAAAGCAGTAGAATGATCGATAGAGCAGTAAAATGATCGAAGTATGAAACAACTATAGAAGAACGTTGAAAAGGGCAAATTATTAAATTTACAGGAAAAGCTGACACTTTCTTAAAGTGTTATTAAAAATAATCAACTACTTACAGGCCGGACTTAAAACGAAAGAAGAATTCAAAAATCGAAATTATAATACGCTTTCAGTTCACTGCCCTTTTTTCTTAATACCAAAAAAAAATAACGGAGGAGCAAAAAAAGACAAAAACTACATGATGCATGGCTAACTTTCAATTTTGATTTTGGCATTAGCACCTCCGAGGATGTATCTTAAGAAACTAAGAATAGAAATTTAGGCCTAGAGAATATTTTCAAAAAGGATATCACATGTGCAATCGTGAAAAATTTGCATAGACTATTAGATAAGAAATGAATGAGAAAACTATTATGAAGACATGTGCAACAATGTGGTAGCTAATGAGTCATTACAGAGACAATGATGAGAAGAGAAACTTACCACATTCTGGTATAACTTTATTATCCCGCCAGCGAATCACTACCCCTTGCTTTGCACAGGCTTCAGTGTATCTCGATATTGAATCGCAGTAGCATTTTAGTGGATCTTCACATGCACAGACGTCATATTTGCATGTTTCAATGTATGCACCCGGATCAACGTAGTTGTGACAAATCGAAAATGGACTTTGCAATAATTTGTTGCACTTTTTCTCAGCTTCTGAAGCTCTCTGGATCTAAATAAAGTATTGGCCTGATAATTGGCATATAACATTATAATTTCAAACAATCTTATCGTGATAAAAAAAATTGAAAAAAATTTGAAAAAAGCAAACTTTTTGAAATGTGTTACTGAAGCTTTAGTAACATGTTTCAAAATTTTTGCTGTTTTCCAAGCCATTTTTAGAAACTATATTTGTGAAATGTCTAGAAAGATACTATCGAGAAACAAATAATTCTGCTGATGATATTCTGATGTTAAAAAAAGGGCCTATTAGAGATTGCACTTGTCCTGGCAATACATAGCGTAATAAAATAGGAGGGGCAGTTTCTTTCTTAGCTGCGTTTAGCCGCTCCGTTGTTGCCATTAAGTACCTGTTTCCAGCTATGGCAATAGGAGATGGGCATCTAGATCACTCGTCAAGCCTGCATGAAAGGCCACCATCTTCAACTCTGCTGTAGAGAACTTCAACTATTAGGCCACTTTGCCTCCGAGAATACATTATACATAACAAATAAAGACTACCTGAGAATTACATTATTCTTTCAAAATTGTAAGTCATTTTGCATTGTCAGTCTGATGCATCTATTTACGAAGCTTTCAAATGGCTACCTGAACGTTGCAGGGATGGTCGCTGCTGACGTCATTCTGGCAGGTTGAATCCAGCTTCCAAGAATCTGCAAACGTAATAGCATTAGCCTCGTGTCCACCTTCAGGTGTCGTGAAATCATCTTGCTGAATTCCATTAAAAGTTCCACATAAGCCACTAGTTCTGCCTCGGAATTCTGAAGATACAACTACTCGAACATGTGAACCGCTATCGAATATTACATCTAGGCCAACAGAGGTCTCAAGGCGAATTGCAGAGCTCGATGCCTGTTGGATGTAGATGGTAACTTTAAATCGATCAGCACATTAACAAAATTGCAATTTGCAAACTCAAAGATGAAACAGGTCACTACTCTATGACAATCTTTTATACAAGGTTTCAACCTGTATGTTGTTAAGATCTTTACAGAATGTCAGAATTTGCAGTATTTTTCTTCATTGAGTATTCATTGCCATACAAAGGAAAAATTTTAAAATATAGTTACACTGACAAATTTACTGACAAGAATAAAGATATTGGTCATGAGAAATATAACTTATTCATATTAAAAAATAATGAAAAAATACAGCATCAGGTAAATAGTGTTAAAAAGACGATCTAGAATCACTTTTATTCTAGCCTGAAATTTTACCCAACGCACCCTAAAATATTATGTCTCATTTTATTGTTGGGTACTTTTTTCAAACAAGGAGAACTAGTACAACAAAGCAGAACAAGAAAATCCAAACAAAATATTTCATACAATCGAATCAAAAAGGTAAGATTGACCAGATTTGATAAGAGTTAATTTGAATTTGCCTCGTAGAAAGGCACCATTTTCTATGATGAGTTTAATTTTTTCATTTTATGTTTAGTAGTATTGGTGACAGAGACCAGCAAAGTTTGAATACTAAAAGCATATACCTGTCTAAGAATTACACCAGGGCCAGCATACGGCAATACAGTTATCAATCCCTGAACTGAAATTTGGGATTTTGCATCAATGTGAACAACAGTACCATTCATCTGGAAAGTGACATCTTTTGGACAAGAGCCATGGTTACTTGAACTACAAGACATAGTGCTTATTGTGACTGAAATTCCTGGCACCGTGTCTTCTCTCATTAACACATACTCACAGATCCCCATAAAGTCATAACTTGTCCCATCAAATGTGATAAAGTGTGGATCTCCATGTGCCGTGCACGTTGCTAAAATGATAAATTTGAAACAACCATTCGTTGTACGCTACCACTAATTTCCTGTTAAGTATCAAATAAGAAAATGATTATCAAAACCTTTTTTCACTAGGAAAGCATTGTAAACATTGCATAATTCAGCAACTATATTTTGACATAGGACAAACATTCATCAAAATATCATGATAAGAGTACACATTTAAAAACTCATCAAAATACATATATTTTCAAGTAAACACATATACAAAACAAAACAAAGTACCCATACACATATTCTCCCTAACAGATAAACCTACGCTAGTCCCTCTAACTGGAACAGAATCTTCAACATAAACAAAGATATTTACATCGATGTTTACATCACACAAACACTCACCTGGACATGTAATATTTGAACATTGCCATCTACCTTGACTGCAATAACTGAAGAAAGGAATTATGTATTATAAAAACACAGCATTTAACAATATTTATTATTGACATTTTACAGTATTTAAAGTGAACATTTTTTGGCGGTACAGAACTTGAAAATGGCTTTGAGAAAATCAAACATTTCGCAACATACAGCTTTTTCGTCTGATATTCCTCAGAGTACAAAACACCAGAATAAGGATCCGAAAGAACAAAATGGATTGCTTTTTTCAAAGCCATTTTTAAGTATTTAAGGTATGAGACCTGTACAAGAATATGTACAAGGCATTCAAATTGTAAGACAGAATGATCACGATATAAAGATAAATATTTAATATATAATTTTTTGTATGGCTGCATAAGCTTGAACCTCAGAGTTTGAACCGTACTGTACTACACACTAATGCGTATACAACTCTGCCTATAAGACATCCAACACCAAGTGAACGGTAATTTTCATTAGCTTCTGTTTTGAACAGTTGTTTCATTGCAATGCTTAAGTTCTAATTAATTAATGCTTAAAGAAAGCTAAAAAGATAGACCTGTTTTATTCTAGATAATGATATTTTCATTTTATAACCATGTTTAATCAATTTCTTTTATCAAATTAACACATTTTCCCACACTGACGTTAACGTTGAACGGAATATCAAAAAAATTTAGAACGTTATCACGCATAAAAGAACATTAAGTCCCTGTTTACTGTCTAGAGAAAACAAGCATAATTTGAAAACCAAACCAGAGATTTCGATTTTAGCGAAACCAAAGAAGAACGGAACTGTCCTAAACTAACGCCTTTTATAGCTTTTACATGCACGTAACTAAAGAGTTCCGTTCTTTTTTTAGTGTAAACGCGGTCTATGTTTTCAGTTGACTGCGTTAATTGCATGTTTATAAAGTATGCGTTACTTACCGTCTAATGAAAGATCAACTCACCAATGGTATTTAGGCAACAAGAAGGAATTATTCACCTTCTGGGGAGAGTGACCCTATAGCTGGCTCCCTAAGTCCCAATTCTAATCCTGGGGTCTGAAGCATCACGTAAAATAATATTGATAAAATCAAATATCGGAGAGCTCGAAAAGAAAGCAAGGAAAATATGGAGAGTTGCAAATATGACAGAAACTTATCTCGATATTTCGAAAGGTATTTCAAGCCGTAGGTTTACATGTCAAAATACAGCTTAAAGGGTCTTTTTAAAAATCTTACTTGGGGGGGGGGGGGATATTGCCCCTGCAACCCCAGTTAATTTCTACTGTTTTAAACAATATTCTATTGTTCTCCTCTTTACATATACAAAGGCTTGCCTTCCAGCTTATTTCCCTTCGAAAAACTATAACAAATTACCATGAATTGCAGTCTTTTCTGTAACTTTGCCCAGCTTGATAAACTATGCCTGCATGAACACATGGACATTCGCTCTCCTCAATGCACATCCCCATGTTTTCAACTTTGTTTTCTGGACAGAAACAGCCGTCGACGCATGTTTCTTGGCAAATAATGTTTCTGTTGATGGTCTGACATGTTTTTGGACAAGAAGAGGCGCATTCCTGATATTCTCTCCCTTCACTACAGTTTCTATCTAAAAATGAATCACTTAAAGGTAAGAAGAAAGTAAGCTATAACGGGGCCTGTCTGGTAGGCAATTTCAACATTTATTTAATCACGACAACTTAGATTCATATCTGATCTCTCCCTATGCTAAGTATTGATTTTTAAGAATTGCAGGCAAATACAATATCCCCATCTGTCATAAGTCTCCCCGCCTCCAAGCAAAATTCTAGCTGAAACTTCTTCATTTATACCTCTATTTCTCTTCTGATATTTTAACAACAGAATTTTGTATCCATGATCAGATCCCCCACTGTGCTCGCTAACCCTTCCCTCCCTCCCAATTAAGGATTTTGTTTGAACAACAAAAGATGTGTGATAACAGTAGCTAGAAATGCTAAAGTCACGAAAAGTGTAGTTTTTAAAAAATATTGAGCTAAATTTCAATAACAAAGGCAAATTACACGAGTTTGAAAAGCAAGGATTGGTGTCCACATCAATTCAACGCTAGGTAACAGAAAGCGAATTAATCTCGTCTGCTGTCAGCCTATTCATGTTAAAATTATGCAGGTAGTAAACTTACAGCAAAGATTTGGTGACCGCCAATTCAATACTACATTTATTGAGGCACACGATCTGGAATATTGTGTGAATGCATCGCAAGCGCAATTCAAACTTTGCGCATCAGTGCAAGAAGCAACGTCTTCTCTACATTGAGTTAAAAATTGAGCCGTGTCTATTCTCCCATGGCATGGACGAAATACATCTGAGTTTAGCTTGTTGCATATAATGTCAATTTCTGTCTTCTTTGATTGTGAAAGCTGTTCGTATACAGAATTGAGTTCAGAGTCGTAAACATTGCGACAGTGTTCTGTAACTCCTTCCATTTTCCAGCTGTTAATGAATTTTGCCGTACTTGAGGTAAGGGCTCCTTCTTTCGTGACGTAATCATCATAGGGTGAATTGTCGAAGTCGCCGCAGAGTCCACATGTTTTATTCCTCATACTTTTGGGAAACTGTATATAAATGCCAGCAAAACCATCCCATTTCACAATGACATTCGACCAGCCATGGAACAGAACGTATTTTCCAATCTGTTGAATGATCACTCCACCAACAACATGTGGTAGCGATACATTTATTCCGTTGATGCTCACCCTCATGCGATCCTCAACATGTAGCTTTATGTCACTCTGACCCAGGTACAAGTTCAACGACCTTTGACATGGCAAAAGGCTTGCAGAACAATTTGCATCGTTTCTTATGTGTATCGAGAATGTGCTGTCGACGCAGTCTCCTGCCATTTGATACGCACAGTTGCTGGGGATCCGAAACCGTCTTCCATCGAATGTTTGCACATTTGAATTGCCAGTCACTCGACATATAGCTGGTGTGGCCGTTAGGTTCAAGACTGCAACAAGAAAGCAAAAGTAAAAGTGTTAACAACAGTAGACGACGAACAGATACGTCGAAAAGAAGGTACGTCGCAAAGAGGCTAAGTAGAAGCGAGGGTACAGGGTACTCTGATAAAAGAGTACGTTGATAAGAGGGTACCTCAAAAGGAAGATAGGTTGAAAAGAGGGTATTTAAACCTAGCTTGACTTTTCTTTGCTTGATTTTGAGATGGCTGTGAATCACATCAGAGTATTTCAAGTCAGAAATAAAGGCTCGAAAAGTTGGTTTAGCATTGACATGCTTGCAAAAGCTAACATTTTTTTCTAAATAACAAAGTACTCGAGGCGACTTTTCGTATAATACCTGTTTCACAATAATTTCCTGTAAATCCTTGCGAACAGTTGCATTTTCCCATGCTACAAAGTCCACCATTAAGACATTCTGGGTCGCAACTATTTCCTTCTGGCTCAGTACATTGATTGCAACCAGATGGGCCAAGACAACACTTCTTTGTGCCTTCACAAGCAGAATCGTTAACGCAGGAGCCATTACAGAAACTTTCGTGTATTATTGTGACGTTATTTTTAGGACAGGTTCCTTGTTTCTCGTATGCTTTGAAAGAAAACATGATGAAAAATAGGATTAAAATAAAATCGCGAAAATCATTATAAAAATTCTGAAAGTCATTAAGACTAAATGTGAGTCTACATAAACACTAGATTGAATTCAACTTTATTAATAGAACCTTTACTACAAAACCCCTGACAAAAAGAGCGACATTACAAGATCATTAAACATGGAGTAGAGAACTCATGGAGCTACTTTGCTCAAACTGAAATAATAAGAACTGAAAAGCAATTAGAAAATCTTCAGACAAACTAAAGGAAAAATTAAACAGTTCACTGCCAAACTATCAAAAATATTTGATGCATTCCATTATTGTTGTTAAAACTTGAAGGACTACTTATAAGAACACCTTAAGCTATATCCCAACGTCTTTTAATACATTACAGATAACTTACCTATTTCCTTTTTATATTCTCTGTCAGCGTTGCTAGGTTTTCCAATGACGTCAGAAACTCTTTGATCTTCATATTCTTGTGTGGGTGTCTCAATAAAGCTGGATTCTTTAATGAAAGATCAAACTTGTCATAGATTGATAAAAAAAAACCGAAGGGCAATAAATGCGACGAGAATCATGAAAAGCAATAAAGGTATGTGGTATTACCTTGTTTGCATCCTGGCCCCGATCTACCAGGACAGCAGATAAGAACAAAGAAGTATTTTGTTTCCATTATCTTCTTTCTCTTTGGTACGATCGTATACCTAGAGTTTAAAATAACGAATTATAAATTCTCTTTAGAATAACAAAAACTTTAGAAAAGAAGAAAATTTTTTATTTGTGAAACAGAATCTAGTGACTGTGAACGCTAGAGGAAACATGATAGTGTATTAATAGATGGCTGATGAAATGGAAATTCTTAGCGAAATTTGATCAAGGGCGTTCTTTCCAAACGGTCTGACAAATCTTTCGTCCTTCATGTTGCAATAGTCTCTAAAACAAATGTTGTATCTCCAGAGCAAAAAAACAGTTTTCTGTTTAAAAGAAGATAAGCTTTCAACTACTGCCCAATTCAAAGTATGCCATAATAAGAATGTTTACTTAGCAAGTGAGAATGTATCAAACGCTTAGTAACAGTATTAAACGCCTACAATATAATATCAGTTCAAGGCTCCTTCATGTTTAAAATTTCCAAGGCTTACAAATTAATTGACAATGTCGTTAAGATGCCAATCGTAATGAACGCAAAAATATCAGCTTCTAAAAAGTAACTTTGTGGTATAATTCCTATATTTCAATGCCTATGGAGTTGCCTCCTTTAATGATCTTGCAGAAAATCAAATAACAGAAGCTACTGTTAGCAAATAAAAAGAACATTTGGAGGATTTTATATTTCATCTCCCTATTGGCTTGCATAGAATATTGAATTGTATCGTTCAAGACATTTTCATCGTGTATCTTTTACTTCTCTGCATTAAATGTATTTTTCTGCAGGTCCTTTGCTTTTAGCAGATTTTTTCTATATTCTGTTTAAAGACAACTAGTTATGATATGTTAATAACCCATATATTTATAACACAATCAATAATCATAAAGAAAATTGTATATCTTTTTACGTGATATTGAACAGGTCAGCGTGATATACAATTATATAGCTTACTTACTTTTCAAATGAACATAACGTCAATAAATTATTGCTTGCAGTTTTATTTTCCATGCATGGCTTCTGATATGTCTCTTTGACAATCTCCCTGTACTTTACCATTCTCTCTCTGCGATATGGCTTTTTTGCAATACACCAAAATGATTTTCCATTGTCTTCAACATCTTCAAATCTCAAGTCATGTGTTAGTCTAAATGAAGCATTAGACAGCGGCTTAATAACAAAAATGATGTGCAAAGTCTATGCTCGTCATGACACTAAATTTGCGTTTATCTATAAGTTTCATTGCTGTCACATTAAGGGCTTTGAAATGTGCTGTGGACAAACTCAAATTCAGTATATCAAAAGTTATCTTACTATAAATGCCGTTTACATCAATATTGGTGCACGTAAGAAAGGTATGTGCTATGTAACACTTATGCCAGTTTAGTGGACAGGCGGTAAATGAAGATTTGTTGTCTCATATACATCAAAGGCACAGACCCTACTATTTAAGTCCATGTAAAAATACATACTTGATGCCAGGGGAAGCACCCTGTTCGTCTGCATACAAAAGAGGTATCATTAACAGGCTCAGGTAGAAGAAACATCGTTGAAAGAATCTGCAGGTCTTTACAGCTGGATTACAGCACATTCTGCATAGGAGAATAGTCCAGGTCAGCCAAATTGAAATGATGAAATTTAAATTAAAAAGATGAATGAAAATTTGCAATCTAGTAGATGAATTTCAAAGCGCACAGTAAAAATACCAAATGAAAAAGTAGCAAACTTTAATCAATACTACTCACTCAGCTGTCAGAACCATAGCTAGATTCACGTTTCCATTCTCACAACCATATCTTCTTCCTCATTATCCAGAATCCGAATCAAGCATTTTGCATAGATACTTGTTCATGTCCGATCCACGTATCAAAACAAATAGCCAACATTTGAAACGATGCGTGAGAATATTCAAGAGCACCTGATACTGCAGGAAAATTATAGAAAAAGTAAACATTGGACTTGTATGTTTCAGATATGCTGTTGTATGTATTTTAATAAATATTTTGAGTCATCGAAATACGGAAGGATTGAGTGTGAAAAACGAGGAATTATTAAGTTATTTTGAAATGTGAAAGACTTGATGCAACCAAATAAGAAATATTTACGTTACAAAGGTTTGCATTACGAAAATAAAAACATTTCTCTATGCATTTAAAGAAAAGGTCTTGGGAGTCGCATGGTGGTTATTGGGTTTTATAATACGCTAGTATCTCACTTCTTCTGAAAAGTTCTTTTGTTGTTCATGCCATCAGTGGTTTCTCTAACGATACCATCAAAACCCAATCCACTCAAAACGCGAAAATAAAGAAAACAATCTTTTGGTGGTACAAAACTTGAAAATGGCTTGGATGGCGACGGTCTTGCAAATCCAAAATTACTAATAAAACCTGCGATTCTGCTATCGGGCAGCATTTGCTAGAAAACCCAGATTGTGCAAAAAACTATAATGGCGACATGTTTCGGATTATTGGTAAAGCCCGATCGTCGTTTCATCTAGCGGTTTTGGAATCTATCTACATAAGCACGAAAAATCCAATATTGTCAAGATAAAATGAGTTCGTTTTTACCTTAGGACTCCATTGCTAACATTCTCAATAGGCAAGCGGCATTGATTGGTCAATCTCAACAGTCATGTGCTTGCATTTCTGATTGGCCAATTTCGATCCACAACTGGGTATATATATTTCCTAGCGTAGAGTTTTCGATCTATGTTCTGACGTTTTAAACTCTGAAGGGTGTCAGACAAAAAACTTTAGTTTACTCAAATGTTTGCTTTTTTCAAAGATAAAAACCATGTTCTCGAATTTTAAACGCTACACTTAGGAAAAAAGCTTTCTAAATTAGCAGATTTGATTTCTACTGAATGACTTTTGGAATTCACGCTATCCTTTGCAATTTGAGATAATATTATCTGAGGACATTATGTATTTTATGTGGGAAATAAGAAAGTGACTGGGGTTAAGTACAAATTCTGCTTTTTCACGATGTTAACTCAATTTGACTAAAAACACATTTAAATAAATCAGAACAGCTTTCAACAACAACTGAATTGTACACAAAATATTAAATTGACTATTAAAGCTTGCAAGACGAATTCATTGTTCTGTTTGTTCTTTCATTCACATTCATGCCAAATTAGTAAGCTTCATAAACTACTTTATTTGCTACTTTCTTTTTCCTGGGCTTTTGCTTTTTTCTCTATCCTTTCCAAAATTTCAGCTCTGACTTCAAGACCCTCATCCAAACAACCTGCAGTATAAATTTAATTACAACTTAAAATATATTATTGTTTTGAAACTGGAAAAGACAGATATGAAATTTATCAATTACTCCTTGTTACACTTCAGAATCCTTAGATGTGAATAAAACCATGATGTTACTCACTGATCGTCATAAAAAAATAAATTGCTTTATAAATCAAGCTATGAGCATTGACAATAGCAAGAAATATACAGAAGTTGAATAACGACTAGCTGCATCAAAATAAACCTGGCATAAACAAAATCTTACTAGGATCTCCTTTCTTTAAGACTCTCTTTCTGCAAAGCCATTCTATAGGGTCTTCGGTCTGTGCTTTGAAAAACCAGCTTATAACACGATCTTCTTCTTCCACTAGCAGATCTTCACACTTGAAATGAAAACAAACAGCATTGTCACAAGTATGTATTTTTGGCATATTATACAGGGTATACAGGATATATTCAAACACAGTACTTTTTGCTATTTACAAAACGTTCGTAAATTTACTTGATGCCTCACCCGGGTGCTTATTTATTACCTTGAGCTGCAAGCGCTGGATTTCTCCGGTAGGGTCATCAAGCTCTGATTCCGGTACACTGTACATCCAGTTCTTGATGCGAGAATCCTTTTGCGCGTCATTGAACATCTCCCGTAACGGGGTGCTACCTTTAGGAATAATTTATTAAGCACATTAGATACGAAATATATGAATATATGATTAAGGTCGAAACATGTTAAATGATTTCTGTCTACTGATTATGACAAAATATTATTGTCACACCTGGATTGTAACTAAAATGTCTCACTGAATTTGTAAATGGAATAGTCGTTTAATTCAATTGGATTAAAAATGTTGAAATAGAAATACAAAAATGTCTCTCTTTGTCGCCGTATTTGTTTTCCTTGTTTATTATCAAACTGCATTTTCAAAGATCTATATGCATAAGATTTTCCGACCAATCTTTTATGAAGGAATTATAGATATCTAGACTCTAAAATGAACAAATTTCTTCCAGGAATACGTAGCCAGCAATGAAATTTAGGATAAACAAAAGCTTTACTGACTTGGTTCTGACATAAAGATAACATCACACTCGCATTACTATTGACGTCTTAACACTTTGAAAGTATTACAAAAGCAGCCAACTAGCCAAAAAAGATAAAAACTTGTACGACTGTATCACCTCCACGTATATATCTAAAATGCCTGGTCCGGGTCACCCGGTAGTTTTTCATCCCGGAACAAACTTCTTGCATAACTCTGTAGATGACATTGCCACTATAATGGAAACCATTATGAGTCAGATACAGGACTTCCGTATCTTTAAATTACGTTTTAAATTGGCGTTTTCTTAAAATTTGTTGTAGGTATAATGCCAAAAATAAGGTCAGTATACAAGCTAGACACCTCTGTCTGTGTGGCAAAACCCCATAGTGTCGTTTTAAAACACGAATTAAGAATGAAAGAGCCATTTCTTATTGGCCCACTTTGTATTTACTCTGTACAAACAAACCCTACTTATAATGCGCCCCATCCCCTCTATTTTTTACCACCCGTTCACTCAAAAAGACATTTTTCAAGGACTGTAACTAAGTATAAACTGCAGTACTCTTGCATCAAACACCGCCAAAAACAAATTGGACTAGGAACAATTCTAAATTCTGTTCTTTCACTTCTAATCAACAAACTGCTGTAATATACTCAAATAGTTGCATATGAATCTCCTTAGATGATACCAAGTTTTACAAGCAAAAATGTTTAAAATCTTGAAAACCAATGCCACTCACTTTTTGACAAATATTGGATGCTTTCCTTCTCGCTCTTCTTCTATTTCGCCATTTTGTTCAAGAAACTTGAGAAGTTCTTGGACAAGAAGGCGGCAAACTGCGAAGAGGGAATACGTACTTCATCAAAATGAAATGCCTTACTAAAACACGTGTTAGGAAGGCAACAACAATGTTCTTGTCAAGTCATAACAGTGTAAGGATGGCAACATTTTGGTAAATTGACAACTGCCTAGAACAATGAATATGCAAGTGCTGGGATTATAAGGAAAATACCTAATTCAATTTCTGACGTTGGGTAAACATCTCGGTTTGGAATTTTGAAAAGACATTCCAAGCTTCAACGAAGTTTAAGATCTAGCAACCACACGAGGAGATTAAATTCATATTCTATCTACAGCCCTGCAAAATGTCTTTCGAATGCTCTGTTGCCTAAGTGCTGCTATGAAAGAATCACCCGTTCTTCCCTATACACTATTGGTTGTAGAATCAATACATCACAAATATTTAACAGGAATCAACTAGACGAGATGCAACTGTGACTCCTCAACTATCATTGAACAAGCATAAAAGTGGCCTACATACCATGGCATTTCTTAGGATAGCCTTTCCTTTCCAGTTTATTTTCTGCAGCTTCAAGCTCATACTCAATCGAACGTTCTTCAAGCTTCAAAAGAGCTTCGTATGGAAGTCCTATATTTGATGAGCTACCATGTTGTAGTTTGCTTATTTTTATCCCGTCTGCAATGATAAACTCCTCACTACAATTCGAAATTTCAATTTGTGTGAGGAACGCAAGAACTGCAAAAATGATGTCTTTTCTAGTGTAGTGCATGATTCGAAATTCGTCGTTTCGCTAGTATTACAACAATAAAAGTCTAAATAGGTTAACATAATCGAGCAATGTTTGAAGTACACGTGCAGTGGAACATTTAAACAGCTTTAGATCCACATACCGTCTATGATTACTCAGCTATGTGTATTGCTCTTGGAGAATTTTCGCTTATCGTCAATGCAGAAAGTACAGGGGTCTATTTCTTTAGAACAATTTGACATTAATTATCAACATGTTATCTAGGCTTTTACGGTCTAACGGCAAAAAGTGAAGAAAATCTCAAATGGATAGTTTAAAATGAAAGAGATATAGTACAAAAATTTCAAACCTCTGAAATAATGAAACAATACACAATGAATTAAACCAATGAAATAATACACAAGGGATACGCAAAACCAAAATCGATATTTGCTAATGATAGTTGCCAAACAAATATTTGCAGTGGCATGGCAATAAAGTTATCTGTCTAGTATTTATTCGATAAGCAAAGGAATATTGATTTCCCTATGATCCGCTGATGTTCAATCAAGTTTTAAATTTTTTTTCCTATATTGAAATAAGTTGTATTGTACGGTACAGTAAGGTTGTTGCAGTAAAATTTCATATGGCCTAAACAGTGATTGCAAATTTCTTGATCACGACCCTTATGATCACGACGACTATTTAAATCGTAAGGTGGTATTAAAATCTTAATTTTTTATAAAAAACACTGTGCTGTCCTGATAAATCGATCAATCACTTCAATATGCGCAACGACTGATTACACAAAGGAACAATGAGATTTGTGCAGGTGTACAAGGCACAGGTTGCTCGACTCAATAAATATCTACCCGCTGTATATCTGATTGTAAGCAACTGGAGCTGGTAAAAGATCAAAACTGGTAGCTAATTGATCCGCAGTATTTCAACGCTAAGATATCGAGTCATCCAATGAGATCACGACAAATAGTAGACTAGACATTTGTTTATAACAAGACACTTTCAACTACTAGGTTGCCGCGAGGACAGTTAAATAGAAATCCTTACTTGAAAAAACAGCGGTAATAAGTTTCTGAAAACCTTTCAACATGAACAACATATTGACAAATTTACTTGTTGCGTTGCAACTGATATCACTGGGGTTGGCCGCTACAAATAAGTTGAACAGCAGCAATGGAAACAAAGACAACAAACCAATGCATCCAAAGTTAGCAGAATTCAACAGAAACGCACATTTAAGGCCGACAAAATGTCATAGTAAGTATCTCAATGTGGAAAAAACTTTCAGCGATTTCAGGGAATAAGCATAATTTATTCCTTTTCCAATTGCATACAATAGCACATGGTGTAGGTGTATCCTGTGATCAAAATATGAAACCGGGATATCGAGTCTCTTTGAAAGCATGTCAAGTTCACTGTCCTATTTTCAGACAATCTAGACGGAATTGCGCAGGGAACAAAATATCAGATAACAACAAAATCATCATTAATTCTAGAGTATAATGTGTAAAATTGATTGATGATTCCATTAAACGTGAACTTCAGAGTAGAAGCTGAAATCAGTCCTGTTACTCATAACGTGTTTATATCTTTTGCAACTTAGAACCTTCTTGTTTGGTAAACCAACGTTTGTACAGCTTTGCCAGCACTATTAAAACAATCTCTATCATTAGTATTTCTAGTATGATAAAAATTATGGAAAAAAATTAGCCTGTATAGCAAATGATATTGACTGATAACTCACTAGCCTGATTGGTCACTTATATAAATTAACTGAAGTTGATGTAAAAATATTTAAATAATTGCTTGTCGCTCCTGAAAATTAATTGAGACATGCTAAGATCACCCTAACATTTATTTTTGCTAATTTGAAAAGTTGGTATGGTATATTTTACAGCCCAACTTCATTACAAATAATAAAATGATTAAAACATAAAGGATCAAGCCATACAATCTGCAGTCTAACTTCCTTAACTATACAACTGGTTACGTATATAGTAATAATGTCATCACACACTTGAAACAATTAAACTACTTTCATATCAGTTTGTCGAGTGTTGGTCACAGAACTTCAAGTTGAACTGCGCAAAACTGAAAAAATCAAGGACACGCTCCACTTATCACACAAACTTGATGACGATAACGCATCCAACCAAAAGAGCATCAACTACCAAACATCGTAAGTTGTATTTAGAATGAACTCATTCAAAGTTATCAAGACTTTTTTTGAAATTAATGTTCATCAACTGAATTATGGTTGAAATTTCTGATATTTTGCTAATTATACATATAGAAAGGATATACTTTTTCGCAAAGCTTTTTCCTAAAGCGAAAACTGTATAGGTATGCTGTTAGCAAATTTAGTGTTGATCGCAGATAAACTTGTCAAATAGAAACAAAGCAAAAACACATTCAGCCTTTAGTCTTAAATTTTGCTGATATTGTCTAAAAAGAACTAGATTTTCGCAAAAATGGTTTGACATGCTCAGGTAGCGTTTTAGGATGGTGTTGTCCATCTTTAATGAGGAAGATAAGGAGGCAAAAAGGAAGTTTTTTAAGCACGAACGACGACAGAAAATCAATAACTAAAGGTTGCTGAGAGTTGCTTTGCAAAAGAAAGACAGTTGCCTCAGCTACAAATAAAATAAACTGTATCTGCATTGAGCTTTTACTCAGCGATTCTACTATTAGTTGCAGAATCTTCGCTGTTCTCTTTGCTTGTAGCATAAGAAAGACATTTCGAGCCGTTTAAAATCTAGGTCGAATGCCTCAGCTGAGGTACTTGAGTGACAAAATAAATATGTGGTGTTAAAAGCGTAAGTTTATTATTTCGTGTTAATTTATGACAATATATGCTGCTTTGTCGTAAAGGGAACTCCGATTGATGGATAGTTTGGAGAATGTTTGTCAAAACACGCAGCGATATAGGGCGATTGCAGGTCCAGAGTTCCCATACATAAAAGGAGGTAAGACATTTAATAGCAATTTTGCAGCTCTTCTCATTAATTTCAGTAAGAGCTTAAATTAACGAAATTAGAATAATTGAGATAATATGGCACACGTTTCAGTTCTGATGTTTTGGCATACGTTTCAGTTCATCAAGAGTAGAGTTATGGGTGCGATGATTCAATGCAAAAAATAAGCATCATCCATCGTAGACTGCATCAAGAGATGAGAAATTGAAACAGCTTTTGAATTTAAAGAAAAATTAATATAAATTGAAGTCTTTACATAAAACAACACCAAAGAGACCAACGATCAAACAAGATAGTAAAGCAAGTTTTTCTATGGCCTTAACAAGTTTGATATGCTGCTAAAAATTATTAGAAGAAAAATATTTCGTTTCATCATCAAATTTTGCTGGTTCAAAAACAAATTATTAGGTTATATAGAATTATTTTTATTCTTTCTGTTTTAAGTTAAAAGCATGTTTCAAACTGAGCTGGAAAATATGATGGGGAACAAGGCTTTAAAGATGCAACTGGATGCACCGCAAGCCATTATTGATGACCCAACACTGGAAATCAGAAGGCTAGGGTCCCTCGTGAGTATGCTTGTATTTATTTTTGTTTAGTTTACGATCATAGTAACAAATAGTAAGGAATATTTACAAACTTCATAAAATATCAACAAATGGTATACTGAAATAACAAATCGAAGATCATGTTATATGATGATAGTAATAGATAACATTGTTACCAATGGTACACCATCGTAACAAAAGGTAACCCATAGTAACAAATGGTCAACCTTAGTACCAATTGGTAAACCATAGTAAAAAATGGTATAACGTAGTATTGCTTAAAACGCCAGTACGTTGATAAGCGAAAACACAACGTGTACAATACAATCCCCAGCTCTCATGGGAAATGAAAAACATATCTAATAATGTTCTTGAAAAAAGGAATTAACCAGGAAACATTGTGGCAGTGCAGAACTTAAAAATGACTTTGAAAAAGCAGACATTTTAAACATACTTTAGCTTTTCATCTGACACTCTTCAAAGTATAAAACATTAGAATAATAATCGTGAAATTAAAGCAAAGAAATACATAGACAAAATGGTCAGTCGAAAAACTGAAGGATGTTTCCAAATGTTTGAAATAATAGGTGTAAGAATCTCTGTGGTACGTGTGATTATCATTTGTTTTACTAGACTTAAAGCATAAGCATTTTCGTTCTGTACTTAAAAAGAAAAAAATTGACAGTCAGGATGCTGGAGAAACAAATTTTGATAGAATAGCAAAAATCATTACAAACTCTAACTGAAAAGCTGTGTCCTTTTAACAGTGCAATCAAATGATAGAGAATCATGAAGAAGACATTGAAGATTGGTATATGAACAACCACGAGGAAGATCCCTTGTATTACATCTGCGCAGAGAAAGTACTGAAAGGTAGCGACACAGGTAATGATACAGGACTTTCTACTAAAAATCACAATTCTAAATATATTAGATAGCTTTCTATGGGCAGCTTTCTTGTCTTGGCTCTCTCGGCAACGTCTTTATGCACCTGTTTTCACCAGTACACTGTCTTACGCTTGTATAGCTATTAACTGCATGACCAGTATATAGTGAAAAACCACATCCCGCTTTATAAATGGCTTGAATAACTTATTCTATCCTTTATATTTTTAATTTTTAAAGTCTTAAATGTTTATGACTATAACATGACAATAAAGGTAAACAAATAACTTTACAGTACCGCTTATACGGCCTAATTAAATAGCTTAACAACTGTATAGTCATAATTCCAAGACCGCAACCCAAAACAGGTATTTGACGCAACATGGACAGTGATGTAGAAATGTCATGTTTCACTTTAGCAGTGGGTGCTTAACTGCGTCTCTCAGATATCCATTTTGAGCCACATTTTCTTGCAAGCTCTTTAAAATAATCCGGTCGTTTTGTTTTTTAAACAGATTGTCTAACAGCGTCGACAGTCGTTCCAGACTATGCTACCAAACCACTGCCTGACGATACACCTTCAATCCTTCACACCGAGCTGTGATAGGACAGCTGCCAAAAATACACATATTTGTAAGATCCGGGAAGACATTCCAGAAAAAAACAAAGAAATGTTAAGACTTTTATTTTCATAATTTCTAATCGAGTAGATTTTTAGGTGTTGCAAATGTTGAGTTCTATAGACAAATTTTTAAAGCATTGCTTATATGATTGTCTTCACTGTCTTTTATGAAATTAAACTCGAACTAGCTTACCTGGTAATTCTGAGAATCTTCACAGGTGTGAAGGAATATCACAGATTCCCAAATGACATTCCCATGAAAATGCTATGTTCAATTACGAGCTTCAAGTGCCACCATTAGCAAATCAACGTACTCTTTAGTCGACGAAAACAACTCCGCTGGCTTTTCTGTCGTGAAAGAACCAAAACATTCGAAAAAACCTTTCCCTTTACAATGATTTTACACCTGCTCAGGATACTTCAACTTTCAATAAAAACGACAGGTCTTAAACTTCCTCTTTTCGCTTCCTTTTTTCAAACGGATCGAAATTGACATTCAGCGGAAACCTTGCATACATGGTACACGAACACGCCTAGACATTCGAACTCATAATCATGTTACTATACAATAAAAAAGACGATATACAGAGCAATTCATGGAAATTAAAAATCAGCTTTCTATGCAAAACATTAGCAAAAAAAAATAAAAAAGGTTATCTCATTCAAATGACGAAAACATAATATTCCTTAAAGAAATCGTAAGTTTTGTGCTTGGCATCTACTGTTGCTTTGTGTATTTGCATGTAATCTCGATACGTATGGTCGTTTTAAGAAACAGCGATCTCAAACAATTGCAATGGCTAAACAGTTACTATCTTAAAGTAACAGCAATTGATGTAGCCATACAATGACTAAATGAGATGATGAATCGACTAAAATTGGCCAATTCTTATTCAAAATTAGAAAATAACAGGTATATTTGCCGCTATAGACTCAGAAATACAACTTGGCAAGGCAAGCGAAAATCTACTGACGAGTGAGATATATTTAAATAGAATAAGCTGCTGCATAGAAATTACAGAAAAATTTAATGCGTTGATGTGTTTTGGATTCCAATTAGACACTAACTTCATTTGGAAGATACCATAATGCAGACACTGATTGTCAAATTGAAATACATATAGTGACAGCTTCCAATATCTTGTTCAAAGTAAACTGAAAAATTAGTTCGGCAACTTTATTACAGACCATTTTTAAGGCTGATAAATTAAAAAGTCTTCTTCAATTCATCTAGCCTTACTGACCATTGCTCGCACTCGCGCCGAACAGAGACTTGAACAAGTCGTTTCTAAAACAGAAGCAAGAACACAAGTCAAACCTAGAAAATTTCCCTTATCAAAGGCAATGTGTCCACACAGATTGTAACTGCATGTACGATCGATAAACAGCTGGTTAACTGCTAAAAAGAATTCCGCTGTTCTGTGAATTGATTAGTTTAGATGCGGCAAATTGTGCGTTGAATGGCTTAGGCCGAGCTTAACATTGTTCGAAAGTTCAACAGAAAAAAAATTGCCTTTAATAAATCTAAAGATTGGACTCAAGATTGAAAGGAAAGCAAAACGATATTATTGCAAGCGACATTAAATGGAGTTACAGACAGTCCTGTTCTACACACCAAAGGGTTAATCAATTTTTAGTTTTCCAAATGATATAAATAACATTAATTGACTCTCAAAGTCGCAATAATGAACAGTTAATCAAATAAAAACAGAGTTTTATTTTCATGATATTATAAAAGGCAATGAAAACTAGTAAGCATGAAATAATTACCTTGACTGGTCATTCATGGATCCTACGGAAACTGGTGCCATGAAGTTCAATAACTTCGAATGCACGTCGTACCTAAAAAAACATGCAAAGAGAGGTATATGGCAGATTACTTTTTGGAGAGCTATTTTGTACATTTCTATTTAAAACATAATGGAACATACTCTAAGAGACGTTCAACTATCTTTAAATTGAACTATCTTTCTATTCAAAATTTGTAAACACAATCTTAGCAGAGCATACAAGTCACCAAAGTGAACATAAATACTAGATGACATAATTGACATGATTATGATTATTACGGTTGACGATGATGATTCATGATGATGAATCGAAGAGCGCCCCTTTTTATGGAAATGACTGAGACACGTAAACAAAACTAATTCCACTATTTAGTCTTGTGAGAAAGTGTCAAAAAGGCTTCGAAGTTTGTCTGCCCTTGGACTACTTCTATGTAAATATCTATCATAAGTTTGGCATACCTTATTCTACGACCTTTGCTTGCTTTTGAGTCGATTTTCTTTTTCACTTTGCTCCTAAGTTTCTGTATTTCAAGCCATTGTCTGTTGACATAAATACATTAAGGTAAAGAAGCAAACTTGTGGCCCAATATACAAATTTTAATTTAGAAGTAAACATTCAAAATGAAAATAAACCTAGTTTCCAATACGGTGAAAATCTCAACTCATTTAAAATGAAAATATGAAGATAAAATATCGTAAACGAAATGTTATCAGTAGATTAAAATTTTAGATAATCCAAGAAACTGAAAAATGAAAATAACCAGCAAAAATTATTTGAAAAAAAATATTTTTGCTTTAAAAATTCATCCGACTCAACAATACATTTTTACACATTTCGTGTCGTAAAATTGTAGATAACAGCCCATCACCAATCAAAGAAAAAATTTCACCAAAGGCGTGGACAAATGAGCCGAAACAATTTATAAATTGAGCGAACATATACAAACCTGCCCATTGAAACTGGATCGTCAGTTGCAAGAATATTTGATTTTCTTTCAATGAATTCTTTCAAAAGCTAAAACAGACCGGAAAATGAATGATTGCCATATAAGATCGATTTTACATAATTGAAGGGACTTCAGGCGCATTCAATCAAAAAGATATTTCTATCTAAAAAAACCAAACCTGCTAAAAATTCACATTCTCGCAGGCAAAGACCGAAATTAAAGGAAAGAGTCAGGTTCTTTAAACCATAACCATTTTTCAGTCTTTACAAGAGCCACATGACCCTTATTTCAAGCAATAGGTATTAGAGATTTTTAGTACAATTTTTGATACAAAGATATAAATTTTGTATTCAAACATAATTTAATTCGAAAACATTTATAAAATTTAGAGCACTTGTATTCTATGCGATAAGTTGGTGCCCCGCCTTGGCTGAGGATATTTCCGTCATTCCGCTGCCCAACTAATTCTGAATGGGAATCAAGTTTAGTTTGGGAGGTTAAAGCAACAGGGAAGCTTTGACAGCAGCTTTAACCTGAAGCAATTAACTGCTCTCTCTTGATCTGTACTTAATCCCTCTATAGAATCTTATACAGCTTTAGCATACCTGATGATAAAAGTCATCGTCGTCAAAGATTTCAGGGTCATAGTTTTTTAAGTGCAAGTCAACATCTTCCTAAGAGGAAAAGATACATAGTCAAAATACAAACACTTCAAAAAACAAATTTTACCATTACTTAACACCTACAGCTTACAGGTGTTTTCCAGCCTTCAGTTTCAATTTCAATTCAATTCAAATTTATTCACAGAATATGAGCATACACGTAATATTATGTATAAAGGTTGTGTTCAACGAAATGAAATTTGGGGATGAAATTATTTAACACCCATCATACTCTAGATGAAGATGTCTTTGATGCCAATGAGTGTGTTCCAGTGTTTATTATTTTTATTATTATCAGGATCGCGTAAAACAGCTCTTGTCGAGAGGCAAATAAGCAGGAACGTACCATTGCTTCTTCAGTGGGATTGTCTTGATATTTTTTACCAAGAGTGCGATATATGCTTCGTTTCAACTGCGTTCGCTTGATCAGACGCTCCTTTTCAGACATTATCTGTCAAAGAAAAACAAATTTTAGCTGCGAGGATAGCTAAGAGGCAAGGGACGCTGACTACAGACCTAATGTTCTGTGGCTCGAGCCTGTGTCGTGACCAAACCCTCACTCGGAGTGAGGAGAGATGCCAGCTCTCAGTATTTCCAGGCATACGAATCACAAGATGTGGTTACGTCGAGAGGAAGAGCCAGGACACTGCATGATAAGAACAGCTTCTCGGTGTCCTAAAAACTACCTCCGAAAACTAGGCAGCAAACACAAATATACTACGAAAAACGGAAAAATATATTTTGACTCTAAGTAAGAGATCATTAAGCATTTCTCTGCAAACATTAACTAAATGAAACTCCAGTGAAAGAAAGATCAAATAAACGACAGTTTAGTATCAGTAAAAAAAAGATGATTTTAACTCTACATTTCAGGTAAGATTGCAGGATCTAAAAGTTTCCCATTTGAAAAAGAATTTTGTAAGAAAACCAAGCTGTTTCGAATGCAATTGATAAAGTTACACTAACCTGTGTAATTTGCTTGATGATCGAACGGTCAAATGAAGAGAAGTTCTAAAATAGAATCAATGCTGCAATGATAAGGAAAACTCTCGCTATTTAGGGAAAAAGACAGTGGCGGCTGGTGGTCCTAGAAGTTGGTGGGGCAAGAACAGACATTTTTTTTCATACTTCATGTTGCTAGGGAGCATGCTTAGAATACTTTGAGAGGGCAAGGTATGAAAGACTTTGAATGCATTCTTACTGGTGGCTAAACCATGATTGGATAGAGAAAAATCATATTGCTTTATAAAGTTGTTTGATAAAGATTTTTGGCAGAAAATTTTTTTGAAGCTTTTGTTATTAATAATAATCATGGCAGGGAGTAATTTTGAAACAAATTTATCCAATTAACAAGCATTGTCGGTAAGATTTAATTATGAGCAGCAATTCATAATTAGAACATGAAATTATCAAACTTTGTATGAAGGTATACTAAAAAACAATGATTAAAATCAACAAAACAATCCAGTAAAATTTGATCGAGTGAAGAAAAACAATGAACTTTTAAACACTAAATATTATAGCCATTCAAACAGAACAGAGATATTGCCAAGTCTAAAAGGTCCTTCATTAATTTATATAATTCACAAATTGAATAAAAATTCAAGAAAAAACAATCACTTAAACAAAAAGTTTGCTCTTCTATTTTTCAAGTTTGCAAAATTGTCCACGACAGAGTTATTGAAGTTTATGGACTCTCTGATTAGCCTTTTTTCCATTGAAAGCATGGCTAAAGCATTGAGCCTGTCTTCGGACATTGTATTTCTTAAGAATGTTTTTACCCTCTTTAGGGTAGAAAAGCATCTTTCAGCTTCACATGAAGACATAGGTGTGGTTATCAATATCTTCAAAAGCTTCACCACTTCAGAAAATGTCCCAGCAAGATTGCTCTCTTCAATTAACTGAAGCAAGGCTAGGGCTCCACAGCATTCTCTAAACTCCATTCTAGAGTATATAACCCCTAGCTCTGATTTGAGCTTTCCTTCATCTAGTATGGGATATGATTCAACAGTCTGTGTTAGAATTTGGCAGGGAAAATTCTTTTCAAATTTGGCAAATGATCCACTATCAAGAAGATTTGCTGCTATCAGATGACCAGTAAAGTGAAACCGAGTGCAACAAAATGAAATAATTATATCACATACTTCATGGAGTATACATGATTTATCAGCACTTGAATTTCCAACTCTTGGTCTCTTGGCACTGGGACTTGTTGTCATAACAGTATCAATGATAATGTGGATTCTACTCCTCTCCTTGTTAATTGCATCAACAAAACTGGTAATGCAGTTCTTGATAAATGTTGGGTCTACCTGGCGCTTTTGCAGCTGAGCAAATAAAATTTCAACATGGGGAAAGACCCTTTGAAAAAACTCAAGAAAGAGAATGAAATTGTTGTCCTGCAGCCAATGAAGAAGCCCACTTGCTTCTCTAATTGTGTGTTGGTCACCATTCCAATTTGCAATTATGTCCTGAAAGCATTCAACCAGATCATTTTGATATCTGTAAACAGTATCAATAATCCTGCTTTGAAAATTCCATCTTGTTTGAGCAGATCTTGGGATTCTCCTTGCAACATACTTATCCAGGTACTCTACTCGTTTAGGAGAGCGAGAGAAAAAGACAGAAAAGCCATTAAGGTTTGCAAAGAAAAGTCTAATTTGTGAAATTTGAGATACTGCCTGCTGTAGAATAAGATTCAGCTGGTGTGCATAGCAATGTACATAATGAGCATTTGCATATGATTGTTTAACTATAGTTTGCACACCATTGTTACAACCACTCATTACTGCAGCACCATCATAGCATTGAGCTATAAGTTTTTGTTTGTCTTCAGGATTAGGGAGAACTTCTTCTAAAGAAGCAATAATTCTTGAAGATATTGTGTTGGCATCTCCTTGTGGTAGAGTACTGAATGACCAGAATCTTTCGACAACTGTTTTATCTTTAATGTATCTAAACACAACAACATTTTGCGACTGATTGGAAACATCTGTGGTATCATCAGATACAACAGCTAAAAAGTCTGCCTCTTTTATTTCTTGTTTAATAACATCTTTGCAGATATTCAGCATGATATCCAGTAACTCATTTTGGACTGTTTTTGATGTCCCTTTGAACACTGTGGCTGTCTCTAAGTGCTTACTAAGAACAGAATCAAGGGCAGCTGCAAAATCAACAAGTCCTAGAAATACTCCAGGATTATCTGAATCGCTTGTCTCATCATGACCACGCAGTGCAAGTTCGAATGCCCCACAGAATTTTATACAATCTATGAGCTTTGAGAGAACATGACGATTTTTTTCAACCTCCATATTGTGGCGTTGCTTTGTGGCACGGTAGGCCTCGCTTAGCTGTTCAGCAATGTTATTCCGTCCAAAAAATGCCAACTTTAAACAATTGTCTACATGACGTCCACACATAACATGCTTTTTTACTTTTTCAGAAAAATGTTTCCAGTCATTAACACCTTTCTTGGTCCATGCTTTCTCGCGCTGAGATTTGCCGAATAGAAGGCAAGGGAAGCAATAAACTTTTTGTGTCTGACTGCATCCTGTGAGCCATTCATACCTTGTGTACCAACTTGTTGAGAATTTCCGCGACGAAGCTGAAGATTGAGATCTCAAGAGTTCTGGTCTGTCTGGTCCAAGACGCTTGATTTCTATTTTTTCTTGCTGTGTTAACCGTGAAAACGGGCGAATTTTGATGTTACTGACTGTATTCATTCCAATACAATAGGCCTAAACCGGCTTATGTGTGGCAAAAGTCTACATCAATGTGTTTGACGATAATATGGTGGCCTTAAGAAACAATATTTAAAGTACATGTAAAAATCTGCTGCTCATGTAAGCAACTCGACGAACAACTGCCACAGAAAATTGGCCTATGAAGCAAGCTACCACCGAGTCTCCGAGTGTTAAGCTTAGAACGGTGAAATACAACACGCCTGTGTTAGGATGTGGTTGTTGTTGGCGATGGAGGGGCCGAAAAAATTCTTGCCCATTTTCGGCCAGAATCAGCCAATCGCTGTTCGGTTGACATCATATAAACACTCTTATACGCATGCTCCAAGCTGCCTAGGAAGGGCAGAATCGATTTTGCCCTCCCTGCGCAGATTGTGCTAAAACACTAAGTGCCATTGACAGATTTGATGTCTTTCATGCGTTAAATTTGGAGTTTTCTCGATTTTTGTGAATAACATGAGCTTTGATGTTATAATTTACAATAAAGAAACATTAAATTCACAGAAAAACGACAGTTAAAAACAATTTTCTTCTGAAAACTTTTGGTGGGGCATTGCCCTCGATGCCCAATAGGACGAGCCGCCACTGGAAAAAGATAAGGCTACAACATAATGAAAATTTTGTTTTGAAAAAGCAAAGTGCATGATGGGGCAGCACAAGGCAAGATATATGCCTTTTTACTCTGTGTACAAAAGCATCACCATGGGGTGCAGAGATGAAGTGCAGCTGTGGTTTGCAGATGAGGAGAGAAAAAAGAGTAGATGCTTTTTAAAAACAGACGACATTTCCCCGGAATAATTTAGTAAAAAAAGCCATAAATTAATGCTACTGATTCTTTGAGCTCTTTACAGTGATATGATTTATATAACAGCTGTAAAATCATACCATTTGACATAACAGCGACATAAAAAATCTGAATATTTAATTCAAAAAATTTCTCATTAAAATACTAGCACCACATTCGAAATATTCACTTAATCAACAGGGATTATAAGCCATTAAATGTTCTAGAAGTTTCCCACAAAGTTAAGAAGGATATAAAAAATTTATAATAAGAAATAATTACATATTTTAGAAAGATGTAAAGTTTGTTTACCCTATTCTTTTGCTTTCCATAGCTTGTTTTTGTTTTCTCATCCCATTTGGCAATAGTTTCATCAACAAAAGGCTGGAAGCTTTTGTGTCTGTTTGAAACTTCTTTTTCATACTCTGCAATTGTCTATGACAAAAAATAAATGAATAGCTTCTTAAAACCTGTATATACCAGCAAGGAATGTCTTAAAAAATAATGGCAAAGGAAGCAAAATTACTGGAAGTAACAGAAAAACATGATAAAAAATTAGCTATTACAAAAACTTGAAAAATACATCAAGACAAATAGTGCACTCATCAGTGAGTAGTAAGTAGAGGCACGAATTTGTACCTGTTTCAGTTTTGTTGTTTTTTTCATTGAAACAGTTGTAGTTTCTCTACCATTAGATTTATCAATGCTCTGTTTTTGGACAAGTTTCTCATCATTGTCAATATCAGTGTCACTGTCAATTTCTTCATCACTTGCTTCAGCACCAGTTTTAATCCCATCTTGTGAAGCTATTGTCTTGTCACTGCTAAAGAGCTTTGACTGGAGTGACAGCAGCTCATCAATGGCAACTACTAGTTGCCTTCTTACTGAAAAACAATAACTCGTGCATAATTCTTTTTGATCACCCGAGCTTTGACAAAGCATAGATTTATTTTATCACCATTTGGTATATAAACCTGTTAATCATTCTCTCTTGGTAACAGCAAGCTTTATATTGTGTAGCCTGACCTTACAAGCTGTATAGCAACAATTAATGTATGCTGCATTTGGACAGACAACTTCCAAACAGGAGAGCCCAGGAAAAGAAACCTACACCTTATAACATAATGCAATTTTTCTGCTGTAGTTAAAAGCCCTCAAAAAGACAAAAACAAACTTTGAATAACTCTTCTCCATATTAATTAGATGCACAATGACATTAACTACATAAAAAAACTAAAACATTGCAGCTTATCAGATGAATGTATGTATACATAGCAAAGCAACCAAATATGAATGAAGTTACCATCTTTTTTCATTTTCAGAACATCTGGGCCCCCAGCAATCTCAAAATCTTTCATTTCTTGACCTTGTGGGTACTTATTTGCAAACTGAACACATCTCTGCAATTTGATACGAATTTCCAAGAACTTTTCCCATATTCCTGGATAGAAATGAATTGGAACATTAAAGCACAAGCAATTTTGCTATTAGCACAGTAGTGCCACCACAATGAGCTTTTCTGGGCTTCCTACTCTGGTCAAAAATATATTTCAAATAATAATTCTTGAAGAAATAGACAAACACATACTTTGTATGGGTAATTCATAACGTTCTTATACTCCCTAATGAAACACTCATCAATAGGGAATCTGTATCCCAGTTTTGACTATAAATGTGTATACATCTGCACAGTTATGGAGGGATAACTGAAGAGCATCTGGCCTAAAGGTTTACATGAGAACATGATGCTTCTTTTCAATAAGAAAAATATATAGGAAGACAATATGACAGACAATACTTAAAGAGAATACTTATGAGCTATTTATATTTCGCTGTGGAGAAAAATTATTTACATTTCTATCCTACTTTGGAGTAACCTCTGAGAAAAATATACTGACCAATTGAAGTGAAGATTTTTTACTATATTCACTTACAGGGGTGAGTCCATTGGCTTAAAACAACAATTTATTGAGGATCTTCTGATCTCTTGAAGCATTATTATGTCATAAAGAAGAAAGAAGGTCTATAGAAAACCTATTTTAAGGGGACCAAGCAGCCCATATTGATGTATAGCTTTTGGAAATGAAAGTGAATTAGTGTAAATTTCTGCATTATAAATTCAAAATCATTATCAAAATGTGACATTTTCAACAGAATTTAGTAAAGTTAATTTTCAGTTCATTAATGTTATGTTAAAACTCTAGGGAAAATGGTATATAATGAATACATTTACAATTACCAAGTTGGTTTGATACTGCCTTTCCTTTCAAGGCATCATTCTCTGCTAATTTAAGAAGCTGATTTTCAGCTGATTGTTCTCCTTCCATTGATTCATCCTCATATTGATCCAAAGACTCCTTCACCAGACCTCTATTTTCTGCATCATCATTTTCTGCATCTGCATTAAAGGATATGTATAAATTACATTTAATCCATCATGATATAGTCCAACCTCTATATAGAAGCTGAGTTTCTTTAACACTTAACTGCAAAACTGATCAATGACCTAAGCTATTCCCTGCAGACTTAAAGCCAAAATCAGACAATTGGTAACTTATCTTTAAACATCACCATCTCAGTTCAGTTAGCACAGATCTTTCTTGATAAATAGCACTGACAAGTGGACAGCATATTATCAAATATCGCACTGATTCACACATACCAGTCTAAAAAATTCCACTAGTAGATATGAAGGGTAGGTTTACTTAGTCAGTTGATAATGACCTCTTTTAGTTTAAATCTAAGTCACATTTCTGTTTCAGATGTCGACGTATTCTCCAAAAAAATTGGAAAAGTCCTAAAGATTAACAAAATAAAAGTTAAGGTTAAACATCCACCTTTTTGAAAGCCATGACTATTAACACCCCCATTACTACCATCACCAACATCACAATCACTGACATAATCATCACTATCATTATCAAAATCATCTGCATCATTCAAATCATCATCTTCGTCATCGTCATTTTCCTCGGGGCCATAGTCATCTTCATTTTCGCTCTCGGATTCACCTTCACAAACTGTTTCACGTAAAGGTAATCCTTCCTCATTTTGTAATTCACTCCTTGAAACTTTAACTCCTTTGTATCTATGATCGCTAATTAACGATTCATTTGCCCGTTTTCGAAGGCTACCAAACAGGTTGACACTTGCTTCAACCGGCGCTTCCTCTTCTTGATCATTGCCTGTTTCTTTAAAATTCGTGATCACCCGAGCTGCAGTAAGTGAGCCAGCATCATCCTCTGGATCGAAGGAGCCGGGTTTTGGATTTTCAAGTTCACGAAGTTGTTCCCGAATTGACGCCATCAAATTAATGTTTCCCTTCACAAAACCTTAGGCCTAACACGTGAAGATCCAAATGAGTTAAATGAGTTGAATTGATAGCAGTTTGTGGTTGCTGCTCGCCAGGCTGGACAATTGACTTTACAAGGAGCGACCTGCGAGCAGATCCGTAAAAAGATGTGAGCTGCGAGCTAAAATATATATATTTGTTAGGTGCGATATTTTGAAACTAAAAAAAAAATTTCATGTAGTTTCTCTAAAAACCGACAATAGGTTTTTGGTACCGCAAAATTTGAAGGCTTTTTTAAATCTTCTATTATTAGACATATTAAATATTATCTAAAATCTCTAATAATAAATATCTAAAAACATATTAAATATTATAATTAGAGACTATTTTTCGCCCGATACATTTCAAAGTATAAACCTCGAATAATGACCGAAAGTAAGCTGAAAGTGTGGATCGAAAGTAACGTGAGAGGAAGAAAGATGCGTTTGATTGGTCAATTTGTTTCTACCAATCCGTGACCGCCTAACCGCCTTGTCCTTCATTTTACTTATTCTCACTTGTTCAGAATTTTGTTGCATAACATTAATTTTAGATTTCACTAGAGAGTAATTACAACTTGTAATTTATGTCAAATTAGTTTTATATTAAAGAGAAAAAAAGATAAGTGTGTAGTTGCTAGAGAATTCAAGGCAAATCGTATTTTTGCCCTTAATATTTCAGAAGTTGAAAATTCAACCATTGTAGTGATCGTAAGTTTGCTCATCCATCATTGCATCAAAAAGAGAGACTGAATAAGTTAGTCTAGCCAGACAGCCCTTGGAGTAAATCTTTATTTGTAGATTGTAGATTAGTAATCTTTCTGTTTATTGACTACAATTTTTTTAAGAACCAATAGATTGAAGTTCAGACTGGCTGTTCTTAAATTTAAAGAAAATTTTGAGGCCGGATTTTTTTTGTTAAACTATTTAGGTGTAAGCAGTGCAATTGCTAGCTTTATATAGTGAGTCTGGTACCCAGGGTACTCTAGCTAGTGCGTGCTAGGAAGGTGATAACGGCCTCTTCTGCCAACAAAGTGAGGGGCCTTTATTTGGCGACAAGTTTGAAAATTTACCGAAAAAACACCCCTAGATTGCAAAAATCTCTTCGTTTTTGAAAGGAAACAATTGTTAAAAACTACATTTTACAGTAGCTCAGCCTCAGCCTGTTATTAATTTTCTCTTAGTTTTTGACCAGTTTTGAGGTTCATGTTATTATAAATTTGTTCTTATAACAACGCGGATGATACAGAACACGCATAGCGAGAAAATTGCACGATAATCTTTAGAACAAAAATTAATTTTAAGTTACTGGAACTGTTACTGAAATTCAAAAGGAATGCCTACTAAGGTAAACGAGCCTGGACCGCGAGAATTTTTTTTTGCGCTGTATGTTCGAGTGAGGCGTTGGTTGGTTGCGAGTTTGAAAGCCTAAATTGCTGCGTAGCTGCGAGTGAGTGGAAGTTTTCCAACCTGGGCTACACGCCTGATCTGATGCACCGAAGGTTCTCACGGCTCATCACCTCTGAATAATTTTGAAAATCTTCTCTACTCAACCCCAGATTTATTATTCAAATCATAAAATACACTTTCCAATTCCTTCCAAGATAAAGTTTTGTGCTTTCGTTTTCCAGTAGCGTATGGATCTTTCAAATGGACCCTCTTGAATAATTTGACTAGGAAATTCGCATTTTCCTGTATAATTCAAATGGTCAAGAATTTTTCGAATTCTTTTCTTTGGCTGGGGCAAAACTACAAGAATCAAAATCTGTGCGCTCTCTGTAAGGAAAAAAAGTCTGAAATGTCCGTTTTACATGAAATACACGAACAGCCAGTAAAATATGATATCTGTTACTGTTGGAATGGATAAAACAAGCAGATCAGAGAAGGAGATGAGATGTTCCTCACATTCGGCAATGTATCCAACGTAGTACGCCCACTCTGAGTCATACAGTATGTATATGATCATTCTAAATGAATTTTGCAAAAGGCTTCTTTAATTATGTTTTATAAAGTCATACAATTAGATTTCAAAAATGGTCTACTTTTTATAGTAAAGTGTCATTAAACATACTCCAAGATGCCAAGAAAAGTTCATACCAGAAGAAGCAGATATTTTTGCACGGGAATATAAATAAAAGTCACAAAACGTTTTCAAAAACATTTTTAATCGCATTGAAAGAGGCCACACAAAAAGATTTTCGATAACTATTATTATTTTGTTTTGCGAACAATCTGCCTTTGTAACACAAGTTCTTCATTTAGATACTCATAATCTACTATAATAGACGCGTAAAGAGCGATTAAATTGGATTTCCAGGTCTCTACTTAAACTTCATGGCTTAAAGCAAACCATTCTTTCGTACATTTGCTGGGAAGACAGTTCACAAATAAATAACAGCATATCAAAGGCAAGGTGTTTCAAAATACCAATAACATACAATAATACGCTTATTTACTTTTATGCATAGGAGTAACATGCAACATAGCAAATTACATAAAGGAGCCAAAAACAAATTCTTATTTGAAAATGGCTTTGAAAAAAGCAAACATTAATTAATTGAAAAAAGCGTAGAGTTTTCGATCTATGTTCTGACGTTTTAAACTCTGAAGAGTGTCAGACGAAAAGCTTGAGTTTACTAAATGTTTGCTTTTTTCAAAGCCTTTTTCAAGTTTTGTACCACCAAAAAATTCTTATTTATAAATAAAGAACAGTGTTTGAAAGCAGATATCCAGCAAATCGCGGCCATAAATTAGTGTCACACCAATCAAATAAGCGAGGCTTGATTGACTCTATTCCTCTTTGATAATTATGGATATTTCAGAGGTTTGTAATTGGAAAATAACATTCAACCAACAAGAAATGAAATGATAACATGCTATATTTGAATAAGAAGATAAAATTGTAAAACTTTTAGTTCACGACTTATAAAAGTACAGTTTAACTACGTATAAAAGCCATATGAAGAGCATTATTCATGTAAAAAACGCACGGTGACATCGTAAATGATAATTGAAGTTTCTCTAGGCCAAAGGAATTAAACAAGCGTTATAAAAATCTAGAGGATAGGGTCTTATATGGGTTGAGTAAGCAAAAGATAAAATTTCAATGAAGATGTATTGAAAAAAATTCCAAAAAATTTGACGAAAAAGTGTTTAAGAAGATATGCTTTTTCTCTCTAACCATAATAATGAAAAGTTGATGTCTTTGTACTGGGAAATGTGGGATGCCTTTTGTATTTAAATGTTCTCTATTCCGTAATTATACAAAATTTCAGCCTTTATCGCCAGACTATTAATTAAGTCTAAAACTTTATTGATTTCCTGAAGCCAACCTGGATCGATATCTTGGTGAACAAGGACTGGGCCAACTGAAAATTAAGAACAGAATGATTTATAGAATCAGTGATCATTAGGAACGAGATTTGCTGATAGGGTTCACAGTATACACCTTTTCAACTATTAACGGCGCATCGGAAAAAATATTCTAGCAGACTTTAGAACGCATCGAGAAAGTTTCCCATTAACAAGAGGATAATGGTTCCATAAGATCATTTAATTTCATTGTCAACAAATGTTACCGATTCAGATCGACTGGATAGGCTAGATTTTTTGGGCATACAAGATATATAAAATTTAATACCGAGAGCCTCAAATAGTTAATTCAAAAAATCTTCAAGAAACATTTCCAATATATTATAGTACTAACCGCTTTAAACCCGATCTATCTTTCATCAAAACTAGTATTTAATGCTATATAGAGCAGGATTTGTGAAAATATACTGAGGGCATGTTTGAGCGCGTGGCACGGGCAGGGCAGGACATTTTAATCGTTGGTCTAAAAACTGAGTGAGGTATCTGAATATTTCAGCTTGAAAAAAGTAAATTCTTATCAAAAAAAAGTATTTTGTTGATAAACATTATTTTTCATTCTATTGCAAAACATCAGATGCCCAGCAACGTACCAAAGTTAAGATCTTTAGAAAAAATTTGTGTCATTAAAATCTATCCAGGTGGAATTTATGACTCTGAATGGACCTTAGTTTTATGAAACTAGATAAAAGCTCGTATAACGATAAAAATGAAATACCTGAGCTGCTTATCGTCCGGATACGTCCGGACATTTTCCATCCATTTGTGCAGGTATGGGAAATCTTTATGGTTATATTCAACACCGTCCAGAGCTTGAAACACGTCAAAGTCCAGTTTTGAAGGATATGGGCTGAAACAACATAAACTATGATTTTTAAAACATGGGTAAAAACTATTGGGGTGGGTTGGGAGGGCAACGTGGTCTAGGATGTTTGCACCTGGAGAAAAGATGAGAAAAGACCGCTCAAACAAGATAACTGGAAAATCTATTGCCCTCACCTCATCACTTAAAAAGTAAGGCAGGGAAATTGCAAAGAAATTAATGTTGTAGAGACCTTGCAAAGAAGAACAAACTATTCAATAAAAATCTTAAGCAACTAAAGTTAAAAACCTACGTTTTAGATTTCAAGCAAAAAACTGCAAATCGCAAGTTGAAATTGCAAAAAACTTACCCTGCTATAAAAAAGTTTTTGCAAATTTCACTCTCTTCCATGAAAGAAGATCCTATCTCAGGCTTTTTTGAGCTAACTTCTATGTTAGGTATAATCGAATGCTGATCAGGCGAGTCTGTCAATATTAAAGGTGGAGATAAGCTATCCAAGCTTTGACAAAATTCACCTCTATTTGCATTATAAGTCATGATCGTAGAACTATCTTTGATGTCAGTGGAGTCCCTATCACTCATCGAAAGATTAGAAATCGAATCTGTAAGTTCATTCACGTTCAAGGAAATTTCAGCTTTTTCTGATATGGGCACTCTGGGCTCTTGAAGCTCAACTTCCATGGAATCTGACAAAAGACTCTCCTTGTTGCCAACTTCCTGGTTAAAGTCATCAAGCAAGCTTCTCGCAAATAAATCATGGTCTGTAGTGCTCTCTAAACTTCGATTCAGCAGTGATCGTTTCCTCAAAGAAGATTCTGATACTGGAATCCTCTTTGGCACTGTATGCCTTTTCAACTGAATGCAATTCTTAAAATAATTTTCAAGTTTCTGGAGACCTGCCGGTGAAGATAAATTAGCAAAGCTTTGCAGAAAAGGCCAATACTCGGTCCAAGCCACGCCATGCTTCTTAGAGAGATCCCTAGCAGATAAAAGAAGGAAAAAATATATAGCACTAATCTATATATGATCAACAGTTGTCCGATGATCTTATTAAACATGAAACTCGGAGTAGCAACTTAGAACTGTCATGTTCTATACACCAAAAGCGTGTACAGCTCTGCCGATGCGACACAGAACACTTTACGACAGACCGGCAAACAGTAATTTTCATTAGCACTGATTTACATACACCAGTTATAAATTGAAAGAACTCCTAGCGGACTTCAGAATATCATAAAAATACAAATCTAATTAAAAGATATTCGTAAAGAAAAACTCTAGTAAGAAAAATTATTTTTTCTTAAAGGAAACGCAAGACGATCAATACTCAAAGGAAAACCTGTGCAAAATCCCCAGGAAATAAATCTAAGATTATACATCAAGAATACTTCCAATGACATGGTATTATAGATTCAGTTTGAAAAAAGTGATATTATTAAAACGTGTTTCACGATTACCGCCCAACCCTCTCTTTTCCTTTTTCGAAATCCTTGGCAAAAATGCTCCTGTTAGGCGACTTCCACTCTTTACATTTCCACTCTTCAAAGAACACATTGGCCTAGAAATTATAAGGCCTTTGCTTTAGTTCTGAAAACAACTCAGAAAACAAAAGTGCCACTAAAATTCAGATGAATGAAACGACGGCCTTACATGAATTAATTTTGCTTCAATAGTCTTGGCTATTCAAAATCGAAATTCACTTTGGAGAACCCAAATGTGATGGAATCTAAAAAAAGTGGGGTCGAACCAGTATAGTCGCACAGTGACAAAAAAGAAATGTTAAAGAAGGTAATCAACAGGTACTTAATTGCCTTAAGCAATCTTTAAATCACAATTGGCCAATCAATAAGTGTGTCAGTCGTGTCACGATTATTGGTTGGCTTAAGCCACATTACTATATGTCCACTGCCTTCAGCGTTCGGGCCTCTTAAAGTACTATATTGAATGTAAAAACTATTTTGCTTGCTTGTTATTCTACCAAAATATATTTTCTTAAAAACTTAGAAGGCTTATCAGCCATTTTGTATTCTTAGCAAAGTTCGTCAAAATTGTACCTGATCTGATTGAATCACAGTTGCAAAGTTCATTATCTATAGGAAGAGACTTGGCTCAAATATATTATCTCCCTGAATTCATATTTGTTGCTTAAAAGACATTGTCACAAACCACTATATTTTAAATAAAGAAAATACCTTATTTTTAGTCATTGGTCCAGCAAATGCGCCAACCTTCATTGTTGAGTCAAGCGGACTGGAGGACGAATTCAGGTTGTGTTTTTTTACAGCTTCCATAGATGAGGATACTGGTGCACAGATAATAGGATCCCTAGTGTCATCTTCTGTTCTCAGTAAAGTGATATAAAATTTTGCTGTAAAAGTGGAAGATGTGTTTAAACAAACCTGAGGTCCATAAAATGAGGCTCATGTTAATAAAGTGAGGAATATAGAAAACGTTAGGCCAAATATAGAAATAATATATCTTAGGATAGTATTATTTATCCAGAAAAGTTTGAGCTGTTGCTGTTTAGAATATTTTTAGATAGGTCAAAAAAATTAATTTTAATCTGTCTTCCTAAAATACACTTTGGTGTCATCTTCATTTTATGTATCATTGATGTACCTGTAAAATGGTTAAAACTTTGTTCAAAACGTTTTGAATGTTAACATGGAGTTATGTGCTATTGCTTCTTTGTTTATGCATTTGATCTGCATTAGGTTGTGATTAATATATATTGTATGTAGTGTTGTATTAATGTATGTCATATAAATTTTAAAATATGAAACTGAAACTGAATAACTTGTGCAATTACAGGTGGAAAGATTTAAATACTACTGGAAGACTACATAAACTCTTCAAAGAGAAGCTACAAATGATTTTGTCATCATGAATGATAAGTGAAAATCACACTCTTACAAAGAGTGGGAAGATAGTCATAATGATCTGTTCCTGGATCTTATGTGATGTGTGCCTGGATTTTATGCGATCTGTTCCTAGATTTTATGTGATCTGTTCCTAATGCTAGATTAAGTGCTATAAACATTTGGATTTGAACAAATTATAGAGGGTGAAATATGGTAATATGGTCTTGTACATGAATGCAGCTTATTCTTGATGAAATACGGTAATTACAACTTGTTCATCCCCAACCTGTTCAGCTATGATTTTTGTTGATCAGGAAAAGACATACTTGATAAAAGATCCTCTATTTCCTTCTTTTTCTGGCTTTCATTTCCAGAGCAACGTGAACAAATAACCTAGTACAAAGATTTAGCAAAGGGGTTAGGAACATGATTGATTGTGATTTTGTTCAAAGATCAAAGGAAATATTTAGAAAGCTTTCAAAGGCAGGAACAAAACACAGACAAAAAATATGGAAATGCCTTGATATAGCTATACATATTGTCAAACAAAAAGTGTACAAGACATGTCTAGTTGTAAATCAATTTAACAAAAATGATATAACCCTTAGCTGGAATGTCAGACACACCTGGTCTGGTGCTTCTTCAAATCTATTCTTCTTGTATCTATCCACACAAGGTAGAGAAACAATATACCTGACAATGTCAGCATATCCAAACCTACATGCCATATGTAAGGGTGTATCTCCAGCCTGAAAACAGTTTTGAAGATCAAATACTAACAAATATAAACTTTGTAAACTAATGTAAATGTAAATTTTTAAATTTAAATTTGGCAATATCAGTGACAAATTGAAGAGCTCCCAATCAAAACAATGTTTACAAAATTAATGCTTTGTTATGCTACTTTATCACAAAAATTTAACACTATGCAATAGCTCATCCAAACACTACATACCATAAATCCTCACCTTGGGGCTTATCTATTTTTGTTCCAAGTACAGATTATTGTAATAAGCTAAATGATATATGATAATGGTTAAGGTGATAATTGCAAAAAAGCATCTAAATAACTTTCATACATGTTACAAATCAAGGTATGCTCCATTTGGAAGGACTTGCATCAATTTAATCTCACATTTATAAACATTTCCAAATTATATTTTCATTACAGTTTCTCCTAACAAATTTTTGTTAATTCTCAGATTGTTAATTCAAACCAAACATAACAGACACCTCTATACAATAACTTACTATTTTTATGGCTCAATAATACAAATATAAATCTTGAAAAATAAATAAAAAGGGAAACACTTAAGTGGTTTTGCTTTAGAACTGATCTTGTTAAAATTACTTCTAACTTTGTTCAACATTACTTACCCCTTTGTCGGATGTGTTGAGATAATAGTCGACCATTCTTTCACATTTAGCATCCAGTGCTTCTAGGCTTGTTTCATTTGGAAATAGTTTTTTCCATAATTCAGGGTCCTGCACATTCTGCAAAATGAGCTTAAACATCTCTAACTGATTGGCCTTAGCAGCTACATGTAATGCATTGTAGCGGCAGCCTTCCTGTAGAATAACAGGGACTTCAATTGTGGAAACAAGATATGTTGGGTTCTCATCAATAAAACTCTGCACTTGTTCTAATTTTCCACATTCAACTGCATTTCTGAATACCACCAGCTCTTGAGGTTTTGGGCTCTTGTATTCAATTTTTGATTCACCTGGTTTGACATCTCCATTGAGTTTAGAAAACTCTAAATTATCACACTTTGTAAAATTGACTGCTGCTTCTTTGCAACTGAACTTGCGAAGACGGGCTTGTCTTAAACCTTTCATTGCAGAAGAAGCATCCTTAAGAGATGTAAATACTAAGTCTTTATGAGTGGTTTCCTTGTCTTTAGGAGTACATACAGCATAATAAACAACATCAATGTCGTTTTCACTTTCTTCTTTGCTTGACTGTGGTGATACACTATGTGACAAAGGACTCTTTACTTCTTTAAAACTGATATTCTGATCTTCAGGTGGGGTTGGGTTTTCAGCTGGCTATAAAATATGTCAGATAAAAAATTTTGTTTTCTGGTCATCTATTTGAAAAAGGAATCTATTCTTACACAAGGATATAGAGATATTTTTCTGTTCAAAATTAAGACATGATCACCAACATCATAAATTGCTGATTTCATGTTCTTTCATGCAATCATGTTACTCATAAGAATGTTTAACAAGATATTATTGCCTTCTTTATCAGCTGGCACTTCTAGCATAAGCTTTTACAAACTATTACAAACCATTCCAGTTTTAAAGCTACCATATTAGATCATTTACACTTACGTTCAAAAAGTATTGTGACACCCTTCGAAACATTTTATGCAACAAATTTGGTATGAATCCTTACCAGACATCGTGTTGTCATGTAAAAAGAAGCTAAATAATGGAACATAAGCAAAAACATGGCTATAAAAGTCATGAAAAATACAAATTTTCCAGTGTTATATAAAGAAAATGCTCTCTCAAAGCAAAAATTAATCATCGACGATGAGTACAATGGCTTCTCCTTTAATGTTACACAATTTTAAAAGTAGCTTGAATATATGCAATAATTTAATAAAATTGTAGCATTTTTGTCGATGAAGATAACTTTTTTTGAAGCTTAAAAGTTTGATTTTATAATTTCTTTTACAATTTTTTTTGTTATGCAAACGTGAAATTGAAAAGTTGTATTTGTTTGGACATCTCTAAGATTTTTGGAAGGTCATGTGACTTTGCCATTGTTAGGCCATCAACCCTTCTGCATATTTTGCTGTTATAATCAGGAAAATCGAAAAAATCCTGTGTTTTCTTGGTTATGCTTCATAAGTTGAAGCATTTTGTTAACTTGTTATTCCATTTTGGGGAAACTTAGGCCTAGATTATTTGTAGAAAGACTGCCCAAATCTGAAAAAGCTTCCGTTGCAAAACCGAATCCAACGGAACGCCATAATTCGTTTATCGAATTCGTCCCAATACTTTTTGAACGTAAGTGTATATGCATTCATACTCAGTTCACCTATTTATACTCTGATATTAGATCAGCTATAAATATTTCACTGCACTATTTTCTGCGGCTCCGGACCACCACTGATGATAATTTACCTCGTTCTTTGTAAAATGTTTGCGAAGTCGCTTTTCAAATAGTTTTCTTGTTGCTTTTGTAATTGCACCACCCTTGAAACCACACTCCTTTAGTTTGGCACACAGCTCAGCGTCTGATAAACTGCTGATTTCGTCCATAATGCACTTGCTTCTTTGGTAACTACGTTTTTCTTTTCTTCATATTAAAATTCCCTCCAAATCGAACGCAACGAATCAAGCTTTTGAATTTGCTGAGGTGAATTGTAGAAGTCGTATTGTTGTTGCTGTGGCTGTTGTTGTATGTTGTCGTTGTACGTTTTCACACTGGTCAGTGACGTTTTCACTGCTCTTAACCATCAGTGCCAACCATAGAGATTATCCTATCTTTACGTTCCTAACGCTATGGATTTAAGTATTATTCCTTGAAATAATAATTTGCTCAAAGATAAACGTTTCTTTTATGTGACTTTCGTTGTTTCTGCATGAAAGAGACTGACACAACCACGATGCTGTGTATCCTTGCAATGAAACATCAGCCGGTCATGATGGCCAATCCTTATGGGGGTGGAAAAATTGTGGAAACGATATCTACTAAGATACTAACGGCAGATACTATCATTTGGGAAAATTGTGGTAATCAAATGAAATAAAGGTAGAGACACAAGGTGATTAGCATGATTTATATAGAGCTGCTGACAAAAATGATGGAAATAATCTCTTAAAATTAAACTTTGGTTCTTATACGGGGAAATTAGCAAATATTTCAGTCACTTGGGAGTTTGTGGCTGTGGAGGTACTCAAAAAGGGTTTTAAAATCAATGAAACCCCTTCCCTTCTTGGCTGTCATCAAAGACAGTAGTTATTGCTTGTTTTGCGTCCCTGGATCAAAAGTCAATCAACTGATCCTAACTTTGACCTTCTCTTCACTAACACATTTGATTAAACAACGGAAGCAAGCAAATTGTATGTCAAATACGAGGCATCATGTTAGAAAAAATCATGTAAGCTTTTATTTACTCTGGTTTTGCTGCATAAATTTTCACTTCCCATTAGCCTCAATATTCAATTTCTCCCTTCCCTATTGAGTTGTCTTCACTAACATACACTAGGTGAGCAAAAGTATTGCAAATTGCACCATTTTGACGACATCGCTGGGAACTCAAACATGCCATTCAAAACTCAAACAACTTTTATGAAGCCATTAAGCGTTATTCTATGATTGAAACTCAATCAAACAAAACTTAAAACCCTTGGCAACAATTTCTATTTTAATTTTGAGAAAAATATCTTTGTGAAATATCAAAAAAGTAAACTTTTGATTGGACAGTCTTGAAGCTTTGAAATCCTTGTAAAACTTGTTAAAGTCAATTTAGAACTGTTGCAGCAGGTTACTTTTGAACGCCACATGATAAGTTTGAATAAACTTTGGCAAGATCACATTTAGATATTTGTGATCCCAGATCATTATTGGCCTTGAATTTAGCGAAAAGTGACACTTTTACAGCCGTTTTTTAATGAGGGTTTTTTGGACACTGGCGGGTCACTGTTTACGACTGTTTATTGCAGAAATGTTGGTATTTTCATTCAACGAGGAGATTAAATGCTGTTTTGGACATATTGCTCCAATACATTTTTTTTATAAGAACCAGTAAATTTAAGTTCAGGCTGATTGTTCTCAATTTTTTTCGAAAATCTGAGGCTGGATTGTTCTTAATTTGTTCTTAAATTAAGAGAGTGTAAGCAGTGCTATTGCTAGCTTTTTGCTCTAAGGAGGTGTTCAGGCCTCATTTGCAAACAAAGTGAGTGAGACAGCCTTAATTTGCTGACAAATTTGAATATCCACCGAAAAAGCACCCACACATCGCTAAAAATCCTCGATTTTGGGAAAAAACATTGTTCAAAATTGCATTTTGCAGTAGCTCAGCCTCCGCTTGTTCTTAATTTGTTCTTAACTTTTGACCAGTTTTGAGGCTCGTGTTCTTATAAAATTGTTCTTATAAAAAAAGAGTGTATTTGTTCGTTAAACATCATCGCAATTGGCTGGAAGAGATGGAGTTAAAGGCTACTGACATGTTTTATTGATTGTATTCTGTTGCAACATGTTACAAAATGGTATCCAAAATTAGGCCTTTTGCAGTACGAAAAACGTGCGACCAAAACTTTAGAGAAATACTTTAATAAGAGCAGACCTGCCAACTCTTACGGTTTTGCCGTGTGTCTCACGGTTTTGGCCTCAATCTCATGTTCACACGAATTTTTGTTCATTTTACACGGTTTTTCAAAAACACATTTTCAATTTACCAATGCAGCGATTTTCAAGATGTTTAGATTTTATTCAGCTTTTCCCCTGCAAATTTTATGCATGATTTTATGTACAATTTCCCTCTTCTGTGTTATCGTTCTTGAATCACATCACAGCGCTGCAGACATCGCTGGTTGGCTTAGAATAACTCCCTCGGCCCCATGTCCCGCTTCTAGCTCCTATGTTTGCATGCAAACGAGAACCACTGATTCCAAGAATCAGTGGTTCCCTGTTATAAATGGCAACCAGAAGAAGAAGTTTTGAAGAATGCGAAAAAAGCAACTTTGAACTATAACAGAAAATGTGTTTGAAACTGTTTAAGTTATAGTATACAGGATACAGTTTTACAGTAACAGCAATGAGTGTATGGGTAAATCTTGCTATTTTTGGTGAAAGAGTTCGCGACGCAAAATCTTCAGGTTTTTAGCAAAATCTCCAGGTTTTAATAAAGAAAAATTTCCAATATCCAGGTTTTTAAGCTTTGGAGGTTGGCAGGTCTGTAAGAGTCAGAAAAATAAAAAGTTTTGGAAAACCAAGCGAAAAGAAAGTATCTCAAAGTTCGACTTAATGAAATCTTGCAAGTTTGTGCAAAGAAAAACCTTTTTTGTTGCAAATATATTACAGGTAATCCTATCGCCATAGCTCAGTTTTCATGTTTTCGCAATGTTCGATACGGCTTAAAAAAAGAAGAATCAAAGGATATATTTGCATTTTTTATTTTCATGACTTTACCTTGATAAATTTCCCATTATTTCCCAGCCTAAAGGTCATCTCAAAACGTTAATTCAACTTGCTTTAGCCATTTGAATTTCGGCTTGCTATAAAAAGTTCGTGGCAGTGCAGCCATTTTGTAGGAGGGTGGTGCAGTACTTTGGCTCACCTAGTGTATTACATGAAAACTGTCTCTGTCTGACATTTAAAAACAGTAGGCTTGCTAAAAAACAAGAAAACACAAATTCAACATTTCCTACAATATAGGCAATCTTAATGGAAGAAAACTAGCAATTAATAGCAATTAAATGCTTATTGCTAAAGAACCGCAAAATAAATATCATCTCTCAGTAACTACTTTTGCTAAGTGTCAAGAAAATTGCAACTCTGTGAATGAAATTTATTACACTAGGTACAGGAAGCTAAATGTTTGCAGGGATGATTTTTTAAAGAATATGATGGCCAGCTAAGGCAAAAATAAATCTAAAAGCATACAGCTTTAAAGATTGAAAAAGGTCTAAAAGTGTTCCTATTAAAATATTGTAAGAACAATTTTGCTGCTCTTTAGCAATTAGCCAAAAGAGCTTGAAACACCAACGGTCAATGTCTGCGATACACTGTCCCTTTTTTTCTTTCAGAGGTTTCGTTCACAAGTTTAGAAAACTCAAATGAAGCGCAAGACATTACAAAATCCTTTTTCGCGAATTGTATGTAGTTTGCCTAGTCTATTGATATTGCTATAGGGAACGGCAGTTGGGAAGTGGTTGTATCAAGAAAACAAGTAAAAAGGCCCTAACAGGGCAAGATCAGTATTGGTTCTCGAAACATTTTTGAACATTTTATCAGTGAACATTTTGGGAGAAAATTCGAATTTACATTTTGGAAAAGGAAAATGAGAAAACAAGAAAATTCTAAATGATGGAAGGACGATTTAGGCTTGACACCAAGTTATGTCAACCACCAAGCCATTCATGGCCAAAAAGATTTACAATAAGTATTCTATGGACCGTATTATAACTGTAAAATTTCATAGCATGAAATTTTCGTTGAAAAAATCATTGCTTTTAATCTGAAATCCATCTAATTAGAAACAAAATATTATCATCTATAAGTTTTGTGGAAATTGAGTACACACTGGAAATCAAGGTTATAACAAACAATATCTATTTGCCATAAAATTGTAGAAACATCTACACCCGATATTCTAAATTCACTATATTCAATACAAAGGTTAAGCTATTTTCTACTTGATTTACCAAAGTATGCATCTAGACCGAGTCCAAGAAAGACAACAGCAACAGCATACCACTGTCTTGTGATTAACGAATTTCCAAAGAAGATGACAGAGAAAAGGATTGTGAAGAATTTTCTTGTTGTTGTTGCTATGGAGCAGGGAAGCGGTCCAAAATTTGATACAGTCATAAAAATGAAATTCTGCAACAGGAAAAGCAGTTATCAATTCAAATGAAGAAGAAAAAATGGCGAAAGGTTTAGCAAAATGCTCCAACACTTTAAGGTACGCATCATTTGCTAAATTCAATAAAAAACTTCAGATTTTCGATGATCTGAGCAGTTTATCTTTGGCTTTTATAGACCTGTCAAAAGCATGCAAAGAAGAACTTGATCACTGTGATATGAAATATAATTTTGATCTGAATTATGCGGAGAAAAATGAACAGCAGTTTTTAATGTTCTCTGAAGATTCTAAAAGGACCTTTTTGGTGAAACCAACGACACAGAATAATTTTACTGACTAATGATATTTCGATACGATAATTATATTTAAAAATTTTAAACGCAATGCTCTTCACAGTTGGATTTGAATGTGTTTGCCGCATGGCTTGAAAAGGCCACTTACATCCTTACAACCTTCTAAAAACCCTCCATAAAAGGAATCAGGTTGAGCTTGAAGTAACATCTAAGGTAAATTATTTAGAATAACTCTAATATAGCGTTACCTGACCAAGAGCGCTCATTATTGAAAACGCAAGCATGTTCTTCCAAACATACGGATATCGAGTACAAAAGTCGATAAATCTCCATACTTCACCAGTTGCTACAATTGCTAAAGCAAAAAAAAGAACGATACGTAAATCTGAAGCCACTCATACCTCTTTTGATTAAACTAAGCACAAAATGTATCACTGATTATATAGAAGCAAGTAAAACAGAAGATCTGTATCCTGCTGAAATGCAACGGAAATGAAAATGCAACGTCAATCTCTCTATAAATTTCGCACATTGGTTTATGCACAAAATTATCAAAAGGCATTCAAGATGTATTGCACAAAAAGATCATCAATTTTAAAAAAGATTCATCGAGAAATTAATCTAGCAATCAAATGTCTTCCGAATACTGAGGTATAGGATTTTGGATGCCAATGATTGCTGAAACCAAAGTGAGATAGCCTCGTTATTGTGGAGTTCCAACAAACTTCGAAGGGGCTTGCGCATCAGGCCTAAACTTCTTTTCATAAATGTGAAAATATCAAGCAAAAAAGGAGATTGAAATATACAAAGGAAGGAAACTGGACAAGGAAAAGGGTGATAGAAAGATATAAAAAACCGGAAAACAAATACGATAAAGTAAAGGAAACAAGCAAAAAGAGCTAAGAGAGGTGGAGAGGAATAACGGTATGCCACAAAGGGCCAAGCAATATGGACACTAGATAAATCTTATAAATGTGATTCAACTTACTGCAACCAAGTACAAGGATAGACCACATGTTAACAGCGAACATCATATGATGGGAATTTGTCGTCGCCTTAGCTCTCATTTTTTCTTGAATCGCACCAGTTAAACCATCCATTGTCAATGAAACGATCTGCAAATATTAACACAGACATAATGAAAACTAATTGAGGCAAAGCTTTTTTTAATTGTTCTTATATTCATAGTAAGGTAAACAATTCAATTGAGTATCAAAGTTGACTCTAGGGTTGCCTAGCTCGGTCTAAAAGCCTCTGAAACAAGTTCTTCTCTCGAGAATGCTCGATTGTTGAAATTCTCAAACTTTCGAGGTCCCTGAATATCTACAACAAGCTCTTTACATTCTTGTATTAAGTTCGTTGCGTACATTTTATATCGACGCACATTCAATCATTTCTAATCTTCTTGCTTTCAAAGACATGAAAGCAAATTCTAGCTTTGCCATACTTTTCCTTCTCTAATTTAACAAAAGCAGGCGACATCACTGGCTAATTTGCAACGAGGATAGTTTAAGAGTATCATTTGCATTGCAAGAGAACTCAATATGAAAATTTCTAAAAAATAAAATAAAGTTCGTTTCTAAAAATAAAGTGGATAGCATGCAAAGAGAACTATATAAAAAATTGTGTCTAAAAATTTGCTTATATTTAACTAGAGGTAGGGTATTTCCCTATCAGTTGACTAAGAAGGGCCCTATCATCAGGAATTATATTTATACCTACAGGTTCAAAGCTGCACAGGATCGTAGCAAAGAAAGGTAGAAAGAAAAAATAAGAGAAGAAAAAGGGTTGACAGAGAGCGAAAAAAATATGCCTTAAAACGAGAAGTTCTTAGAGCATTTAAAAGAATTTTTCTAGAAAATGAGACAAGTTTTGCAAATATCTACTTGACGTTTCTGTAAATAGGTTTCCAACTCTTTGGAGAAAACAAAAGAGAAGACTGAAACAGCGAAACATAACAAACAAAATTAAAATAGAGCGGGAATAGAATAAAAAAGAAACGTTCAGAAAAATTCAGGCTGACTACAATAAACCGCGCTTAAGCAATGGGGAAATTAACTAGGAATGAGCATGCTTCCAAACCCTAAAAAGAATTAATATATTATCTGGCGATCTTTGATTGATACTAAGTTAATTTAACCTTATTATGTGAAAATTTTGGTCATAAAAGAAGTATTCCCGATCTTGCGACTAAACCTAAAATTATTAACTTTATAATTTTTTTAATTTTTACATTAAAAAACATTTTGATATCACAGTTGTCCCTATTGAAGATCAGGGTTGTGCATGAGTAAAGAAAAGAGCTCCTCCTCGAAGCCACTTGCAGGTAGTTGAAGATATTTTTCCACCGCTGTCTAATAATTTTCACATTTTTGATACATAAAGTGATTATTCTCTTTTTTGATAAGACATAAACTACATACCAAAAGTAGCTCTCCAAAACCATATTTTTGTTCACTTTTGACAGTAGTTTTCTTCTAAAAAACAAAAAGAGTATTACGTCATTAACGTTAGGCCACTGCTGGTATCATCAACAACAAGACCTTTCTAGCAGGGTATTAGCTAAACAGTAAATAACAACTTCAGCGGCATCTTGGAAAACAACATTTAGCAAGAAATTGAAGTAACAGTTTTGGAATTATATTGGTATTCCATAAATAAAAGTCTGCACTTCATCTCGTTAAAAAATGTTTGCCGCGCAAACAAAAAGATTTGAGTTTTTTGTGGATGGTTCAGTGGTTATGTTGACAGATTTGTGGTGAGTCCACTCAATGACCAAACTTTCACTTTGAAGCAGAAGAGTCGCCAGCACTCTGCAATTCCAGACCTAGAAATCACAATGTTTTGCCATATCTAGAGGAAGGACCACCCGGACACTGCTCAGTAAGCTTAGCCTCTTAGTGTCCTGAAAAGATAGTAACAAATTCAAATGCAAGAAGGCTTCGCAAATGTTAACAATAAGCACAAAGCGTAGGACAGCAAAGATAGTTAAAAAACACCTACATCCTTGTAAAGAAAAAGTGCTACCCCCAGCACAATGAGCAGAACGCTGAGGTACTTCACGAGAGGATATCTTTTCTTGGCTAGAATAGCTCCTAGAACCATCACTAGAAAGGAAAAACACGATATATTACTTTGGATAATAAAAGATACCCTGGCGGACAAAATAAAATGGAACGAATTAGCTGCTTCTCCTAATAAAATAAGGGTATTATGTTTACTGTACACCTTCTAAAGAAGATTCTAATTTCACAAGACTCGTATGTCTTAATTTAAAAATGCATATAAGAGGAAATTGCAGGCCAAAGGTTCTTACAATAGGCTCTTACCTTAAAGGTGTATTACGATGATAAATCAGTGGTAGCTGGTAATAGGGGTATCTCAAGGCAAAAGGTGGCCAGGGGGTATTCCATTGAATAAAAATCCTATTATTCATCAGGCAGAAAAGGTTCTTAAAAACAAAGTGCTGATTAATGAGAGGTCTCTAGATATTGTTCAAAATATGAAGGGAATTCCGGGCCAGAAACAATTAGAGTACCACCGAAAATCACATCTTTTTCACGCTTTTTGGCATCCAATGGCAAACCTTGGCACAGAAATCTTAATAGTTAATGATATAAAGGAGATGGTTTGCAAAAAATTCGTTATCATGAAATTAATGAAAGTAATTCATTATTTAACTCTTCTGCTTATAAAGGATAGGATATATATAAAAAAATGAGTACTTGAAAGCGAACATAAGCAAACTTTGCACACATTCAGACAAATGTGGTTGTAAATAAGGTGGAGTCTCTATCACTTTTTAACTGTAAAAAAGGTTTAAATACATTGGAATCAAAGGATTTAAAGCTCAAGCTCGTCGTTGTTTCTCTGTTAATAAAAATGCAAACAGGGTCACGTTTACATGAACCTCCAACAAAAAGACAGACAGGTAAAACAAAGCAATCACCAGGAATGGGCTTGCAGGATTTTCCAAGGACCTGAAAAAAAGATAACGATAAGGTAAATCACTTACATATTAGCTAGCTATATAAATATATCAGGCAACCATTTTGAAAAAGGTTGAGACTTTTTTCACCAGCAATGTCGTAAACTTACACTTGGACTGGAATCGAAGACGTAATGAAACGATATGTTTTAAATGATAACCGGAACCGAATGTGGGATAAAAATCTTTTTTGCCGGAGAAGCTTGTTTGTTTCAAGAGGCAGAAACTTAGTTGAGAAAAGAAGTTAAAACTTAAAACGTTTCATCCAACAATCTGAAGTAAATTTTCAAAGCGTCGTCACATCTACTTTCTTAGTCTGTGGGGAAACCTTTAAATTTAATTTGTGGGAAAAAGGCGTCGAATTCCAGTCCCGAATATCTCTGGGCTTTACAACACAACATTTAACAGTTTTGTTACTCTGTAATTTGCTCAGTTTCAGTCTGCTCATCGACATAAGAACCAAAGGCCCTGGGAAAAGTGTCCCCCCCCTCACTTTTCAAAAACAGTGGTAAAGTAACTATCTGCGGCTCACGGTGTTGCCCCTTTTGCCTACACGAGCCACTTTTTTGCCTACATGAGCCCCTTTTTTGCCTAAACGAGCCCTTCACTTTTGAAATGCCTTCTTCGTCTGATTGTAATTTTCATTAAATAGCTCTTTCGGCAAGGCCAAGAAAGAATTTTTGACTCAGCAAAGAACTGCAATCTAATGAATTGTTGGCATCAAACTGGTTGCTCAATATATATTAGCTGTCTTGAAATCTCGGCTCTTGTAATGTGTGATTTAATACTTTAAAAACGACTGTCAAAATAGATAAGGTCAAAATTGTGTCTTTATTGGAGTTTGTATCGTAATGAAAACGATGGGATTGGCAGGAGCTGTTTTGGCGTTGGTCCCAGAATAACACTGGTCTCTAAAGAAGCGGCTTATTGTGGGTGGCCAAATGACAACAATTACTAATAAAAACAACGCAGATACAAAAGACTTTCAGCCAGAACAGGACGCAAACAATTTATGAATTAAAAAGATTTTAATTATCAAATAAAGGGCTTCTAATAAATTCTGTGTGCACACCTCAACTTTAATAAAAATCATATTATGGAGTAACTTCGACAAGCTGACTTTGTTTTTCTTTATTTCTCAATGTCTAATGACGTCCTTTAGTAAGACACAACACTATACTCTAAGTTTGAAATTCAATATTGATGTGATCAGCAAGCAGAGAATAGAACCAAAAAGCAGGTTGAAAGCTTCTAATAGTTATAGGACGTTTGATAAAATTGACAGAAAAAAAAGATTTTTCAAGAATCCGCTCAACAATTTAAGATAAGCACATAGTTAACATACATATGGCTAAATGGTAAGAAGGGTCGTGTTTTAGCAGGATTAAAAAAGTATCCATTAACGAACACAAACTGGAATAAAAATACCAGAATAAAATTCGAAGAAGAAATGCAAAACTTAAGGTAAGACTCGTACATTGGTCAATAAAGATGGTGTTTGTGAACGGTTCATAATTTCCTGCCTTATATATATTTTACAAATTCATCTATAAAGAAAAGGGGCAGAACTTCATTTCCACACAAAACAAATGGAAAACGTACAGATTATTATCTGTTGACATTTTAGGGCTTCATCTCTTGACAGGGCTTTGCTAACAAGACTTAAATAATAAGTCAGACTGATCGAGATAAACTTATCATTCAACAAAAGAAAATAAAAACGTACCATATTTTGGCCAGTAAGATTCATTGAAACATTGCTTGAAGTAATCATATTTTGAAAAAATTAGATTTTCATGGTCTTTTAATGTTATTTGTACTTCAATCTTGCTTACACAGGCTACAAATCTTATGTGTGGCTCAAAATCATGATTTTATTCGATGCTTGTTACATTTAGAAACCCTAGATAGAGACCAAAGGTTGACCAATTTGCAATTAGAATTTGGAGAAAAGACAAGTCTTGTGTGGAAAGAATGATTTTTTTCTTTTTTGTTACTAAATCTAAACCCAAAAAAGTTTTGGGGATAGTTATTAATGTTAAAAATAAAGAGCATGCTTTCTTTGCTATGTGCTACTCTTGATTCAATGATGAAAATCTGACAAGTGGAAAAAATGAGCCTAAAAAAGGTTAGACTCATTCTTTGAAGAAAACCTACCTGAGTTGGGTAATTGATATACTGAAGAGCTGTATTGCTAGCTAACATGGCACCCAGGTATGTAAGGGCACAAAGAAAGTATAACACTTTTGAAGTTTTATCCTCTACATCACCATGGTACATCTGAATAACTGGTGAAAAAGAAAAAGGTAAGCAGTTTCTGAAACTAATTATAAAAGTAAAAAGACAATGTGAAGCAAACTGAAGCTATGTATAAAATAAGAGACATTTGCATTGAAAAACAATTCTGAGCTACAGCTCCAAATCTCATGCTAAAAGCAATGTCTCATGCCTCATGCTAAAATCACCAAGCAACTGTTCTATAAACATGAGATATATGTCTTCCTATTGAACCAATGTTTTAAAACTGAGGTAGCTCTGGGGTAGAAACTGTTTTTATCAATTTTTATTATATCAAGATTACGAAGTCCATCTTATTATACTTAGTGTGGTGACTTGAAAAGCAATCAAAATTTCAATTCAATTTGCCTTTAAATCAAAATGGTAAAACAATGCTCCCATTATCTCTGGCTTTTCAGGAACATAATTTAATGGAAGTAGAAGTTTACAATTGTCAGTAGCTGTGCATGCAACTCAACTTTTGCCAGTTTTCAATTGAGTACTAAATTAACATATGTTTGGTTTTTATGAAATAGTATTGTTATAAGGAGCTATAAACAAAAGATATTATTTCAATCTGCTTTCACTTTCATCTAATGTAGCTAAGTCCTAACATAGAAAAGAAAGGAGAAGATAAAGAGAAAGGGAGATGATTTCACATTTGTTGATTAATTTTAGACAAAAAGACAAAAGATTAGCTATTATGGTTAAAAAAAATCTGGGAAGCAAGTTGAAGGACAATTGCTCCAAATTTTACTAACTCAAGCAAGGAAAGAAAAATAGTGGGGCAAAAGGTCTAAAGGGTGAACATGACAAGCATGCAAAGAGGTGTTTACATATTTTTGGGGAATCAGACCAGGAATAATAGCTCTAAATTTCTTATGAATGAATCACCAATCACCAATACAATTCTATGAGAAATACTTTGTGAGGATGGAGTTGTTAAAGATGAGAAGAACAGCCTTTGACTAAATTCTTTTAAAGAAACATAGAGAAAATTGAGGAGCATTACAAAGAAAAGAAAAATACTTCAAAGAAGGACAAATCTGATATTTCTATATAACATAAAGGCTGTGGTGGTGAAAAAAAATTTCACACCCTAGAGAGGATTGTAAACATTATAATTCATTCTATAGTGGTTCAAGAGCAGATGCTTTGATCGTCAGAGATCCAATGTTTTCTAAAAAGTCTCAGTAGTAAAAGTCAACCAAGCATATATTTTTTTATCTTTAAAGGTAATGTGTCCATATAAAAGGGCTGTGTATACCTAACTTGTCAAGTAACATCAAAATAACGGCTTGTGATTGGTCAGTAATCTTGCAATGCAAAACTGCTCACATGAAAAGCCAGCCTCGCAGCAGTGTAGATAAACAGAACGACTATAATGGCTGGTCCATGACATGAAAAATTACACCTTTCTGAAAACCCCAGCAGAGTTGCTTGCTTTAGTTGGACACATTACCATTAAGTTCAAGCCTTAGCATACAGAAGACAAACTGAGAATCCCTTTTCAATAAATGCCAGTTGATCTTAAAGAAATTTCTGGTTATTATGAATAACAGTCATAAATTGTTAAAATGAATTGAGAATACTTACTTCCATATGCAAAAATGGCATTTACTATACACTGACAAAACACTAATGTTGTAGGATACGTAAACTTCTCTTTCTGTTCGCCATAAGGTACTCTTGTTCTAAGATAGAAATGAGAAATATCAAGAGCGGCATTGAAAATTATGCTAAACAAAATTAACAGCACGACATCTCTTGCTGCTAACAAAAACTACAAGATCTTTCTAACACAATTGATATGTAGAGATCAACACAAATCTAAGATATAAGAAATTTCCACTTCAATTCAATCCCTTGTTGTCACACTATATTGCAAGGTCCCTTCATTAAAACCAACATAAATTTCATGTACAACAAATGTCAAGTAAATGAGATGAAATTTTCTGGGGTTTCAGGTAAAACCTTTTCAACATTTTAAATTCACAGTTTGATAATTTTTCTCAGGGTAAGGGCAATAGAAACCTGGCCTCTCTCTATAAATATTGATTTTATAAATTGATACTTGTCACGAAAAAGGGTTTTTATTACTTGTATAGCATACTTCTACTTGTCGCTACCCCCGGCTTATTTGCCATGATTTTTCCAAGAAAAATTTAAGAAATTTTTGGGATTGATAAATTTTGTTATTTCATAATAAACAACGAATACAACAAATAAGATTGCATTTTACTGAATGTGTTCAAAACGATCTAAGGAAACGAAACCCATGCCATGCTGCAGCAATAGGCCGATGTAAGCGCCTGGCCTCTCTGTTTATAATAACTTACATTTTTTCTTGTAAAATCCCATAGTAAAAGTAGCATACAAATATGCCAACACAACAAAAAATAAGCTTCTTAGACATAATTGGTTCGTCTGCCACTGAGCTTTCTGGCTTCACTTCCTCAATGTTCACAGCATAGGCCATCCAGCTCACGATTATTTTCAAACTTCACGATATTCCGTGGTTGTATTACACTCTTCCAATCCTCATTGGCCAATCATCTTCCTATGATATTCATTCGTCAACAAGTAGAATAGGAATATGATTGTTGTTGTAGTTGTTAATACATGTGATGCACGAAGATGATGTGGTGGTATCAACCCACTCAGTGTATTATCCTATCTCATGGTATCAACCAAGCTGGGACAGTGCCCTGGGTCCAAACCCTGGCGGAAGGGGGGGGGCTATATTGGAAACTGACCTTTTCTATTCTTCAACGATGATGCCTCATCATTCCATGCCTTCTCCCGAAAGAACCCCAGAAGGCCCTAAATTTGATGTTAAAGTATGTGAAAGTAAATCTGTGTTGTTAATGTTTGATACACTTCTCGACAGTTTAGGCTCAGGCTAGCAAAGTTGGTCTGTCGAAACAAAATAACATTAGAACGAAGGCTTTAACATGTCACGGCTTTGGGTAACAGTTTGAACAAGACTCAGGGCCTAAAATAAGCGTGGATCTGACTGACTTTGTGGAGTTGTAAATTAAAAATGTGGACCTGTAATTGTAGAAAGTGTGGATTTGTAAATAATGCATGTTCTTAAAAGTGCAGCATAAAATACCAATCGAAACGCCTAAGAAAGAAATGGGAATATTTTTCCAATTGGCAATGAATGCCCAATCCCAGCCTCATGTATTGCATCCATTTTTTATAAGAAAATTGCGATAAGAAATAAGCAATTGATAATAAAGAAGAATTGAGAAACTTCAGAGCTCGAAGCTTCAGTAAATGCGGAGAAAAATCAATTGCGCTTTACGATATTGTTGTGTGCTATTTTGATGTAAGATGGACTCTGTATACAGCTTTAACTTCAAGACATCATCTCAATTTAGTTTGCTTTCATGACTTGCTTCAAAAAAGACACTGAGTCTTCAGACCAAGACCGAGATTACGATTACCTGCCCGTAATGTATTTTGGGGTTTTTATGCGATATCTTTCAGTAGATTTCAAAAAAGTTATAAACCATTTCAACTAAGGTGTTTTAAATTGGAGAAGCATTGGAAAGATACCTCTCAAGGCTACAGCAGCTGAACGATTATAAGCCTCTCGGTGGTAGCTGGGAGGAACATTCGATTGGGAATGTTGCATAACAGGGACTAAAGTCCTCCTCAACTTTTTTGCAATAATAGGTTAGAAAATGTTTTGAAAGTTTACGCTAACGAACGCATTAGTAGAAGTTCTGCTGGGAACACGTTTTTGTTCTTTTTGATGGTGCTTTATCTTGTGTGATCAAAGATAAATTTTTATTTTATCTAACTCGGTTTTGCATTTTTATGTTAATTGAAATCTTCTCTAGATCGTTATGTTTATGAATAAGGACAGAAAAAAGCTAATATTTTCTGAAAGGAGCGGTTTCCGGTGTTTTAAAGGGCGTGGCCGTAAAAAAATTTAGAGACAATCCTGCTAGTCCCGTTCCAGCTACTCCCTTGTGGGCTGGTGCCAGTGTGACCTGATCTAGCGTAATATTAACATGAAATTGGCCAAAAATCGTCATTTTGCATAAAATCTAGCATAATTTGGAATCTAGCATAACTCTGGAATAATTCTGATATTATTTAAAAGAAACATTGTTTCCATTGATCCATTGTCTATCTTTACCACATGCAAACACTTTACACCAGCATCTGTGGTTTCATTTTTGGAGTAAATTGTGACTTCCCACCTTCAGGATTTTGCCAGTTGTTTTGAATGGTTGGCAGCCAAATGCAGTAGCTAAACGCAGTATACAAAAGAGCTAAATTTTTGCTAATTATTGGGAGTGATACCGTAATTAAAATTTGCTTTGTAGGTTACAAAAGTTTTCACTTGCTTTGATCTAAAACTGATAAATTTGGCTATCAAACCATGGATCTAAATTGCCTTTTTGTTTATGAAGAATGAGTACACTGGGTTGTCAAAAAGGCCAAATTGCAACTCTGGCCACTTTTGATTATCTGAGCGTGTATTAGCCTCTTTCTCGAGCAGGGTTGCCATGATTTGAAATCTAGCATAATTTTTGCAAATCTAGCACAATCTTATGACGAATTTGGCGAGATCTGGTGCGTGGTTTCTGCATTACAAACAAGATGGGGGTAAAGATCATGCTTACAAACTGGGCGAGAAGAGAATAAGAAGAAACAAGCACAATCTGTAACAAGGTTCTCGTTTATAGTATCAAAGCTTTTTGAAGAACAGATTTGATGGCAAAGAATTTGATGGGCTGAATGCAGTTAAGAACTTTCCATAAGTAAACAAAACTTAAGAAAGCTTCACCCAGCTTTTGTCCCGGACATCGCAGCAATCCCTAATTCTGTCTATGCAGAGAGGCTGATTCCCACCTACAACAAGATAGAAGCAGGTGGGGAAAGCAGCATAGCTCCAGAAAACTTATCAAATAGATAAATATTGCAATTAATATGCTTAATCTCGCAAGTTTCGAGTTCCGAGAAAAGCTGCAAAGATATGGTTTCAAAAAACCAAAAAATACCAAAGTCAAGGAAGCAAGCATGGCACTCGACACAAATTCTAGGCTTGCAGAAAATGTTAGAGTGAACAAGATTTTCTGTAAACATTTCCTGCAATTACCCTTCAACCCCCATTCTAAGAAAGAAGAAAAAGAGAGAGAGAGAGAGAGAGAGAGAGAGAGAGAGAGAGAGAGAGAGAGAGAGAGCCTTAATGGTCAAAGAGCTTGAAATGTTTTGCCTTGGAGATCTGCTGATGAGATATATACTTACAGGCCCTTGTCTATGCACGAAATTTTATAAATATGCCACATATTCAACCACACGCTTGCTCTATTATGAAATACACGATTGTATAAGCAACATCTTGTACAATTACTGTAGATTGGTAGGATGATAAAAAAGTAAATATTGTTACCACTGACCATTTCGTTTTAAAAAATGATTTTTACCGAATTGAAGCAAAATTTACCTAAGGAAACAAAATTATTGGGGGAGTGGGTATCGAGCCTCCACAACCCCGGGAAATCCGTCCCTGGATATTATACCATTCTATGGTCCCATTGTCTAAAATCTCATCCTGAAAACACGTTTTTGCAGTTTTTATTGCAGCTCTTTGCCTAATTGCAAAAAGACAGCTTAGACCCTTTTATCAGAACCTTCTTTTTTAGCTATCAATTTAGCAAACGAATTTTTGATTTCTATTTTCGTGTGCCCAAGAACCTAATAAATAGCTTTAACGGTAAACAATAAAGAAAAATCACCAAGAAACAGGAGTTCTCATGTAAGACATTCCAATCTCTCCATAAATATCTAACATTAAAACATAAAACCGCACCAAAACTGCCAAATGAGCGAGTCTTTTGATCAACAAAAAACGTTTTGGGAAGACAACAGGGGCAGCAGAAGTGGGGCTCTGGGCGAGATTTGAACCTCTGATGATTCAACCTCTGATGATATTCAAAAAGTTGCAACTGCCACTGCCCTATCCGTAACATGATTCGTGATCCCTCTTTGACAATAGACCTGATACCCTCTTCTAACAACGATGGGTATGGTCATAAAGTAGGGGATCAGAGAAAACGTTTTTTTCTATTCTTTGACGCTGAAAAGTACTCTTTGTGTGAGCAAAGTACTTCACATGGAGGGAAATCTCAGAGCAACAATTTTCAATGACACAGTGCACAGTCACATTAAGTTCCTAAAAATCCGACAAAAGGCGGTTTATAGGTAAGATTTCCTTGCGCTAAACCTTTAAGATCGCTAGATATTTTGTAATCCTTCTTATTCAAAAAGTTATGCTCAGTGTTTCGAAGAGACTTTCCTTGAGAACAGACAAAACGGCAAGAAAGATTGATTCGGGAACTCTTCACAGTATATATAAAGGCATTCCTTGAATGACGAGTAGGTCAAATAACATTTTGCTAGTAATAGCGGGATCAACAATTACAAGGAAAGAACACATCGATCATGTTTACAATCTTCCCGGCAAAAATACGAAAATCTTTTAAAATCTTTCCGCTTAGGCTACGCTCTGCTGAATAATAAGAATTAGCAACACAGTGTTTAAACTTTGTTACAAAGCACAAAGAACAGAGAGTAAAGAAAGGACCAACGACAACATTCTTAAATACGAAATATATAAATAAGCTTCCGCATTGTCACCAAACTTCATAACTATTACGTCACTTTAAAGATATGAAACTTTAGGAGCCCGGTTACAATTTATTGTCATCATAAAAGTTAACGAGAAATTCAAATAAGAATGCGAAATTTTGACAAGGAAATTTCTCCTGCATCGGGGAAGCAACATTGGTCCTCTTAGAAATAGCAATAGCTAGACTATCTCCATAGACAAGAAGTAGTAAAAATTCTCACTTTGATTTATACCTGATACAAGCCAGGTTCCCTAGGTTATCTCCTAACATCTCGTATAACAGGCATCTGTTGATGTTAAAAAATATAAATCAATACAAAATGATTGAATCATCAGTGATTTCTATGCTAACATCTGATCAAATATGGGAAAGGAGATAGCCTTAAAACTATATGTAAATTCAATCCGTATATACCTATAAGCGTTTTGCCATGCCGGTATGGTTCAAACCTTTGTTTTTTTTGCGCTCCGTTTACACGGTACCGGTATAATATTATAAGTGAAGCATAACAAAAAAGGAAAAAGGATATGAGATAATAAAACAGACACTACGACATTGCCCAAAAATTATACCATTATTTTCAAAATCGCTTAGATTTTCGATTTTAATTAGCTCTCTGTCCTATTTACTGAGGATTGTTTAGTAACCAATTCACCCGAACGCCGTTTATAGTGAGCTGTTGTTTGCAAGATGAGTGGTTTGTTAATTTGTAGGAGAGCAGCAATATATTAGATTTGACCACGAGAGATCTCCAACCAGGTTGCATTCCATTTTTTCTCTCCGCCGGATATTTCCGCCAGCATTTTCCTAGGGCAAAAATACCCGCCAAAACCGAAGGGGCAAGAAAAACTAGCCGAAAATTTTTAGGGGTCCATTTTATTGTTCAATTAAAATTGCCTGAAAGCGAGGTTGGAATTTATTTTTCATCTCAGAGAGAGAGTTTTGAAATTATCTTCGTTAATTTGAATGATGTTCGACGCCAATTTCAGTCATTAATTTATAAATTTGATGCAGTGCCACGCCAAAGCCACGCCAAAGCCACGCCAAAGCCACGCCAAAGCCACGCCAAAGCCACGCCAAAGCCACGCCAAAGCCACGCCAAAGCCACGCCAATACTGTTAAAGCTAAAAAAACCGCCAAAATTCCCGTGGAAGGAAGGGAGGAAGGCCAGAGAAGGACTATTTTCCATGCAATCGCAAGAGAAAACTTGGACAAATGGTTCGTTGCTCAATCTAACTTCCTTTTTTAACATAATTTCGGCACATGCTGGTTTATTTGTGCAAAATTAAGGAGGAAATACAGGGAAGTAAAGTATCAATACCACTACTATATCCATAAAACGTGACGCCAGGAGGCAGCGAGCACAGGACATTAAGACAATGTTCTAGGTCAAATGTAGTTAAAACCACATACAATAAAAAACTAACCACTCCCCTTACTATTGAACCACGAATGGTTAGGACATCATAAAACATACGCGTGAGCTTTATGGTTTACTACCTCCTCCTCCTTATACGAGCGTAGGCTTTTTCTTTTCATTAGAGTTTAAACAAGTACATGGATAAACGAGGCCGTGCGACCTTTTAGGGCCTGCTTACACGAGGAATGTCACCTTATGATCGTTGTTGACAAGCGTTTACACGAGAACGCGATTCATCCTACTTGGCCTTTGTCCCTTGGCTGACGGTTTGATGGTATTCTTTACACGCCTTGACGATATGAAGAGGATTTTTCAACCCTTGTTTGTTGAATCATGATGATAATCGGCGAGAATGCTTGAAATTTTTTCCGGGATTCGGAATGCCTTAGTGAAATCAATCATTCCCTATCTTAAACCGTTGCTGTTAAAGAAGTGCGAGCAAGTTCTAAGGTAGATGACCAGCGCCTACGCGAGTCCCTTGTCCTCCCAACAATCCGTCACAGTGTCTGCAACTTCTTTTGGTCATTTTGTCTCTTCTGATTCGCTTTCTTTAGCAGTCCCATGCTTTGGAATATGCTGATGTACCCGTTTTTGACAAACGATAAACAGTATCCAAAAAGAAAAGGGTGTGTCAAACAGTTCAAGAAGGTAACGAGAGTAAGGTAGCACTGCACCTTGTAAGGGACGTCCTTCCCTGATATTGCAAAGCACACTGATACCTGCGAACGGAAATAAAATGCACAGATAACATATCAACACAAGTAGCTATACTGATGACACAAACAATTATACATAATATAAACGTGGTTATTTTTTGATAACATGAGCTGGAACTGGTCAGTGATAAGTTTGTCTACAGTGGTTGCGTTTGATTTTTGACTATGAGCAGTACAGAAGCTGATAGGTGGACAATAAACGTCCCCTTCTAATGATAATAACTCAGGGAGAGAGGGGAGGTGTTAATAGAATTATAAATTTTTCAGCACCTACGGTTTCTTAGGCATACATCTGATCTGGTTAAGCATAAATTCCTAACTAAGGAAATTTTATACTAGAAATAGCTCTTGCTAGTACTGCCCGCAAACAATTAGTTCCTTGATAATGATTGTTTTGAAAATGTAGGTCAGGATATTCGAAGAAGACACCATCTTGGGTTTTCACAATTCTATAAAAACAGCTGCTCTAGTTGAAGCTAAACTATTCTTTTTATCAAGAATTTTTGGTTTTCAGTTTGCCTTTGATTTAAGTCCAACGCCCTTTTGAAAATCATGAAGTTTTTCGAGGGTTTGACATTTATTTTTCGATAATCACGACAATCATAACTTTTGCTCGTACGGTCTCGAGTTTTTGGGAGAAAAGTGTGGCATTCGACTGGTTTTGATTCCCAAAACTTCGAATCAAAACTTCCATCCATTGCGGAGAACCGAGCTGTGATGCAGCACCGTTTTCGTGCCAAAAAAACCGAAGGCCTTTAACAGAGTCTTGGCAGAGCAACGCTCCGAAGATAATTCCCTTCCGCACAAAGAGGTGGCGGTTATCGACCTCCTCGACAAAGCCGATTGATTGACAATGAAATTGATTGACAGTTGTCATGGCAGCAGAAAAGTGACAAAATCTGCTGAAAAAGTGCTGACAACATGAACTGAAGCTTCCATATGCTACTTATACGCGGGGCAGACTTTAAGCCCTTCACTCGCGCGCTATCGCGCGCGAGTTGCGGGCAATAAGGAAAACCCACTCTCTATAGTAATGAGAAGATAAAGATAGAGTAGATACAAAGCATGATCAAATGTATCCGGAACGATCAAGGATGTGGCACCTAGAAGAAACGCCATAACACAGCAAGTGCTAAACACAGCATCTCTGCTTTGTTCGTTATGGCCCAAAACAATTTACATGTAAAATTCTCGCCAGCTGTCTGATTTGAATGGATTGACTACAAAGTCATACTTTTCACAAAGAAGAACTGCTATTTTTAGACCTCACTTTGTACACTTTTTCGACTAAGCCGATTAGTAGGCGAGTAGAATCTCAGATTTGTCTGCGCATAAAGTATTAAACGCCTTGTTAAAACAAAGGATTGTACAAATCGTGCACAACTCCTGCATCCTTTACAGCTACGAAAATGTCGCGAAATCTCGCTCATCTGAGTGAGCAGCAAATTCTTCCAATGTGAAATGTGGACGAATCACACATAACATTAAAATTCGCCTCCAAACGCATCTGCTTGATTTTCCTGGAAAGAACTTCTAATTTCACAAGCATTTATGATGAGCTGCGAATAGGTGATATCAGTATAGTACTTTTTCTTGAACAATTTTTGCCTTCTACCGAGATCAGAAAAGTGCTTTGGGGCTTTCATGACTTTTGCTATCCGTATCATTACTTTTATGGCCAATGTGTCATGCCTTGAGGTTGTCAAAGCTTGTGAAAATTAATCTGCGGTCAGTTTTGGATATGATTGGTATAACCTGACAGTAACAAAACCAGCAAATAAATTTTCTTTGAAGGCTTTCTAGATTGCCCATGTCGGTCAAAAAGATACCATTTTAACGTTCCTAGGGAAATTTGGGTTCGGGGACCCTCAGATTAAAGGAGGCGCTGAGGCGAGGTCAACATACCTTTCTAGAACCAATTCGGATAATAACCCTTTTTCCGGTGTTGGGTCAAGAAGCTTCTGATTTCGGGTCATGATCTTTCGTATGGTGAAGCTTAACTAAAAGGCTTGACTTTTATTCAAGCTGAGATTTGTTATACTTTCAGACTAAAATTTTTAGCAAACAATACTCAAAGTTCAACTCAATATATTTCTTACCAATACTGGCAGCCAAGTTGCTAGAAACAAGAGGCCTTGAACACTGACCAGTAGTGCGACCTCTTCAAAAAATTTCTCTTGTGATCTTATCCTGCCAGATAGGACAGCAAAAAGAATATAAATGAGAATTAGGCCACAGCTTCCAGATGCCATTAGAAGTGCAAGGGGGAAAATGTACTCCTTTTCTGTCGCCGGAGTTGCAAAAGTAAACAAAGTGCAGACTTCGGTTTGTAGCACATCGCTATCTAAACGACTTATGTTTGCATTGTTAAGAGTTGTTGAAATTTCCGGTGCAGTTGCAAGATTGAATGGACCAAGGCCAACGAGTGGAAGTGAAGGTATGCCAATGGCCAAAACAACAACGAATATCAACATGAACCAGAGCGGCCGCCTTCGAGAAATGCTACTTGACGTGCTTTCACAACTGCTTCCAGATTGATGAGACTGGCTGGACTCTGTTACTAATGAAATCTGAGCTTCGTAGCCGCACGTTTTGTTGACAGTTCTAAATTCCTCTCCCCTGTACAACTTAGACGACTGATTAAAGTGAAGTAAACAAGAGTAACCTGTGATTGTGGTTAAAAACATCGACAGCAATTTGTACGAAAAATAAGAGCAAAATGACAAGGCACAAAGTGTCTGCACCGTCACTTTTGAGCGAGAAACTGGCCAACAAACGAGACTTTGCATGTCCTTTATAAAAAATAACGGCACGACAAACATGTTGCCAAACATCTCTGTGGCTATGAAGGCGATAAGATAAACTTTTATAGCTCTTGAGAGACCTATAACCGCGGCATCGTACTCTTTCCATGCGAAATTTATCAATGTGTAAAATGGAAACGAACTGAATATCAAGCTGACAGCGGCAGTCATCAGTAACATCCATCCTACAGTACTGAATGAGGAGCAATTATCAAAAAGAATTGGCGACTGTATCTCTGACATGTTGTCTATGCGAGAACTCCTTCCATGACAAATCATGAAACCTCTCCCTTGCGGCTGAACAAAATTCGCTGTTGTTCGATAATATATGATTAGCCTTGTCTTAAATGAAATTTTACTTCAAGAACGGAAAACCGCAAGAAACTATACGACTGTCAATTCTGCCACGGGCAAAACAATAACCTCCTGCTGAACGCCTCTCGAGTGATAGCAAAGTGATCAAATCAGGATGACAAATAAATGCAATGACAGATGTAAATTTGCTTTGCAAATATCCAGCCAGGCCTAGCAAAATCCTTCTGGCATGCATATAACAGACAATGCTGCGAAGCACTCAAGAATTTGTGGTTTCCGATCAAGACGACCAATATCCAGTTAAGAATTTATCAAAATGACGTTTTAAACGTTTTCTAGAAATTTTTGCAGCTTAGGCTTAACTTTCAGGTCCCTGGCTTCTCTGTTTCTAACTCCCTAGAAAGCGAGATGCGTAATCCTGGCTCTTAATCTAGGTTCAAAAAGGATCAAAAGGTTACACTCATCTGACACCACTTCTCAAGAGCTCAGACAGTGTCTGAAGTTCTCCTTCTCGATATTTGTTTGCTTTATTCTGGCTCGGTGCGTGGTTGCCGTTATATAACTATGAATGCCATGCCATGAATAAACAACCGAACTTCCTGGTTGTGTCACAGGAAGTTCAAAACAAAGGCTTAAAAAATATTTTCAAAACTTAGGTATAACTATTCCTAATTATACCCTTTGGGGGGGGGGGGGCGGGGGCATAAGTCCCACAGTTCAGATAGTTCAGTTTGATTTTTCAAAAGAAGCTTTTAAAAGTTTAATTCCATAACATACAATATTCAACATTGAGGATAAATATGTAAATACAACGGATGTGCGCGGGGAAATTTGATGAGGTGTTCCATTGGTAGCTCGGAACATCGAGTAGAGAGCACCCATTTATAACTATTTTCAAATGTTGGTTAGCTTCAACAAAATTCAAAGCGACGTAACATAATGGTGACTTACAAGTTTGCAAATATGTACAAACTATCCTTGGTAATTATTTTCAAGAAAACGGGCGTTGCGCTTTCGACGAAAGCAACATACTGATGGTCCAAAAGGGAATGCTGGTCCAGCACTTCTAGATATCGCACAAAAGCACAGACTTTAGACCATATTGAAAAGTACTTTGATGTGCTCAGTGGTGGATTACTTATGCGATCTGTGGGGCCTAGACCCCCGGCCCAGAATCTTTACCGAGCTTCAAAAACTTTTTTGGTATCTTCAGTCGAGGGCAGATTACTTGATCGGGACTGATTCAATCAAGGTACACAGACACTCCAACCTAAAAATATTTAAAATCGGGAGTTTTTATAAATTCCCATGAAATATTGGAATTTGGTCCATACACAAAAGAGCCCACGAGAATTGCAAAAAAATATCGACAAAATACATAAGTTCCTGCAAAAACCAATCTCTTAAAATGTGGTTAGGTTATATACTTGATAAAAGTAAAACTTTATCCTTTACATTATTAGTTTTGCAATATAAGCTAAATACGTTAATGATTTGCTATGATATGAAATCTATTTTGGCAGTATTTGGCCCTAAAATATGTTAGGCCCCCGGCCTTGGTATTGGTTGATCCGCCACTAGCTGTGCTACATAAATATCTGCTCTGATAAATGAATGCTTCCTGTTAGTCCCGTGTCCCTGGTCAAGGACCACGGAACATATATTACAGATTGAGGGGGCTAAAACGTTTCTAAGGGGGCTGAGCATGCTAAAAGCCAAGAGCAAGTCAATTTGTTCTATGGTTTACATTTTGGTAATTATTTGGGGGCTAAAGCCTCTCAGCCCCCCGCTACCGCGGTCCCTCTGACCCCGAGCGCTACCAACATGATTGCGTCAATGTCATGACACTCCGTGGTACAGTCGATTGCTAGCCTACATACTGTCAAGCTAGAGCTTTTTCTCTTCTTTCCTGTGGCAGGGAGGCCAGAGAGGGCAGAATGCACAGAAATATTTGATGATTTGAAAAATCATGAAAATCAACTCGTTACCATAAGGATGTCAAAACAACAACAACAACAACAACAACGGCTTATTCTCGGCTTAAAATGACGGCGCGAAGAAATGATCACAGGCAGAAGGTAATGTAACATCAATCGCGGTAATTTTTCCCAGAATTAAATGCATTGGAGCAAGTGATTGCAAATGACTGAAAACTAGAGGAAACCATTCACATTCACCGGAGTCGGAGGAGAAATGGTTGTGATCGCACTTTTTAGTGCACTTTAGTGGACATAATAGGTTTCCTTGGCCTACAATGATTTTTCTGCGTTTGTTACCCATGAAAATTACATTTGGATGGTAACTTATCTTGTTCCTAAGAAAGTGTATAGGAACATCAATCACTAAATAATTTATTGTTGTTATGACCCTATCAAACCGGTCAATGTATTTTGACAGTCAGTCGTAAAGTAGCTAGATACCAAATTCATTTTGTTTTCGTATGGTTTTTGTTTATTTTTTCTTAGGGAAGTTTACCAGTCTCAGCAGCTGCATTGCAACAGCATCTAGCTAAAAAATTTTCACTTGAAGCTTCAAAACCAAATCTTAACAGAAGCAACAAGTCACTGAAAGAAAGGGCGAAGCAATCAAAACAAAAGGATGTCGTTAAGAAGGGAAATGCAGAGAGTGGATATATTGGAGTTGAAAAGGTCTTGGAACCTTTCAGGAACAGACTCTCCTTGGGTATAACATTTCATCTTGCTTCTATATATATTTTGTATTCAATCTACTTTAGTTCAGTGTCATATTAAATTTGTTTTAAGATTGAAGTGAAATGAAAAAGAAAAATGGGGCTCAGCCTCAGAATCTCTTATCTTGGCACCACCTCCTTGAGTATAAAAAATGCAGATGATTTGTCTTTTGCTTAAGTCTCTGTCCCTTAAAAGGGGCAGGGAGCAAAAGGAGGTACAATAGAGAAAGAAGAGGTTATCGAGTAGAACCATAGGTCCCAGAGTTGCAGGTATTGTTGTGATTGCCAAATAAATTTTAACTGTTGCAATTGATGAAAGCTCTAAAAAGGAGAAACTGATGAAGAAGTTACATGACTCTGAAATCTTACTTTGCCATTTAAGAATCAGACCATATTATTGGTTAATAATTCAATTCAGTAGATCTTCATGAATACAAAATCTATGTTATTGTTAGAGTACTTCTGCTGTCTCTAGAAACCAAATGATAAGCAGCAAACTGGAAGTTAGGAAATTATTGAGCACATCATCTAGAATTGAATCTAAAGTGCAATAGTCTGAATCTAATTTTTCTTTACTGCTTTTCATATAAAGCTCAAAGGCTTGGTATACTGGATGCCCCAGAATCACCTTTATCAGAAGATGAATGGAAAAATATAAAGTTGAAGTCAAATGATAGACAAGATTCAGCAAATCCATGTGCTATATGCCAGGAGCCTTTTGCTTTTGAAGCACAGGTAAATATTTATGTAAGTTAAAATCTTACCTGCAGCCTTTCTTAATAAGCTATCCATAATTGTAGACTTTATGCTAATTTTGGGAATTAATCATATGAGCTTAAATGTTTGTACAACATGCCACAATGAAAGTATGCTCTTCAACTTTTACCAATTCAACCTAAGAGAAATTAGAGATGAATTTAAAATCTACCTTGTTATAATCTTATTTAATAATGTTTATAAATAATTTATAAATGTAAATAATTATTCAGTCAGGCACATTATTCCATCTAAGTTCAATGAAATATTTTAACTTTTTCAGGTTTTGCTGTCTTGCAGCCACGTGTTTCATCATGTAAGTTAATAAAAGTATATTTTAGTAATAAAATTCTATTTTGCCAGCCATTGCAGACAAAACATGCTTCTAATCTTTGCTGATAATATTTTTAGATTTATGTGGTTACACATAAAAAGGATTTGACTTTTGACACTTCATTAGAATAAGGACAAGCCTAATTAAATTCTGTTGTTTTTTGTTGTTGCTGTGGTTTTATAGCATGGATGGTACTTAAAGTGGCAGACTGGCTCAGAATTTTCAACCCGTCACGAAGAACTTAAGGGGGCCTTGGTGGGTGTGACTAGAAAAAGAAGGGTGTGGTCAAGTGCAAGGACAGTTTTAGAAAAATATCTTAGGGGAGCGTGTCAATTGTTAGATTGTGGAGTAGGAGATTTTCCAATAAAAGATTTTCTGATGTCCAAAATGGAAGGTACCTTCTCGCCTGTTAACTAGCAAATGAGGTTGTGATTCTTGAAAAGTTTCCTTCTTTAAGTGTAAATAAAAATTCAAAACTTTGAAGGTCATCTCGTATAGAAACAGGCGGGCTTTAAGGCCAGTCCTAAAAAGGGTATTGGGATAGGCTTTCCATTAAAAGCTTCATCACAACACTTTCTTCAGTCAATCATTAAACAGAATAGGAGCCATTTTTACTCAGGTAGGTTAGCTTCTTGTAGCTTTGCAACACAAGCGATTAAAAAGGCACACAAAAGTTGCTACCTGAGGTGGCACCATGGTTGTCACAGAAGGTAAGGACATTTTCCAATTTTGATGCTTCCAATTCACTGAAAAATGCACTCATTAAACCTTACAATACAACCTTACCCTTAGAATTAATATCCGCAAGCAGAACACACATGTTATGTTGTGTTATGAATTTTCTGGTAATCATCCTCGCCATTAGTGCAACCAACCCTGAATAATGTGGAGTTGGTTCTCACTGGTTTCAACTTGCCAATTAACAGTTGAAATATTAACGTGTCAAGGAGCAAGGGGATTAAATTGAAATGAAAATTAAAACAATTAAGTATACCATCAACTATCATTGATTTCTTATTTATGCTACCACTGAGTTTGCTGAGCAAGCACCAATCTGAATCTACAGAGTAAAGAGCCGATTCATTATTCTTGGGGGGATGTCACACTCCCACCCTATCACCTATCCCCGTAGCACCATCCCTGGTCAACTGAACATTTTATTATCATTGATCAATTTTTTACATGTGTGGTACTAATTACCTGTTTGTTAAAAATAAGCACTTACTTTTTACATATTATGAAATGTCCATTATTAGTAATGGAGCATCAAAAAAGGCCTCATATTTTGTAGAAGGGGCCCCTTTTCAGCAAAAAGGGGTCCTTTTTGCAAGATTGGGAGGAGGCCCACCATTCACTAGCTGGTGGGCCAGTCCGCCACTGGGTACTTCTGAATGAGTCTTAATACTTACCATCTTACTAAATTGATGCAAATTCTATAAAAAATAATGATTATTGGGTGTTTTTACCATTTTCCTGCTAATATGCTTGATATACATTATTATGAAGTAATTGCTAAACTTTGGACAATATTTTATTCAGTAGGCCTATCAAGTGTAACATTAAAATCCTTTTTGCTAAGATGATTCTTATTAAGCCTTGGAGTTTCTGCTCCTCAGTATTTTTATGGATCACATTATTTTGTATCACTTTTTTCTATTTTGTTTTGTTTTATATGCATCAGAATTTCCAACTTATGGTCTTTTAGGTTTGTTTGAAATCATTTGAGAAGCTGTCGGGGAAAAAGTCATGCCCAATGTGCAGAAAACAGGAATATCAGTCAAGATTGATATTTGAAGGTGCCAAAATTCATTTAGATAGGGCTGCTACAAGGTATGTTGCTGGAGAGTCCAGCTTCAACAGATATCCAGCTGGTACTTGCAGTTGTTTTCAACTGACTTCAGTAAAAGGTGTTAGCATTACACAAGTAAAATAGAAGTAACTTAGATTATGAAAATTACTTCTAAAAAATCTTTCGAACTTTTTTACCTCACAGTTCGGGTTTATCTTGCCTAGAGTTTAAAGTACTTTACTATAAAAAGGATCATTTAAATAACATTTTTAAAACAAGAACTCACAAAAACAAATTTTTTTCATAGTGAGGTGGAGGGGGTGGGAGTTGGAACGTCATCCATAGAGGAATAAGAAAGTTGCCATACAAAGACATAAATGGAGAAAAATTTAGGTGCTTTTCTGCCTACTGATAGACGGTTTTAAAGACAAACGAAATATTTTGTGAAGAAGCTGAAGATTTGTAGAAAAACACTATGAAAAATTATATCCAGCCTAAATTTATGGAGATAAAACCAAATCTGGGCTTGAAAAAGTCATATAATGAGGTTTGGAGAAATTTGCAAAATGAGGTCGTAAGTCGAACTGCTCCCTGATCACTATATTAATGGCTTGCATTAAGCTCTTCTTTTGACCATGTAAAATCTGAAACTGGCAAGCACAATTTTAAAGAAGGTCATGAAATTATTTTCTAATCGTCAAGAATTATCGTCATTTTTCAGATTACAAGCATGCTGGCGTGGCTATGTAGTTCGGCGAATGTACAAGAGGTTCCGAGCTATGAACCCACCCAAAGACAAACGCCTTCGAAAGACTTTTTACGAAGCTGAGGTTTGATATAATCTGATTAGTTCTCGCTGTACAGTTGAATTCAGAGTAATATACGCCTTCTATAAAGCATGATTAAATAAAAATTTCAGGTTTTTCATAAATTTTGTTTTGTTTTTTCTTAATCTATAGGACTAGATTTCTAAATTCCTAAACTTCCCAACCATCTTTTACAAGTCGCTTTTGCAAGTTTATATGATGTGAATGGCCTCTCCATCATTTGTTTTAAAAATTTAATTCACTGTCAGACAAAAGTCGTTTTTTCATCTGCTCTCCAGCCTTTCATGCACATACTTGAACTGATTGTAGAAATATCTCCCTTTTTAGCTGTCAAAATTGACAGACAAATTTCTGCATTCTGTCGAGAAATGCTCCCGCGAAGTCGATGTTCTCATGAATGAAATCGACAGTGACTTGGAGTACAGCAGAAGGATACTAAGGTAAGTTTGTCTGTTGCTGTTGTTAGAAACCCCATCTCTCCAGGGCTACCGCCAGTGCTGCCAGTGTACACTTGCCGTCATTGTGTCGCTGAAACAATGGCAACTTCTATGCAGATTTGCGTTTGTCAGCTGTCTCTAATTTACTGGATTAAAGGGCAACTTGCAGGTCGTATAATCAGTCTGCCTATGCCACCCAACGTGTGTAACGTAACTAGACCTAAAAGCTTAATAAGTATCATCTTTGGTAATTTAGCTTCTACAAGGCTTTAGGAGTATCGAAATTCATTCAAGACAATTTCGTCCAGAAACATAAATGGGGAAGGGGTTGAAAGTCAAGGAGATGAAGTAAATTTGGGTGGGGACATTAAAGGTCCATCGCCATCATTCTCTATTTGGACTCGGTTCACTGGGATCCCTTTATACACCAGACATTTTCTTGGTGTCACAGCTGCAAACATCTTCACTTTTTAACGGAGTTATGTTTTAAAATTTCCCCGTTGTTATTTTCCAACCTGAACTAAGGCATATAATTAATTGCAGATCTCTTGAAATAAACCAGAAAGAATTGCAAATCGACTGGGAATCGGTGCAAGCTAAGGTACGTAGTTATCTGCTACATGTCTACTTACATGCAATAATTCTACGTCCGACATACTTCTTTCACACGCAGTTATTACAAGGTCCCCTGTGTCTGAACAATGCGTTTCCATTTTCCAGCAACATGTTACGTCTGAGCATGTTAGTAAAACAAAACTCCTAAGGGGAATATAAATTGTGATATCTCAAGATCATTGTCTAATATCAAATATCATTCAAATATATCAAATTTCTTTCTTCGCAAATTTTGCAATGCAAACTTCAATAAATGGCCAAGGCATTAGAGGACACAGGGTATTCATCTGAATTCAAGGCCAGTCTGTCAGTCGTAACCATCGACGACACTATTCTTCCATTATCAAATGAGATTCAAAATTTTTGCATACAGAAATCGTTTTTTTACGATACTCTTTATTATTTGCTTAGTTTATGCCACGCCTATTTCAAGAAGTGGCAGTGTAGAGCGCCTTGGTTTTTGTCAGATTTTCAGTGAGATTTTCGGTACATTTGGCATTTATTAGAACGCAAAATAAGAAACTGCAGCTTTAATGGTTTCGTTCTAGGCCTTGCATATGGACCTTCGCGAATGCCCGATCTGCCTAACGTCGCTTGGTGAACCAGGAAAAGCATTGAAGGAGCGTCCAATTGCTTTGCTATCGTGTGCACATCTGTTTCACGATGTTTGCCTACAAACATATGAAGAATGTAACCTCGTTACCAAACACCAGTGCCCTGTTTGTCGTTCTTCGTATACCAAAAAGAAGTTTCCCGTGACTTAGTTCTTCGACATCAAGTCAATTTCATTCCGTCGCTAGGTTTGCGATTTTGTTACTGCAGAAATAATTGGATGTCGACATTCGCATAACAACGTTATACCTGACCAGTTTGGAAGATTTCAGGGAACCTACAATGCATACATATTTCCACATAGCAAAACTGCAGTGAAGAAGGTCAAACAGCATACTAGATTACAAATCTTTTTTGTAACAATCAAAACTCACTTCTCCCTCAAGATACGTCGTTGTTTTACACGGCGAAAAATAGACAACGTGAATCGTTTGTAGGGTTGGCAAAATTAAAGCAAATAAGATTTTTATCTTATCATCAATTCATGTATAAATTCAATGACAACAGAGCATATTGAGATCTGTAATGAAATACTAGGAAAAGGTGATCTAGCAACACTGACCACTACAGCGAATAAACCATTTTTAATTAAAAAGGATTTTGAAGCAATTACAATCTATCCTACTCAAATGACCTCGGATTAAGAATGAGATTAAGGGACACCAATGTCTTCGAGAGAGATCCGACAAAGATGGATAAATTTGTGTGGAAATTACCTATCTATTTTTAGCTTGCTACACAGCAACCTTCGCCACTCTGATTTAGTGGCCGTAGTTTCAATTTTAATGTAAACATGATGTAAAAGCACTTACACCATGGCTTAAAAGTTAATTCAGCGTTGATTTGGCCAACTTTCATATCGATGAAATCAAAGATTTCGACGAAATGAGGTCATGTGAGGTCTTTGTTTTGGATTCCTTTGACGAAATTCCTACGAAGACCTTTGCATTCTCTTGCGTTTGTTATAATTCATCATAATGAAGACACGATGACAACAAAAATTTGTATCTGGTTTTTGCTGTGAATGTTGCCTTTAAAAACAAAAGAGGACAATCATAATAAATTTAAATATGTAAAAAAATTATGAACTGTACCAAAAATTAACTGAGCTCATTTTCAACATTGAATTTTCAGGAGACTTTGATAAACATAATTTTGGGTGCCAAGTCCAGGAAAAGCTTAATAAAACTGAGAGGAAGTAAAAGCTTCACAAACATAGTTATTAAACTGCCCGTAACATTATGACGACCAATATTAAATGAAATGCTGCTCGAAGTTGGCTTTGAAAAACAAACAAACAAACTCTGAAGAGTATAAAATGTCAGAATAACGATCGAGCTAAAAATAAACCTAGTTACGGATCGAAATAGGCCAATCAGAAAACACGAGCATATTCCGATTGGTTTTTATTCAAATTTTCTACTTCCAAAAATTGTAAGTTCACAATTAACAAAATTAATACAAACTCATCAATGAAATGATTAAATATTTTCGTAGTCAGTTTATTTTGTTCAGTTCATCAATTTATCTAGAAAGAAGTCTCTCCTATAATGATCGTCTATCGCAAAATAATTAAACTCATTCTCCATTTTTCTTGGGAATAAACGTAACACCAATCATTGAACATCTGCTACGAATTCATTTAATGACTCTACGTCTCTACATGTCCTTGTTTCCTTCCAGTCAAATGTCAAATAGCTGTACACTGACAATCGCATATCTGCCGAGCTGAATCTGTCGGCCAGAGACCTTCCCTGTCGCATTGTTGGACTTATCACCATTTTCTGTCTTTTCAAAGTGGTCTCTCTAGCTGGTCTTCTAAAATATGCAAAAATTTGCAAATATGAAAAAAGTTCTGCCACGCTACTCTCCACTCCATTCTTTAGCTTTAACGATACTTTCAAAGAACTGAACCAATCTATAACGTCATAATTTGGGAATCCACAGAAATTGCTAAGATGCACATATTTTCACTGAACCCATGCGTGTGTTCGTGTAATTCACTGCTCCTGCAACCAGCTTCGCTGCTCCTGCTCTAGCAATCCTTGCAAAACGTTTTCATTGAGGTTCAGTTTCTTTCGCAGTCCGATTCATATACATAGGCTGGGAATCATCGATATTTTTTCATCTAGGACCAGTTTTATCGATTTCATCTCCTGTCACCAACTGTGGAGATAGTTTGGCTCTAACGGTACAAAAGTAAGCAAAACGAGAAATATTTACTTTCAACCTTTTTCATACATTTCAACAACAAACATAACTAAATTTAGATATGGGAATTTAAGATAAAGTGTTTTTACAATTTACTGTCCAATAAAAAGCTTTCGGTATCACGTTGGAAACAAACCAATAGTATTTAAGAATAACAACATGATATAAAATTGAGCAGTGAGTAAATGTAAGAGAAAGTGAGAAACACCCAAACATTCTACTTTTTGGTAGTATTTTACCCATAGTACTTAAGACAACAAAACAAAAAATAATGTAAACGAGGGTAAGGCAAGATAGGGTATCGGGAAGAGAGACCAAAATAAAAGAAGCAAAGTATGCGATAATAATAGAATAGAAAGGAGATAAAATATCGTGACATACTAATTACCTTAATAGGTGATAAGCAGCAGTTGAAATCTTTGGAAAAACGAATCTTTACCTCTGCCTAGAACCATGTTGTAGGTTAATCATAAAAGATGGCATGACATAAATAATGATGTTAAGGAACCAATAATCCTGCGATGAATGTGTCGAAAATCGCCTCGTAAAAATCTCATTGCCTTAAAAAGTGTCAAGAAAGTTAACTGCTTTTCGGATTACTGTCAAAGTCAAAATATTTCGGAATTCTGGTAACCCAAATTCCTAAAATGTATTTCAACAAAGAAGCAAAAATAGTGAACTTACTTTAATTCTGATGGTCGCGCCTTATGGATAACTCGAAGCACACAGGAATCTACCAGTGATGCATTATCCCTGAAAGAACAAAAATGACAATAAGTTCTATAAGGAACCGAAAAACAATCCTAAGTTAATCATATTGGTACGAAACAATGTTTAATATGTTACATTACTTTTACTAATTAAAGCTAATATTTAATGGAGCAAAAAGATAATGCCATTGCTTTGTTCAGCTGCACTGCAAGGCCGGATTTTTCAGTTGCTCTATCATTTATTGTTTGTTTAGGGTACCTTGGCCTTTTCTGGCTACTAACCTAGGACTTTCAGGCCCCCAGCTCGACTTCAATTTTCACTGCAACGAGGTTCGAAAAGTGGGCTTAAAACAGTACGTGTCAGCCCACTGAGGCGAAAGATAACGCTCTTTCCACTATGCAAGACAACTTCCAGACTTAATTTTCAACCCAACACTGGAACAAAGGATCTAATCGAGGTAGTCTTAAAGACTCATTGCTAACAATGAGCCCTTGCGCTACGCAAGCATCCCATTATGCATTTTCAGACAGTCTGAAATCAATTATTGTTAATCAGTAGAAGTTTACTGCCATTGTTTGGATTGTTGCCTGGATAATTTGCCACCCTTGCAAAGGCTCGTTGTTAGTCAAATCTTTGATTGGCTGAGAGCTCTGATCTCTACTATTTTCTCCCAACCAAATAAGCCAATCAGCACACGGTTAAAATAGGCCTAATTCTAGCTGCGAAGTGATTTTGTTTTGTTGTGAGAATCCTGTATGCTGAATGGCTTATTTGGTTGGGAAAAAATAGTAATGATCAGAGCTCTCAGCCAATCAAAGATTTGACCGCTATGCTCTTAAAGTCTCGGCTTCTAAACTTATACTTACTAACAAAACATAGACTCGATAAGCTGTGATATTCTAAATGATATAAGTATGCCTTGGGCAAAATAGGCCGTTTATAACAAAAAATCCTGATCATTTACTGGTACATAAATGTGATATACAATCTCAAATTTTAATACCTGATAAAACCAATAAATAGAAAAATATCAGTAAAAGATACGCCATGATCATACTGCCGCTGTAGATAGCTACAATAGATATACACTGTCGATCTCCTTTTGATAATAATACATAGCAAGGGGATGACAAACAAATTATTGTTAACAACAAATATAAAATATCTAGAAGTGTACATCTCTTCTAATATGGCACCGATAAGACTGGTGAATTTTAAATAAATATCTAAATAATGTGTTTATGTAAAGAACAGGTATTCATAACCAGGTTCTAAAACGGTAATTACCTTCCATTTTACTCATGCTAGCATCCAGGAGTGAAATTAAAGTTTTGCCATTAAAACGATAATATGATAAAAGAGCGACAGGAATTAGTACATTTTGAAATTGATAAGGGAGAAAAAAAATGTTTGAAGAAAAGAAGCTGTCATAATAATTTAATGCTTAAAACAGTAAAAAATCTTTAGTGAAGGGTAGGTGAACACACTGTATCATCAAAGAGTTGAAACAAGAGTATTACGACAAATGCGGAGGACATTTATGGGTGTAGCCTTTGTTTCAGTATAAAACAAGATTTGACAAACATGACCTTCATCGACAAAATGACATAAAGAGCTATGCAAAATGGAGAGAAAATATCTTTCGAATATTTCTAGTTACAGTAGGTATGCCAAAAGTTATCTGCATCAAAAATACTTAGAGGCTAATGAACCATTGTTCAAAGCGAAAATATACAACAATTGGCATGGAAATCCTAATGTATATACTAGCAGCTGAATATCTGATGCCTCCAATTAGGCCAGGAGAAATATGTTCTGCAGAAATGTTTGTTTAAGTTTAGACACAGGTATCTGCTTTGGACATTTCTACAGTTTTACAAATCCTCCCGAGCACAGATGCCAAAAGAGCAAAACAAAAGCAAAATAAAGAAAATTGCATAATTTTGCAAGGGCAAAGGTGCGGCTGCCCCCATGCCCCTTTGCTACAGGGCTACTGCTTCCCAGCTCAAAGTTGCATCTACAATGAGCTATTAAGTAAATGGATAAGAAGTGTCCTTGGACATTTGTTGAAGTACCATTGACCCACCATTGAACAATGCAGTTAGCATGAAAAAGGCATAACCAGACCTTGACAGACTATCTTCAAAACAAATTGCTTGCTATCTGAATCTCAAGTTTTTTATCCATACATTATATTACAAAAGAAAAGAAATCCAACTTACTGCAAATGTCAAACAAACTGACTACAAACTAATTCAACAACAGGCTGTGGCTTAATCAAGTTTCAACCTGTAAAGATTGTCACTAATCATCCTAATACAATGTTACTTGAAATTCTCAGGACTAACAGATTAAAATAAAACAAGCTACATTTACATGTGCTAAATACATCAATCAACATAAGGCGCTATTAAGAAGAATTTAACAGCATTGTCTGACTAACAAGAAGTCTTTGAGGATCTCTTTTTTTTACATATCTATGCTAATGAAAGCAATCTTCCTGTACTAAAATAGCTTGGTGCAAAGTGTCTACTTTTTCTAAAGGATTTCCTAATTTTTTGATACTTGCTGATTACTGAAAGCTGTAAACTGGCTTCAAAAGCTTCAACTCGATAACTGTATCTGAAAAAGACCAAAATTGATTCAAAGACAAGGAAAATTTCATTCACTGATACAGAAGAGGAATCATATTCTAAAATCAGTTTGAATGAGACTGCAGAAAATATTTGGTAATTAACATGGTATAACAAAACATCAAACTAAAGCTAATTTTGGTGCATGTGCTAAACATATACTAAACACTCTAGATATAGCTTTGCATTTGCAATAAAAAAAGCTGGCCAAATATCAATTGTGAGACATGAAAACTCTCCAAAATTACCGAGTTATACATGTCAATGTAAGAGGAGACTTTGAATGATATAAAAAAATTTTCTACTAAAATATTACCAAGATAAGCAAGGTGAATAAATATTTCTAAAAGCATTCAATGTCCCTAAATTATCAAATTAAAAACTGTGATAGATTTTCATTGAAAAAAGAGAAAGAAGTAATACCATTCAGTATGGCCTGTATGATTTTGATTCAGACTTTTGAGGATACCGAACTGGTCCATAGCCAGATGTGGTTTGAGCTGAAGGTCCATAAGAGTCTTCAAAATATGAAAAGTTTTGACCAGAACCTGTGCTGCCATCTGCAGGTACTGTGTTTAATGCTGGATTTTGTACTGCTTGCGGGACTGTATCTTGCTTCACGACCTGATTTGTCTGTTGCCCTATACCAGCCAATGAGCTTAACAGCCCTAAGGTATTTACATTTGTCCCTGCACTGCCAAGAAGTTGGCTTAACTGACTTGTGCTTGGTGTATTGACAGCCTGATTTGGCATACCAAACTGGGGTTGTTGATTGCTAAGTGCTGTTTGAAGCAGTTGCAGTATATTGCCTTGGTTAGTATTTAGGACTGGACTTGGTGCTGCTACAGTTTGAGCTGGAGCGACAAACTGAGGGTTTCCATATGATAACCCTAGCAATAAAGATGGTATAACACAACTTTAATGACTTTGCATAGTTACCTGAGTCAAGGAAACAATTTTTACAAAGATTTCTTACCTGATAAGAAGAACAAAAGATTTTCCATGGCCAGCATCAAGTCTAGATGTTTGTATCAGTGCTTATTAAGAAGAAAATCCTCCAAAAACCGGAGAATCAATAATGGAAAGAATTCTTCAGACTTAAAATGAAATTCTACAAGAAGTAATTGCCTAATGATATATAGCATCCATATCAGGGAGGCTGATTGGAATTTTAAAGTTTGTGGTTACCTGTCAAACTAAAGAAATTTGAACTGGTTGTAGTGACTAGCAATGTCTACTAAACATTAGCAAACTTATCTCACGTTTCAACTGTAAGTTCCAAACTGAGTTTGATTTGATTATGCTGGTGACAAATTTCAACTTAAGCCTCTGTTAATAATACCTTCATTAGAAAAGCCACACTGACTGAGCAACCTTTACAATCATGTGCATGCATTTGTGATTGGCCTATTTCACTCTACAGCTGGATTGATCTATGTTCTAACATTTTATACGCTGAAAAGTGTAGGACAAAAAGCTTTGTATGCTTCAAGATGGTTTATAGTAAAAAATTGTTTACCAGCAATACTATTGTGATTATACATTACATATGTATTTACCTGGATACTGATGGGCGGCGACTACCGGGTTTGGTGTAATCATCTGCTGGACCTGAGCAGCACTAAGCAAATTCTGGAGATTGTTCAGAACTTGAATAGCAGAACTCAAATTATTAACTAGAAAGAAAGAAAAAGAACTTAATCAGTTACACATTTATATATTTTTGAATACATGATAAAGATCAAATACATACTTTATGGTTGAATTTACTTGATTACCTAAAGTGTATGTATTGACCATAATAAAAATTAAATGAATGTAGCTTTTACCATTAGGTAATCCTTTTTCAGAAGCCTTAGCATGTCACCTTGTAACAGTTCCACCAAACCCTAAAAAACTTTTTACTAAAGCTTTGATGTTCCTTGCAAAAGCATAAGTAAAAAAAATTATCAAAAATAGGGAACTTTACATTTACTTTTGAAAATTATCTGAATCTTCAAAGATTATCCTCTTAGGTGCAAGGATTTGTTAGTGGTTAGGGCCCAGGGTTATAGATCCAAGGGTTTGGGGTTCAAGTCTCTGAGACAATCAAATTGTAACCCGAGTGAGGGGAGTAGCCAGCTTTCTACAATTCTAGGCATAGGAATAAAGAGGTGTGGTCACATGGTGAGGGAGGACCAGGAAACTGCTTGATATGCATAGCTTCTCAGTGTCCTAAAAATTACCTTCGGAAGGAAGGTAGAAACAAAAACAAACAATCTTCAAAGAGATGACTTCACTTACCTTAAAAGAAGAAAGTTGAACACAATTGACTGTCAGCTCCAGGATTTTTAATTTCCCTATTTATTAGGCTTTAGTTTCTGCCATATATCCCTTTACTTTTTAACAACAACTTTAAAAAGGGTTTAGAGGTAAATAAACATAGAAAGAGAAAACCTTTACCATCTACACTGTTGGTGGGTGGAGCCTGTTGTTGCCTTGTCATATCTAATTGGTTCCTATACCCTGCAGCAGCTACTGCCTCTCTTTCTTTTCGGTTCATCAATGCAGATCGAGGTTCTGCTTTGCGCACCTCACATGTTTTCTCACATATTTCATGATTTCGCAATGCACATACTTTGTCAGCAGCATCTTCGTCTTCAAAGACAACAAAACCAAACCCTCTTGATTTCCCAGTCATTTTATCCATCAGCACACTGGACTCAAGTACTTTGCCTACAAATAGAAATCAGATACAATTCCATCTAAACATAAATTAGTGACGTTTTGGTAGATACTTCTGACTTGCAGGCTTAATTCAATTTGACAGTACAGTTTATTTGATAACAAAATAAACTTGCCATTGTATCTAGAGACTCTAGATACCAGAGTAATTTCCTATAACCATACATTTCTTCAAAAATTAATGTCTGGTTTGCAAAAAGATTATCACGATTCTTGTTTTAAACTTTTTTCGTTCCTCTGTACATAACAAAAAGAAAAATGTACTAATTTATTGCAAAATGCACCCACGATAGATTGATTGTGATAACAGCTAACTTTCGTTCTGGAAGGAATCTTTGATCCCAATAAAAAAGTTTCCAATAACATTCAAGAGAAATTAATTGAAAATTCTCATTACTTACCAAATTTGCTAAAATAAGATTCTAAATGTTCTGAAGAGGTACAGCTGGCTAGGCCACCAACAAATATCTTCTTGACACCAATGCTCGTCGAATATCGTGAACTGGACCTATCCTTCATTTCTGCACGGTCTACCTTTGGTAATGCCCGTTTGACTTCAACCAATCCACCGTTGACAAAGAAGTTTTTACCATCTTTTTTTGCTTGCATAATATCGTCAACACTAGATGGGCCCTCGAATATCACGAACCCAAAGCCACGAGACCTTCCAAGAGAATCCTTCAACACACTAACATCTACTACCCTACCATAAGTCCTGAATGTTTCAGCCAAAGATTTTTCGTCAACATCTCTATTCAGACCACCAACAAATATCTTTTGAAGCTGTTCGTTGTTCCCTGCCATTCTTTATCACATTCACTCCCACTTCGATAATTTGACAAGAAGCCACTACGCTGCACCTGGAGAAGTGCGGGTACTTCTGCGTGTACGCTGCACTTTCACGAGTAATGTCATGCGGCACTCTTCTTTGTAACCAGAATGCGCTATATTGAAGCCAAAAGTAATTTCTTATGCGCATTCAACATTGAAAGTTGCAGTAGCAAATCATAGCAAATACAATTAGCTGATGAAGAGAAGTCTAAATATAGAAAATTCAGAATTCTCAAGCAAGAAATTGAACCTAAAATTATAATTGGCTTTTCGCTATTTTCACATCTTTATGGACAGTTCTGCCTTACGTGCAGACCCAGGGATACGTATTACGATTGCAATTCATGAAAACGTACTTCCTAGTCTTCTACGTTGGCTTATTGAAAACCAACATTGATCTCAGAGAGAGGACTGAATCTGCCCCTGAAAACTGATGTAGATGTTCAAGATTTCGGGCAGGGCTTTTATATAATAATCTGATTGAGAGATCAAAGTTGCATTATTTGGAATTTCGTGTTGTACTTTGTCCAACCTTCTGTATTCTAGAGACGGGGTACACAGCTTTTGAACCTAGGAAAAGATCGGTCTTTGAGTTCAAAAAGGGCTCGTAAAAGTCCATGCTTGGATAAAACTGGTCTTGTTTTGCATGGCTTGTAAGTGAAGAAAATTTACAGCTACGTGCTAGAAATACCAACAGGCATCTATCTTCTAGCAACTGTCCTCTTGATAGTATGCGTACTTGATCTTAAAATAATGACCCCCTTTTGATATGTTCATGAATTTTTGAATTAATCCATCAAATAAAATAGCGATACTTCTTAATACTCAGATACTTTTAGGAAGCAAGCGAAAATATTCTGGAGAATGTTTCCAAGGCTGAAAAATCACTTGCTAGCTGAAAACACCCATTAAGTGTTCTATACTTTTTTTTAAATTTCACCACAGAATCATAACCAAAAGGTCATAAAAACTTCAAGAAGAAAATGTTAAAAAGTATTGTTTATGTACAGTATCTACATTAAAACCTTTTATCTGAACTGAAAAACTTTCAGCACTGCAGAACTGGGAATAACGGTGAAGACTAAGTTTGTTACGCATACAGTAAATTGGGTTAGGGCATTTTGGAGACGTTACTAGCGTTGGCAGAATATTGACAGATATCTACAGCTTCATTCATAATAAATTGTTCATGTACTGGTAGTCCTCTCCTTTGCATTTTTGAATAATAATCGTTCCAGTAAGGTTTTATGCTACCACAGGACACAGGGGTTCTAGCACAAACTAGAGTTCTGAGTGTTTTATTAATCTTCACGTGGTTATCTAACAATAGTACTTGGCCTCTAGTGACTTGGAATGACTTGTTGAGAGCACAGTAACCTGCATGTCTTTCCTGAAACGTCATTTGAGTATAGGAATCTCGCCTTTTCACTTCTCCGTGTACTGAAAAATTTCGGTATCCAATAAATAAGAAATTTCTAGGGTCAACAGGCATTATTCATCTCACATGCTACAGGCACTGCAATTAGGCCAAGCGTTGTCAACAATTAAAATGTCAGAGACAGAGTTGGACAATTCCAAAGTATGCTTGAGCTTTACTTTTACTTTAAATGTTAAAAATTCGAATGAAAAGGCGCATTGACAAGGTTTTGTAACATATTATCATGGAATACAAGACTTTAAAAGCATTTTCTTACTTCCAGGCCCAACCTAATGACCTTATGGTACGCATCAACCAGCTGCTTGATACGAAAGAGAAAGCTGCAAGTAAGTTTTACTGTCTGTAAGTTTAACTATTACTTTTAACTATCTGCTCGTATTAGAAAAAATCGCTCAAAATGATGACTTTCTAGGCTATTTTGAACCAAGAGACTAGCTTTAGATGTTAATTTCGTGCAGCGATCAAGAAAAATGCTGACAAGCCTGTGGCAGCAGCCTGTAATATTCTTTATCGAAAGATTACTGCCTTTCTTTCATGTATATTGAATTGGCTTTAAAGTAGGCCCTGAAGAAGTAGCGTGCAAATCCTGAAATTGATTCCCCTGTTTCAGAGGCTTTGGAATTACTATCGGTGTATGTTAGCTGCTGTGACGTATGCCAGCCTTCCATTGGCTTGATGTTTTGGATTTCAAAACAGCACTTAAAAACATAGGCACATTGAGCTTTATGGTCCAGTTTTATCTTGCTATTTACATGAGCCAGTGGTATAACATCTTTTAACTTAGTATATGTAGTATAAATTTTTTGAACTTAGTATATACTTGCCGGGTAGGAGAATTTTGCAGTTGTGCCTCTTCAACAAGCAACATTTAAAACGATGGTCCTTACTTTTAGTTCACCGTAAGATCTCGAACTCTAAATCCATATTTTTCCTCTTTTTAAGATCTCTATTCAATATTCATCATCATCATCATTAATTCCAATATCACAGCCGTGTCTTACCAATAACAACGTCTTTTGCAATTTGAAAATAGTCAGTCTGATTGAGAGAAAGCTCAATTTGTCATAAGCCATAAGCTCAATTTGTCATAAGCTCAATTTGTGAACATATCAGAAATTCATTTTTGTTATGTATCTTTTAGAAAAACCAGAAAGTCGTCCATCTCAGGACTATCTCATGTACACCCCACCTCCAGAGACCAACGAAAAACATTCTTGGGTCAGTTGTCCAACATTTGGGGGAATCGGAACGCCACCAAATTCTAGAACGCCAAGTCCCATTAGTTTTGGTACTTTTGAAGAACATATGGCGCCATTTAGCTCGGTAAGTTTTATATTACATTAAGCAAAGTATTGAATTCCTTTTAGAAAAGTTTAGCCTTGAACCAAAGATCTTCCATAATGTTCATCATTGGGACACATGCCTTTTGTGGGTGGAAGACCAGCTGATTCCTGTGTTCCATTAAAATAGTCCTTGGGGACCTTTGGAGAGTGACCTTTACAATCAGCGAACATCATCGCAATCTTCTTACCTGGGGTTGATTTCAATCTTCCCTATTTACTTGGTTTTTTGAGTTCCTTCCCAAAAAGAAATATTTTTCTCGTATAATAAACTCCTATTATTTTATCTTTTTTGTCTCAGATTGGCTTTCAACCCATAACAACGCCGTTTTATCCATTTGCACAAATGCCACCAACTCCCGACTTCAACTCTCCATTTCATCAAATCACCGGTTCCCCAAACCCCATAATTACGAGAAGAAACCTCCCTATGACCCCAACATCGCCCCCTGGTGACATGATGCATTCGAATTTGCTTATGGACCCAAGGTGGAGCAGCCTCAGTCATCTCTATGGCTCTGCACAAGACTTTCTGGAAGCCGAACGACGGTTCTCATCCCAAAGTGAAGCAGGTAATTTCTACTCAATAGACTAAAGGTGGAATGCGTAAGCTGTTATAATTTGAGCAAGTAACCATTTTGCCATGAAAGGTACCTTTATTGGCCTATGATTGAAAACTTGAGGAATTGAATTCAGTCAATTGTAAATGATTTTAATGGCTATCTTCTTAGTTATCTTAGTTTAACAATAATATTTGATTTGTATTTTCGTACATTCTTTGAGGTATTTGACAGTAATTGTATTCAAACGATACGCTACAATTGTATTCAAATGATAACAAGAGATCCCCATAAACAATCTGTTTTTTTGCCCGTAGAACTTAATGAACCAACATACACGTGGAGTGGAAGGTTGCCACCGAGAAATCACAAAAACCCTGTCTATTCAAACAAAGTTTTTCTTGGTGGAGTGCCTTGGGATATAACAGATGGTGAGTTTTTACAGCTAAGTGTTTTTGCTAAGTGAATGAGAGATATTGTCAGATGCATGACGTAAATTCACGAAAATGTCAAAATTGTTGCTTGCTTCATTCTACATTGGAAAAACCAAGCCAAAAGAACTGATTAGGTATTAGAAAGAATCCATACTGATAGCACCAGAAAACATTTGAATATTAGCATCGATTGTATTGTATTGTATTGTATTGTATTGTACTGTATTGTACTGTATTGTATTGTACTGTATTGTATTGTATTGTATTGTATTATATTGTATAGATTACTTAATGTTACTTTTTACAATAGTGAACGCACACTAATTAAGACTAACATAAAGCATTCTATAGACTATGCATAAAACAATACAAGGTCAAATTACTTACTGCAAAACGAGCACGCACACTTGTTTTCAATGAACCAAATTTTGATCAAATTCTTGAATTGTCTAGTATTTTGAACTGATTGGATATGTATGGTAGTTTCTTTTGAGCTAGCAAGTAATTTTTTGTACGAAGATGAATTAGTATAACAATCATGAAATATCATCGTTCAAACTCAGTACACAATCTGTTGATGGGGAAGGTCTGGGCAAGAGACAAGTGTTACTAACCATGAGCAAAGCTGTTCATCTTAAAAGCGACATGACCCAGTTTGTCACAAAAGCATCCTGTTTGGGATTTCTATCACCATGTCGATGTGCACTTGTTTCATTTCTTCTGTAGCATTCTCTTTTCACTTGACTAGATATGTATCGTTTTTTATTCATAGTTGGTCTGCAACAAGCTTTTCGCCCGTTTGGACCTGTTCAAGTCGAATGGCCAGGGAAAGACAGCAAACACAATGCACAGATGCCGAAAGGTAATTAACTTACTTTTCACAATTAATAAAATGTACGAAAAAGTCTCCCAATTTTCTACTTCTCTTTAATTAGAGTAAAGCCGTCGGGGCAGATCTTTTGAAAAATATAATGATGGAGACTGTTACTTACCATATAAGGCCTAGCTGAAAAACAACGAGGAGATGGAGAATTATTGCAATTCTACCAGATTCAAAAGTCTGTTTATATTTTCGCATGCTAAAGAGATATAATTTCAAAACCTTGCAAAAACAAAAAGAAGTCATGGTTTGGCGTGGTCATGGTTTGGTGACTGGCATTCTATTGTTCACATCAACCTTCCTTTTTTGCCTTAATACGGTTTGCTAAGGCATGATATTGTGATGACGTCCCTCCTCATTATAACTACTGCAATGACCATATATGACTTTACCTAGAAGCAAGATACTTAAATGTTAACACATGATTATCTCTCACTTCCAATTATTGAGATGACATACTAACTTGCGAAGAGCAGCATTTATTTCCTCCCCTCCAAAAGGCTATGTCTACCTGCTGTTTGAAAGCGAAAAATCAGTCAAGGCTCTTTTGGCAACTTGTACGCACGACTGCAGCAACGGAGGAGACTGGTATTACAAAATATCAAGCAGACGAATGCGCTGCAAAGAGGTAATCAACATTTTTTTGAATTGTTTTTACAATACAATAAACAAAGCAAGCAAAGAACAACCTAGTATTTGCTACCGAACAGGCGTTACTATGCCATTCCTTCCATCTTCAGCTTTGCTAAAATTGTGCCACTGTTTTACTGGCGACTTATCAAAGTTTAACTGGCGATATCTTTCCGAAATTGGAAAAGACATAAGTTTAGCAATACTTAGAGGATGTCTACCTCCTGCAAAAAGGAAAGATTGGGCGTTTTGAGACGTTTTCTTCTGTTTCTAAAAAAATGTTTTTTCATGTATAAAGGTTTATGGCAACCAAAGCTTGTACAAAGAGATGGTAATTTGGAACAATACTGTTGGGTCTCATGGTACTTGACTTGAAACAAGTCACTTCGACTATTTGATAGGTGGCCCAAAGCTTTTAAAGCGTCTATTGGGCAGCGTTTATATAATTCCCATGCTATCGCACTATCCAATTAGTATATAGGATCTGGGATATCAAATTCAGTCAAAAACACAGTATGCTTTATTTCGAACCGATTCAACCTAAACGAACTTAAACATATTTAATGTTATCAGCAATGAAAGTTTTTTTTGTTTATTGTTTCTACGTAGCATCCGAAGGTAGTTTTTAGGACACTGAAAAGCTATGCTTATCGAGCAGTGTCGTGGTCCTTCCTCTCGATGTGACCACATCTCGTGATTCCTACGCCTTGATTTATATAGAGCTGGCGACTCCCCTCACTCTGGGTGAAAGTTTGGTCATGCCAGGGACTCGAACCACGGACCTTTGGGTCTGTAGTCAGCGCCTTCAACATCCTCGCAATGAAAGTGACGTTTCGATCTGCTTCTGAAACCTAAATAGTCTATAAACTCCTTCCATAGGTGCAAGTTATTCCGTGGGTTCTATCAGACAGTAACTTCATGCGCAGTGCGTCACAGAAACTTGATCCAACCAAGACTGTATTTGTAGGTGGCCTGCACGGAATGATTAATGCAGGTCAGTCATATCTTTGATCAATTAAAATGGGATGGCAAATCCGACAGATCGTTAGTCCCAAAGAATTTTTCTCTTAAAGGTCAAGGCACCATTAGCCTCTATAAAGGTTATGGTTAGATTAAGGTTTTTACGAGAAAAGAAATTTTTACAATTTTTGGGAAGATCTGAGGTTTAAGCAGGTTTTACTAGGCTGAATTGCAAAATGCATATTCAAGAAAGAAATTCAATATTATGAATAGAAATGCTTCATTATTTAGCATGTGAAATTTTATACAGCAATCATTTTTACATGTGGTTAATTCATATAGAATTTACATGAGTTTTTAAAGGTTTTTGGATGTGTTTTATTTTACTGGAAGCCTTTTAACCTAGTTGCTTACAGCATAGTTTCCTTTATAAATCATTTTCCCTACAAAAATTGGTGTACGCTTGGTGAAATCGTCTACTTGAATCTAAGCAAGAAATATAATTCAATTATCTTCTTCCGAGTGCCCTGATAAAATCATCCTGTCTCCGCGCAAATATTAAATCCAAAACTAAGTGAGTCAATCCCATTGTTATGATCGAAATGTAAATCTTGTGCATGTGGTGTTTTACTAATGCTACGAAGCAGTTGAAAATCCCATGAAATTTTAACTAATCTTTTTATTTCTTCAAACAGAAGCCTTAGCATCTCTGATGAATGATCTTTTTGATGGTGTCGTCTACGCTGGTATTGATACTGATAAGCACAAGTATCCGATCGGTAAGAAAGCTAAAAGTCTGAAGAATGATATGATACGGTTGCTTATTTATGATTATTATACTCATCATGACGCTGATAATGTTCATGGCGTTGTTTATGATAATGGCCACGAAAATAGATGTCGTACAGTTGATTAAAGTTATTTCTGCTGTTGTTTTCGTTGCTGTAGGTGGTTTATATGACGAGGTTTTCTCCTTAAATTCTCATTCGTCACGTCAAAAAGTTAAATGATATTGTTCAGGAAGCCAGGCCCAAAATACAGTTGAGGTACACCCAGATAAAAATAAACAAGTCTGCGAAAAAAACAAGGATACTGGAAGCTGTTTTTAGGCAAAACTGATAACAAAAATTAATTATCATATAAACGAAATTAAAGACAGTTTAGTTTTTAGTTTCAACGAAATTTAGTTTCTATTAGATCCAGCAATTAAACGTAGACCCTGTTAAAAATGCCCTAATACTGCGTCTGACTTGGACATTCTGTCTAGCGGCATCGTTGAAGCAGATGTTCAAAAACTGCTTATATGAGCAAATGTTTTCTTATCATACTTAATTAAACGGTCCATCTTCGAATAAATGCACCACCTACACTGGAGTTCAACCAGCTATGCCACTGTTACCGTGTTTACAAACAGTCCTCTTTACGAATGGAAACAAATTTTAAAGAGCAGATGTTGATTAGTTCGTTTGATGAATTTTGCAATTTCACAACCAATATACTGTACTTAGATTTTAAAACAACTGATAGTTTAGTTGTTTCAGTTGAGATAAAAAAACCTGTTTATTTTCCTGCTTAGTTAGTAAAAAATGAGGTTAATTTATTGAAAACCTTTAATAAGCACAAATTCACAAAAATAACATTTAATTACACGATGATGAAGCTTGATGATGGTTATATCACAAAGATCATGGTAATGATGATTATGATGATGATGATGATTGTTTCTTGCAGGCTCCGGTCGTGTGACCTTCAATAACCACCGAAGTTTCATGAAGGCTGTCCAAGCGGCATTCATAGAAATTCGAACCCCAAAATTCACGAAGAAGGTTTGATTTCTTTTTCAGAAATCATTACTTGTATTTGCTTGTTGCAATTTCATTATTTTTCATCACACCACATGCAGGGGCGCGGTGGTTGGGTCAAAATGCTTGCTACTCTGAATTCTTAATATTGCCTTGAGCCCCCCTAAAAGAATACTGCGTCCCTGATTGTGTTAGCTAAAGAACCAATGAAGAGTATCGATAAATCTTAAGAGGTTCCTCTGTAAAAGGAGGTCAAGCACTCTACCAACGTGGACTCTTAGTGAAGATTTTACAACGCAGCATTTAGGGCAAAATATTTTAATGTCTTTTCATTTTTTTCACTTTTTGATCATTACTTTTTGGTGCAGATCTTTAAACAAAACAAAATTGCAGTTTTTTACCCTTGTTTCTTTAATAGTGTTCTACGACAGTGCTATCTCCATTTCAGGTTCAAATAGATCCATACTTGGAGGATTCCATGTGTGGAACGTGTCACATCAACCCAGGACCCTTTTTCTGTCGTGATCCACAGTGTTTCAGATACTTCTGTCGTTCCTGTTGGGCTTGGCACCACTCTATTGAGGAGTTACGCATACACAAGCCATTGACCAGGCACAGTAAAGGCAGCATGTACATGTAAAGCGAACATATCTAGTACATAGATGTTGCCAACATTGACACAGGGATTCAAGCTGCACACGAGGAAGACTGGCCAAAGAAGAAAGATCAGGAACTGACGTCTGGCACATTGTATCATAAACTCAGCAATTAATATCCTTTTCATAAACCAAGGACATTGACTCATTGTATTTTTAATTGTTTCTAACCTTTCAAATGCTAAATGCTAAATATTGCTATTTCATTTTTTCATTTTATTTGATTTTATTTATTTATTACAAAGTCTAATCTGTTGTAGTTCATGTTCAATTATTTAGACTTTTCTTATCGCTATTTTAACAAATTTGTAATGCTTTGTAACACTATTATACACGAGTAGCTGACTTGCAATTATAGTCTATACTATTATACTTTTAATGTTGCTGTGAAATGCTGTCATTTAATCAAAATTCATTCGAAAAGGAGCAGCAAATTTTGCAGAGAGAGTAACCGTCACCCGTGGTGCTGTCTCAACTGCTAGGGTCTATTCTAAAGTTAATAAGAGAACGTTTGCAATAGTTGTTTTCTTACAATAACAGACATATGGACAGCAGAAACAAGCAGTTTCATCAAACTGATGAACAAATGTCAATAACTTACCCCGAATATAAAGGCAGCAATCACGCCCTGAGGCCAAAGTGATGCCTTAAAATTTGCAAAGGCCACATCAATAAAATACTGAAACGGAATCAGCGAAATTTTGATTAAATGACAAGTCATAAGATTCGAATGCCTGTCTAGCCCGACTATTTTGTGTTCGTATTTGACAGAAATTAATTCATTTACATTAATAATTTCTTTATCCTGCCTTTTTACCAACTATAAATAACATTTATTCAATTTTTTAATGCAGCTTAATCGTGACGCTAACTATTAACATTTAATTTTTCATTGACTCGCTTGATAATGTTTTTAATCTCGTGTATAAATTGAGAACAAACGATTGTAATAACATCGTAATTAATATATTGTGTTCAGGATCAAATTACTGTCGACTTGTTTATCCTTCCTACCTACCCTTGATTGGAGACATGAAGATTGAAAGAACGTAAGACTGCTCAAGAGAAGCACATCTTACGGCTGATTGAAAATTTGTAAAACTTTCGATATGTACAAAACAGATTGCTAAATTTTACGCAATTTTACGCTATATTTAACAAATCGTGGAAAACATCATTAGGTTCAGCCAATGAATTGGAATAAGGAATCATCGCTCTGAAAAAAGCCTTTTTTAAGTTGATGTCTATAGTGCAACCATATCTATGTTACAGAACGGAAAGAAGAAAACGATTCTGGTTTAAGTGTAATTATTTACGTTTTGAATGATGCATTTTCGCTGCCAAAATGCTTTGAAGTTTAAAAGATACAACATTTTTGTGTACTTAGCGCATTTTTTTGTGGTTAATAAGAAACTTTATGCAACAAAAACTTCGCAAACAACATACAAATCAATGACACAATTCGTTGAGGATACCGTTGTGTCCTCAGGTCCCCATAATACTCTTCCAACATAACGATATCGAAGCAGCATCTCCCCTCTAAAAATCATAGCCCCTAGAATCCATGATAACAATGATAACTATTATTGATGTAGCATATAACAGCATTACGACAGACAGTAGGACAGTGGCTGCTGAACCGAAACGTTATGATTTATGTTCAAATCAAGGATGAACCTAGGGATATAAGCCTTAAATATTCCAGGTAAGGGCTATTACCTTTTGGCAATTTCATGCACTACTAAGTGTGCAGCCACAGATTCCGTTTGCACTCAGAAAAGAGAAACTAATTTGACACTTCGGTTCTGTCCCTGTTTGGACACTTTGGTTCTTTTTTTGTCAGAGCATTGGTTCCGTTTCTATTTGTCATCGCTGAAAAAGCGTATCTAACTTCATTACATCTATTCAAGTAGAAAATAAGTTGTAAACAGAAATATGAATATTCAGAATAAGTTACCGATGGCAACCATGGTCAAATTTTTAAAAAAACTCTCGTAATCATTTACAATTTCTTGGCAACAAAGAGATCAAGATGGTAAAAAAGGAATGGTCAGTAGTAATAAGCTTCCATTTTTACGCTTCTGGTGTATTGTAATAATCTTATGATAGAGCACTCAAAGTGTAAGAAAAAACAACTCAAATATAGACACCAGATAGATAGCATGTTTTCATCAGGGGTTTAGGACGGGAAAATTGAGCAGGATTCAAGTGCTTGTAACACGGGCAGGCTGATTCCTCACGCATGCTCAGTGTAATCGTACAGACTATGAGGAATTTTGCTTATTATGATTGTAAACGAAAGCTGAGTTGATAGTGAGTCGAACTGAGCTGAATAATAAATAGATTTGTGTAAAAGGTTGTGTAAACGGAATGATACGAAGTCTTTGAAAGCTCAGTAAGGACATTAGCTGCAGAGTCCAGTAAAGTTGTTAACCTTCCTCCAGACAAAACCATCCCAGAAGGCAAACCTCCCTCACAAAACAATAGAAAATAGGTGTGGCTTAGGTGTGTCATAAGAGCTTCTATTGTTTTTCCTTGACCTTCCTCCGGTCAGTGGCCGTGCGACCGTAAAGTTTTCCTGACTCTGATTAGCTGTTAGATGATAAAATTAGTGCAACAAAATCTTAAATGCAAAAAGTTGAATTCAAAAAATAATTTTCTATGACAATAAAAAAGGGCGACAGGTGAGGGTATATCGATCTAGCAGCTTCCCTATCCGCTCCCTCATCCGACAAATGGGTGGGATCGAATATACCATTGACGGATGCCACCCATTTTGTAGCCATCAACCTTTTTTTGGTGATCAAAAAATATTTAGAAACGCGTGTAGATAAATCGTGATATCAAGACAGTTTTCATAAAAACAGCAGTTTAAGGAAAAATATAAGTTGAGGGAAGATGAATTTATTGAGTGTGATAGAAAAAATGACGCGATATATACGGACAGACTGGAGCCTTGAAAAGATGACGTCATCAAGTTATTCAAGAACAATTTTTTTCTTTAAACAAAAAACAAAACTTTAAATTTGTTTTAATAACTCTTTGTCGCCCTTTCACCAAAAAAGTTTCAATCAAATTCTGTTTAAATCTTCTGAACATTTCCAATAACAGAAACATTAACAAAACGCACTTCATTTATCAGTTTTTACAATACAATGGACTAACTTGCAATTCAGTTCATGTGCCGGTTCGTAAATAAGCGAGAACAGTAACAATAAACTTTTGGGTGTATAAAAAATGTAAAGACAAACAGCACCAGAGTTTTTCAAAATAACGTAGAATAAATTCCAAGATTGTAAATAAGGAAAATTTAAACAAACAGAAATTTTGAAGAAACAAAGTTTAATCAAAATCAACCAACTTTCTTTATTTCGATGGGAGAGCAGATTAATCAATGTTCTTAGACTAAGTGATGACCGACAAAATATACAAGAATTAATTCTTTGTTCTATTCCGGAGGTGACAAAGAACATACAGGAAAAAATCAACCTAGGTTTGTAATTAGAGGTTTTATTGGAAAATAACGATGTACACGTTCATTAAGAAAAGGAAGAGCAAATCTTTATTGTTGCCAACTAAGAACAACATCATGATGTACTTTTTGTCTTAACTATGCTTTCCCTTAAGGTACATGACAACCCTTCCGTGTGGGATTTAAGTTTATTTGATTTCTAAATTTCCTCAAATGTAATCCGTAATTGGTAAAGAATTCCTTATGTAGAAAAATCAACAGGAAGATCGACAGGAGGGAATGAAGATTCCAGTGGGTACAAAGGACAAGGCTCTGGATAGATTCGTCTCTGCTGGGGGATAGAAACCAAAGGACTGTCTATCGGTGATTTGTATTCCTCGCTCAGGTTAAACGTTGATGGTGTGGAGAATCCAGAGCAGGGTAGATCATAGGCTTGGTAAGGTAACTGATCACTTTCGTCTGGGAACCTAATGTAAATCATCTGCTCACCGTTTTTGCCCCACCGATCAGGGACAAAGACAGCATATGTTTTGGAGTTTTGTATTCTCAATTCCTCGTGGATGGATTCACACCTAATGTCACGTTGGGCTCTGTGCAAGTCGAACTGGTTATCGACGGAGGAAACAGCCGAATAGCAAGGTTCATCAGGCGTACAGGCAACCTCAGTCTCAGGACTCTCGCTTGAGTTAGGCTTCAAATTAACATCATCACTAAAAACTTCATCCGGTTGGCTCGGCAAAGGTCTGTCACACAAATTGGAGATATTAGACGTCCCTGGTTGGGTATATGACCCATAACAGTCTGAGCTGGACGAGGCAGACGGCTTTTGAAGCAGTTTTGGAAACCGGCCTGTGTTCCTAATACTTGTTTCTGAGTTTCCAGAATAACAATGTTGCATAGGTAAAGAATCATTGCCTCCCTTTCTACGCGGGTCACACGACCTTTTGCAAAGGGTCTTTCTATATAGCATTTCATTTCTACTATTTCTAGGCTCAAAAACAGTTTTACGCAAACGAAGCTCAATACTAGTAACTGCCAGTGGACTATCTTGAGTGCCTGGATAGCCCCTTAATTGGGACATATCTTGTCTCCGTACGTCATTCCTCTCGCTTATTTTGTCAACACCTTGCTTCTTTAGTTTGATTGCTATTTTGCTGAGACCAGAAACGTTCGTAACAGACTCCACCTGAACACCATTCATCGGCAAACCGAATGTCAAGGACGTAACTGTATTATCGAAGACGATTGGAAATGTCTGTGCACTTGACAATTTGTTCCCTAACAATTTTTCTTGTATTTTCTTTATCTCTCGTATCAGCTCTATAGCTGCGTTTTCGTAACAGTTTTCGCTTACAACAACAGCTTTTTCATGAAAATGCTTGAGCTTCTTCTTCAATTCAACCGTACACCCACTTGGAAAAAACGCGTAAACAGCAGGGAAATCCAACTCTGCTTCTCTCAAGAACACGAGTACAGAGTTGTTTTCTAAATGAACTAAAAGCTGCTTTTTGAATATCTGGCTGCGTAGATTATGTTCTGTGATGTGATAGACGTATACATGCGTATTCTTAATCGAAGACCCACCGGATGCATTCAGATACTTTAGATCTTCCACATGCGTACTTCTTACGTAGAAAAACATGGCCAGGCTGCGAAGAATACAGGTTTCTGGTCTGACTTCACTTGTAACAGAAGAATCCCTTTTTGCGCGAGTGCAAAAATACACTTGAAAAGCTGCGTTATCGATATTACTCTTCAAAGGCATCTTGCCAAATTTTAGACAAAACGCTCGAATTTAAATGATTAAAATTACTAGCAGGTAGGGTGGCTTGAAACACACAGGTTGCTCTGTAGGACATCGGCTCAATGTGAGCTTCAGCGTTCTGAGAGTGAATTTCCAAATAACGATTTTAAGAACTTCCACATGTCTTTGCTTCCAAGCAACGACAGCCAACAATGAACAGATGTTTCTTTGTAATCAAATATAATACGAGACTATGGCTCTTTCACCGGACCCTCTAACAACAGCATCACTAGAACCATACGAAAAACTATAATACCGAATCCTAATAGACGAATCTTACCTTAAATGTCACAATATAAACAAGTTTATCTTCCCAGGCATATCAATTAAAGATTTCGATGACATATGTCTCACATCTCTCAGCATTGCTGCACTGACATGCAGCAATTAGTCGCTTTGCCATGGATGTTTAGTCATATCTTCATCGCCCCAAAAAAACAACCACAGGCCGCTTGCTGGGTACTCTTGGCCTTTCCAGTCAATAGCTTTTGCGTGAATTTCATGCAGAGGCTTTTCGACCTGTCTGTCATTCGGTTAAGATTGACCACCTTCAAGCTTGTTCCCTTCACACACCTGCATGGGAGTGAAATTCACATTACTCCTCTGGAATTGTACCAATTATGTTCACCACAAAAAAGTTTAACGAGTGATTATCGCTGTTAGTCACTTAAGTAAATGATTAAATGGTACAATTTCTAGTCGTGCATTGTATTAAGGTTTAGGAACATTAAAAGAATAGCTGATCATGGAAAAAGCTTGAAAGGGTTCCAAGACACATGCGTGTGTATGAATAATTGAAAACCTAACTGTTTGCCGACCCAGTCGCTCTGAATATTGACAGAAAAATCATAACAAGGACAGATAAAAGCTCTTTCAACAAAGACTTAAAAAGACACCATGCTAAAGAGCTACAGTATTGATAAAAATATGCAGGTAATCTTAAAAAAAATTGACTGATAACTTGAAATACTGATGGCAAAACCATTGACATCAATAGTCCATGTTCTAGGAAACAAAAACAGGCAAGGCCCAATCATCTTAATCAAGTGACACATGCCTATGAGTAGCGTAAAATAGTTCTATGTACGAAGAAACGTAGCTTGGGATAAGCACTCAGTTTTTTAATTTCTATTTTTCAGTCGGTTATTTCGGTGCTAAAAGATCCTCAAAGATTTTGCAAATACCAAATGCTACTTTTAACAAGCAGAAAAAACATAAAATGAAATAATAAAAAATCATACATCTAATGAATGGTGAGGAGTTCTTCTTCCTATTCATCAATGACAATAATCAGGAAACAGGTGCATTTTCGTAAAAAATCATTTCCATCTCATCTTTTAAAGAAGAAAATTTTTAGCGGTTTCTCGATATTAACGTAATCAGTTTTCTGGTTTCTTAATATTTCGTCATCTTGGGGCTCGACTCCTTGTAGAAAGTTCTTATAAAAATGATTGTAGTAACGGTAAAAGGAGTGAGGTGTGTTCAAGGACACATATAAATATATATACAGTTTCATTTAATTTCATAAAATATATATAACATTTTCCATGACCTATGTCATCAACTGCAAGCCGTGATATTTGACAAGCCAAGTAAAATTTATCTATGTCATTAATATAAGTCTGTTACGACAGATTAAAAAAGATATGAAGTAATTGATGGCATAAATTAATTCTTGATCCCGTGACAGACAAGAAATTAACACAATGAAAAAAGATGAATTAAGCAATGAACGATCAGTTTCTTGAATACTTGACCGGTAATAGATCTCTACAAGATGAGGGAGTTAAACTCTACATCCTTTTAATTTCAACTTTGATATTGTTACCTCTAGTTGCTAATTCGCTATTGGAAGCCATATATTGATTACCAACATAGCGAATAATTTGGAAAGGAAATAAAAATCCACGACAAATAATAATCACAACTTTAACGCGAAAATTTAAACATTGACTCCCGACAATCTCCGTCCTCCCATCCATTGACCCATGATTCACCTCTCCCCACCCTTCGTAACCAACTCTCAAAAGAACCTACCGAACAAATAGCTTAATACTCACGGCTGTTGAGGCGACGCCCATCTTATGTCTTGATCTCCACCTGCGCAACCATGGCCGCAGTTCAAATCTCTCTATCAATGCACTGCGACGGTAGAGAAATTTACTTTCGTCTACCGTTTCCTTCGAAGGATCTTGGCCTCCTTCAGAACGAGATGCGCTCGAGGCTTCGCGCTGAAAAGAAACAAAACAATATTTTGATAATTCAAGGCAAGGGCAATTAAAGACGGTAGAAAAATCTGAACAGATCGCTAATTTGCAGCAGATTTGCTGCTGGAAAAACTAGATACAAAGACACTTAAAATTAAAGCAATTTCAGCCAGGGGCAATTCACACAGTACAAACGCAGGACAGGGGGAGGGAGTTCGTCAATAAGCACATGTTTGCGTATAAAGGGGGGAAAGGGGGCTGATGGAGTTGAAGTACGTACGCAAATTTTTTTTAGATACTGTTCTTTCTAGAGCAAGTTTTGATAAACGGTTTAAAGCTACAACTTTGGGGTGTGGTGCAGATTATTTGCACAACATGGACATAAAACTAGGTAAAAAATTCATCACCGCAGATTTGGTTGTTTATTATGGACCTTAGTGTAAACATTTACTTATTATCTTTTGAATCGCTGTTCTCATTGAAAAAGTTCCTTTTGGCAGTGTTGCCTCGTGCAATACTTAATGTCATAAAGAGTCATTTGTGTAGTGTATTCGGCAGACAGATGTACGTACTTTTGTATCGTATTGCAAAATGGGGGATGGATCAATTCAAGGTTTAAGAGATCAAGGGGGTGGGGGTTGCAAAAGAAGTACGACTGCCTACAAGGAGGAAGGAGGTTTGAAAATATACAAACTTTCTGCGTACTTAATATGTTAATGATCTCCTATCTATATTGCAAACACACTAAATAAGCAGTTTTTGCTATTCATTGACGTCACAAAAATGCAGAAAAAACACATTGGGTTATAAGATTAGTATCCGTTTAGAAAAACAAGGCGGTGTTGCGTCGAAGCCAGGGTGCCGAAGCTCATATGATAGTATTGGCAACCAGCTACTGGAATTTACAAGAAATGATATTCTAGCAATATTATGTGTACACGTTTCTGAGTACACTGTTATCATATCGATTGACAGACAATCTGATGTAGCTTTGCTGCGTGATATGATATGCTTATAATCACGAGCAATTATTTAGAAACCAACCCCCTTGTCTTATTGCCATAACCCGATTTATTTCTCCGAGCTTTCCTTCACCTCCTCTTTTAAAAACAATATTGACAATTATTAAACCAGAATTTTTTAATTTGGATCGGGGAATTGGTCAACTAAATAATTGCAATTGCTGTTATAGTCAAAATGTCTCGTTTGACGAAATCATATCGATCACTATATGAAACCAACATGCAATAGAAAGAGAGAGCAAATAATTATCCCACAGCCTTCGCAGTATTGCTACTTTGCCAGCACACTGCGGGTCAAAGAAGTCGTATATGGCCCCGTTTACAAGACAGAAAAAAGAACGGAACTCTTGGTTTCCTTCTTGTTTGGGCGCGATGCCTCTCTCTCTTTTCATTGCGTTTACACTGAACAAAAAAGGAACGGAACCAAATTTGACCCCCTTTACTACTACCCCTTTACTTTTATACTTCACTAAAAAGACAGGAATTTTCAGGTAAAGCATGCGCAATCACGCGGCAATGACTTATGAAACTTTCCGGAAGCGTCGCCCACCCCGTTTTCATCGTAACCAAAAAGTTCCGTTCCTGACCGTTTACACAAGAAAGGACAAGCACGATCTTGGAACGGAATCAAAGAGTTTCGCATTTTAGCGAAACCAAAGAAGAACGGAACCGTTCCCAAACTAGCACAGAACCAAGATGCCTAGTGTAAACGCAAGGTCTGTTATCGCTTTTTTAGGCACGGAACCAAGGATTTTCGTTCTTTTTTCCGTAGTGTAAACGGGGTCCATAAATTTAGGACACACAGTACTGTGTTTTGACATTCTTTCCTTTTGTAATTCTTGACAACTCTGCTTTGATTAAGGCTGTGGGTAGCTGTGGGATGCATGCTACCTGTCTCATGTTTAGGCGTTAAGGTTTTAAACAGCTACGCTGTATAGGACTGCAGGTAGGGAGAGTGAAGCCGGGAGTGTGGAGAAAAAAGCTGGGATTGTAATCATGGAGAATCTATAGCGACATAGCGTCGGAATGTACAACAGACAGAGTTAGCATGGAACGCTTTAATGGGAAAGAAGACAGACAACTGTAAATTTTTCCACAGTTATTGAAGGAAAAATTTCAGAAAAATACGTACCAGAAAAAGAGAGTTCGGCAGGAAAAAAAAGAAGTGCCCTAGGTCGTGTAAATGTGTTACAAAGGATAAGCCTGAAATGAACAAAGATACTGCGCGGGTTCCTAAGCAGTTACAGAAGGAATTGAAAATTAGCTGAGAAGCGGAACAGGTGTCTTCTCGCGCCAAAGCAGATTTGCGAATGAGTCATGGAAGAGATGAAACAAACAATCTTACTAATATTGCAGTTGCATGTTTATGGAGCAAAACAGTCGTCTCCAGTCTGAAAATATTCTCAGCGATACGCGGGCCTTATTCTAATCGCTTTATGCTGCTCATCAACCGTAAGCTCAAGCCCCTACACCCCCACAAAGCATGAAGTTGGCGCCTATGATGGAGGGTTTAAAATCGACAAATCAAATTGGTTGGAAATAGTTTTCTTCCAACAATGTGATGTTTCAAATTTTCCATCCAAATCATTTCAGATATTCGTGCTGGTAATCATTAATACCTTATATATAACTAGTTTGAAAAGAATTCTAAAAAATAAGCAAGAATCGAAATTTGTAACTACAAGAAACAAGATAAATGGCTTAAATGAGTTCTCTAAAGCCCTGGTCAGCCATCCAACATTTTACTCAACATTTCGCCCAACATGGTGTTAGGCGAAATATTGCATAGTTTGACCACCTTGTTGGGTCACCCAACATCGTAAGTTTTGATGTTGGACGAAATTTGACTGAGGTCAAAAATGTTGGCTGCCGTCGTCCAATAAATCTATTGTTTTGAAGTGTTAAGTCAAATGCTGGATCGTTTGACCACCTCAGCCAACATTGTTGGCTCTGCGCAAGCGCAGTTGACTAAAGAGCGCCAAAATTCAATCATCGCATCGTTGTTGTTTTCTTGGGCTGGTTTCGTTCGTTTCAACAATCGCGTTTGCTTACAATCAATAACACTTTAATTATGGACAATATAACGAAAAATAACGAATTCTGTGCAAAAGAAGACGCATCAAGCGTCAATGAAGAAACCGTAGCACAGAGGAGCTACAAGAAAGTGCAGGAGGACGAATTTAGGCCACGGCCTTGATAGGGGATGCGACGTTCGTCTGGAAAGAACGCGATGACAGTGAAAATATCTGAAGATAAAATGAAAAGAAAAGGCAGTGATTGCTTTTTGTTTTTTCGGAACGAAATGTCGCGAAACTGTGCAGCCTTTAGCGCAAACTTCTATCCAGTCCTTTTTCGATCTGCGCGTCAAAATGTTGGGTAAAATGTTGGATGAAATGTTGGATCGTTTGATCACCATCGTTGAGTCACATTTCAACATAAAAGAAAAATGTTGGGCGAAATGTTTGGTGAAATGTTGGATCGTTTGACCAGGGCTTGAATGTGAGGCACTCTTCTTTTGGGAGTTCTTGATAAAAGATTCATATATTTCAAAATTAATTAGTCCACATATATTAGTTCAAATGCGATACAGCGCTTTCAAAATGAGAATGGTCACTTAGATATGTTAGGATTCTGTGCAGAATTTACTTGCCCTTTTGCCCCACTTAGGGGCGCCCAACCCCGTTTGAAGGCGCACATGCCCTTACCCGGATACACAGGCATGCACACCTATCTCAAGAGAAAATGAAACACCAAAATCACCCGCTCTTTAATCTAAGCTGTTCTGTCGAATTTCTCGTTAATTTTACGTTCTACATTACAACTTAAGTGGACCGGGCATATTTTATTATAACATCAAGGCACTCCAAGTCTGTGTTGTCCTGCCAGCGTTCACTCTTATTCTTCGCAACTTATTCCTTCGAAAAACGATAGAATGGCACGTGTTCCCGACATCCATTGTTTCTGACGATACGGGAAACATTTGAAGTCAAATCAAATTCGAACGAACGAACACGAAGAACTAGAGTTATCTGTAGAAACAAAATGGCGAACAACAATTCTGTTTTAAGTTCACCTTGAAAAAAATGAAAGCGAGGGCAATACTCACAGAAGCAGGATTACGAAATGAGCGACGCTTAATTGCTTGGATCCTTTCAGCCCTTGTGCAGGTACTTGGTGCCTGTAAACATCACAGCAAGATTATTCATTCTGCATTGAATGCAAGAACAAGAAAAGGTGCATGAATTTTGTAAATAATAATTGGTTTCGGCTAAAATTAGTAAGTCGGCATTTGCAAGCATGGGGAATTATGAATAAGGCTAAAAAGGAATACCAAAATAGTATTTAATTAATTAACTTTCTTGAGCAATCATTTTTCGTAGTTAAGAGTTAACATAGTCAGAGTGTGACACCGTTAGGAAAGGTCTCAGGACGAGGATATAGAAGCTTTCCATAGGCATTACCTTGGATCAACGTTTTAGGAGCCATGACCATACAATTTAAAATGTTTGGTAAAGTCCTACTCTTTAAAAGGCTTCGCATAACCTTATCTATCAAGATTCTAAATTTTTTTATCACATGACCTCTTCTCATTTTGGAATCGAGGTTAATGGCACTCTTGTCTTTACAAGGCTAATCTTAATACCGTATTTCCTCAAATGATCGCCGCCCTCTGATAAACGCCGTCCTCTATTGAACGCCGCATCTTGAAAAGCGGCGTTTATTAGAAAACACACCAAACAAGAAGTAAGGAATCGTTTATATGCTTACTATTCGAAAGCCTTGAACATTTTTATCTCATAGAAACGAGGACTCTGATGGAGACAGGAAATTGACATTCCTTGACTTGACCTGAAATTCTTTTTATCTTTTTTCATCGCATTTTTTTGTCATTTTTTAGTTGACAAACTTTTCATTTTGTATTGAACGCCGCCCTCTGATGGACGCCGCATCCAAAATTTGGAGTTTGTAATAAATGCCGCGGCGTTCTTTGAAAAAAACACGGTATTCTACCTCAGAGCCATTGGGTGCTCGCGTAGCAGGCTTCGTAGGGGGGCTTAGTCTATTAAAATTATCCACAGTTTTATTTTCTTGCTGAATAAAAAGAGCTTTTCACTTTAAATACAACTATTTTCTTTCTCTGGATGCTCTACAAGTTGCGACTGCAGAGCATAACATTATCACCATTTTCACCATATTAGAAAACTTTAGAAGAAGCTTCGAGAAAGCAATGCAAGGTAGGAAAAATAGTAACTAAGCTTGTGGCGATTTTTATCCTAAAGCATCTTTGTGCAACTCTCAGATTTTTTGCAGTTAACAAAAGCCTTTATATCGTACAAATACAATGGGTAGGACATTAGGTTGCAGCTCACTACAAACATGATCTGACCTTCTTTAATGGCACTTCCTTGGATGCTTTTTTCTTTTTCACTTCAATATCTTCGACATTCTTTGCAGCGGGCCTCTGTCCACTGTCAAACAGCGTCTACGAGAATAACGACTGGTATTCAAGCGTCCTGTTTGGATGCAGGAAGAAGATTCAAATAATAACTTTCACAAAAAAATGCTGGGCAGACCTTAAGAATCTGATAACACGAGCTTCGCTGGGTAATATACATATAAATGGCAAAGTATCACGTAAATTTTCAATAATCTGCATTTATAAGAGTAGGGCTAGAAAAAGATCAGCCTAAATCAATCGCCTTAAATTAATCTTTTTGATCTTAAAGTGACTTTAAAAATTGGTGAGCGAAGAGGTTTGTTGTTAAAAACTCCCAGATAAATCTAAAAATATACAGTCTTTCCAATTATAAATATAGCTGTTTCTGTTTTCATGTTGGTCATAATTTTAGCTTTATTGATCACAGTATTGGTAATGCTCACGTCAGTTTTCTTAAACTCTGTCTACCTATGATGCGCGTTGTCAGACTGCTCGGAGACTCATGAACTGGCCGAAGTGTCAGTTGCATTATCATCACTTAAGTAAGGAGAACATATAAAAAGAAAACCTGGCATAAGACACTGATTCTAAAAGAAAACAAGGCCATAGGACCAAAGATCTGTATCTGTTATACTTTAACGTTATATCAACTTAAACTACTTATTCTTTTGCAAGGATAAAATCATCCACCTGTTTTAATTCCACAGAAAACATTTAACGTCGGTAGTAAATGTCCTATTAATATTTTTGTGTCGTTAAAGAGTCAAATGCCATTCTCACCTGAACATGTGAATTCGACTCAACCCATTCGCGAAAGTTTTCTATTTCACTGAAAATAAAATGATAGAGCCAAAATAGAAATGCAGGTCTATTTCTTAATTAAATATTCGATTCCCAATGGAATTTTGCAAGATTTTTGACGAAAATGATTTATTACAGCAATTAATGTTACTGTAATATTGAATTTTAGATAAGCAAAACAAAGTTAAAAGCTTTACGTCTTTCTGCAGCAGATTATAATTTTTCAGGATTCTGTAGGGAAGAAATTTTTAAATGCTTACCAAGACGATTAGAAGGGCTAAGCCTTCAGAGGAAATCAAGACTTATTTAAATCCGTGCTGTAAAAACTATATATCTGCTTATTGAAACATCCATAACAAATAATCTTATGACACCTATGGCATATGCACAACTTACTCGACTAAATTCGATCGAAAATCCACGGCTGACTTGAAGCAGTTGACTGTTTTCCTATCAACAGTCTCAGGAAGGTTCTTGAAGATATCCTCTTTAACAGCCATATATTCGTCTTCAAGGCCGGCAATGCTCTAAAACATAATTATTAAACATCAAATTATTGTCTATAACGAATGAATAAATTCAAAACTATTTTAGGCGCGTACAGTCAGTATAAAAATGATTCGAATCCCGGAACAATACTTTTCATCGACCATGGACATTTTAAAAAATTTAAAAAAACATTCTATAAACGAAGTCTTCTAAAGAAAAACATTAAATTTGAAACAGCATTAGAGCTATTGCGATATTTTCCACAAAAGGAAAATTCCTGCGAGAACATGATATCAACAAAAACAAACGTCCTAAAAGAAACAAAATGAAAGCATTCGTACTGTAACATGGTCTAATAAAATAAAATTCAAAATAGACGAAAGCCTAGCCATGTTCCCTTATGTCGTACAAAATAGCTTTAAGTACAGGAGGATAAAAGTTGCTCACTGCTTTGCTTCATCATATACCCCTACCATGAAAGTAGAGCAGTGACGCAATTTTGCATACGTGATTCTCTGACTTTAGTTAGAGATAACTTCTGAAAATATATTTCCCAATAAGGGAGGAATGCCACTGCATTAAAGAAGAATAAATTAAGTTTAAGAATAAATTAAGAATAAATTAAGAATAAATTAAGAATAAATTAAGAATAAATTAAGAATAAATTAAGAATAAATTAAGAATAAATTAAGGATGAAGGATAAAATGATCGTAAAGTGAATTAAATTTGCTACCTCACCTCTACAAAGTCAAGGCCTTGAATCGTATCCTCAACGTATTGGTCTGGAACATAGTACTTTCGCGAGTAGTTAACTTGACTTCCTGCCGTTTCCATATTAGTCATTAGCTCTTTATTGCCATACTCAAGCTAAAAACGATTTAAAATCATACACAGCGAAAAATAATCCAAACAGAGTAGGTATGGTTAAGTGTGTAGTTATTGTATATTTGAGAAACTGTAAAAAATGCGCCTGCTATCACATAAAGGGACTATCTTTATAGGCCTCCAGCGCAAGCAAAAGCTGAACTAATTTCATCTAAATAGCTACTTTATTTTTCTGCCTTATATCATACACTACATTTCACAATGTATTGCATATATAAAAATCCTCACGTAATAGATTAAATCATCATGAAATTGTTTGATTCCCAGATTTTATAATTTATTAAAACTTGGCAATCAGACAATTTCTGAATTGTTTTATTCAATGTATGGGGCTTTGAATCTACATTCAGTACAAGTCAAGCGTTCGTCGTGATTTGGTGCCTTGACCCCGAGCAGAAAAGCACAAAGATGACACTGGTTGTATCACTAAGCAGTGGCGGACACTTGGGGGGGCGACGGCCCCCCCCCAATACTTTAGAGGACAATGGTCTTTTGTTCGAAAACAATGGGAAATGTGACGTCATCCTATTAAAACAATAGGCTTGCCCCCCCAATATTCGACCAAGTGTCCGCCCCTGTCACTTAGAATAGTAGTAAATAATAAAAAAAGTAGAGAGCCTTCGCACTTTATAGAGGTGAACAGCTTACAGCTCTGATGTTTGCACAGAAAGCGGAAACATGATATTCTAAAGTACTTTTCATTCGACATTCCACCGAGTAAAAACATCGGATAATGACTAAAGGTAAGTTGTCTCGAGTCTGAAATAAACGTCTCCCAAGCTAATTCATTTTTTGAAAAAATCCACTATGATATCCTTATTCTAGGCCCCTCGTTTATTAGTTGGAGCCTCGTGTGTTAAGAAACTATAAAGTGGAAACATCATTAAGAACAGAATATTTTTATTGTACTTATATGTTATTAATACGTTTTTCTATTTTAAGAAACCAGCGTCTTATTTATATTCTATCAGCCTTTAATTTCACAGGACTGATAGCGATTCATCTTGTATATTATGTTTGGGAAAATTTCTATCCGCCTTGTTAATTATTTACTCGACAGTGGCCATTCATATCCAGATGCAGATCGAAGTAACGTGAGAGAAAAATGATGCTGTTTATTTATAATGTCTAATGTCTTACGTCACATGTTTGTAACAATATACTTTAAACACAACACATATTTTGCATACCTGCTTTGGCATTGCAGTGAAGAGAAATGCCTTGTCATTTTCCAGCTTAGTTATGACATAGTCAATGTCGCGATGCTGCAAAAAATAAATGCATTTTCAAATATAGTTTATGTCCAGTAGCGTCAAAGACTCCAGAAACGGAACAAGTCTCTCTCCTGAATGAAGAATTATTCTCGCTTGGAGGAGATGACAATAATGTCTTTCAAAAGTGTTGTCTTACAAGGTCATTAGAGAATAAATATGACACTGAAAATGAATGGAGGAGCTTAAAGGAAAGCACTATGTTAGCTGGGATTTCATTTTATTATCAGACATGGATTGATAATAATTAAAGTGAATGGACTAGGACCACGTTTCGATTATTTTGACAAGAGAGACCACTAGCATAGCATCAGAAAAAGCTAAGGAAAATTTGAATCACAGCAAGTTTAACCTGTATATGTAAAAGGCCAGCAAAATGTAGCCGTTTGATTGTGAAACATGTGGAAAAAACTCACATTAGTTTTAAACAAGTTTTCAAAAAAGAGGAAAATGGAACAGGCATAGTTTAGGTTACCCACTCTCTGGACTTCCAAATGAATGTTTGGCACTAGCTGTTGTTGTTTTTCAATATCAAGTGAACTTCAAGAAAGGCCAGTGAGATCAAATGATTCTTCAAAAACATACCTTATGTTCTCTCACAACTTCTTGAAGATTTTTCAAATCTTTCCACATTGGCATTGTCATTCGTATCTAGCAAAATGTTCAATAGAATGGTCTTTCATACATAAAAATATGCATGTTTTAATAGATATTAAGAGTCAATTTACTCTTAAAAAGTCAATTACTTGTAACACCAGTATTCTGTGTTGTGCTTTTAGATTTCTCATTTCTTTCCAGAATACTGTTACTTCTGCCCCCTTTCCTGGCTAGAAAATTTTGATTGTTTGGGTGAATACCATACAAGCCACACCACATGAAATGCACTTTCTAATCTCCTATGCCATTTTACAGTAAACCAATATTATTTCAAGGGAGATGGGAATATACTGAATTTGTCCTTACAAACTGATGTTAGTGGTCCAAGACTTTTGGCAAGCATGGCACTATTTCTAACAATTTCCTTTAAAAATACTACAAAAATGAGTTATTTCTGAAAATTATACACTTTTATAATATTACATTATAACTGCTAGAAAATACTATAAAATAATAAAAAAAAATAAAACGTTGATAAAAAACAAGTAAATATTTGTTCACAGCACAAAAATATTGTCTCATGATGTTTCAAAAACTCTCCTTTTAATCACTCACCTTAACTTTTGGGTTACATAGCTGTGTATAATAGACAGCATAGGCACAATATATAGCAGCAACTCTGTATTGAAATGGTGTTTCAGGATTTAGATACCCGGATATGCAACGAAACAGTCGCTCAGTACCCTGTAGAATCAATGAGACCATTTCAAACACAGGAACTAAGACAAAGAATGTCAACTTGGGGTTTCATTGGTTTCTGATAAAAGATTGAAAATCTTCTTTAAATATCATTAATATTTTACTAAAACATCATTTTAATGTTTTTTAGCTGTTGCCGCACAAGGACTTTCATTGACAAGGCAAAAATCCAGAGCAGTTATGTACAGTTTCCCTCAATCAAAAAAAAGAAATCCCTTTTATCAAAAATCATATATAGGAAGGTGGTGGGAAAACCATTCCTTTGCATGCATCATCAATGATTGATTTCAAATTTGCTTGCTAAACCACATATCAATTCAAAAATTATCAATTTTTTAACATTTTGATCTTTACAAGAAACTGAAGGTTGTAAAATGAGAATAAGCATAGACTCAATGATGGGAAGCAATTAACTCATTATAATAAGCTCATCTTTGATGGTAATTATGACTTCTGAGCAAATGTCACTTTGCACACAAAAGCCTTACTTGCACTCAACCTTATCTTGAGGAAGTGAGGTCCTGTATATGCAGCTTGGAGCACATTCAAATTGTCATTGCCCATGTACAAAATTCGAAAAGTTTGGCACCACCCGCCACAACATGGCAGCACTGCCGCCAAATGTTTTTAGCTAAGTGAACTTCAAATAGCTATTGCAAGTTAAATGAATGTTTTAAGATAATAAAAAATTTATCAAGGAATAGCTATGAAAATGAAAAACAGGAGAATAAGCTTGATATTTTCTTATTTCTGAGCCAAGCCGACCACTGTGAAATCACAAAAAGTGAGCTATGGTGATAAGAGTACCTGTAAAATAATTGCAATAAAAAATGTTTTCTAAGCACAAATTTGTAATATTTCATTAAGGCGAACTTAGAAATACTTTCTGTTTTGGTGCCCCAAACTGTCAATTTTTCTGATTGATATTAAAGAATTTTCAAAACGCCTTTTTTACTGCAACGGGCCTAATTTTGAAGACCATTTTGTAGCATCTTGAAAAATAATTCAATTGATAAAACATTGTAACTAGTCTTCAATTTCATGTTTTCTACTCCCTTGTGATATTTTCTAGAAAAAAATACTGCTTTTAATGGCTCAAAACAAAATTTCATTTCTCTTTAGAATGAAAATAGCAAACTTTCTGCAATTAACAGTTGCAAACAGAGACAGGCAAGGTGTAACTTTCTCATTAAAAAAATGTTGTCAAAGTGTCACTTTCTGCAAAATTCATTGCCAGTAATGATCATCTGTTATCTCAGACACCAAAATGTGGTCTTGCAAATGTTTTTTTAAAATCAACATGTGAGATATAAAACAGCCTGCTTCAAATGTTTTTGATAAAAGTCATACAAAGGTTTCAAAGCTTTGAGACTGGCCAATTCAAAATTTGCATTTTTAATATTCTAAAAATAATTTTTTCCCAAAATTTAAACTTGAAATGTTGCCAATGTTTTGAAGTTATGTTTGATTGGTTTGGAACTTTAAACTGATGTCTGATGGCTTCATAAAAATGGTTTGAATTTTGAAGGTCATAATGTTTACAACTCAGTCGCCATTACTTGTTCGTGGAAGTGGTGCAATACTTTTCGAACGCAAGTGTACATATTGTATGCAAAAAAAATTCAAAAGAAAAAAATCCATGTCTTCAAACCTGATGTCTGTCGCCACTTGTCCTCTTTCCACTATATGTAACAAAGAATAGTCATTATTAAGTCATATATTTCATGGCCCTTCTGACAAAGAAAATTAAATAAATTTCTTGTACTTTGTGATTTTGTCTAAGATTTTGTCTGAAATATCAATAATTAAGGTACTCCTTCAAACGAAGCAAACTCTTCAAATATCTAAATTTTTGAATTTATATTACTTTGAGAAATTGTTTTTTCTCAAATTTATTCTTAACATTTGTTCAGTAAAATATTCAGGCCTTTCCCAGAGACGCTATAGCCTGCACCTGCGCAAAACCCACACAGAATAAATTTGCAACCTTTTTTCGCCCAGGCAGTTTTTTAAACCAATGTTCTCATTTAATCTGCGCAGTTTAGCTTCCCAATGTTTGTACTACTTACCTCTAAATATCAGGATGTTTGTAAATACGGAGAAAGAGGTCTTACAGGTCTATGTGTCTATCACATGTTAACAAATTATTGCATTATCTGCTAAAACTTGCAATGAAATAGGAAATGTATTCGCCAAAAGAAATAACATATAGCATGATTAACGCTGCAAATAATAAAAATGAGAAACATTACACCATGCTGTCAAATATGAAACATTTTCTTTTCTTGAGTCATGACATATAAACTAGCCATTCTGAAAAAGCCACTTTTACCTGGCAAAAACTAACAAAACTTTGCTATATTCCAAAAAGTTATGTTCCTTTTTTATCTTGTTTTAACGAGTGGTAATACAAAGTTTAAAGGTAGAAATGCACAAAAAATTAATGTGAATAATGCTTAAAAGAGCAGGCAAGGTAATATATTTTTGCCTTTGTAAATACTCAAATATAAAGAAATCAACAACGGTTCTGCAAGAGTCTGAGTAGCTAAATAGCCCATGCAACCAAACTGGCAAGGGCTTTTTACAGCCCCCTTGTTTTTCCCTGGAGAGGCCTGAATATTGTTCTAAAATTAAGTGATAATAAATGAAATCAAACTCACAAAAAAGAAATTAGAAACCCTACTTTTTACTTCTAGTTTACTATAACTTTTACAACATATTATAACCACAAGGCATATTTTAGCTTTATGAGTCTTAATGTTAAAATCTTAAATTTCTTTTCATTTTTATTTGAAAAGGCACTCTTTATCTTCTCAGGTAGGCAGATAATTGCAGGTTTTTTTTGTCAAAAGATAGTTCGTCTTAACTTATCTTAATGCTGATGCATGACTCAAATTCTATTTGTCAGCAATCATAATCATTTTCTAGCCTGACCAAATTCTTTATTTATTTCTGGCCATCTGGTACACCTTCAGTGTGAGGTTTGCATGGAATACACACTGGCATCTCATGCACAGAGTGGAGGAACAATATCTAACAATAGATCATATTAAGGCATTTACCAATCTGCATTGTCTGTCAAAAATAATGATGAGATCTTGCATTGCATTGTCATGACATGCCCTTATCAATGTGCAAACATCTTCTTACTAATCATGTGAGTTTTTCCTTAACAGTGCTATAGGAAAATTTGCATGCGATTGCAAATTTTTGGGTGCAGCACTGCACTGACCTCATATTCACTGTTACGGACTGATATCATCGTTTCTGCATCTGGCCATCTACAGACCTTTCTTAAAAATGGACTTCAGATTTGAAATTTTAATCTTGAAATAAGTTTATACTGAGAACTTCATGTTGTTTGGACCGTTCAGTCGCAAGTTACTTTGTTTGAATATTTAGATAATTCTTTAGATTTGACCGGAATTTGCTGCTGTAGTGAAAAAAACTGCCATTCAATGCGAGTCGTAAGGCTTAGGTAACAGATACACAGTCTTCAACGTTTCTTTCTGTTAAGTTCATACCTATCAAATTACATAAGCAGATACTAAATTTACACCCTTTATGCATTAATACCATTCTTTTTAAAGAGTTTCTAGCTTAAATTATAAAGAGTTTTCACTGAAAATTACGCTATGTGAATATATAAATATATCTATATTATTGAAGAATAAGAAAACTGTAGGTCTTTAAATTTTTTTGCTGATAATTCTATACTAACCACACTAAGAGCTAGATTCGATAGTCCCTCTAAATATATTTAAAGCCCGGGTCCCATATCATAGGCCTAATTGTCGTTCAGAATAAAACATACCAATGGATGAAGCTAAAGTTCAGCTCTCGCCATTCTTTGCTAAAATCTTCAAATCGCAAGCTTCCGCCTTTGTCAAATTTTTGAAAAAGTAACAAAAGATCGCTCGTGTAAGCGGCAAGTTCCTCTTCAACTGGGTAACAGTTAGTCATTTTCCAAATTGTCAGCAGCCTCCATTATACAGCCATCTTGCACACAGGGGTATCATAAATTCTTGCCCTGTTCAGTCACGTGATATTTTCGTTGTTGCCGGAGTGAATGAAACGGAAAACACAGCGAAAGAATGGCTGGAACGTTTTTATTGACGATTGTTTTATTTCTTGAGTTTCTGGAGGTAAATTTGACCCACGTGTAATTTTGAAGAAACGTTTTAATCTAATGAGAATCATTTTGTTTCTAGGTGAGATTGCACAGGTTGACCCAAACAACAATACTGTAGGCCTTAAACTGAATTTGGTTTATCATCACTAAGTAGAGTGGGGATGTTTTACTCTAGAAAAGTAGAGATGGTTGCTTGCATGATTAATACTATAGTCTGGATAATAAAAAAACGAATTGTCCTCTGAATGATACCAAGGTGAGCTAATCCACGATTCATCAAGTTGCCCTTTTAAGTAATTATTTTTTCCTGACCCGTAGAACACAAACAAACAAAATTAGTTCTTATAGCTATCGAAGAAGTACTATTTTCCAATTCAGTTCAGTTCATTTATTTTAAATTCCACTACATACAAAACACTCAATATTAAACAACTTTAATCAGAAGAAGCTACAGATTAATGATTAATAACATAATAATACACTTAAAGAGGGAAATATACCATACAAGAGGATTTGTATGTGGTGGAATTCTTAAGGAAGAACTCTCTCAGTAGCTAAGCTAATCGAAGAGAAAACATGTCATTCTGGTAAAATCAATGGGTAAAATAAGAAGTACAAAAATTTTAGAGCATTAATCTCAAAATAAAATTGTAATTGTATTGTTAGAACTTTGTTCTGTTTGAATTTCTACTTCATCAAATTAAATGAAAGAGGTAAACAATTCTTCCAACCTAAAGCACAATGTCTAAAACAAATTATTAGTTGCAGAAAATTGTGTTGATATTAGATGCTTTTCATGAATAATTTGGAAAAACGGCTATTCTCCAATTTGATTGAGAATTGAAAGGAAATGAGAACAAGAAAAAACACCTTTTTATGATGTTAACAAAGGTTGTACAAAATGATAAATAAAAAGTTAATGGTCTTGCCTGCCGTAAAAATCACCAAAATAAATAAGATCGAGTGCTGGAAAAATTGCCATTGTGTAAATTAAAGTCTTAAGATGATTCAAACAAATAATCTTTGCATAAATTTTAGGAAACAGAGGGCTACCACAAGCCATGCCTCCCAACCAAGTTCTTTGATGCACTTAATTACCTATCAGGGAATAAGCTGTGTATTAAATTTAAAAAGAGGCTTTTCAAAACACCAAAATACTTTTAAAGCAATGTCTCAAATATTTGACACCGATTTCAGATTTGATGCAACATATATAAACGCAGCCTAACCCATTGTTGCATTTTGCCTTGTTATTGTTTAATCTTATTGCATTTAATTTAAGGCAGTAGAAATACAACCTTTAAACTAGGCCTAAGAGAATTAACAATGCTGCTATCTCAAAGCATTTTAGAGAAAAAGGAATTTTGATTTGCTCAAATGCCTAACTTGTAATGATGAACAAATGCAAAAAAGCTTGCTCATATTTTCTTTACTGAATCAAAGTTATGTCTTGATAAAAAATGTAACTGATTTCATTATTCAGTTTTCAGTTTGATTCAGTTTTCTAAATTTATCAAATAAATATATACGTATATATTTGTTTACATTTCAGGCAAATGCATATCACTGCTCGGAATCGTAAGTAATCAATAATACTATGAAAATCGATCACTGTCGTTTTTAATTTGAAATGTGAAAAAATCTGTAGAGAATGTATGAAAGTGCTGTGATGTATGGAAGTGGCATTGTATAATAACGTTGATGTTAAATGCTGCAATCAGGAAACACACATGTTTAGATACATTTATTTGCTTTAAGATCATTCATCTTAATATAATTTCATAATGATTTCTAACAGCTGATTGCTCTTGTTATATAATTGTATAGCATAGAATTATCTGTCAAGCACCTAACTTATTTTGTATAAAGAAGATACATATGACAGTCATAAACTAATAACATCTAATTTAGCATCCTAGCTTATCACATAATTGATGCTGATAAAATAAATTTGACTGACATAAATTTGTTACCTTGTTATTATAGGTTTTCATATTTATTATAGCTTCATATCTATGTGGTATCTTTTCTTCTCTTATGTTCTTATAATTATTTTTATAGCTGTGGTCAGTATGCTTATTGTTGTGGTACAAATGTGTGCTGTCACCACAGAAGTTCATACACATTTTATTCTGTTTGGTATTTCTGGTAAGACTTCGAGTTTATCAAGTTAATCCTGTAACTCTGTAACTAGGTATCTTTTTCTTATCTGTAACTAGGTGTTTGGGATTAGCAAATTTCTACTTTGGTCTGGAATGCATGCAAATAGCATAAAACATTTTATGCCATATGCTCCCCTCCTCAGTACGTCAATGACTTTTGTACTTTCTGAGAGTGGAGACCTTTTATGTAAAATAAGAAACACAGTAGGTAGAAACATTTCCTCAACATTGCACCCAGCACTTACCAAAACTTTCTAATTTCAGCAAATGTGGGCAAGAGATGCCAAATTGCCAAGTTGTCAAAGGACATGAAATGCTTAACAAACTATTATTTGGAATGTTTGACAAACTATTATTACTTGAGTTGTATAAATATACGTTTTATTATTATTATTATATTATAGCTTGTTTTTATTAAGAACAACAAGCAGCTCCTTTTATGAACAATAGGCAACTTCAACTTCAAACAAGAGGGGCCTAACAATGCAACCTACAGTGAATCTCTCTTCTGCTGTAACCTCTCCTGTGACACAGCCAGTAATTGTAACTGTGATTCATAAAGTATTGTTTATTTGTTCATTCAGGTTTATTATTGCATTGCTAATCATGGCCTGTGCTGGAAGCTGCAATTACTACCGTAAGCGACATAGACTGCTAGTTACAAGGAGAAACATGACAATAAGTGGTAATATGCCTGTTGCTGTTGTTGCTTTCTCTAATGGAAATCATGAACATTGCCCTGTCCAGTTTGGTACATTACCATCCTACCAAGAGGCAACCTCAAAACCATCACAGTATCCACCACCTTACTATACAACAGGTATGTTTCGCCAGAATCAAGTTATTTTGTGCTTTATGTTAAAACCTTTTTTGCATAGGTAACAAACCTTTGTAAATACTGGGGTTACAGAAGTATGGAAAAAGTGCTAAAAATGGGGGCTCGCAGAAGCAAAGGGCCTAAGCTGACAGGTTTCTAAAACAGAAATTCAGTGCTAAGGGTTTTTGTATCAAATGCTTCACCACGAAATTTGTTGCGAAATTTCAATGGCTTTTGAACGAAAAAATAAATTTGAAAGATTACCTTATGGTTTTGTGGGTGAAAAATCAGGGAAACGTAGGACCGGTGCTTCAGACAATTTCTAAAACTGGCATCATGTGATCAAAATAGTTTGCTTGCTGAATAACATAGACACTGTGGGTGTAGATGATTCTTTTCATTAATTTAAAAGCATAATAAACGTTAAACATTTTAATTTTTAGTTTTTTCATTATCATATTATGCTTAGATAGTGAGCAAATCAGTTTTTAAGATAAACAAGTCATTAACATTAAATGTAGAGCAACTCATCTTGTGTCAGTATTGAGACTTTAGAATTAAAGTGCACTGCTAACATAACTTTTCCAGTTATAATTTTTCATGCAGAAGAAGCTTTAAGCAGTTTGCTTCAAAATTTATTGTTTTCCATTCACGTTTCTTTAATAAAGTGACACTTTGTGGTCATCTTTCATGAATACTCAGAAAATCTTTTACAGAATTGTTTTCAAGCAATGCTTCAAAGTTTGGCTGAATTTTTCCCCTCAAAACAGCAAACCAATCTTTAAATTTTCTTTAAACCAAAAATCAAAGGAATGGCAAATGCATTTTCCTGCCATAACATATTGTTTCCAAGCCCATTCACCTCATAATTCTGATTTTGAAATTGGTTGGCATAGGCCCATGGTCACTGGGAGCCAGCATTTTGACCTGCTGTTTCCATACTTTTGCAACTCCAGTGTACAGTATTATATTAACTTTATAACAATAGTAATGATTTAGCATTAGCTTCAGTTTTCAATGATCACTTTTATTATGTGGAGATACTGTCAGACATTTGAAAAAGATTTTCTCAATGGCCTAAATTCATAGAATTGTTTTGATACCATTGAAATTGTTTTGCAATGAAGAGAAAATTGTTATAAGACCAACAAAAAGAAATTTATCTTCCTCAGTCCTAAAATTTTATTTTAAAGATATATGTATACTAGATAATATAACTTTTTTAGTTATCAATAATTTTATTTATATTAAAGCTCTGGTAGACTTGTATCTTCTTGGCTGGATTTTTTCAATATTCCTTGCTGCCAAATGCTAGAATGCCCCTATAATCATTTTTTCTTTTTCAAACTCCTTGCACAGAAAAAACAATGTGAAGAAATATTGAATTGAATACAAAAAGATTTCTGACTTTTTTATTTCTGGTCAAATGGTCTTAAAAATTTTTCTCCAACATTTTTGTTTCTGATTGGTTTGATTGGTTCATTAATTTTCTTTTTAATTGCAATCAATTCTGCATATCATTCTCAACATAAAATCTATAGAACTTCACATATAAACAAGAGAAATTATATGAAATGATTGTATAGGAGGATAAACTGATCTAGAGAGGGCCCATCAACTCCCTACATAAAAGCAAGCAAACTAGAGGTTTTAAATGAAACAAATGTACCAGAAGCAGAAGAGACCTCAAATCTTCATCATCTTTTAATTGAACTCTGTAATTGTCTGTAATGTTATGTTTTTGCACACTGAAATTGTGATTTCATTCATATACTTGTGAAAATCTAAGGGAAACTCAAGTTGAACCTAAATCATATTGATAATCGTTAGCATTTTATTGTTAATGGCTACAAAGGACCTCCTTATCCCCATTGTCTTCACTGTTTATGCTTTGATAATGAAACACACCAGGTGTTTGGCCTTGGTAATATGCTTGTCATTGTTTGCTGCAGTTAGCCTCATCACCACATATTGTAATGTTGATCAAAATTGTTCAATTACCTTTCAGTGAGAAGCCTGAATTAAACTTCTAAATGATTTACTACCAATTTTTTGCAACAAGAGATGGTGTTGGTTCTGTTCACAATAAACCTTGCTTTCCAGTAGCCTGTCATGGCCTTTACAGTATCTCACAATTTTAATAACTCTAAGGGCAGATGGCCAATAAAAGCTGGTACATCATGTATCTGGATTAATAGCCATTTTATGAATTTGGAGTATTATATTCTATATAGAAGTATTATATTCTATTATATTGATTTTGATGAAACTTTTTCAAATCTTTTCTCTAGATTTATACACAAATCAGTTTCCAGCCACAGCTGCTAGCAGTGCACAACTTCCCCCATATTCAAGAGATGGTAACAGTCTACCACAGCAGTAACTAGCTTGGATATCATGTATAGCTAAACACAGTTTGAACTTTGTAAATTTCTCACAGTAGGTAAAATCAACTTTTGGAACAAGCATGACATTAACTGAATTTACTAGTATTTATGGCTGTTGACAAGTCAGCTGATGTTATAAGTTATTTTCAGATTTAATGTCTGATGATAAACTGGCAAATTTTTTTTTTATAAAAATCAATTTTTGTGGGTATTCTATCGCTTCATACATATTCTTGTAATTCTAGGCAAAATGACTGTACATTTCCTTCCTGTTTTGTGGTTTTTGACAAAATCTTAATGTTAAACAGTCTTTTTGACAATGATTGCCAAGAGAAAATAGCTTCAGCATGCTATTTTATAGTGAGTAGTTGTAAAAATTACTCTATTTGCATGCATGTATGTGATTACCAAGCATTGAAAATGCTTCACAATACTAGTCATATCTGCATGTATGTATCTCCAAACATTTTGTAAAATGCTGTATGTTTTCCAGCAGAAGAGCTGCTACAGCAATGTCTTCAATTCGCAATATTGTTAGTTATAATGTATCTAATCATATGGATAAAACATGGTAACAACCCTCAATTTTTTCTTAACTAATCTCAGCTTATGTTGCTAATTTATTTCTTTGTACTTGAAGCCTTGATGTTTTGTATGAAAATTTTGAATTGACGCTGTTTCAAACAATGTCTTAACTGTAGAAGTTATGAACATATTGTATAGAAGGAAACTTGAAACTAAAGTCATTTGTAAATCATTTTTATTTTTTACTGTTCTTAATGTATACTAATTTATGTGCACACTTTTATGAATTTTGATTTGCACTAATTTTTTTCAATTCTTTATGACATATTTCATTCAAAAAAGCTCAATGTTTCATTTGAAATAGTTCATTCCTTCTCAGTTTCTTAAAACTTCTGATCTATTTCATTTTTGTTGCTACAGCCATATGCTCTTATCTCAAAATACCACCAAAGATTGTCTACGTATAGATTGTACGTAAAGATTGTCTGCTGTTTTCATACCTGCCTATTTGACCCCAAATATTGCTTGAATGTTAAATTTTAATTACCAAGTATTGACATGCACCCCCGTTTTGAAAAGTAATGAGTAAACCCTCCCTTTTCTTGAGGTTTTGCTCGATCTCAGTCCTGCTGTTATTCAAAGTACTGCTCATTTCATATAGCTAATTATTTGCCTGGCTTTATTTGAAACACCAAAGACAATTTTTGTTATGTTTCAATAATTTTTAAAACAAGAAACGTCAACTCTATGATTGCATATACTTAAAATCTATTTTCTTCTATCACTCTTTAGAACAAGAACAACAAGTTAGAATCATTTTTTTAAATATAATATAAGAGTGCTACGTATCAACGCGTTAAACTAAAGTGCTTCGAATGACTCGTAAATAGATAACTTGTTTTCTATACAAAACTCTCTAAAGGCAAGCTACGAATTTTATACAGCTAGACTAAGTTTTTAATTTTTGAAAACAAGATTGTTCTTAAAGCTCTCAAAGATGCCTTGAAATCTTTCATAACAGTATAGATTTTAAATAGCTGCTTCGAGTCAAGTTGTTTTTAGCCTGAAGCTGCAAAGTAATTTTATAGGATAATTGAATCATGTCAAGTAGTATCATTAAAGTCCATGTGCTTCACACAACTGCTGTAGCCTTCCGCAATTTAAGTTTCATCAAGCAACACCAAAGGCATTCCAAATAATGCTGCAGAAATTTTTTTAACAAGTAGTTGTCCGTTTCTAGCTGGTTGACTCGATATTAGCGCAGTCTGGATTAAAAGGTCGTTAAGCGGTTGAATTTTTGCAGCTGCCCTGCCCTCGTGAAAAACACGTTTTATTCAAAACAACAGCTCCAGCAATCATCAGAATTTGTGTTTTGTGACTCAAGGCTAAGTCTTTTGAAAACGACTGCTTACATTCTCAATAGACATTTCATTTTATCTCAAATTAAAACATAGTAACTACAACAATATACTGTACATTGTTTTCCGATTGTTTTGATTTCGTAGGTTTAATTTTATAATTTGCAGCTGTACGTAGGATAAAGATGGCGTTTATCTGAAGTCATTGGAAAGTTGATCATAAAATAGGATAACCATCTACTCTTACAATTAGAACTGCGTCTGTTTATAGTTGTTGAGTTGTAGAGGCGAGTCGGCGGAAAGCATGTTGAGTTTTTAAGAAAAACATCATTTTGCTTCTTGAAGAGGCCAGCAGGGAGCTAGATGCCGTCAGGGAGCTAGATGCCGTCAGGGAGCTAGATGCCGTCAGGGAGCTAGATGCCGTCAGGGAGCTAGATGCCATTAGAGAGTTAGATATCAGGAAGGAAAAATATTGAGGAAGTTTTGCGATCTTCTAGTTGCAAAATTGTGTCTCTGCAGTAATATACCTTTGCTTTGTGAGCAATTTGATCAAAACCAGCTTGTATCGTTTTCCATTTCTTTGAAGACAGTGTCTGTGTCAATTTTATTTAATTGGTACCTATAGATAGCAGTCGCAAGCACGGGGGTGGCTGCTTTAGAGAATTGCGCTTTTAATAGCTGCATCATCATCATCATCATCATTACATTTACATTTAACAACCCTTTTGGGTCATACAAATGTCTGCCCAGTCAACTAAAACATTAAAATTTGCTGAGGTGATTTCGACATAGGTTGTAAAAGGTATCCGAATTTGCCTGCATCACAATACTGTCTGGCAGGCTATTCCATACAGAAACGATTGAATAAAAAAATGAAAACCTAACAGCATCAACCCTTCCGAATTTAGTGACTGAATCACTGTCTGCTCCTTTTCAGGAACATCTAACTGGGGTGAATAAGGTTTCATTCAGCTCAGCTATCATCAACACAAAAATCTTAAGTATGCTCAAATATGAGGCACTATGAAGTTCTTTGTAAAAGCCTAAAGCATTTCTCTGGTCAAGTCAAGTCATAAATAATAGAACTTTGGGCAAAATTTTTAAATAAACAAACGTAGACTTTCCTAACTCGGGAAGAGCAAGAGATATGTACCGAAAATACTTTATGCCTTCTCGGAAATGATAGCCTTTATCTGCCGTTTAATCTGCTGGTCTTAAGAAGTTAGAATTACCGGGACGCACTATTTACAATAAAGCATTAAATTCGAAATTGACATTTGAAAAGCACGCACCATTCAATATCGTCCATTCCAATTGATAAACAGTATCAAATTAATTATGTGATGAAAAGAATAATGTGCTTCAGATTTAAAGATCAATTAATATCAATTCGCCCGCACCTCTAATTCACCCCGTCCCATTCCGACTTTGCCCTATCACTGAAAATCTGGCGGGTGGTATTTTGGCTGGGTTGGCTTCGATGGAATAATCGGCAGAGCTCGTTTCTTAGGAGGGACGTCTTTTATAACAAAATACGATGAATCTATGTACTTTTTGGTCCATTTTTCATCTCCATATTCGTCTACTTCGATTGCACTTACTGCCTTAAATCCGGGTACAAATGCGCCAGTGAATTTACTGGAAAAGAAGAAGAAAAAAATTATTTAAGTGAAAGGATTTTCAATAAGCAAAACTAAGTAATAACTAACAAATCGTTTGCTGACAGAAATTAAGCACTTTTCTCGTCATCTATGCCGATTTATGCTAGTAAGTTTATATTTGTACTATTTTCTGAACTAGTAAAATTCTCATGCAAAATTTATAAATAACTCCGGTCAAATTTTTGCTATTTTCTCTCACACGCATTTTTAATGTTTGCAAAATTCATTAGATTTCCACAGTTTTCTACTCTACTTCTTGCTTTATGAACTGGTTTCAATCAAGGACTAGGGCAAATTAAAGAAAATACCCATTAAAAGTTTTGGGGATTCATTGATAAACACTTTTTTTGTTTTTCTGGAAGTCCCATAGAAATACAGCTCACTTTTTCTTCAGGCTAAAATCCTGTTATTTTTCCCTACCGAAAATATACCGTCATCGCCAGCTCTTGTCGCAAAACTTCGCAATTTCAGTGTTCTCACTTTGCTTCCTGTAAATTCCTTAAACTCGCACGAAAATTTCTTCAAGCTTTGAAAAATTCCTTAGAGTCTTGAAAACTTGATGAAGACCTATTCGATGACTCATACCCTTCCCTCTCTGTATTTAATTTAATTTTCTGTTTGGTTGGAATTCTACAATTTTCTTTTATCGTAGACGAGCTTTAAAACAAATTTTTCCAAGTTTTGGAAATTCCTTGAAATTTCCTTACTAGCTGAAATTCCTCAGAAATTTCTTTAAAAAGTTAAAAAATTCCTTAGTTTGGGGAAATTTCCTTAGAAAGACCACTGGCAATATTGGTGAGCTGTGACCTCGTTTTCATGTTTCACGGGTCTCAGCCACTATACGTATCTTGTAAGTTTTAGTATCGCTTCCGTTTCGTTCCTTTTTCCAATCAAAATGCTATAGAAATCCACTCAAGCTTACTTGTTCAGTTTCATCCTTGCCTTGTAATCTGCCTTCCGACTGATCACGTGGTATGATAGTGACAAAGTACGTGCTCCATTTCATCCACTTCTTCCTAACATGGATGAATTTCAAGATGGTAGCCAATCCATTTTTAATATCAACTATAAATAGCAACCTATTAAACGTGCTATACACGTGTAATGAAAACGAGGCCACTGCATGAGAAGTTAAGGTTGGTTTACGTGCTGACCGTTTGTCGTGAGAAGGATCTTCAAGTATCAGACTGACATTGCTGATAAAATTAATGGAAGCAAGTAGCACTAAAGTATGCGAGCAATGAAAACTTTGAAAGCAAAGAACTTAAAAACTCTGCTACTTGCTAAAACAACTTATGAGATACATGTGACAGCCAAATCTGGCCCACAGAAGTCTTAGATTGTTTCAACTGGTACAAAATACAATCAAAGACGCACAGACAAAAATACTTTATCAGAATTTTTCTTTTTGTGTGAGCACACTTTGTAAGAGCACCAAGGCCTCATTTCCAAAAAATAACACGTACGAGCATGCGCAGCCTCGGCTGAAAATTATCAGAAATTACTTTTTTGAAAACTCACTCCCAACTTAAAGTATGTAGTTAAAAATTTGAATTTAAGAACACTCGAGTCCCAAATTATTCATAAAAATAAGTACATCTAGCCTCGGCAAAGACTTTTTGGTTCATTTGAAAAGAAGTAAAATAAAAAGAAGAATCTTAGATTGACTGAAAAACCCGATTGTATTCGTTACACCGTTTCTATAAAAGCTGCAAATGTCATAATCTTATTCTACATTTTGAAAGATGCTCGGGATTTCCTGTTTTCATGTAATTGCTACTTTGTTCAAAAAATGTGCTTTGGTTAACAAAGATATTTGAAATGATCAAGTAAGTTATTTTACCTCCGATAAACTTTCCAAGAATAAAGAGAAATCAAGAAAAGCAAGATTATCCCAGCTGCGCAACCAATAAGTGAGAATATGAGAACCTCTTTGCTAAGCTTGCCAGATTTCATTTTCCCCAGGTGTGGACTCTTTGAAACTAAAAAACAATGGAAAATATATATGTGAATTTAATGCAAGATTTATTAGGGCGCAGGTGATGAATAAAGGAGCAAACAGTCAATTTAGATTTGACATCTCTAGCAAAGTTGAAAGAAGCTCCTTTCTTGTGGGCAACTCCAGCATTTACTATGCGGGTTTTTTACGTGTTCACCATAACATCCCATCGCTCCTCTGAATGCTATGGGAAACCAAAACCTTTGAAATCAGCAAAATTGCGAGCTTGAATGACCGGAGGCTAGCAATAATATAAAAGTTATTTCACAATTCCAGATGTTGATTCTCTAGGAAGATACATTGCCTTAATCGAAAACAACAGTCATGTCTAACCACATGGCCTTTTGCTATCCGACAATGCATTAACTTCCCACAAAAAATCAATTTTTCAGCGCCAAAACCATAAATGTCCCTATCAAGTTGGTTGTTTTATCAGTTGCAACCAATGTTGATCTAATCATTTATTGATAACATTACCTTATAAAGAAGGGTCTTTTGACATGTGTCAAAATGTCATAATCAAATATTTTGCGTAAAAATCTCTGCTTTATTTTTTAAACGAGGCTTCGCGTGAAACGAGGTAGATAGTCGAGCGAGATCAGCCGTACTCGAAATGAGGTCATCAGAAGCAAATATTTTACCTATCGAATTAGCTGATGCTTTTTCATCATTGATTGTGTCGTTCTCCCCTTCTATCTCCGTAGAAACTTTATTTTTCAAAAGAGGAAAGCTATTGCTTGAATTATTCGTCATCTGGCTATCGTCTGCTCTTTTTTGCATTGCGTCTATTATTTGTTTATCTCCGTTTGTGAGATTTTTATGAAAAAAGTGAGACATAATTGCACGAGTTGCAAGGCTTTCGATAAAGTCGCTCGACTTGCTTGCTTCTGGCAGAATTTTTGTGCCATTTTCTTGACCATGACTGTTTTCGATTTTTGGCAGGACAGAATCAACATCTAGAACAGGAAGAAGTAGGACTAATAAACACGCGTGCTCTTTTCGACGATCTTAAACAAATCTTTTAAATAGAGCTTTGCCGACAATCCTCCAGTATAAATACTTTGGTTAAACATCTAACAAATACATCGATTATTGTAACAAAACAATTGATGACAAATCAAGTTTATCGTGATCAGCGAAGTTTTCAGGATGGTCCCCTCCCTGTTTGTCTAGCGTGTGAATCAGTGATGATTTATCAACGCTAGAATTAAAAATTGCTTCAAATGTATAGGGAATATTTCAAATTTCGATTGATTAACGTTCCAAAAAAATACGGTAGACAAATATTTTGCTAGGGATATTTGAACGCTTGCGGACAGTCTCTTTAAAGGCATTTACCCTTTATTGAACAATAAACAATTTTCAAATACTACAGACTATGATATAGTAAACTTTCTAGATATAGAGACTCGTGAATGGAACTTTGCTTGTTTAGAAAGAGAGAAAGCTTACCGCAAAATCCGCATGTTGCTGGACAAAGGCGTTCCATGTCTTGCTGATAAAACTGACAGTAGCCTTGCTGAGCTTTGAGATCTTTGCAATCTGGTCTACTATCTTTGCATTGACCTTTGAATACGTCTGCATAAATGTAAGGATATTTTAGCTTACTCGATTTAAGTTGGATCTAAATTTGCACAATATTTGCAATAATAATCTATTAGAAAGTGATTTACTACGAGCCTTAGCAAAATCACCATCATGCAATATGTTTATCGTCTTTTGTAGCATAATACTACATTCATTTTCTAATATGGCTAATTAAAGTGCCTTAAACAGATGAATCTTTGAACTAAAGTTAAAATGAATTCTGTCTTTGGAATTGCTAACTGGAGGATGTCGGTAATTTAAATGATGATTGATGATTGATGGTGGTGAAGAATGATTAGATGATTCCTTAAGTAAATGAACATAGCCTATTAATGATTGATGGTGGTGATAAGGATGATTAGATGATTCCTCAAGTAGATGATGATAGACTATTGATGATTGATGGTGGTGACAAGGATGATTAGATGATTCCTTAAGTAAATGAACATAGCCTATTAATGATTGATGGTGGTGATAAGGATGATTAGATGATTCCTCAAGTAGATGATGATAGACTATTGATGATTGATGGTGGTGACAAGGATGATTAGATGATTCCTTAAGTAAATGAACATAGCCTATTAATGATTGATGGTGGTGATAAGGATGATTAGATGATTCCTCAAGTAGATGATGATAGACTATTGATGATTGATGGTGGTGACAAGGATGATTGGATGATTCCTTAGGTAGATGAACATAGCCTATTAATGATTGATGGTGGTGATAAGGATGATTAGATGATTCCTCAAGTAGATGATGATAGACTATTGATGATTGATGGTGGTGACAAGGATGATTAGATGATTCCTTAAGTAAACGAACATAGCCTATTAATGATTGATGGTGGCGAGGAGAATGATTAGATGATTCCTTAGGTAGATGATAATAGACTATTGATGATTGATGGTGGTGACAAGGATGATTAGATGATTGTATTTGTAGATGAATATAAACAATTTGATCACTAGAACGTACGTGATTCGCATTTCTCTGACATTAACTGGTCTGGACATAAGCACTTATTACTTCTGAAGAAGGCATTGCATCTCTCAGGTGCTCTGAATTTGTAGCATGCATTGGCAACACATTTGTTTCCTATTTAGAAATAATCCAATTAAATCGAGCATCAGAAAACATAATTTTCGAAGAAGTGAATTATTGTTACATAAAAGACAGCAGATAAAAATACAAAAAACTTGGTCGAGCCGTAAAATCTATGGCTTTTGACATTATCCCTACCGATAATGTCGATCGATGCGATCGATGTTGGCAAATCTTCGTAGGGATATTCAATTCAGCATCTTTGAAAAATTCTATCTAAATATTAGATACAGTGAAAATCTGTCTTGTCTTTCTGGGATGGAGAAGAATTACCAATTGTTATCTAGAGATGTCTATTTTGCATATTTTTGCAAAGATGAACTATGGAACACATCTGTGATGACTAGAATAATGGCCACAAGCACATTTAAAATTGCTTGATACTTATACCTTATATGCTCACAAAATTGATAACGCAAGAGGCGTCATTATAAGACAGATGGCTGTAAAATTTGATTAAACTGCAATCGTTTATACGCTCGCAACGGCTTGTCAGAGTCGCTGTATATGACAGGGCTCTAGTCCAAAAGGACTACGATCATTGTGACTCACAATCGGGAGTTAGAGCACCCTTAGTGAACTTAAAAAGTAAACACGGTAATTGCCACTAGTGAAAATGGCTGTATTTTCTCTCCGAGTGTAAGTTGCATCATTACAAAAAGTTTAGGGCACTGGAAAATAGTTTTTTTCTACCTGGCTATCGATTTCGACTTATTCCGACGACATACTATGAGGTTACATTCCTCCAGTAATGAGGTTCATACATTTTTTATAAATCCTTAAAAACCAGCTGCAAGATGTTTACATAACATTTTAATGAGGTAAATTGAAAAAGGTCTTTTAAATTTATTTCAAATCAAAATGTTAATTTATTTCAAATAATTTCATTTTACTTTAAGCCATTAACTTCATCTGAGCACCTGTCCACCTTAGATTCTTCTCTACTATTCTCCGATGATGTGATTCGATTTGACAACCTTGAAATAAAAGTATTTGTAGCCTTCCGAAAAATAAATACAAGCAGCTCTTGCTTCGGCCTTGTAAAAGTTGAAGCTTTAACAAAAGTCAATGGGAAATTTGAACCATTTTACAGAGACAAGGAGCCAGGGGCCACGAAGAACACCATACCCCAAAAGGCCTGATCATAGCTATCGCCATTTTTGCCAAACTTTCTTGACGACCGCACCCCGAAGTTATTCATGCCTATCACGCCTCTGCCCTTTTTAAAAATCTTTACATATAATTTATAAGTATTCGATTAATAGATCTAGCTACCTGAAAACTCTTTGCAACATTTTAACGAGTAAGCATTTTTGGCGATTGTTTCTTTGTAGGCCAAGAAAATCCCCCTTGCATCAAGGGGGTAATCCCACGCTGAGATATGGCCAATGTTAAATCGCACTTGACTATGTCCACTTTCTGAAGAATCTTTGCCCCCAATGAAAATGCCATTGTCCTCATAGGTGCTATGCAAGGCATACTTTCTTTCGGTAGCTCCTGCATCCTGAAGAACGAATCGCCCATTGACGAAAACACGTAGTCCAAATCTTTGACTCCATGTGAATGCCAAATGGAACCACTGTCGCATGAAGGGAACTTTATGCAGAACAGCAGACCATTTGTTCTGCACTGTTGCCAAAGAAATTCGAAACTGCGAAGAGTTTGCATCGTGAAAGATGATAAAGCCTGACCCACGAGGTTCATCTGAAAAGAATCATCTTTGGTTAAAAATACAAATGAAGTATCACGCATTTTAGAAGAAATCCGTAAATTGTGTTTTAGCCACATATTCATGGCTTATCTCTGCTTCTCTCAGTAATCTTGCAACCCTTAATAGTGTTTTACAACTGTTCGGCTTTTGCTGAGAGAAGTGCTTAGTATTGTGGGTCTGAGAGGGTAGTCCCATAAAAACCTTTGTGAAAACAGCGACTACCTGCTCATAATATTCGACTGTCTTTATCAACAGCAACTATTCTTAATTAACAAAGCCATTGATAAAAGTTTCTTGATTTGGGAACATTGAAGTGTTACTTAATTGGTTCATCGAGCTTAAAACACTTCAATATCAAAAATACAAGATTTGTGCATAAGTGTCTAGCACAAGATTCGATTAAGATTACCTTAGAAGTTTTTCAGAGCAAAATCTTGCTTACTGAACAGAAGATTAACACGCCCAAATCTTTGTTAATTTCAATTTCGTGAATGTTATTTAAATGAACTTGAAATGAAGTGTCTAACAAAAGAATTTAACATACTTTCAGATGGATAACAAGGCTATCAAAATTTCGCTAAATCCAGCTTTGAAGCAATACACACGTTTTACATTCTTTTTTGGTTGTCAAGAGAAGATTTGTGTTAATTTATGCAGAAGTAATGTCGCTTTTATCTTTAGGCTAGATTTGGTTACCATTGAGTAAATCGTACAGGTTTAGTTAATGCAAAGATTGGAGGACCACAAGGCAATAAAAAATTTCCGATACAAAGTCATGAAGATCTTGGGGAAGTAAGAAGAAGAAATGACTTTCATCATATCATCGTGGTGTCAGGTTTTCTCAATGATGAATTTGTTACAACAGAATGTTAGTTTTCTGATAGATTTCGACATATCCGAGTAACGGGTCCTCTGCTTTTGTAATAACAGCTGCTTTGGCATTTCAATTTGAGAGATAGTAATGACTCTGTTTCGATTCTGACAAAGTATCTAAGAGAAATAGATTTCAAGTTAACGAAAGCAGGAGCCTAAATTTACCTCTGTACTGCCCACCAGATATGACATACTTGCCAGAGAACATCTGAAGCCAGAATGCAACCGTTAAGCCGCTTTGACAAACGTTCGGGTCAGTGATGCATTCTCTTTGGAACCCTTTGATATTGACGTAATAATCTTGGCCGTTTAAGGAAAGAACATGTCCAAGTTGAGTGGTCTTTTCCAAATTCAACTCCTTTGGAAAAATCGTTGTTCTGCTTTTTGCAAAGTAATCAACAAATGAGTTTGCATCGATTTTGAAATAATGTGCAGCATTTCTGTACAGCCCATCTGTGGAGATAAACAACATATCTGTAAGATTTTGCCGCTTTTATTAAGTTCATATTTCTGCATTCATTGTAAATAAGCATATTAGCTTTTTGGAGGTACAATAAAGGGACCACTGAGGCGGCGAAAAGCCCTTGAGGAACAAAATACAAGCCCTGTTGCGGTACGCAGCACACGGAGACTCCAACCTAGAGTACCAGAGAAGGTAGCTTATGGATAGACAAACAAGTCAACGGATAGGCATGAACAGGTTGAGATGTTTCAGTTGAAAACATAGCTAGCATATCTAACAGCAGAAGGAATTCCCTCTTCAGCCCCTGTGAGTGAATTGCCAACAAAAGCTGGAAACAATTTTTCATGCTGGAAACAAAACAAAAGACACACAACAACAATTAAGTAGACTTTACCTTGTTGATAAGTTATGTAAGTTTTTAGCCTGCCTCGAATAAAGTAACTGCTAGAAATTAAAATGTAAGGGTTTTGATATTCTAAATGATTTGAAAATATGCACTTCATTCTTTTATCAACGGTGGTTTTTAAAAAAAACTCAAAGTTTATCAAACGACAGGCTGTAAGCAGCTTCAAATATGATACTTGTTCTGTCTAGGGAAATTGCCCTCTTCTCATTAAAACAGCTTGCTTCGAATCAATTGGAAAGACAATCATATAAAATGAAAGTCTGCAAGCGTAATGCTACAAAATTCCCTCGTCATTGTTTTGGATGAACTATTTCCATGATAAAATTACCAGCAAATCACAGACAATCGGAATCTGATGTAATACAATTCTATTTAGTCCTGCCTTTGCAATTCGAGATTCTCATTTGAAAAGTTTTGTTTTGCTCCAGGCTAATCAAGTAATATTTCTTATCAATTATTCAGGACACGAATGAAATCTTCATAAGCTGGATTTTACATCTTATTTCATTTGATTTTATTTGCGGTTTTTGACAGGTAAAATGTAACTTCAAAGCCTAAAGCCTGAAGCCTAAGCCTGAAATTCAACAAGACTTTATTTTTTTTATCATCCAAGCAGTGATTTCAAGTCAATTTATAAGCGTTTATCTCAAAATATGTTTAAAGGTTATTATCTCGGTTTTAAATCAAAACAATATTTGATAAAACATTCTAAACAGTTCAAGCTCTGAGATTTTCGGGAAGAGGGCAGTAAAAACCATATAATTAAAAGAAACATTAAATCAGTCTTTGTTGATTCGAGAACCAATTTGCCTTCCTTATCTTCAAATCCCTTTTAACCGTAGAAAAAGGAAAAGCTCTACATATTAAGCAAAAATGTATTAAATAATCGTAATTTATTCACTTTAACTCATTTAACTTACAGTTACAGTAAATATGAGGGTTTGTAACTTTTAGCCATCAATACATTTTCTCATCTCAACAAAAATAACAAAAATTTGCGATACTATTTGATTCTATAATCCGACGATAAAAGTTGATTTATACCTCTGACTGGCGATACATCTGAAATTATAAGTACCAGAAGACTGAGCAAAAAATTGATGCAGACTTGTGATATTAAGGCCATTGAGGATTTCGCCTGCCTTAAGGACTAATCCAAACTTCTACTCGCGTTGACTATGTGACTGTTCTGGCCGTTCATGCCACGGAAAAACATCGTGCTACGCAAATGATTTTTTGATGAATGAAATGTAAGCTGATTAATAATTTAAATATCAGTTGTTATACAGCTGCGCTCTCTCAGAAGCCACTATTCAACATTTTTGTTGACCACATTGTCTTATCCACTCTATCTTTCAACTCTTGTTCAAAAGTAGTACTCTGTGTAAAACTAGGTCAAGATTATCCAGCAGCGTTGAACCATACTTTCATCACTTTGGCTCACTAAAGCCCTCGTGAATTTAAGGACAAGATTAATCAATCTATCTTCAAAGCTAGGCGGAATTACTGCCTTCATGATCTCGACAACCTACTATCTCGACAAAATGTGTCTTTGAATGTGGGGGTGTTGGGCTGTTTCTAGAGATGCGATCTTGAAATAAATGAACCTAACTTTATCATAAGTAAAAACTTCTCCTTGACTTCTGCTACCGTACAGTACTTGAAATTCTTGGCACAATTATCATCAAAAGGAATTTTGGACAATGTTATGAGGTGAACTTGATAGGGGAGGGTGAGATTTCTTTTGCCGATTATTTTCTAATTTATTGTTCAGAAATTTGAAGGCAATATCCCACCGTGATGTAGAAAAAATCTTAAGGCAAAGGCTAAGTGATGTAATGCAGATCTTAAAGAGTGCTTAGCAATGTCACTCTCTTCTGTGGAGCTTTTGGTACAGTATCTGCAGCATAAAGCAAGATCATTGAAAAGGGATTTTTCACGAATCAAGCAAAGAAAAATTGCAAGGTTTTGTGGAACAGCAGTTAAAAACCCCATATTACCCATAACGCAACCCAACAGGGCAATTTCTAATGCATAAGGTATCTTTTTCCTGATTGGATAGTAGAGCATCAACGTGCTTTACGACGAGTTTGAATAATCATAGATGAATGAAAATAAGCAATGTATTTGAATTTGTGACGTGAAGCAAAATAGAAATATGGATAAACCGTAAGTATTTTATACTTGGTTATAATGTATCTCAAAGTCCAGAAGAATTGGATGTCGCACGGCCAACGACATAGGAAGGTACTGGGGCACAAATGAATTTTGTTTACCACACCCAGCTCAAGCCTTGTTTCTACTGTATTTACGGAAGGTAACCAAAGTTTAGCTGTTGGATAAAGTAAATAGCTTTTCTGGTCACTGGCGTAGCTCTAGCGTCAGGATTCAATTAATTCATCGCACAAGTAAATTGAAAGAAAGGCCGTTGTCGATGATAAACATAAATGCTTGGCAGATCAAATCATGGCCTATGGTTAAGGATAAAATCTGCTATTTTTGCCAACTTCTGGATACTTAGCCAGGGATCAAGAAATGAAGGTTTTTTGGATTCAAAAGCATCGGTTTTGTTTTCTCGTGACAAAAAAATAGACTAGATTAGTAAATATTGAAATGAAAGCCTTTTTCATTTCGTGCTCTTTTAGCAATTCACTTAAAACTCCTTATGGTGGATTTGGCTTTCAAATGATCATCCTGAGGAACCATGGAAAGCATTAAGAGTATAGTGTTGAAACAAAGAACTCGCCTAAAACATATGTCCAATTCTTTCTAAATCCAATTTTTTTTCGATAAAGGATGCCCAAATGCAGGCATGTCCATTTGAATGCACAAATCCCCTGCTGCTAGTAAAGTCCACCTGTGATCGGATCACAAATAGATACGAACATATGGCCATTTTGAAAATTTGCGCTCATTTTCATTTAAGCAACCCAGCTCGGAGGAATTGATGAAAAACTTTCACATGTAAACGATAAGCCCTTGGAATGTAAGACTACATCCACATGTCATAAGCATGTCATAAAGAAAAACAACCTCTTTTTGATCCAAAATGAGCTTGCATCTGGCTTCAACGAAGAGCACGGCAAAATGAGAACCCAAAGTTTTTTGTTTTTGGGAAGATTGATATGGTTCTTCGTTACATTATCAAGAGATGATGCGAGCTATTGGATTCTCTCACCGTAAAATCAACACGAAATTAATTGACACACAAATTCTAGGAGCATTCTCTTCAATTCAAGAGCCTAAACTGTCAAAAGCACGGATCTAATTCAAAAATTTTCGTTATGGTGTTCAGCAAAGAATACGTTTATGCTTAGGTAAATTCGTAAGCAGTTCTGTAGGGTTAATAATGTCGATTCAAAAATGGAAGAATACCTAATGGTGTGAGAGAGTACTGCAAGGATCGCACCTGGGTCCCCTTTTATTCCTTCTTTATATAAAGGATCTAAAGAATGAAGACAATAATGGTAAAAAGACACTGAATTGGTATACAAACCACAGAGATGACAGGACGCTGGGCAGTGGCGTTCCATTTCCACCTGGAAATAATTACAGTAACCAGTCTGTGATGCAAGTCTTTTGCAGTCATATTTGGGATTGTCTCTGCAACTCGTCAATGGTGTAACTAAAAAGTTAAAATCATATTCGGAAAATTCCATCACTCACTAAGATTCAATACTTTAAAATTTTTCTCAATACACTGACAGTGGTGTGGGCTTTCAAGAGGAGGTGCCCGTCAAAAGCTGGAGAGAAGAAAGATGAAAACTTTAGGCATAACAATCTATTTTTGGGACAATGCACTAAATTCTCCTCGTCCGTATAAACTTCTTCTTGAATGAGGCAAATTAAAAGATCGATCCAGATTCTTCCCCAGGCCTCCCTACGATGCCCGGTTTTTATTCTTAACAAGCAATGTCTCGTCACCTTAAGCTTGGTTTCGACTAGGCTTTACCATACTTTGGTGCTTTTAATTCTGATTCTGCGCTAAATTTTACCTGGTCTCAATTACCACTTAAATCTAATTAGCGCCACATAATGTTGAGATGCAGATAAATTTCGAAGACCACGAGAGAAAGTTTGAAGAAAAAGTTGTTCTCCTTCTTTTAACGCACAGATGATAAAGGGTGAGGTTAGAGAATGTAAAGATGATGTCGAAATACTGGTTCCTGGTAAGATCCGTGTTAAAAAGAAAACAAATGCTTGAATATATCTCTCTTTAAAACCATATAGGATCTTGTAATGATAAAAAAGCACACTCTCTCTCTGACTGTGTTGGCAAGCAGAGCAAGCAGCTCCTATCGTTGATGCAGCCATTTTTAAAACGCCTGCAGCAGGATCGTTCAAATGAGGTTTTTTCGCGTGACTTTGATATAAAATCAAATCAGCGCTAAACGGGATTTTTAGATGAATAGGTAGTTATTCCAAGACCGAGCGTTTAAACGTGATAAAGTGCGATCAATTTTTTGCGTTATATTTTGAACTGTATTTCCACCAAGACTAAACAAAAAGACAGTTTAATGCACACAAATAATGCGATTCAACACCTAGTGGAAAACAAACTCAAACATATAATAGACCTTAATTTTACAAGTTTTGCATTATGAATGATAAGAAGGGTAGTTGCTTCCGATTTTTCCCATAGGGTGACAAAAGACTAGAACTAAAAGGATCTTGGAGATACGGGTCAAGACCATATTTCTTCGACTCTATCAATTTATGGATTTCCTCAAAGCAGAGTTGGTTGACCAGGCAAAAGGCAGAGCTGAATAGTTTTTTTACTCACCTATTCTACATTTGCCTATGGGCTGCAAAGATTTCTTGCAAATACAATTTCGGCTACCAAATGTGTGTGCACAATTATGGGGCTCTTTGAACTTTCTGCAGGGCAGTGCAACGCAATCATGGCCTGTTGATAAAGTCATCAGTTACTAAAAATATTTCTACAGTGTAACTCCATGGAATTCCTGATGTGCCATTAGTTACCGGGTACAAGGAAATACAAGTGAAACACTATTATATTTAGCGTATATAGAAATAATGGCAATTGCCTAATGTTGCATGAACGGCTGCAATCAAACAGGTCTAAAAAAAACAAGGTTTATTGGAACCTTAAACATTTTGGACTCATTTGACATGGGGTAGAAAAGTTGAAGTAAATTAGCAGACATAAGAGGAAGAAAGAAAATTTGATAGACCGAAACAATTAAGAAAACAAAACATAAAACTAAAGTAAAAATGAAAAAAGAAGAATAACAACCCCTATTCAGAAAAGCATCAATATCTGTATATTGGGTAACTGCTTACAATATTTACGATGCCAGATCATTTAAAATTTTTTTTAGGCCTTATACACTAGTCACGCGTTCACATTTCCATAGAAAAGAAGTCACACTTTGTACAATAGTTTTAGGCTTGTACCTTTCTTTCGCTTACAGCATTCTCTTGTCTCTTCAGTTTCCTTGATAGATGCCTTGTAAGCTGCACGAACCTCGCTTAGGTTGAAGACTTTTTCCCAAACAGCAAAATGCCCGAAATCAAAATAACCATGTTCCTCTAAGGCCTGGATGAAACTTTTACCTGCACCTGTGCATCCGATCAAAATTTGCCCATTGATTGACTGATAAGAAGAAGGCTTATATGGAACGTTCTGTGGCATTTCTTTTTGTATTGCAAAATGTCCATTCACGTACAAAGAAAGCCCTGACTTTTGGCTCCAAGTTAGCAGAAAGTGCCACCAGTCTTCCTTAAAGGGCATTCTGTGCATAATAACTTCCCACTGTTGTGTCGCAGTTTTAACTGTTACTGTAAAATTCTTCGCGAATTCACCATTGTAAATCATGAATCCAGTCCCTGCAAAATATTGTTGTTCAAAGCTGAGATCATCTCAACTACCATAAAAGCATCCTTGCAAATTAGAGTATAAATAATATCGAAAAATGGTAAGCTACCTTAACTATAAAAAAAATATTATTTACAATATTTAAGCAGATTATGCAAAACGATACTAAGTATTATATGATGTCATGATATTTTAGGACATATTAGCAGGCATGAACCTAAGAACTTTCAATCACTTCTTGAAACAACGCTAGTAGCATTGTTGAATCCAATATGGTGTAGCAAAACCCGTGTGGTTGGCTATGAATTGCGAACCTTGAAGATTTGATTTACATTTTAGCATTGGTGTGTATTCATATGGAAATCTGGGGACATACAGTATATTTGTCTGCAAGTTTGAATTTGCAACTGTGTTTGTAAGCTTTAAATTGAAAACATGTCAAGTTATGTCTTCAGGCAAATCAGATGTTGTTTGTGCTTAGTTTCTGAAAAACAATAGATTCTTGTAGCGCTTATACCCCTTATCCTCTAGGCAAACACGCCTAACAATGTCCAGATTAGCCTTCTATAAATCAAATATTTAAGAAATATCATAGCGAACACGTGAATCCAACGTTTGATACAGAGCTGTACGTACGTATCTACTCGAGTTACTGCCGTAACCTTAATTTAGTGCACAGCAAAGTAATGTAGCATTGAATGGTGGTATTAGGTTTTTAGTCCGTCAAAAATAGTGTAACATTAGGAAATAAATGTTGTTGCTAAATATTAAAAGAAGAAAAATGTGTATATGAACATATGAACCAGAAGATGAACAATAAAACTGCGACCAAAAGCTCTTACAACTAATCTATAGATCAGCACACACGTCAAGGTTTTCTTAGTTAGTTTGTTAGTTAATTTTTCGTATTCTAGTTTAGCATATTATATGGTATGAAATTACATAATATCATACAGCGGCGTTGCGACCATGAGTGTGGGGGGTGGGGTGTGGGGTGCCACACCCCCCCAATAGTATATCAATAGGAAGTTTCAGGTAAAATCCGCCCAGTGGAAGAAACGCTTTAGGTATTTCAGCGACCTTCATGTATTAACATCAATAAAGGATCAAGCAAAGATAGTTGCTTCTTTGGCTAAATATGATACTTCTTGATATGAAGGAAGATAAAAACTAATGACTTAAAGATTTGAAAATTTCTTGTTGGCACAAAAGCTAAAAATCCAGGCACTTTTTAGGTAAAATTGTGTCTTGTGTCCATTTCCCCTAAAAAGGCATGATAAGATGGAAAGAGGGATCTAAATTGGCAACCAGTGCTGCTTGTTACCTAGCTTTGGAAGTAACTGACAACATGGAATTTTTCAACACCACGGCGAAATCGTACCAGTTGTTTTTATCTGCTGTTCAATTTGTTTGCAAAAATAAAAAAATTTCGGTAGGATTAGGAGGATTGCTTTAGTAAAATTTGCTTAAAAGAGTGCATTTTCCAGGGAACTTGAAGCATCAAAATTCGAAAATTTTCTGCTCTTTCGGCGGCATTCGAGAGTGCCGCCTCGGGTAGTTGCCCGTCCCGGTGTACAGATTCGGCAAAACCATTAGGAAAGTCCTGTAATGATCATTTTTAAAATGAATGTTGTGAATTATATGCCACACAGTGAGATTTGCAAAATGTATTGCAGAGGTTTGTGACAGCAACTTAAGTATTTCAGGTAATTATTTTTAATCAGGTAAATTTGTAGTCCACACCCCCCCCCTAACAAGGCTTGCCTCGCAACGGCCCTGATATCATAACATTATTTACCATTATATAACACAATTATATATTTATAATATACAAGGGGTAGGGTGGCATTCTGAATCCCTTAGGATACTACCAAAGCAAACTACCCCTGGTAATTATTTGTCGGAATCGATGGCCCACAACAATTCTGCACGTGTGTTTGTCTTCGTTTCAATTCTTCTCCACTGTTTTTCATTTCAGACTTGCGTTGCAGTATGTTTTATTTCATTGTTTTGTATAGCATCAGTATATGATACTACGATTTAGCTCAATATTCTCTGCTCTTCAACATTGCTAGGAAGTTTACGGAGCACCCACTCTCTATTACTGTCCCAGACAGAGCAGTAGACGTCGTAACAAACAAATTCTTATCTGGTAAATAAGCCAGTTCTCTTGTATTTACTTCACAACAGGCAGCTATGTTAACTACAAATGCAACTTGTAACTTTATGCATATCAGTTTTAAAACATACCTGAAGGATTATATGCGTTCCTGTTATATGCAATATACTGTTTTTTATTTGCACGATTTCTTATCCAAAAAGCCATGGTGAACCCAGCTTTCTCACATGTTGTCGGATCTTTAATGCACTCGAATTTCTTCCCGTCGATAAGGACACAGTCATCACGGCCATTGAAATGTATGGCTCGGCCAAGTTGCTCTGTTTCAGAGAAGTTTATTTCTTTTCCTGGAGGAAGGTTGACAGTACCACGCCCCACAAAGTCAGTAAATGTGGGCTTCGGGGACGTCTTCACATTAAAGTAATGGACTGCAGTTCTGTATATATCACCTAGAAAAATCAATACTTGAAATGAATGGAATACATATTTAATTGCTTTGATCTCGCTTACAGGAATTTCCCAATGAAAAAATTTTTCGTGACTGAAACACTGAAAAACGGCGCAAGTCAACATGCTGTTACAAAATGGCACTAGCAAGCAGAAGCGTAACGTTAAAGCACTTTTCGACAAACATTCATCAGAGTAAAATTATAAAGAATGGGACAAAAGGTGCTTTTGGTCAAAGTATTTTATCTCCGCTTCATTCAGCTATTTAGCAGTAAGAGTGGCTGAAACTCTTAAAATGCTATTGCCTCAAAACAATGTTTTTAGTGATTTTGATGTGCAAGAGTGACGATCAGATATGAGAAAGGATAGTTAGATTTGAAAAGGAATCGTTGTACATTAATTCATTACCTTCTTTTGAAAATAGCAAATCACTTTATAGCAAAAATAAAGGTTGGTGTACTTTATAAAAGGGAGAATTATTTAACATCTTGATACTATTGTTAAATTTGCTTTCTTTAAGAATTTGTGAGCTGTCATCCATCAATTAAGGCTATAATACTAAGTCATCATACACTGACTATGAATAGCAATACAACTTTCTCAAGCATTTAAGCCATCAAATAATGAAAAATAAAGCTAGATACCTCCCTTGCAGCACACATACTCTATTTCGCTTTGCAACGTACACAAAGCTAATAGCAGACAAGTCCATCTACGTAATGTCATCATGTCAACAGTCAAAGGTGGTTATCAAAGTTGCAGCAATTTCTCTTTACTATCCTATCCCTTTTGATATCACTCTTTCCTTCTTTGTAGATATTCAAAGTAAATAAAATAAGAGAAGTGTTCTGGGCAAATTGGGCTGGTCTTGCTCAATAATTCATGGAGGCATTATTCAGCTGTTTAGGTTGCAGTTTCGTCTACTTCTCTTTCACGAACGCAACACCACAATGCCTATTTTGAAAACTTTTTCGATTCAACAGAACCCAATATCTAAATGATTAACGAGACTATCTCGAATCACTTTTGTGCCCATTTTCTATGGAATTTATTAACTTTATTGTCTTGAATATATAGAAGATATGAACCGATAAATGAAAATACTCGCAAAGCTAATCGAAATGTAATCAGATATGACATTCAAACTGACATCATACTGACCGTTTCTTGTCAAAAATCGTAGCGTTCTCTGGACATGTAAGGCGGTTGTATTTAAGCAAAGAGAGCCATTAAATTGCGAAGTAAAACAAAGATCAAAGGTCGTTGCTTTTAAGCCAAGAGAACGAGCGAATTGCGATGTAACACCATTATTAAAAGTTGTTATTTTTAGCAATGAGGACCAATGAATTGTTAGGCAAAAACGTTAGTTAATGGGGTCGTCATTCTAAGGCTTTTTAATGAAAATATTTACATTGAACGTGAAGTTAATTTGAACGAGAAAACCTTCGATGGTTTAATAGGCACCATTTTGGAACGAAATTTAAAAAACATTTTGAAAACAATTAAGCATTTTGTAGACCAAATTAACGGGGTGTTTAAAATATTTACAGTCTGCATTAAAACTTTATTCTATTATGGTTTGTACGTGAATAGATGGAAAGCATTAATTAAAGAAATTCTTTATCGTAGAGACTTACCTATCTTCTCCTGCACAGCGGGACTTGGACTGGGATTTGACGACACCTTTTTGTCGCTTGTTTTATGGCTTTTTGTGACGGCTGTAAGTGTAAAAGATGGAACATCCTTCGTTAATGTTGTTATTGTGCTGGCTGTTTCTGTCCGTACACTGGGTTTGTTCGTTACGACAGGCAATTCTTTGATAATTTCTGTTGTAATTTAACAAAATCGGCGACTTAGGCTCTACTGGAGATTATTTTTATTCATTTTTTAGTATTCGATCTATTAAAACAGAAGAATGATCTGCGTTCTTCAAAATGCATAAATTTTCATCTTTAAGGGGTACATTTTATCGCAATGGTTGGTTCCTTTGCACAAAACAAGTTTGAGTTAAAAGCAAACAGAGAGTTCTACAGAATAACCCTTATTGAACAAGCGTTACGTAATTTACATAGTACATCGTGATTAATAAAATAAGATCTAAAGACCCATTAAATTTTAAAAGGCGGCGGAAGCTTACATTTCCCAAGACGAGATTCAAAATCACGCGTCTATCTTTGGGATATTTTGTAAAGGTAGAAAGGCGGTGAGATTATTTTGGGATTTTAATGCTGAAATTAGGAAATACAATTTCATGTGTTTTGAACAACAGCCCTATCCTGTCGAAGAGTCCTTTTTCTATTTTTAAACTAAAAGACGACTTTGATAGCTTAAAGTATTATCTTTTATATTTTGATACTTATTCCTTGTTTATGGAAGGGGGTGGTGGTTTGTGTTTTGCAAAGGGGGACAACCTTAGCCGCGATTACAGAAAGATGTATAGCCTACTAGGTCGTGGCCTATGAAGGTTGTAGAAAGGCATTGTTTATCTAATTAAAGCAGAAAGATGACTGATTATATGACCAAATTTTTTCAACAATAAAGGAGAGATCCAATTTTCGATCTTTTGATAATAAGTGAATGTTTTCACAAAAGTACGAATTTACTTTTCGGCTAATTCGAAATACCGCAAAAATTTCCAATAGGATGGTGCTAGGAAAGGCATATGCCCCCATTCCCCTTCTCTCCATTCCAACGACTCCCTAAAGAGCTGTTGCTATGTTTTGATCAAAAGCATGAAATCTTAAAACATGTTGTACGCTGCTACACTTATTCTAGAAGACTTTGTGATATTCTTTGTGATTTGTATTGTAATGTTTTGAAACTTAGTCTGTTTTGCACGTCAAGATAACGCTACTTTATACAAGTTGCACAACGTGTCTTGTTATACCCTAAACTATACTTTTTTATCTTATATTCTATATCTAATACTTAAACTTTATTTTAAAGTTTCACTGAACGTTTTTGTAAAATTGGCTGTTCCTGTATCGCTTGCTTGTTTCAATATTTCTACTAGCCAACGACGAATTTGCTACAAAACAATAGAGACAGTTACAAGGGTCGTATGTGCAAAGAAGAGTATTTCCGATATGCAGAAAGCTTTCCTACCTTTGCAGATTTTGTGTTCGATTTCAGGACAAACAGCGTCCGGATATTTATTGTGGCAATCCCATCCACACGGATGTGATGAACAGGACGCTGAATTTTGTAAAATAAAAGCAAGAATTAGAATCGAGGTCGTGCAAAAATTCTAATAGATCTAGATTGACGTTAATGAATATAAAATTCTCTTATTTCCAACAACAAAAACCAGGTAACCAAGAAACCTGCAAACCGCAGGTGCCCAGAGATTGGTGGTCCGACCGCATACGGATCAATTTTGGATCCATTGATTTTTCGGCGGAGTTTAAACTACATTTGTTTATCCATTCTCACTTTCACTTTTGATCCCGATCATAAAAAGCTGGAAATGTTATTTGACCACTTCTTTTAATGACAGTGTGTTCCATTATCTCAAAAAACTATGCAGTTGATAATGCAGTCAAAGTAATTCAGATTTGAAACATCATTTTACGTCTTTTCTTGACCAATGCCTGTGTCGACGTTTTCCTATAGCCTTTGGTGACTAGGAGATGCTCTCTGGTTTTCACAGCCTTTCAAAGTACAGGCAAGGTGACCCCTAAAACACGATCCATTCGTAGGGGAAGTTAGGGTGGACCATTATCGTGGATCAGCATCAGCTGCACATTAAGGCTGGGACCGTGGAACCGAGGGCTTTGGGGACTTTAGCCCCCAATGATGTCCAAAATATACTTAAAACCATACAAAATTGTCATGCTCTTGCTGTTTTAGCATGCTTATCCCCCAAAACGAACGTTTTAGCCCCCTAAATCTGTAATTTGCTCGGCGGTCCTTGACAGGGGGCATTTCTTTCCTTTGATGCTGGGGGAAAAGAGGCGAGTATCTAAATCATGGGTCTATCCTCTATTTGAACTGAAAATCTTGCGTACTGAAGTGCACCTCTCTAACAGTTTGGTCACTTCTCTTCTTTTTCAGTCTACTTTCTACCAGAAATGCGATAAAGAAATTGAAATAGTCATTTTCAAGTTTTTTTTCAAGTTTTGTCTATAGTTGTATTTGCAACATCTAAGGATCAATAGAGGACAAGCTTTTGGTATCACGAGTAAGTGCTTGGAGTCCCTCTTTAAAAGGTAAACTTAACTTGAAGTGAAAATGTTTAACAAGGAGTCATTAGAAACTATAACTATTGCCATTATCGTACTCAATATTAATATCAAAACTTAATAGCAAAAGAATCTCTAGGTGTGAATATATTTATGAACAGAGTGCCTCGTAAGAAATCTTACTCGTATTGTTAAAAAAGGCTCTGGAATGCTCTGCCGAATACACTTGAAACAAGCACCTTTGACGATAGTGTTGTAAAAAGGAGAATTGATATGAGTGACTTAAAAATAAATTGTCATAAATTATAAGAAAAGATGTTGGAGATCGAGTATTGTTAATTCAGATTTGGAGAATTTAGATTTGAGAAAACCAAAAGATTAGAATTTTTGAATTTGGATCCCATAGCCCTGAAAGGGCATCATGAAATACCTCTAATTATGCAAAATTAGTCAAATCTATTACGAATTGGCTGAGATATGGCCACGTGTGTTTTGGCTCTTTTCCCATCAAACCTCTGTACTTTGGTCTCTGTTCATAACTTTATGAACAGAGCGAAAATAACAGTGATTCGTTAGCAAACTTCAAATCTTTAATTGGCAATATCTCATTTGATTTTAGACATATTTGAATAATTTTGCATATTTGGAAATATTTTATGGTGATCTTTTATGTTATGTGCTTAAAATTCAAATGTTTTAAAAATAGCTTTTTGGTGACGTCACACTTTTGAACTCTCTTCACAACATTATACATAGCACGTTTGTTATTGCTTGTTAGATAGACAGCGTTCTTGGAGGCCAATTCAAAGGAAACTGCGTTTATTTCTTCACGAAACAAGTTGTGGAACTGTACACATGGCGCTCTCAAGGGTATAATGATAACATCATGATACGTGCAAAAAACACATGGCGCTCCCAAGGTACCTTACAATTCTCTTGTTGCCGATAAACAATGAGAAATTTTCATAAATACATTATGATGATTTATGCAGAAGTAGTACTTACCATTCTTCTTGATACAAGTAAGCAATGACCCATCAAGTTTCGAATTGCTGAGAACAAGACCACCAGTTTGACTGGCTTGATTGTCAGTGAGATAGTAGAGCCAAATTGCCAGGTGAGCCATGTCGAACTGCCCGAAGCCTTTTTGAGTTAGAGTTGGTGGACGGCCAATGGTAAACATTCTTTTTATCCTGGAATAAAGAATAAAGTTTCGTTTTTTGAATAAGGATGCTGAAAGCCGTATGCAGGCAGCTATATATATTCGTAAACTAGAATATGTGACTTCAAAGTATGGTGTTGACAATTCAAAACAGCTATTCTGCTCCCTTGCAATTAGGATTTGCTTTTTCCTCTAAGAGATCCAGATCCCTCTTCAAAATGAATCAATATGAGTCACATCACCCCGTCCCAACTTTTGCTAAGGCCCCGTTTACAATGAGACGGATTCTTGGGAGTGCAGTGCCGATTATTCGACGGCGTTTATGCATGACCTGGATGGAACTAGGAATGACCCCGCATAAGAAGCAATCCCAAATGAGTACGTATAGCATGCTTGGGTTGGATCCACACGGCACATTGCAAATGCACACAGAATTGGACTAACGTGAAAACCCATCCATTTTAAATGGGATCTAAGCGATCTGTTTAAGAAAACTCCTGTAAAGTTGTAAACAAAAGAGACTTTGCATTGTTACGAAATGAGAAATATATTGCATGAATCTTAAATACCATAGAAGCTTAAATTGTGGGTCAGCTGCTTTGCCTCCTTTGTCACTGGCTACCAACTTCTCATCAAGGAAAAGGTGCAGTCCTTTTTTAATATGCCATTTTATAACCATATGACACCAGGTGTTGTGGAAGGCCATTGTCGAAACTTCCCAGTAGTGGCTTATTTCTCGCACTAGCACTTTATACCGTTTAGTTGAGTCACTATATGTTATTTGAATTCCTGTCCCCTTGGAAGAATTTGTAAACCCACCAGTTGAAAGTATAAACTTTCCTCGTTTAAATCGAATCCAAAATGCAATGGAAATGCCGTACATGCAACGCAAAGGGTTCGCTACACACTGCGAAATTCTCTCTGTGAATGAATAAACTTTCATTAAAACGGTTTTACAAAACATGATTACCAAGCTCAATAAAACGATCCAAACTTTTGTAGTGCAGCAATCCAAGAGCTCCTTTTCGTTAGAACAAAAATACTCTCTCAAATTCATTAATATTTACCCCGACCTTTTCAGACCCCTTTAGACACAAAGCAACACAATATTGCTGCCTACGCCTTTTAATTTCGCTCAAGACCATGTTTTGAGCAAAATTTTTCTTTGGGAAGAATTTTTATTTCGTTTGCCAATACATTATATAAGGAGACCTTCACTTAGATAACAGTGAATCCAAAAAAACCAAGCAATACCTAAGTTATCCGTTAATTCTACGCATATGATGCTTCAAGTAGATAAAACTAACGACATGACAGTATTCAACCTGCAGGCCAAGCCTTGAAGTGTAAACTAAAGAGAAAATTAGAGCATAGCTGCTATCTTTAGGCTCAATGTAGCAAGGAAAGCATAAGGTATTTTAAGCAAATTGTCATAGGCATAGGAGATGTCGCTCAAAGGGATGGAGGCTGCAACCCCCTAAAAAAGCAAAATCTATCACTTTAAATGCTTCTCTGAGACGATTTAATCTTAACACAAAGCAATAATATTCGGGCAAGATCAATTTTAAACCCCTCAAACGTTTTGCATCTGCTACGCCAATGACGTTTGTTATTACCTGTAGGAAACTCAATCCATTCCATGTTTCCTGAGAATGAAACCGCCCCGCCAATTCTCTCGTTTTTGGTGAGCTTGGCTCCATGGACTTCTCCTCTCACACTTTTCACTTTATCAAGGAGGCCATTATTTGACCAATGTTCGTTTAAAGGCCAGTAGTATTCAGCGGTTGGATATGGGCGATTCATTCCAGCTATATGTAAAAAATTGCGACGAATAAAGCCTATTACATGTAGTTAGAAATAATTGTTTCAATTTTAACATTGCACTGCAAGTAACAATGCACTGCTAGCTGCTAGTAGCAATGCACATTTTCAAATTTCCCGCTGCCCTTACTTAAAAGACGTGATATAACTAACATACACAATTTTGCAAAGACATAGAAGCCTGAATGTTAAACTACTTAACTGAACGGTGTATTAAATGTAGTACTTTGCTTCAAAATGCAAGGAACACAGGAAACATATGCACTTTCTGTAGAAATGTTCAGAAGTTTGGCTAAGTACCAAATGTAGAATTTTACCATCGTACCAAATAACGTAAAAATGTAACTTCAATGACCTTCAGCGTAGCCAAATAATTTGGAATTCAATTTTTTGCAGGTTCATTTTTCAAACAATGTTAAAGCACATCAGAAAAGGGCCACAGAAAGATTATATTGTTCATAAGGTATGATCTCACCATCCTATCTATAAACTTGATTAAAGCAACAAAACTGAGAGAGGTAGGTAAGGATCGTGACTTGTGTGTTTTTGAATGTCATCCTCCAATTCTTACGTTTGAGCCCCACTCCCTTTTTCAAGTGGTTGGATGGGTACTACAGTCACTATGACATATGGAGGGAGGAAGACTGGAGGAGGACGGCCTCTCATTTCTTTGCTTCTAAACGTTGGATATGAGAAAATATGGCACGATATGTTTATGACTCCGAAATGCCAAGGAAATTTTGATTGAAATGCTGGATCGTTTGACCACCAACGGTTGATGACGTTCCAACATCGACAAATGATGTTGGGTAAAATTTTGGATCGAAGAGACATCTTATCAACGTTTTTATTTAAAATAACAGTACCTTAACCTTATACCAAGAAAATTTATCAAAATTTAATTTACTTACTCGGGAATGAAATACCAATGCAACATGAAGGGCATAAAGCTCCCTCAGAAAAACTGCCATTGACATCAGAAAGGTCATTCATGAGGCTACGTTCCCACATCATCGAGAGCGAGTTGGGCCGTTGGTGCATCGGCGCCAATCGCTCAACCTACCATATAGGGGTTACTAAGGGAAGTTACACAATAACCCCCGATTGATAATTGGGAGGGAATGGACAGGAAAAGCCTCTTTTCCCCACTAATAGCCGATGCACCAGTCCTACCTAATAGCATCAGAAAACTCAAAGAAGCATAAAAGATGCCTAAAGGTATGAGAGGTTTTAACGATGCCATAAAAGAAACTCAACACGCAAAGTTATACTGAAAAGGCATTAAACATAAAGAAACAAATTGAGGGAGGGAGGGCTGGGAAAATACAATAAAACAGCCTAGTTGAATTGTGGCTTCACCAAGCAAGATGAGACCCACGCTATGCCAAAACCTTAAATACCCCTAGATTAACCAAGGGAATGAAAACGCCACGAAACACACATCTTACCCTAGTTATACAATCAAATTCACAGGAGGCCGACAGACTCCCCGCATTGCCCATAAACTAGTAGAGCAGATACAAGAAAACCACGAGGAAGCGTGGCACAAGAAAACATAACGAAATAGTATTTAACAACAATCTCATGCGATTTAGTTAACGCTCAAAAGCCCCTCGTGAAATTAACTCTGATTAAATTTCATTTAATCATCATAACAAAGACAGCTTTTTGCATGGTTGTCACAAATTCAGCAAAAAAGTCTCTTGATAAAGCACCTAACGTCAAGCTTGAGACATTTGTGGCTGACGTGCTCAAAGCAAGTGCCGCTTGTAATTTAATGAAAGAGTGGAGAGCTAGCCTGAATTCATTTCCCAAAGATGCCTTCCTGTCTTTTCATCAAGTAATGTTTATTAATGTTTTAAAAAAACTCTCCCAAAGTGTGTAAGAATCTCCCAGAAGCTTTGAAAGGATATGGCATAACTAGAGTTAATGCTGAGTAGCAAGCGAAAGGAACCGAGAAAGGAAAACTCGTAGACCAAGAGAAAGGACAATTTGTCGATGTCTGTTGCAGCTCTGCTAAAAATCCGCTAGAGAGTCCTTGTGAATTCTTTTCAGCAGTTCCAATTCATTTTTTCGTTATTTAAAATTTGTCCATCATGGCATAAGACTTGTGTCTGCGGCTTAAGAAGCTAGACATGTGTCTGCAACTTTTTACGCTGAGGTGACATTGGCAGTGTAAGTCAGAAAGAATGAAAAATGAAATGGCATAAATTCAGAAAACTACTATCAGCATTAACAATCCCATACGTTACAAAGTTTAATTTCGAAGATTATTTTATCATTATACAAGTTGCAGAGCATCTGTCAAAATTTTTCCTGTAAATTTGAACCGTTTGCAGCAAATGCAATGAGCTTGGAAGGATCTATTCAATATAATCTAATCTAATGTAAAATTGACCCTTCTTTCACTCTGAAAGTTCTTTCAATTACCAGCATTCATTAGTCTTACTTAATGGCATCGAGAACATGTACAAACAGAACGACCCATCTCTAATTAACTATACAGTTACGTCTTGTGTTCTCTTCTTCGCATGTACTTTTATATTGCGCAGCATTACCAACAACCTTATTGCAGTAAGTGTCGAAGTGAAAATTTCCCTGAAAGCAGAAAATTTATGCTGTTCCTATACTTTCAGCAAAGGCTATAATTTCCAGTTGATGAAGAACGGGCAATGTTTAAAAACTTCAATGACATTTATCTATTGTTAGGGTTGCTTAAACTTTATGTAGATTGAATGAATATTTTTCAAACTAAGTTTCCTTCATTATGTTTCTACCAATATTCATGACATTTTGATGGTGTCGCTGTTGCCTTTACCAATCATTTTCTGGTCTTTGATCTTAGAAAACAAACAATTTCCTTTTGAAATCAGACAATCAACAGGCTAACGCTTGATAGGGTTAACTGAATTAGGAACGGATAAATCTTTGACTCACCACCAAAGCAAAAGGACGTTTTGACTAAAGCAAGTATGAAAGCTATCAATGTCGTTGTCTTCAATGTTACAAGTCGATCCATCGTGGACCTATCTTCTAGGGTGGTAAGCACTGAACATGAGATGATCCGTCCTCCTATGAATGCAAAGACAACTATGTTGTACACAAGTGCGTACAATAAGTGACACCTGGGTGCATAATTTCATATGAAAGGACGTAATCTATATTTAATATATTCAGTGAGAGAAATGGCTTTTCAACCCAAAACACTATAAAGATCTTTGATATGAGCAGAGCTACACCTGCGGCAGATGCTAAAAATCAGAGGTGCCATGACACTCGCTGTCTTAATTAGAAAGCTTAACACAAACAAAAATTCACTTTTTACTGCAAACCAAATTAAAGGACCTACCACATTCCATCTGAACTGTGAGCAATTTTCTAGTCCATTATGAAATCCAAGCACCAGATATTAGTTGTTTTTACGATGACATTGGCTTTGCTTTTTTGCTCGAAGTACCGTGTAGCTATGTGCAGGGTTTTGTTGCTGTGAGGCGGCTAGCTGCGTCAATTAAAATAGAAAAGTCGAATGGGAGAGACAGAGACAAATATTCATCTTACCTTCGTTCTGTGAAGAGCAGAGAAACCGTTTCTAATAATAGGGATCTCTTCAAATGTTATTTTGGAGACTTGTTGGAGTGTTGCTACGCCGTTGATATTCCCTGCAAAATCTCAGTTTGTACTCACAAATGACCTAACTTTGCACACATTTGAGATTTTTCTTTCAGCCTTCTTAAGAGTACATTTCAAAGTAAAGAAAAGCGCTTTTCTCACCATCCAAAGGTTTACCAAAGGACTTAAACACAAAAACGACAATCACATCGTATACTGGCTTGGTTGATATGTGGCATAGACCGGAACGGGGGAGGGAGTTGGTAGTTCTTGAAGCATTTTGCCACGCTCTTCCTAGTCGTGCACAGAAATAAACAATCGTAGACTGTCGTTGAGATAAGAAATGTTTGTTTAACGATAAAATTCCGCAAAGCAGGAGTTGTCAGCCAATTTGCATAGATAAGAAAATTACGTTATGCAGCGAAGATAGCACCTATCTATTTTTCTCTAGATTTCAATTCTGGCAACTGAATGGATAATTCGAATAAAACGCTGCAAAGTGATCTCTGATTATCAACAAATCAGTAAAATTGCATAATCAAAATAGCTACAAACAGTGAAAACAATTCGAAGAATGATTTGTGATAGTGTAGAAGGAATTGCTCCAATGTGCTATCAGATTACAGGTGTTTCTTGAAGTTTCGGGGACTAGGCCTTACTGTAAAATTAGCGTAAGTAAGGTTGGATTATCATGGGTTATAGAGAGCTGATTAAAAGCGAAATGAAATGATAGAAAACAAAACAATTAACTATAAAGAGGCGTTCGTTCCGTGAGGAGCACATTTCAAAAACAAGCTTTTTCCTCTACAAGAATCTGTCCGTGGCACCTGCTTCGCGCGTTGAAATTCAAATATTTTGTCTAGGTCAGAAAGAAAATTCTTTTGAATTACATTCAGCGTAATTTTAATTAGAGCATTCTCGAGCAATTTTCTCAAAAAGCATTCTAAGCCTGGTTCAGAGTCATAAATATGATCATTAGGTGGTCATCAGTTCCCTTCTAAACACTCATTGACAGAATTTGCGCTGTGAGGAAGGTCGCAAAAAAGCTAACTTCACTCTGCGTGCAAACGCACCACTAATTTAACGAATAGCATCTTTTCATTGCTAATCAAACAACTTTTCTAATGAGGCAGTGAGAGCGAGAGCAATATTTACTGCGAATGGAAACGATGTCGGGTTCTAAATGTTAACGGAGTAAAATAATATTGTTGGTAGTTCAAAACAAGGCAACCACAGTTAATCACAGTTGAGATGGTAAAACGTAAGAGTTATTAGATTTGCTCAGACACCTGCCTTTAAGTCAGCAACAACAACTCCATTTCAAATGCACGCTCAAATTGGGTAAGGTGGTGCTAGCATCTACTGTACATTATCATGGTTTGATTCATAAAGCAGTATTTGAAATGAAAAAGTGTATAAGAGGGAACGTCCTTCCTTGTAACTTGAAGATTCGTATCAATCAAAGAGAAAGAGATTCCGTAGGCAACTAAATATTCATCAGATATTACATCTATCACAAAACTACTGCACGACAATAAATACGTTTTTCGTTAATGCCAGTAATTACAGCCGACAAACCCTGAAATGTTGTTATGGATTAACTACTGTAAAAAATAAATTAACGCCACTGATTTCTAAATGTCTATAAAAGATAGCGATAAACACCAAAATGGTTAAAGAGATAAAAATATCACTTAGTCTTGGGTAGGTTAATGTATGAAATACAAATCATCTATAAAACATATCTGAATAAATCACAAGTAATGACGTCACTAACCATATATACATTTATAGAATGCCTGCCATAAAAGTGGCGCAGGAAAAAATAAGCGGAAAGGACAGAGCATCTTACAGCTTGTGCTATTTCTTGAAAACATGGATCATTTAGAATCCGATCTAAAAAGATAGTTTTCAACAGAAATAGCTTGTTATGCACAAGTTGCATACTTTCTCGTTAAGAATCGATGTTTCTTATAATATTTTGTTCTTTGCTATACCCAAATAATACAAAGATGCAAATCAAGAATTTATCTGAGGCTTATAAAATCTTTGATGAATCTAGAAATCCAGGAAACGTAAAATAAATTGCATGGATAGCCTGCTATCCCAGTCACTAAGACTGACGTTCTATTCAAGTAAACAAATACATCTCTGCATATACAAAAAGGCCTGATATACACTAAATGCTGATTGCATTTGGAACTTCTTTCGGATCCAAGTATGGGTATGGAACTGCCCTTGCTTTGTTGCGTTCTTCTATTATCATGCTGATTTTCTTCAGCTCTTCGCGAAATCTAGAAATTCAAAATCAGTATAAAAATTGCTATCTTTTTCATTCCATGAACTCTAAAGGCACGCGGCTTGCATTGGAAAGCAAGATGACTGAAAATCTGTATTATGAAACAAAATTAATGTAGAAATCACATCCATTGCTATGATGATAATAATAACGTAACTTTTACTGAGATTCTACTAAAGAAAACAAGTAATTGAAAAAAGGTTTATAGATCGAATATAAGACAAAATCAGAATTAAACTGTTCCATGGGAACAATGTTTTTTTTCAGGCAGCCAAGAATCAAGATAGACTGTGTGTCTGTATGTACAGATAGAATTTCACCGCGTTACACAAGAAAAAGGATTTCCAACATTATCGATCAACAAATTTAATGATTGTAGAACTATTCCGAAATGCTAAATTTCACAAAATAGCGGCAAGATCATAGAACCTGCTTAAAAGCCTTATTCAACTGACTCTCTTCGGGGGTAATATTGTTTACAATCAAAACGCACGCATAAATGCATGAAAGCGCGAACAGTCTGGTTGAAAATGCTGTTTAGCAAGTAGGACGCTGTGTTTAGACACTAAGAAGCCAAAACCCTATAACCTTTTCTCAGCGAACTGAGAACAGTAATACTAAAAAGGAATATTTTCTTGAATCGATCGATATGTAATTTGTGTCATAAACGAATACAGTTCAAGGTAGAAATTCAAGGTACAAGGTAGTATTAAAAAAGTAATTTTTAAGGAGTGATTTTTTGCTAATTTTGAACTGATTGTGCTTCTCGGCAGTTTTTCTTGAAATTACTTGAAGCACTTTAAGATTTGGTGTAGAAAAAGAGAATCCATGAGTGAAACAGGACGATAGCTTTGAAAAGTTCAAAATCAAATGCAAGCTATAAATGCGGAAACGGGAAATTTTTCTTGAGTAACTCACAGAATCAGTTAGACGCCCAATTTTTTATGATCTTTTCGCTTAACCTTGTAATAAGATGTTTTGAAAACCATGCCTTTAAGACACAAGAATAATTCTTTTCCTTTCGAATAGTTAACAAGTGATTGTGATTCGAATAGTTTTAAATTACTTGTTGTTTAGCTAATCCCGTATTTTATTCTACGTGTTATCAGTATCCATATAAATATTTTTCGATTTCGCCGATCTGGCTACTTTACTCAATGTTCCAGATATTTGCTGGGGGTATCTTATAACTGTGGGGCTATCTTGTATCAGAGTTACTTTTTAATGAGCAACAAATGTCAACACTTTTGTGCGAGTTGAATCTAACCCATCCTGGTTCATGTAAATCTAACAATAATACAAATGTATTTTCCTGGAAACCAGTATTAGAGACAAATGGGGCTTAGCTTGGTGTTCTTTTGTCTAGATACAAACCTAAAAATATTTCTATCTGTTCTTTGAGCAATGTACAAAGCAGACACGTATACAACTGTCAACCAAAAGAGATGATACGAGATATAGCATGAATGAAGAAAAGTACCTTTCAACAGCAGCAACTGCTTCTGGTTCGTAAAGGTACTGCACCTCGAAATCACCTAGGCCATTAGTACCTCTGTCACTCAAAATCTTGGTGACAACCATTATGCTCAATGTCGTATCCTTACTTGGCAAATGGGCAATGATGTCTTTTTCGGTAAGTGGTACCTAATGTTTATAAAGAAGAATAAAAACATATAGTTAACGTTAAGATGCTTTTTTGCTATTTGATGTTTCAAGGCAAAAGTCTAAAAAATCGAAACCCCTTGTTTTTCCTTTATTCTGCTGATTACTTTTAGAAAGTATCTCTCCCAGATCCTTTTTCTAAGTATTTAACTGAAATTCTTTTCTTAACTGTAACTGTCTAGGAGAACTCAATTCGAGTCTCAATATCACGTCAAAGCAGATTACCAGCTTAGAGCTCCTAACTGTTTTTCTGGACTTTGCTTTGTCGAGACTTTTGCTGACACAAAATTAATATACCTACTTATTCATAAAACAGTCATTTGGGTATCTTTTAACTTTCAACGAAACGATTAAATTACCTTGGTTCTTGGTATTTTCCCACGTAAAATTGCCGGGTAATTTGGTGGAAATGCGTACTCGTCGTACTGGTTAAAATTAGCAGAGGCATGTCCAACGCTGCTGAGGAATATCAGTGACGTCAGAACCTGGACAAGGTCTTCTTTGTTTTCAAACTTCCCATTGCCTGGAACACCCTAATGGTTAAATCAGAGTAACTAAATCCAACAGAAAAAACATGTTATAATGATAAAAATGACAAGACGTTAATGAGAGAAACAACCTGACATTAAATGACACCGTGACATGACAGGTTGCCTGAAATGGTTTCCATGGGACTAAAAAAATGACATGACATGACAAGAAAAAAAAGTTATGAAAAATTTTAGTGTTTCTTGAAAGCAATACCTTGACACAGCATCCTTTTTCCTTGTCAACCAAACATTTTCCCCAAGACTGAAGTTCATAATCAGTAACAAGCATGTCATCTCTCGCTGTACAGAAGAAATAAAGTATTGAAAATTAAGTATTGCACAGCAGAATCATTTCATGCAGAACAAAGACAAATCTTGCGGCGCAAAAAGTCTGTAACATAATTTTTTAAAATTTAACCATTTCTAGCTAGATTCTAAAAAGGACTTTTTATCCATCCTGCAAATAAGCAGTAGAATCAGTCAAGTAAATCTGTAAAGCAAGGGTTGTAGCCCTAGAATAAAGACTTAGTGGCATACTTCACCAAGCTATGCATTATTCCACGACTGTTTATAATGGTGGTTTTGAAATAAAAAGCAGCAAAACGCTGTTTAGCGGGGAAACAATCAGTAGTAAGTTCAGGTACTTAATCTTTATGTCCTAAATATATCTTTACAAATTTTGTAGTTTTTGACCGTAGTTTCGTAAAAATGACACTGCAAGGTCATGGTTCTAGTTATCGTGCTGTAATTTGGCCTATGTTTGACTAAGAAACAGCCAAAACATAGCTTGACAAAAATGGTGGTTTGTTAATGTATAAGGATTTGAGGGGCAACCAAAATACAAATTGAAGACAGCAACAGACATTGTGAGCAGATTAACATATTCTCGACGACAGTCTATTCATATTAGTCTAGTCAACCTAAACAAGAAGCTTATGTTCGGCTTTGTAAAGTGTACTCACGGTAATAAAAGGTGATGACTTCTTTCACATAGTTATGGATGGCTTTATGAATAAGAATAGCATCATCTCTATAAGGGTAATCGATCAGCGCTTCTGTGTCATCAACCTAACGAACATAAAATTTGTATACGTTTAATTAGCAGCAAAATGAAGGGACTTACGAATTCTGGACAATAGAGGCCAGACAGAAAAAAGTTTTAGAGACATGCGATCATCAAATATGCCTGTTTGTATTCTTTACGCACAGTTTCACAACATTGTGGTTGATATGGCATAAAAATATAACAAAAAATCGCATACAAACGAAAGAAAAGACGGAAAGCAATTACAAAAAAGAAATGGGAATACGATTTGAAAATGTTGGGCATTTTCAACTAAAAGGGGTTCGAAATCAAAAGAAGAGTTTGGCTGTTTACTTTATAAAACTATGTGAGAATAATATTAATCAATATTTGAATGGGTAATGTGTATCTATGTCCAAAAAGTGAATTACAGCTTCACCTTTTTAGGATAGAATTGAACTTATTTTCGATAGTATTACACAAGTTTTTATAAGAATTCTTTAATTTTTGCCGAGCGTTAATATTATCAAAACTTTGCAATCCCGAGCTTAAATTTAACTCCCGTATTTTTACTCCCGACACAACTTGTAAATTTTTTAAGAATCAGGATGAAAAGTTTGAATCGTTGTTTTTGTTTAAAAATAAAACATACTAGCACGCTACAAGATTGATGAGTGTTCCTCAAGCTTTTTGCGTGAAGTCAAATTTGTCTTGTTTGATCAAAAAACTCAAATAGAAGAAAATTCAAAATTGAATAAAATTCGAGCCTTGCTGTTAGTCTTAATCAATTTTTAAATTTCATCCTTTTTCAGCCCCCATATTCCTACAAAACGCATTCTTAAAAAGAAAATTTATTGAACAATCCAGATGCATCCTCCGGTCCTAATGTTATTAAAACGAGGCATAGCGAAATTAATGGAATTTAATGGCTTACCCCTCTGTCCTTCAGATCATTTGGCAAATCACCTTCACTATTAAGTTCCCACTCCCTCCATCTAAATATAAGATAAATAGAGTACTAAATAATGAAAATTACTGTTTACTGGTCTGTCATAAGGTGTTCGATCCAGTATCAACAAAGCTGTAAACACTTCTACTGTACAGATCAGGACGGTTCTAATTTGCTTCTCCAAGTTTCACCCTTGATACGATCAGTACAGTTCAGATCTATACGCCAAAAGGTAGAGTTTCAAATATATTCTTTGACAGTTAAATAATTTTAAGTTTCCTATACAAAAGCGCAGATACCTAAAGCAATAGAGATTGTGAGTTGTCATGCTAAAAAATATGAATACAAACAAAGCTCTACAAATGAAGCTTCTTTCAACAACATATTGGGTTGAGCGAACACTACCAGATTACGTGCAGATTAAACGAGTTATTTACACGTACGTGTTTCGTAAGATTTCAAAGAGACCTCTAACACCCATCGTCATTGTGACGTCAATCCATCCACCAGGTGAAACAAGCTTTTCGAGGGCCAGACTAAAAGAGACAAATTAACGTCGCGCTTACGAGTGCCGAACTCAGCGGTGAAAAAATAAAAAAATTGTTTCAAGATGCGACAGAGAAATGATGTAAAGAAAATTTGAAAAAGAGGTGCTAGTGTTGGAGAGATCTTTAGGATTATTGAAATAAAAAATGGGAACACGGGAGGCAAATGCTCGGCTTCTTCTCCAAATGACTTTTTGGGATCTGCCGTATTTAAGCCTGGTTCCCATAAAATCGTAAGAGTCGGGAACGTTTCGCCGATCCCTTCTTCCATCTTCCATATCGACCAAAGAAAAAGTGTTCTCATTGATCAGGAACAAGTTGACAACTGTCGGAAAGAGATAAAATATCTTTCTATGATTGGTTAATTACACCCAACTGACTGTTTCTTAACAATAGTAAATCGGCGGCGTCGGCGACTCGTGTTCCCATTAAAATGTTCTTTGATCGGAAGAGTCGTAAGAGTCGGGAACGTTGAATTCAGATCAACTTTCCCGACCCCTGCGATTCACATTTGATTGGAAGAAAATGTTCCCATTAAAATCGGGAGAACAACGCAGACTGACGCAGACTGTCGCCGACCCTCTTACGATTTTATGGGAACCAGGCTTAAGCTAAAGAGGCGGAAGTGGGTAACATCCTATTCTCTGAAAATGGCGACTAAATGGCGACCATAACTCCAATCTCAGAGTTGATTCGTTGCGTAAGATTGATTCTAATAATAGAGATTATCATTTTCGAAATACACTTTGAAGCACATTATAATGCATATTGAAAGCGTTGTGGCTTTTTGAAGATTAAAATACGCTTTGAAGGAAATACGCTTTTAAATACACATCTGGGTAATGCGGGCGCCATTAGCATCAAAGATTACAAATGTTTTTAAGCAAATCTGGATTTTCTAGTTATCCAGCTGGGGCCTTTGCAACTCACTGTGAAATTTATGCTGAGCAATTATTGGCCTTAAGTTTTTCCTGGTGGCTTTCAATTTTACCATTGCTCTGTTTTAATACCAAAGCAGCCGTTTCAGCAGGCATGGTTTTCTTGTTTTCAGTTCGATCTTAAGTACCAAGAGAAATCCTAGAATCCTGCCGAGGACAGTAGAATGACAAGTGAAAAGCTTTGTCTAAGCCTTAGACTCTAAGGAATGCCATTTCAGTAGGAGAAAAAGTGAATATATTTGAAAGTACTTTTTGGATCTAAGCACCACAGCACTTACCTGTTAATCGCAACGAGGTAAAGAAAATGCGGAGCAAGCAACCGATAAACCGGATGCGAAGGAGAGAGTTCTCGATTGACTGCCACACAGATTGTTTCCCCAATCATGTGGGTAAAACCTGTATGAAAAAAATCACTTAGGGTGAAACAGTCAACAATAAGCTCTACCAAGATGATTATAGATATCAGAGTCTACAACATAGCTATTTTTGGCGATTTTATCAGCAAGGCTTTCGCCCAGCCAACAGAAAAGTGGCACCCTTACACCATCAGAAATCAAGTTGGATAGGTTAATTTTTAACTTCACTGCTTTATTGTTTTATTCTCTTCAATAATGTATGTAGAATTATTTTGTCTACAAAACGCATATATTTAGAATATAGGATCAAGTTTCTAAATAATATAGCAGTGGCAGTAAGACATCCCCACACTTGCTACTGTATCTGCCTTTACAACATGGTGTAATAAATCATATCCATGGACGCCAGAACGATCAAGGGGCAAAAGGGGGGCAGGCTTGAGTAAAAGGGGATTTGAAAAATAACTTCTAGTTACTAACGGTCATTTAACTGTCATTGTGTTTCGATCTTCTGTAGGTAACTTGAAATTCGGCTAATCTTTGGCATAAGAATTTTCTTTACAAGTTTTGAGAAATTCGTCATGAATAGGACAATACAATCAGAATTTCATATGAACTTTTTTGCTATATACAAACGGCTAATATCAAGGGTGCTTCTATGAAAAGGGCAATTTGGCCCCTCTTGCCCTTCCCATCAAAAGGCAACCGGGGCGGGAGAACCTCCTTCTCCCTGGTCATATCTGGTTGTTTATATTAAAGAAAGCAGCATTGGTTAAACATTTTTCGGATAATTGGACGATAATATAAACAACGTACGTTGAAATAATCCCTAGATCAAGTATTTTACACCGTTGTATTGCACCAAAAACTTAAGTGTGAAATACCAAATGTTGTTCAGAGCTACATACAAAAGCTTAACATGACCAAAAGAGCCGAAACTTTCAATAGACTTAGCATGTACACTTTTTAGTTAAGCGCAGGGGCATAGACAATGGTCTTTTTGGTTTAATGAATTCTTAAGAGCACGTTCAAAACAACTAACAAGGTAAAAGTTGTTCGCGACACCTGCATCCACGGTGCCTTATATGGTGAATCCATTGTCTTTCTAACGTTTTATTGCATAAAAGGAGTTGAGTAATATTTATTACCGAGATGTGTGCAGGCCTGGTGCACAGCGGCATCGGCATTGTTATAATACATCTTTGCCAGCATCCAGGTGTATTTCGGGTCATTTGGCATAAACACCTGGAAAAGATCGTGGATTTAGTACAAGAAAATACAAAGATAATGTTAAAGTCAAAAAAATGAGGGGATTGAATTCTCTGAGTAATCTGGTATATGATCATGGTCAAATGCCTCTGAGTCATCTTCTTGAAATTAAATGAATTGCTACTTATATAATAGAACACCAAAAGAGGTGGGGGCTATTGGTACTCAAACAATTTAATAAAAGAGGGGTCTTTCTAGCAAAACAATCCTGCACCCGAAACCATCATTTTTGTCAATCAAATGAACACTAAACCAAAAAATTTAAGAGGTATGAAAAAACCTAGAGGGATAAAACCTAACTGTCTCTAATAACTAGAATGCAATGCAATGCTTATAAATTTAGGCCCCGTTCACATTGATCCGGATTCCAATGACAACGGATAAAAAATTCATCGTTTTCACACCGTAATCAGATAGTTCTCCACAAGATAAATTAAATAGTTTGTTCGTATGAAATTGATTGACATGGTCAAATATGATATAACCATACGACATCTAGATGACAAGATTGTAGCTGATTTCAAATACGAGAGAAAGACAATGGATAGGTTTAGACATAGTCCAGGTATGTTTCCGTAGAATGAGTAATGTTTGACAAATGTTGTACAGGAAAATACCATATAAGTAAGCATGTTGAAAAGGTCGTAAAATAACTTCATCTTGAAAAAATTCTTTTTCCTCTGTTTTGAGACTTGAATTGCAAAAATAGTTACTTCGTTTCTTTTCTAGAATCAATTTTTTATTATAGTGGGTTGGAAAAATAAAACTTAAAAAGAATGAATTAGTTTAAATCTTGAATTGGGAATGGTTTTCTAAATTTGCTTTTATTTTGAGTACATAAGCGTTGCAATTCGTCTAGATTACTCGATCAACTATTTACCTTGTAAGACATCGAATCATGTTTATTTCTAATGAGAACACAAATATTGGGCATTAACATCAAAGTGGTTCTTTATAATGCATATCAGATGAAACTGGGGCAGCAAAGTATTCAGCAGGGGACAAACAGTAGGTAGCAAGTAATCAGATGTGATCACTCAAAAATAACGAATTTTCGTGCATAAAAGCTTTCTCGCATATCATTTGTGGCCTTTAAACTATAATCTCCCTGGTAAGTAGAGACCAATCTCTACTGCTTCTTATAAAGGCCAGGCTAATCGGCTAATCTTCTTATGTATAAGAAGGAAGAACTGCAGGATAGGCTGTCCGCCGGATTCTGCGAATCTTGCAATGAGTGATGTTACGAAAGATATTAAGGAACAAAGCAATACGACGACGAGAATCCAATGTCACGAGTTAAAATTCTCAAAATAAATTAAATTTAAGGAATATACTAATATTTCGCCCCGGCATACAGGGCTTCATCAGAGTAACTGAAACGAACGAGTGAATGAATTTGAAATGTGACATGGTGATACCGGATTGGTGGATGTCGAATGGTGTGAATGTAGCGCAGTGGGGAAAAAATGGGATGATGGAAGTGGGGGAGAGACGGGTGGTGGGTGATGTAAGAGGATGTGGGTGGAGCTGTGGAGATTGATGCAACGGGATTATAATGATGCTATGAATATGAATATAAAAAAACAAAATAATAATAATAATAATTGTGATGGAACTGAAAATAATGGAATGTTAATCTTCTTATAACGTTGCACAGCACTTGGCGCGAACAGATTAGGCCTAAGACCATGTCTGAAAAACCACAAGTGAACAAAGAATGGAAAACAATGAAAATTCTTCATGACACAACGGCAGTTTATACACTGGTAATTTCGCAATCAGTAAGGCAAATTGCAACTTTCACACTGGCAATTGCAACTGTTTTTCCGCCTCTCAATTGCAAGTGACCAGTGCCAATCACAAGAGGCATTGAGGGCCTAATCGGGTAAACCTTAGAAGAAACACTGGCAGTATTATTAGAAGATTTGGTCGTTGAAATGCTGAAACAAAGTGTAGTGCAAAAATGTTCCCGTCTGCCACGCCCATAACACCCCCTCTCGAGCAACTGGCACCTCCACAACCTTATAAAGGCATCTCAATTTCTCCAGCTTCTTTAGCAGGGTTCCAGGCTTGAGTTTGCATGCCAGCCACCCCCCCCCCTCCCCTCTTCTCTAGATGCCCCTACCTATCTAGTAAATAGGATGCCCTTTCCTGTAACTCGAAACGATAAAAGATGAAAAACAAGCTCCTCTTACTGGGTTGTCTTCGGCTGGTTCTTGGAATAGCTGAATGGCAATCGGCATTAGGCGTCCATCTCTTTTTGCATGGAACAATGCAATGGGCGCACAGATCTGTGATATGAAAACAAACAAGACATGACAATACGAGATATCAATTATTATTTTAATATTTCAATACTATTTTGTTTCTTTTATTTATTATTATTCATTTGAGCCATTTCTATTTTAGTTCATTTCAGCCACAAATAAAACAACTTTTCTTTTAAGAATATTATCAAAACAGAATTTGTCCAGTTGAGTCCATGACCTTTGGAACCATTTTACAATAACAGGGAGGTAGGGGCATGTATTGATACTCAACAAGGTACATTCCTCTTTTGGAGATTAAATTGGTATATGTATGGGGGCAATTGATGCATTTCCAAATAATTCGAGCATGTGCGCTAAGGACCCCTGGTTCCAAAGATCCTATTTCATTCTTAATTAAAAAAAGTATTACCTCTCTACTGTGGGGACACTGCAAGTTATGTAGCACTTTTAAATCAACGATGTAGATAGATTTCTTCGCGAGTGCATCCTGTAGACTTAAACCGTCGAGGAATGGTTCCAGCATATCTTCAGTCACAGCAAGTCTATGATTAAAATTTAATTTTTGGGAAAATAAATAATCGCTAAAAGAGCAAGACCTGTAGAAGTTGTCAAACCTTTTAACGTGAAAGAAATAAAGGCATAAAATCAAACTGAAATATTATCGCATAAAATCAAACGTGAAATTAATTATGCTATGTCGTTAGTTCGTATTTTCCAACAAGAAAAGCCATGTTGAAAGCTTGCAATCTTGATTCATTTTGACGTTTTCGTCTTAATGGGCGCAGACTTTGTACCGATAAAGAAGGGTGTATCTGTACAGCGCTTTACTAGAAAAAAGCGGGTGATACTGTTATTAATGAAGGAATGCTTGCTTCGACGTGCATCCGTTCCCTTCACCCCCTTCATCCCCCCTTTCAACTAATGTTGTCTAGGCATCAAAAGTAGCTTACTTTTGTGGAATCTCTGCGCACAGCTTTATCAAATTCGGAGTCACGCCCCTTAGTCTCTGGCGTCCAAAGTGTTCGTCTGATTTCCAGTTGTGATAACCCTTCAAAGTAAAACGTCAATTGCATCGAAAAATTTGTAACAAATATCAACAAATAACTGGCAAGATATTCTTGAAGGTATAGAGTCTATAAAGATATTCTTTGCATTTTGATGGCAAAATTCTGTTTTTAATTCAAACAGTATTTGAAATTGCACCTTTTCTGCCACAATTTATTTAAGACCATTGGTTTACATAGCGTACGTCGTAGACCCCCCCCCCCTTTTACAAAAGAAAATATGAAGGGGGGTCTACAGCGTAGGCTATGGTTTACATTAACCTTGAACCCTATGACACCTTTGATTTTTGTGTTTGCCCCTTTTTTGCATTGTACAATGTCGTTAATACTTTTACGTACTCAAGGAGTAGCCCCTGTTAGCTCATTTCATACAATGAATTTTTTATTACGCTGAAACTGAAATATACTTACATAAGGAATTGAAAATGGACCTCTGTAAACATTGCACAAATCCTCCAATTTTTGCCAGTAGGAAGACGTCATTTTTGTAATTTTCCTCTGAGCAAGCAACTTTACCTTGCGTGCTGTAATATCCCACTAAAATGTTCAAAATTTAACCACATCAGTTATAAGTTCGCATTATCTTTGTTTGATATAGTGAATGTTTATATACGACATCAAAGCATTGTCGAAGTCCACTAAGCCGGAGAAAAAATGTGACCGCCACCACCTCCATAGTCTCTTACAACTGCCATGATAAAATGGTCTACTTGTAATCCAGAGATTGTTTTTCGGAACGTATTCTTCTTTCTTCTTAATGAAATTTATAGCTTCTGGGAGCAAGGTCATAGGAGCCCCTCGGTTTTAGAAACAGCGGTAAAGTCCCTAATTACAGGTGCCTTTTTGCAAACATGTGCCCCTACTTTTTTAATTTTTCCTACGTCTAAGAGAACGGTGGTCATTTTCGCCTTCATATATCATTTGCAGGAAGTGAATTCTTTATAGTCAGAAATTCGCTAACTCTAAATTAGGCTAAATTATCCAGTCGCTTTCTCAAAGTTAGAATCGGTTCGAGAACGGAGTACAGTGACCAACAGGAATCACGGTGGTCAGGTGCCCACCTTAATATTGGAAATCACAAAATCCAATATTTTATGGATCTTATTTAAGGTGTTCTTCAAGAATTTTGTCGGAAAATTCTGGGTGGTAATTTTTGCAAATATGGAAAATTTTGCAAACTATACGTCGTATGGCATACTATGTGTTATTACTACGTGAGAATGTTTATCATACCTTGTAGTCATTGCTGAAACTCTCCTCTGGAGGGCATTTCTTGACCTAAGTAAGAAAAAGAGCCGTCAAGTAAATGAGGTTTCAACGTTCTCTTTCAATGATTATAGAAAATAGACGTAGCGAGTATGGCTCACAATATCTATACGTTTCTTTCATATTTTTAGAATTTCTACTTTAACAAAGGTGGCCATGGCTGAGGTAATTCAAACAGGGGACATTATAGTGGACAGGGGCTTTATGGGAGAAACCTCTAGAAAGAGTTTTGCACGCGTCATTTGCTTCGACTCTACTGGCATTGAAGTTGTGACAAATTTTGTGGGGGTTGTTTTGTACAAGGGGCAAATCATTTCATGAAAATATCGTACACCTTGGGAAGAAATTCTATTGTTTCATCTGAAAATCCCTGGAAATCCTTTTGTTGCGTTTGAAATCGTGCACCTTAAGGGAAAATTTTTTAAAACATGTAGGAGAGAGACGTGCTAGAGATGGAATTTTCCTTATCAAAACCCTCGCCTTTGTGTCACAACCGTATACAGTCAGAAGCTGCTGCATCAACGAAATTATCGGCAAGGCAATAATGCTTTTAAGGGCACTAAGGCTGCAAACTAAACCTAGGTGTGTTTGATCATTCTGCTAAAAAACTTAATTGCTACATTGATATGACACTTATCAAGACAATAATAACGCAGTTGGGGAAATGAAAACATACTCTCACAAATAAGTGCCCAGGGCGTTTATTAATTTTTTTAGTTTTTAGAGGTGCAATCTTAGGGATGGTAAAACAGGGTAGGGCGTTTTATAGAAAAAATTAATGTAAATTTTGTTCACGTATTTCACATCATTAACGGTAATGTCACAGAAACAAAATCCATATCTACAAATCAAAAGAAAGTGTCCTTATTAGTACCCTTTACACTTTCGCTTGCTTTCTTTTCTGTAAATTCGTTGTTGTACCAGCTAGAAATCCTTCACCAAGAGCCTCTTTTCTAAAGCCTGCTTTCTCGCCCTTTTTCGTCCCTAACTATGTTGCCCCAAATATTTGCTATGTTGCTACAAACGCATTCTATCAAATTTTTGGATTTTTACAGATTTTCTAATAAAACAAAAGGATTTTCACAGAGATTTCTAAAAAGTGACTTGCCCCTTTGTAGAAACCAAAAAATGGGACAAACTAGGGGAACCTAAATTCTCTTACTAATTGTTCACCTAAACTCTCAGTCACACCTTGTGTCGCCTAAGAATTAATTAAGAATAATCTTAGGCTCAAAATCAAAAAACTTAATATTGGTAAAGATAATATGATGCCCAGCGAGGGGCGATTCACTCTTGCGAATAGCGTACGAGATTTTGCCTAAAACAAAAGGATTTCTGGGGATTTTCGGGTAAAACAATAGGATTTTCACAAAAGGTGTACGATATTTTCTTAGAGTGATTTGCCCCTCGATGCCTAGCCTCTGATAAAAACTATCGATTTTCTTATGATCAGATTGATAACCAAGGTAGGAAACAAAGAAAATTGCATCCAGTCTATTGATAAGGAATGACCTGCACTTCCTGTGTCATTCAGGGGCCTTCCTACACTGTTTGTTCAAGGTCTACCTGTCTTTTTGGCGAAGATAATGTGGGTGGACTGGTGGAAGTTGAAATTTGATAGATGTTTCCTTAGGATTATGTAACAAATCAATGTTCGAAGATCCCCTTCAAAAATTTCTTCGTTGCGTTAATTTTGATCGAAAAATATCTTCGTTGCATTAATTTCGACTAAAAAAGCTTATGTTACCTGTCGCGGCAAACCAGGAGCCTTTTCCTGGAAACAATATTGTTCCCGTTTTCTTTCCAGCTCTTCTTTTCTTTGCTGCTTACAGTCATCAAATTGTGGCAAGCAAGCATCATATTTTTTGAAAATAAATTTGATGTGTTCTTTTATCCATCGATTGCATGGGAAGGGGATACCGTATTTCAACTCATTTTCGGCAGCTTTGTTTTTACTATTCCCCTTGTTATTATTCGATCCTTTCATAGCCAACTTTCTTAATGGTCTTACTTTAATCCATTCAACAAACCAATCATCGTTTAGCCCTTTGCTGTCACGCCACAGTTCGATTTTTTTAATTTCCCCTAATTGGGGTACATTTCTTACTTTAAACGAATCTGTGTTCCCTTTTTCAAAGTCATCTCTCCATGTACAGTCCAGAGATATTTCCCTTGATTTGCGACCCTGCTCGTCGATCAGTGAAATGTAAACATTCGCGTCTGTCCCTGCTCCTTTCACGTCGCCGGTTTTAACAATAATTTCATAATCCAGTTGTTTCGATGAAATTGAAATTCCCATCTTTTTTGCAGGCTAAGTCATATGCCCTCTGGTTTTGTCTTACTTTGATAACAGAAGCACGGACAGAAGCTTGTCTTTTAGCTTGCAGAGCTCTTCTGTCGCTCGGCGAGTTTCACAGCCAAATCTACTCCAATGACTTTTATTGTACGCTGACATTGAGCGAAACCACAGCAGGCGATATCAAGTCATATTATCCGTATCTATCAATTTTGCATTGGGCTTTTTTGCTAGGCAACATGGTTGAATAACAAGAAGCCCGTAGTAGTCATAGACGGGTTTTTTGAAACAACAGACATTCAGGTTTGGCCATTAACCGGAAGTGTGTAGTATACCAATTCTCCTGCGCAGAGACCTTTTCCAGTTGGAAATCAAACTTGACCCAGCGAAAGGCACAGGTTCCATGTTTACAAGTTTTGAGTTTTTTAAAAGCACTTTGGAGCGAATTGCTCTCTTGAAAGTAAATGTCTTTCTTGAAAGAAACATAAGTGCTAAATTTCACTGATTTGTGAGAGTAAAAATGTGAAATGGCCTTAATTAGGTAAACAAAGCAAAGTACAAAACTTCATTGACCAAGGAAACCAAATTCATTGAATTACCATTGTAAGCGTTATTCTGCCACCAACAATAGCTTAGCACTGTTGCTTTCTGCACAAGGCTGAACCGAAATTCACAAGCTTGTACACAAACAAAGAATGTAGTTTGCTTGTGGCTGCCATGAATTATGATTATCAGTTAAAAGTTATATGGAAAAAAGAATTGCGGAGTTGGGTTTCCCAGGAGAAAAGTTTTAATACAATGGTATAAAGGGAAGGAGGGAAGTTGACCCCCCCCCTCCTCTGCCTGTTGCGGGCCAACAGCCAAGGTGTGTTGTGGTGCGTGCAGGGGAACAGTTAATATTGATAGAATGAAAATAAAATATTGATATTGATATACATTGATAGTAATTTTAAAGTGAAAATATTAAAGAATGAGTGGCGACATTCTGCAAAATGTGACCATGAGCAAAGTTTGCCAAGTCTGTGATTAGTGGGCAGAGATAAGGCTAGTTACAGAAGTTAGAGTTGCTAAAGAATTTATGTTCTCACTAGAACTGTTTTTAGTAAGGAACTTTTGAGTCTGCGCGCAGGCTAAGCTCGATTCATGAATTTCAGAGCCACGACATGAGCCTTTAAATTTCACTTGGCTATCGATTGGCCAATGAATTGGCGACTGAATGATGTATGTTGTAAAGTCTAGGTCGGAGCATAGAGAAAATCCATTTGTGAGATTATGTACGTGATTTTCGTAACAAAATTGTGCTTACTACACACTCAGCCACAATAGCCAATAACTAACCTCGAGGTCATGTGCCGAAGCGATTTATCACGAAAGACATGTCAACGCAGTGGTCGACGGGAGAAAGACTGGGCACCACCCTATTCCCAGGACTCGATCGCTCCAACAATGTAACGCTTATCGATTGGCCAATTTTTCTGCTTCTTATCTCTATATCTAAGCCAGTTGTGTGTAAACTCGAGTATAAGCCTGCATCTTAGGCTGTTTTTTGCATGCCAAGACTACCTTTTACCGTTTTTTTTCAGATCATATGATCCGGGCTCAATCAATCTGAAGAACTTTATGACTAAATGGTTAGTCGTAAAATTTTTTGCCCTGAGCCAAGTTTTAAAGGATTTAATGAAAAGCAAAAAAGAAATAGATTCTCTGACACAAGGAGCTGCCTTTTTCAAGCTGTGCGCTATTATTTCTAACAATCTTTTGGTGGTACAAAACTTGAAAATGGCTTTAAAAAAAAGCAAACATTTAGTAAACTAAAGCTTTTCGTCTGACACTCTTCAGAGTTTAAAAGATCAGAACATGGATCGAAAACTCTATGCTTTCACTGGTTTGATTTAGAATACCCGACTTTGAAATAACGATGAGTGTTAAGTTATGATGTCCTTATGTTGCATAAAAAATTATCAAAAATCGAAATGATCATTAATTATCTGTGGATAACTCTAGAGTTCTTGCTCTTCCTGAGAATTCTCCATTCCACACCGACACCCCCTAGGTCGTTTCCAAAATGCAAATAGCGCTGAAACTAAAAGTGTAAAAGTGTGTTTACATGATAATTATTCTTGTTATAGGGTATGGCGATTTTTTTAACAAAGCTGCCAAATCGATTCGAAAAAAAATTAATAATTGGCAATGTGTTAACAATCATGCAATAATCTTTGCAGTCATTTTTGACAAGAAGAGCTTTCGAACCTGTAAAAGTATCTATAGAGGAATAAAAAATTCCCGACAGTTCACTTTGTAACGAAATTCGAAACTTGGGGTCTGAAGCTGATGCCTTGAAAACACCCCTTGTTGTAGCTTTTCCCAATACAGCACAATACAGCACAATACAGCAAAATCAGGGCCCGCGCCACGAAATTTAAAGTGGGGGGGGGGCCAATGCTAAAAATGCATGGGGCCAAGGCTTCTTAGCCCTTTTATTGCAGTTTTAAAACTATTTGCTTCGCAAAAAGTGGGGGGGCCATGGCCACCCGGACCCCAAATGGCGCGGGCCCTGACAATACAGCACAATACAGCACAAAATGCAAGATATGGCCAATGACAGATTTGAAGTTTGCTAACAAACCACTGTTATTCTGGCTAAGAGACAAAGTAACTCAGCCAATTCGAAACATATTTAACTAATTTTGCTCATTTAGAGATATTTTATGATGCTCTTTCAGGCTATGGGATCTAATTTCAAGAATTCTAAAAATAGATTTTTGTGACTTCATCACTTTCGAATTCTATTTAGACTCTCCTGTCAATTCAAGTATAACCAAAGAAAGGATCGCACTTGATGCTATTATCATACCAAATAAGTTTGGTTTTTTTTTGTTTCTGTCTCTTTTCTTAATTTGCCTATTACTTATTTAACATCATTCTTAAATTTAGAATTCAGCAATAACTTTTTATCTGGGTACTTTTTGCCAAGATTTCTTTTTAACCAGGTCTGTGGGATTAATGATGATGTTCAAACAAGTGCGTTTGTAAAACCTTTTTTGTGCACCTGCGAACAAAACTTATTTTCTCAAATTGTCAATATAAACATAAATTCTCAACTTTTCAATCGAAAGCATGGTCAAGGTTTCTTGATTTCCCGAGCAAGCAAGATGCAGAGTTTCTACTCCAACAAAGAGATACCGCATACTCCTGCTCCGTCGGAGCACTTTGCTTATCCCGTATAGGACACTTGGTGGAGGGGGGTTCCTTGCGGATAAAACATTCGGAAATAAAGATAATGCTTTCCCTTGGTTAAAAATGCTTGCAACTCTTCTACAAGTTGTCTTCCTCTCCTCCTTTCAGTCATCTTTGTTTTTAGCTGAACATCTATGATGTGGAATAATTGAAAATCTTAACATAATTGCAGAAATAGTTTTGGGTCGTGAAGATGGGTAAAATTGTCTCAATCTTATAACAATCCTATTCACACTTTCTTATTCGCAACAGCAAGGGAGCTTATTTGCATTATCATATATATTTGAGCTCAAAGAATAAATGTTAATTGCTTTTGAATGAACCACTGTGGTAGTTCATCTAATAAAGATTATTTTTCTTACGAAGGTTTGACTATTCCCTCATTTCAGCATTATTTTCCATATAATGAGAACTGAAGTTCTCTTATGTTATCTTGATATAACATAATGAATTGCTGTTTTGATAATTTTGTAGCTTCCTTTACAAACTTGGACTTATTTTAGATCGGTTTTAAGTTTTTCTTTCATTTATCTACTTCATACTTCTGAGACATTATAACAAAGCAGACTCAAGTAATCGATTAAGTAAAAAGCGAATAAGTCAGAAAGTTGGTCCTTGAGATTCTTGCAAACCCGATGAGAAAACTTCAGGGGGGGGGGGTATGTACGTTATCTAGATCGTCACATGTAAATGACATTTCTTGGGAGACAACAGGTGTTTTCTCCGGAAGAAAAAGTCTCAAACAGGGGGAAAGGGCGTGGTCCAAAAGGGCGTTGTCCCACACTCACCTTTTGTTCCCCCCCCCCCACTTATCCCAGGCTGCCACTGATTACAGAGGCCCTGGGCTGCCGATTCGAGTAGAATTAATATCATTTCTTGCTAAAAGATCGGGTTTCGTATCGACTTAAATTGATTGAAATATCTAGCCATTTTAAAACCCTGGAGGCCATGGCTGCATGATTAAACGTTATTCTGTATTCATTATGTAGACATTCCAAGAGGCTGAAGTTTCCCCTAAGGTCTCGGCGACTTTGCTGGTGCACGTTGCCTGAGACTGGCTCGAGGTTTCTCCTCTCATGTTATGCAACGTTATGCTACGTTACGTTACGTTCTGTTACTTTCCTTACGTTTAAAAGATGCACATCTCATTCGTACATTGAACATTGAAATGTGTTTCTTGTACTGTCATGGATTTTAGGCATTTTTCATTTCTTTTCTTAATTCATTTCTTAATGTTACTTCAAATATATGAAGAGGACGCTAAACGCAAACCATAAAAGTTCTCAGGTTCCTCGATATGTTTTTGGCAAGAAATTTTTTCCAAACTGCGTAAGTTTGAAAGAACTAGACAGCGCTCAGTCTATGGTCTCATTTCTCTTTAAGTTCACCTAGTGGCTTTACCTTTTAAGCAGGTCAGGTTTAACAATATATTGTTACCTTTTTACCTGTTTTTCTTTATTGCACGCCACGCCTCCGCTGGGTTGGAGTGGGTGGTGGTAAACTTCTCCAGTAGAGTCCGGTTTGTGGCTAGGCAGAATTAATGACGTAGGTGGATGGGTTTACACTATAAAGATAGGATTATCCTTTTTCTCAGGTTTACATACAAATCTCGAGGGAGTTAGCACGTCGCAACGTGGGCAAGGAAATCAGATAATTTCACCTTTCCAGGACTATTTATCGATAAACGAGTTTGTGGCCAATCTAAACGAGGTGCAACCCAGTTGCTAGAAATGTCAACCGCTGCAACAAATGACTTTTTTGCAAATAGCAATTGTTGATCTTTACAAGAACCTTGTTTTTAGAAATGTTTAAAAAGAGTTTGATGCTCCCTTCTCTGCTTAATTTTGAGGATAGTCTTAAAGTGTTGCTGCTACCATGTGCAATGGATCACTGTATGCATTTTTTACCATCCACTTTCGTGATTTAAAGCTAGATAGTAACCAAATACGAAAAAACATGCTATTTTTACATCTTGCTTTTCTGTTTGATATGCTATTCATTTTTTGGTGGACCTTACTCCAGTCCGTCGATAGAGTCGCCTTTGTTACGACTCTGGATAGAAGAATCAGGTTCTGTCAAAAATGTTTTTGAGACCTCTTTGGAACACGATTCAATTTAATTCTATACCAGCCCAAAATTAGCATTCACCAAATAAATTATTTCAGGGATGATAATTAATTAGCAATAAAAACCCCAAAATTTTAAAGTTCACGACAGTTTTATCTATTATCATTTTTATCTGACCTTGCAGCTTTTCATGTCAGCGGAAAATTACTAAATATACAAGCAACCAGCGGGTCATAGAACTCCTCGATTCAGAATAAATATGCCTCCCCTCCCACGTGAAGCCACTGCGCGCTGCCCAAGGATTTCACCGATTTGCAGAGAGGCGGAAACTGTTCACGTGTTTTTCTCTGTTTTTCACACGTGATTGGTGAACCGCTCGTGTAGATTTGCAATGTAGGCAGTGAAATTTTGGTTTTGTTCAGCAAAGCAAACAGGGATTAGTACGGTTAGCATTGCGTTGCAGACCGACCGCTTGAATAAATTCATTTACATACAAAACAAAGAATCTTTCATTTAAATGCAAGTATATCAGGTGCAGTCATGGGTGTGACTTCTAGAAGGTAACTTGTAAAATCGCTTAAAAATGGAGTTTTACAAATGTATGAGTTCGTAGATCGTTCGCAGAAATATTCACAATAAATACGGCAAAAACTGTTCTCCAATTCTCTAATGTTTTACACTTCTTCTAATTCATCAGTTCAAGGCAAACAAAATATTTTAAACGGCTAACGGCGACAATGTAACGGCAAAGACAGCGACAAGACACACAGAGTTCGACAATCATAAGGCAAGACTAAATCTAACTATAAAAACCACCCTTTATATGTTTGCAGAAGCTGATGCAATCACAGCGTAATGATCCAATTGTCATGTGAACCTGCAATGAATTTAAACCCTGTATTCTAACAAACTACAGCAAAGACCTCCCATCTAACCATTTAGGACGACCTTGATTATTTTCGTGTATTCCGTCTTTTCGCCAACAACGCTAACCTTATAAAAGCCTTCCAACTTCTTTCTCATCGGGGTAGTTTTGCTGAACAGGCACGCCGAAGCCGGGGGCTATAGTCAGTAGTGTAGAGCCAAAAATGTAGAGGCGGGCATATAGCTTTCTCTTTATTGTATACAAAAAGAACGTTTCGGTTGCTTTCTTTTGGATGGCTCCCCAATAGCAATTTCTTTACATTTCCATATTTTCTAGGGTTGAATCACCTTTCAATGTCTACCTGTTACTTGTGTATAAAATTCTTAAAAAATAAAGAATTTAAAGTAGTTAAAATTCCTCCATTTGTTGAGTTTCCAGTTATCAAGAGGTCTATTGAGGTCACACGTGAATGCAAATGTCAAAAAGTAATATTGATTCAATCAAAGATTTTATCCTGGTACAAGCTAGCCATGATTCTTTAGAATTACCAAGAAAAAAGAGAAGGGGGCGCAGACCCCTTTCGAAAAGTAGAAGGGGGTTGAGCACCCCTGTTCCCCCAGTGGCGGGGTGACTATGTTTTTCTTGGGGTGGCCAAATCAATTTCTGCGCCCTATCTATATATCGTAGTTATATAAAAGCACGGGTTTCTGGTAAAGAAATCAATTTTTGCAACTTGAATTCAAAATTTCATTAATTGGTTTTAACTAAAAATGGGAGTATGAATGGAAAACATTATGCAATCAGTACAAAAGTTAAGATGACCTTCTCGATCGTGGTTCGCTAAAATATCCAGCCAAACTGGCTTATTTTCGAGGGTCGGCCTATTTTCGCGGAAACTAGATAGGCAAAACATAAAATACTAATCAAAAGACATTCTATTTATTGACATTGATGTTTCATACAAGCTGGCGCCCCCTTGAGCACGTTTATTATATCCAGAACACCAGCTTCAGAGTAGAATAACATTTCTCTTTTGGGGCTCCTTAGTTTTTCAAACTAAAGATAACCTTAGTCCGTATAGGGGGGCACTGTTTGTGGGCGATTTTATCGAAATTTAATCTGGGGGACTAAGAATCAAGTCTAGTGACATAGGAGGACCCACCATGGTTGGGTCCGACGTGCAAAAATCTTTGATATCAAACCTTCTAGAATGGCTAAAAATGCATCTCCCAAAGCAAAGTTTAACAAAATTCCATACTGCTCAGAATAGACAATTCGACGATTCAATTCAAGTAGGGGATTAGAAATTATGATCAACTTAGAGTTAGAAATTGAGGCATTGAAATTGAAACTGCTGGAACATTAGAAAGAAATAACTACGAGAAATTATGAAAAGACCAAAGAAGCACCAGCTCAGCCCATAGAGAACTCAAATTTATTTGAATGTAGAGGGCGAAAGAGAAGATAGTTAAGATGAGCTGGATATCTTATTTGTTGATGACAAAGGAGAGCCAAAAACTGAGAGAAGGAATGCAATGGATGTATAAAAAATTTTAAGTTTGCTAGTTTGCAAGTCAATCGGTGCAAAACGAGTTTTTTCAAAAATTTCGGTTTCCAAAAATTCGGTGAGATTAATTTTCGGTACCCCCAGCTTAATGTACTTTTTCTTCACTTCAATTCACTTCATTCAAAACCAACAACTTAACAACCTACTTCTGCTTTCTTGTTTTCTTCGCCTCCTCGATGTTCAGAGCAGGCTTCGAAGCTGCAGCTAGGAAATCTACACATCCTCTGTGTTGACCACAACAGGGAGCAATATATGTCACAAATGTTGATTGGGTCATGGCAACGCAACAACGTGCTTCGATTGTAGAATTGCACGTTTTATTAGATTGTTCATAGCAAGTTACTGCGAAGTGTTGTACTCTTTGTACGACCAATTTTGAAGTTCCTAGCCAGATTTTACAAGCAAACAATTTTGGCGCACCCTAATCTCCAATTGCGCCCGTATTCAGGGGTGGCCATGGCCCCCTTGGCCCCCCTGCCACCACGCCACTGGAGCCCCCTCTTCTACAGCCCCGACTATAGTTCCCTCACTTTCTTGCTGAAATATGACATTAAAGTAGTTTAAGCAATTTTTATTGGGGAAAAACTGCTCCGGTGTAGTTGGCCAAAAGAAGGAATACAGTAAAGAGAAAGGCAATGTCGAGAATGTGAATATTCAAAGTCATAGGCAAATGAAGGCTGTCTAACTCACTTTATTTGCAAATGAGGCCTGAACACCTCCCTAGAGCGAAACCGCTAGCAATCGCACTATTTATTGATTCAAGAACAAATTAAGAACAATCCACCCTCAGATTTTCGAAAAAAAATCAGCCTGAACTCGAATTAACTGGTTGATACAAGAAAGAATGTATTGCAAATAACTTGCTATGAGGAGCAAGCTAACGACTATAAGAAATGACTGCAAGAAATAACTGCAAGAATTTTTCTGAGATGCCCCATAGCCTACGAAACCTCTCGGCGGCCTTCCAGCAATATGTGTCCCGTCAATTCTTATAAAATTCTATAGATTAGAGAAAATTTTATAAGCTGAAATTATTGTTATGAGGAGTTCAAAAGAAGCTGTAGTTCATTTTTGCAGACAATCCTAAAAATGGCTTTTCGCAAAAAGATGCTCATTGATTCACACAAAAACGCGAAGTCCAGGAATATTAGTTTCCGCAAACTTAATTTCCTTATACTTTCATGCCATCATTTACTCTTACTTGTTATCATTAAGTTTGTACATGATCATTTATTTCATTGTTAATGAATTTTCTATGGAGAAAGAGTGGGCGAATAAAGTAAAGTTGGTCACTTTTTTTCTGAACGCCCTCCCCCCCCCCCCCCATAATTGTCTAGGCACATCACTGCTCTGCTGTACTTATCGAAGGATCAGTCTATTAAAGAAAATCACTTCCAGTGTCGGTGCTTATTTGAGGATGCTTATATGGGGGGCCAATGCGAGAATTTATGTATCTTCAAATGAACCTTCTTGGTGGGACCAAAGTTTTCGCTACTGCCTCACTTGACAATAACGGACATCAAAGTCAATGATATAGAGTTTCTATATCATTGATCAAAGTGCACCAAAGTTTCTGGATTACATAATCTCTATTCTGTATTTCTGGCAAGAGCTGCCTCGTTCTAGAACTTGTCAACATTTTCAAGATGGCCGTTTCATAAATATCACGATGCTGCAATTTGGCGTGTAAATGCAGCCTTTGTTACAGCAGCTGTACTTTTATCCTGCAGACTTGAATTATTGAATTAGTTTCAACGTGTAAATAATCAATATATTAGTTTTTGTACCTTTGTGTGCACACTACGACAAATTGCCATGGCAGGAAAATATCAGCAAGTTCATCACGATGATGGAAACGACGTTGAAGATTCTGGAAGTGACAGAGAAGAGGACTGTCTAATTAAACAAAGGAAAAGTTCGCAACATCCAATCAGAAGAGTTTCTACGAACTGTACTCATCTCACAGTTGCTTGCCCTACGTGTAAGGGAAAAGGAAAGCTATCACAAGGTATTGGGATTCTAGAGGTATTACGCCCTCATTTAATAGGCATGTAGTTAGTTAGAAATGATAGATAGGAACACTCTGCAAAACGACGAGCCTGGTAGACTGCTTGTTCTCTTCTGTGCCCCCAAATGACCGATCTCCAGGACCCACGCAACTGGTGGGAGGGGGGCAGAGGGGCCATGGTCTTCCACTTTTTTGCGAAGCAGGTTGCAGTAAGTTGCAATTTTAAAGTTGCAGTAAAATAGGAAAACCCTTTGCCCCCTACTTTTTAACCTTGCCCCTCCCCTCCACTTTCAAATTTGTGGCGTAGACCCTGATCATTCAACTTGAGGATACTGTCCACCAGAGGAGCATTGACCAGGCTTTTGATGTTTTTTATCCTACAGCATCATGGTCTGCCCCTGCTCCCTCTTCCATCCAACATCATCTTCAACATCATTTCTGTTGAGATGCGGTATTAAAGTCAACTTACATATGTTTTCTGTGTTTGATATACCAGCTTTGTATTGTCTGTCACTTGCTTGGGTCACAAGTGTTAATTGATGAAACATTTATTCATCACAATCTACCCTTAATTGCACAAGTGATCAAACACTCTCCTTGTTGGGTTTGTGCAAGTGCTGACATGATCACGAGTTACTGCTCATGTTCAATGAAAAGGCCTGAGCCAGTAAGCATATTTTAGCCCAAAGTAGCATAGTTGGTAAATTAATGTTTTTCTCTAATATTTTCATCCAGCAAACAATTATGTGCCATCTCCAACCTAAATGTCTGGTTTCATGTGCAGGGTACACAAAGAAAGACTGTCATGATTAGTTTTATTTTTTAATTATGCTTAACTACATCAGAATAAACTACAAACTCTAATACATGATTATAGGCAGCTCAGTTAACTCCACAGTAATAGACTAAAATCAAGTATATGAAAGCGATTGGCAGTAAATAATCCTGTGATGCAGGGCTGTTGCTAGCGGTGAGGTGCAGGGGGTGCGGCACCCCCCCTAGAAAATTCTTGTCAGCAAATTTTCTAAAAGTAGAGTTTTGTTGGGTTTTACTTTCAAAGTTCTCAATGCGATAGCTTTACCAAAAAGTTTGGATAAGATGAGGATAAGACCGAAAAAGTATCACCCAAAAACCCTCAGCAATTCAAAATAGGTACAGATGGCACTATGGGTGTCACAGAGGGGCAAATGTCCACCAAAAATTTCAGATGACTCCCTGTTGGCAGCCGGAGTCTAGAATCTAATGTCCAATATCCAGGGCGACCTAATTTCTACCTAAAGTTTGGGGACAAAGTTTATTGAAAAGATCTTAACGTTGATCCTGGAGATACTGGAAGCCACTGTAAGCAGGGCTGCTGAGGGGAGCAAGGGGGCAAAGTGCCTCAGGGCCTTGAGGTTGATGGGGCCTCAAGTAGTAATGATCTCCATTTTAAGAATGAAATCAATGAAACGTAGAAGAAGTATGCCTAAAAATAGTTAAAAGTTTTAAACGATTGCAAGAAATGACTGCAAGAAATATTCCAAAATGCATTTTAAGCAAATCTAAAGGGCATGGTTGCAAAAAATTTCTGCTCGCTCCGCTCGCAAGGGCCTTGTCTTTCGGATTGCCTTCAAGGCCTTCAAAAACCTCTTGGCAGTCTTATCAGTAAGATCTACTCATGCAAACTAAGTACCTACAGTCACTCGAAAATTGAAGCGATGATTGACTAATGAGTACATAATCTTTGATAAACAAAATCAATTGCATCTAAATACCACACCCAAAAATTGAAATACCTTAGGTCATGCCCTATTTTGTCTGCAAATTTATGACTGGCACCCCCATAAGTGAAAGTGATTAGTGACGGCCCTGCTTTGTGAATGCTCATGAAAGAATGCAAGATTAATGATTAAAGTGAGATGCCTTGAAAGTCACAAAGCTATAAAGCAGGCTAGGGGAAGTGAGCACAACAAGCTTTCATTCAAATTCAGTCTAGAATGTATTTCAGGAAAAATATAGCAGGTGTGCTTTTCACAGCACACCTGAAAACATCCAGGCGTATAGCGGCATGTGACATTTTTTCTCCAAAATTTACGGTTATTATGATAGATCTATGCCGAAATTCCCAACATGACAATGCTGACAGCAATAATTTCGATGAAATTTTCTTCCTTGAATTTTTAGCATAATTATTTAGAAGACTTGAGCTAGTTTCTACACAAATATAAAGCTTATTTAACATATCAGCAAAAAAACAGCACTACAAGTACAGAAAAATGTTTGCCATGTCACAAACTGTTTTCATCAGCTTCAATAATGAATCTTTATCTGGTTGTAATGGCCGTTTTGATGTGTAAACCCATGCCCCGAGGGCCCTCTCCAATTTTCAGCATTATAAAAGTGCATATTCGCCATGTATATATATTTTTCTAATAACAATATGATAATTCCCCTGAGAAATTGTGACAATCATACACCGGGGATTAGAAGACCAAAATAACGGTTAAAATTTTTAGGAAAGTTCGTCATATCGCAGAAAATTATGATGAAGGGACCTATAATTAGGTTCATAATAATGAGAGTTTTTTATATACGGCATTTGTTATACCGAAAGAATTTGTATGGAGTTAGGCAGACTCCAGGGGGACAAACATTTTTTTGTCATACCATTAAAATATTTGTAATCGGTTTTCATAATATCGGGATTCCACTGTAGCTTAGTCCCATGATTATTTAAATTTTTTTTATATAATCCACAATACTGACAAGTTGTTAAGCCTTTTTGAATGGGCATGAAGTAATAGTACCAAGGAAACATTTAAACCTGTCTCGAAAACCCACAGAAACAATAAATACAAATTTTTATCTCAAAATAAAAGTAGGCATGTGATATTTTGCACTCTTGAAAAGCAGAAGGCCAAGGCGTGTGCATGTGATCGCACGTCTTTCCGTTGGAAGCCTGTATCTAATGTCACTACAGAATCTCTTACTCCCTTTGCTCAATCTTTAGTTGGTAGCATTTTGTTGCATCATATTCTTTGTTTTCCCTACTTCTTCACTTTGACAAGCCACTTTTAGTTGATTTTCAGACTGCTCACCAACCCAGAGAACTTTAGACCAGCCTCTGTAATAAAATATTATTCTGAAGTTCAATAATAATAATTTGTCATTTTTGTATTATTGTTATTTTCCAGCTCAAAGTGATACTGTTGTTGCTCTTATCCCCATGAATGATAACAGACTAGTACCAAGAAGAACGTAAGTATTGTTCTTGAAAATAAAATCTATCAACTTTTAATCAAGAACCAGAAAAACTAGTAAGAACTACTGGAATTCTAACACATGGTTGGATATAACTGCAGTTAATTCTGTGTTGTAATTTTGCAAGCACACCCTTCTAAATACATTTTATATGGTGTCATTAATCAATATTAATCTTATGATAATTGCTCATGTTTTGTATGACTTAAACAGTGTACTTATTCCAGATGACTTGACTGCAGCCATCTAGTTATTAAGATTAGCAGACTTGGAAAGCAATTTTAACCACAGCAATAGTTTCCTTACTGAGCTAAACCAAAACCAGGCTTTTGTAGGAAAAATGTAGCAGGTGGGCAAACCACCACACACCAGAAGTCATCCAGGCATGTGGTGGCGTGTGATATTTTTTCAAAAATTTATGATAATTATGATAGTTCTACACAGAAACCACCAACACAACAATGATAACAGCAATAATCTTGATGTAATTTTCTTTCTCTGAATTCTTTACAGAACTGCCTACATTGCTTCACCTAACAAAAATGCATTATTTCTGAAGACTTAAGATCAAGTTTTAACAGAAGTATAAACTGACCTTATTTAATATATCAACAAAAAACAGCACTACAAGTACAGAAATATGTTTGCCATGTCATAAACAGTTTTCTTCAGCTTGTCCCCCGAAGGGCTTCAATAATGAATCTTTAACAGAGTCATTTAGGGCTTGACATCCATCTAGTTGTAATAGCCACTTTTGTGTGTTAACTCACCCCCCTCCTCCCCTAAGGGCCCTCTGTTATGAGTATGGCAGCTAATTTATGTGCTTCACTTGCCAATTGCCAATCAACCTGAAAATATACACTGCTGATAAATTTTGAAGCTAAAATGTAAAATGCATCAAAAAGATAATAATTTGACATTTTTCATTAAATTAAATGTCGCAGAAATCTAGATTTAGAGCGTAGCATAGTCTAGTAGAACAAGGCTAGTACACAGGGTGCTAATTTTACCACAAGGCCACATTTTTCTAAGTTTTTTGTGTGATTATAACTCTCTTGAAAAAGAGTTGAAAGTTTTACATTGAATCAATTATTTTGTACCGCACACAATCTAGTATGTTTACAATAATGATTTCCCTGAGAACTAGTGACGAATGAACACCTGGAATGAATAAACCAAAATAACAGTGAAAATTATTAGAGAAAATTTGTTATATCAAAGAAAACTGTGATGAAGGGAGCTGCAATTTGGTTAGTAATAATGAAATTTCGTTATACCTGGAATTTGTTATACCAAGGGGATACCAAGGAGCCAGATTTTTCTTTGTCGTGCCAGAAAATTAGTTATATTTTAATTTATAATTCTTTGCTCAATCCGCAATCTGCAATCATATTTTGGAATGGCATGAAGTAATCGTACCAAAGAAGCTCATTTGAGGGATAGACATTTGAAGTTGTTCAAAATCCCACAAAATAAATTAATAATTATTATGTCCTGTGTCGCAGGAAGTACAAAGGAAAACGTACGTTTAGTAGGAACATAACAGAGCATATATCCAAGCGTGCATCCTTACAGCATGGTTCTCTAATGAGCTAATTATTCTAATTTATGAAATGGTAAATTAATATGTGCATAAATCACAACATTACAATTATGAGTTCTGCTCTCAAAATAAAAGAAGGCATGTGATATTTTACACTCCTAGGAAGCAGTAGGTATGCCAAGCGATTCATGCCTTTCTGACGAAAGCCTGAAAATGTTTAAGAACTATGTTAAACCAAATTAAGACTGATATCAAAGCAAGGATATATTTTATCTTCCTCCCTTTCCCTTGTAAGGGCTTAGCTATAGACACTAGAGCCTTTCCTTAGCACTACAAATTAAAAAATGCTAAAAATGTTAAAATTTACAGTTTTGTCACAAAATTATTTCATGCTCAAGAAGTTACTATCAATTATCATAAAATAATATGCTTATATGGTTCTCTTTCATTTTAGCACTTTGAAACTGGTCATTGCATTTTGTTGCATTCTTGTTGTTGCTGGTTTGTGTCTGGCTTTTCTATTCCCAAGAAAAGTACAGCTTTCTGTTGTGGATGCATCTCCTGCTGGTTATTCAGAGAATGATAAAAGTGTAGTTATAAACATAACGGTATACAAATGCTGTTATTTGTCTTGGCATTGTTAAATACAATTTAGAAATGTTTTAAAGTCAGGAAAAAGATGATAAAAATGTCTTTTTGATTTTCAGTTTTACTTATCCATGAAGATGCTTGCAATGATTGGAAATTATGACCTTTGTACTCTTTATTTTGTTGTTTAATTAACAGAACAACACCTCAATAGCACTATTAAAAAAATTCTTGCTTGCTATCAACCATTTAGAAGGCAGGGTGACCTTGATTGGTTTATCTTCCCATATTCCCATATTATTTGGGTATTACATTCCCATATTTATTTTCTTTAAAAATGTTAGGATTCTATGTCTGCTCGCATAAATACCTTTGCTGAAGTTTTTTAGATAGTGAAAAGGATGAAAGTCTATGAAGTCAACAATAACTGCATATTTTGGATGACGCCATGTTAATTTCTCTGGCTGAATTCGTTTACCTTTCTAGGTGATGGCTAGGGTGACAAATACAAATTTCTTCTCAGTCAGACTTACAAACATCACAACAGAGGTTTTGTTCCTGTCTACAGTTGACTTGGTGCCACATGAAGTTGGTTTGGCCCTTTCAAATAATATAGAGCATTTTGGTATAAGAGAAGAGAGAGAAGTATGTATTTCTCATAGAGATAGGATAATGGTATTTCTAATTCTACTGTCCACCATTGTAGATTTTACTGTGATTGCTTTTTCATTTTAAAAACCATGTTCTTGATCCCAACATTCTCAGTAATTGTGAACCAAACAATCTAAATTAAGAATTAAATTTCTACTATATTCTTTATTGCACATATATTTTTATCTATTAGGTATTTGCAATTGATTCACATATTTTGGCCAGGATTGTATGCTGTTCGTTTACTGTAATTCATGTTGAGAAGCCATTAAGAGTTTAAAGATTGTTTTCTCATTAGTTCTTTCACACACTGATATTATTATATTACATAATATGCAATGTATTTTACTCATATCAGTGTATATATTTTCCAGCTAAAACTGTTTGTCAATACAGTGTATCTTAAACGGGACGCAGAGAGAATAAAGTGAGTGACAATTTTGCTTGTTGAAGTCCACTTGTCTTTAAGTGGTGTGTTGGGCTGAGGCCATGGTACCATATCTCTTGCAAGGATTTTCTAGGTCAACTAGTCAAAAAAATGGGTTGTGTGCTTGTATTGCAGACACATTCACTGACCAGGATTTGTTTAAAACCATGAAGTGAAATATTATTATTGATTTTTATAAAAAAAATTGCAGAGGTCCATTACAGTTAACCTAAGTTTATATCAAATTTCCAAAAAAAATGTTTGCAGTTTTTTAAAGGCTGTAGTATAATGTTCATAGGGGAAGGACAGGACCCCAAATTACAGTAAGCTGATTTTAAACTTAGAATAGTTTGATAGGCATTGTGGTTTAAATACTTTCAATTTTAGTTTCTTTTTTGTTGAGTTGAGTAGTGGGATTTGGACTATCATTCTTTTCATTTTTGGATAACAGTGATACCAATAATAAAACTAAAAACGGCCTGAGCATTAATTGCTAATATATAATATCAAATTGTGTATTATTTTTTACTTTTTCATTCAATTCCTTTAATGATAGAGTTTTCAACTAAAATTCAAAATTAGGAATGGATACATTTTACTTACGCTTGATAATCTTTTGTTTGTAATACAAAAATAATCTTTAATATGCCTAAAACATATGCTAAGACGCAGTAATTTGAACTAATTTCACCGTTTGGTCCATCCTCAAACCAATTTATCTTTCTTGATATCTTTTCTTGCCTCATATTTGTAATATGTTGTTGAAAATTTAAGTTGGTATTTTTGTTTACTTTCTGTTTAGGCATCAGTGCCAACCAAGCTTTTTAATTTCATGCTAAAGACATGTTTTTATTTCATATAATTGTGCGTTTGAAATGATGACACATTTGGTAAACATTGCTTTTTTGACGCTAATGCATTCATTTTTATTCTAGGAAGATTTGTCTTTGGAATGCAAACACCAAAGATGAGAAATGGCACTTTTTCCCTGTTAGAATAAGGTACTACTGCTATTTCAAAAGTATTTATCATTATAAAATCATTTTAAGCTTAATGAGTTGCCTTTTTGTAGTTTTTATCATTATATTTACGTTTCTTGACTTTTTCCACTGCTTTTTGTGACTTCATGTTTTTCACCTTCAAAAATTGATGCGCGTGACAAAAGCCATATGATCAGTAAGAGGCGCGCGATTCGAATTTATTTGATACCATGAAATAAGTGTTTTTAAACTGAAACGCCTTATTTGAAATGAACAAAATACTTCGTTTGATAAACATGTTCAAGTTCCGCCACAGAAAGTTCATGTGCCTCGAATTCCTCCTCACTCTCTGACTCTGTCAAATCGTCCTTTGATGGAGCTTCGATTTATGTCTGAGTTTGGATACTTTTTTGAATGTTTCAATCATTCTCCGTTTGATTTTCAAATATAAATCCACAGCTATTTTTGTTCCAAAGAGAATCATTGCCTTAACGATCAAATTATCGTTAAGAGTAATGTGCGAGATAGAGAGGCGTTTGTCAAAAAGTATGTTGCTTACGGTGATAAATGTATTTGCATTTGTATTTGTTGCTACCTAGCATCCGAAGGTAGTTTTTAGGACACTGAAAAGCTATGCAAATCAAGCAGTGTCGTGCTCCTTCCTCTCGATGTCACCACACCCCGTGATTCCTACGCCTGGAATTACAGAGAGCTGGCGACTCTCCCCACTCTGGGTGAAAGTTTGGTCATGCCACGGACTCGAACCACGGACCCTTGGGCATAATCGACATAAAAAGGCTTGCCATTTTACATTTTACATAAAATTTATCGCGGTGATACGTTAGAACGGACTTCTGTAAAGGTTTTGCATTAGGGAACTTAGAAAAGCAGCCTCGCACGAAATTCTTAAAGTTCTTCCATTCTCGCAAAACCATGAGAATTTTAAGAGCATTTCTTGTCGTTGTATACTTATATTCACGTTCCCTTGCAGCTTAAGCGCCAATTTGAAATACTGGTCGCACAATGAGCAAATCGACTCGAAGACATTGTTCTACATCGAGTGTCGACAAAAGAACTTTGCAGTTTAGACAAAGAGAAAGCTGGTTCGTGGTACACGAGATGTCTATTCTTCAATAAATTCTCTCGTGAATGGTACGTAGAGAAAGGATAAAATATCACTTGTGTAAAACAATTCCAAATATACCTTTGCCACGCTTACCTGTTTCACCAAATCTGGCCAATGATTCTAAAGTATTTTGTATTTTATTGCTAATGTAAATTTAAAGAATTGAGCCTGGTGCTTAGAAATTTTCTTGGAAAAACGATTAGTGTATTCTTACCGTAAAATAGTTATCAAATGACTGTAAAGAAGAAGGGTGGAAATCCGATAAGTTTTAAAAATTTCTCGAAATTTCTTACAAAAACCCGTTTTAGAATACTTTTTCCCAAAATTTCCAATTATAGTATGCTTTTGTTCATAATTTTTATCCCTATTCTATGAATATTCAGAAGTTTGTCCTGATCAACGTTTGAACTTTGAATATGTTCCAAATTGATTGTTAACTTTTATTACAATCGATTCACCCCGAATCACTCTTTTATATTGTGGAGAAAACCTGAAAATTTCTGTATTTCCTGTATTCAGAAAAGGGTATCAAAAATTCGAATCTTTATGCATTGATTGTGTTATTGTAAAGTTGAGCCAAAGACTTGTAAAAGATTTGGTAGCTGTTGCAAGATGATTTATCAAATATTTTTTTGTGATTAAAAACCCTATAGATTCTTCAGTTATCCTTTCAGTAATAATTAACTTGATTTAAATGTCTTGATAAATTTTACAGATTAGAATGACTATATATTGCTTGTTGTGAAAATTCTTGTCCCTGGAAGCCTAAAATCATGTCCACAAAAATTCAAATACTTCTGATCCTAACCCATGCCATTTCAAAATATTTTCACATGGTAGCTGCCAATCTAATATGTATTTTGCAGAAGTTTTGCAAGGATTCGTTAAACTTATAATTTTATCAAGCGACATTTTTAAATGTTCATTCTAATTTTTTATGATGACTGTTTACTATTGAAATAACGGTTTCTAAATAGCTGTTCTTTTGAAAATCCATTAACTTATGAATCAATCATGTCTACTGTACTTCTGCATATTTTTTAGATGCATCTTGTATTTTCTGTTATAAAACAGTGTTACTTGCTTTATGACTTAGTATCCATTGACGAAAATAATAACTTCCAAGATTATTTTTGTGTCTCTTTTTTATGATTTACAAAAGCAGTGGTGGTGCCAGCTACAAAGGTGTAGGGGAGACAAAGCAAAATTTTTACCCCACCAACTCGCTACTGCATTTTTTCTAAAAAAACCTTGTACTGTTGAAATCCCCTGTTACCACCCAGGGACAACCCTGCCACCACAAATGAGAATTAATAATTTCATTGGTTGTGGAAAGAAAAAACTTCATGCCTGTTTGTCAAATCAAAGTTAGTAGGAAAAGACCCAGAGAAAATGTCTTCCTGGTCTCGGTCTGGTGTTGTTGACGTTCCCAATATTAAATTCAATGCCGCAACCTTTTTCTATTTTGTAGGGCAGATGATTTAAATATGCAGTGTCTCAACCGCCCTTTTCTTCTAGAAACACGGAATAGATCTTTCTAAATTTCAGTGAAAGTATCCATTGTTTACAACTCATTTGTGTTGCAGGAGTAATAACAGTTTGATTTTCTTTTATGTGATTAGTAGAGAATCTTTTGCTTCCTGTCATTAAATGGAGGCATCACGGTTGCTTGATTTTCCCTATCAATCAAGGGCATTTGACTTACCTCAATTGCACCAACTTTTTTTAAAATAGGAAACCATGATAAATCTTTCGGAGCTTCCTATGGTTGTGTTTGGTATATGGAAAATAACGATACCCCAATATTCCCTGTCCACGATACTGGACAGATAGAATGGCTAATGTAAAGATATTACGTAGATCTTACCAAATATGGCTACTGTATTTGGAAATATGAAAATTTCCCACAAGTATCAACCGATATAGATGTACATACGCAAAATAAGATATTTGACAATCGTTACATACCATCGTGGTAGAAAAGTGACTTATAGGGTTTCCCAGGCCTTTATTGCCGACGTTTCAATACTTGTCAATTTTTACTGGAAAACTAAGGCTCTGCTTACGTTTAAGCCCCAGGGAGGGGGTACTCAAATATCTTTAGGATAGGGGTGCTCAGATAAACCGTATTTTATCTTCGCCACGCTCAAGAAAGTTTGCAAACCTTTCTCATATTCGAGACCCAAAAAAGTAATACAGAATTTTATGAACCCAAAAAGTAATTGTACAAATGGCTGACCCAAAAAATAACTTTTGCTCCAATTCTAGACCAAAAAATGTGACCTGAGCACTCCTACCCTTAAAATATATGAGTTCACCCCTGAGGTAAAAACAGGGCACTCAAGTTAACCCGAGGTAACCCAAAAAAGGAGGATTTTTTTTCGTTCGTTTACTTGGGAAAAACTCCTCCCCTCTCATCCGAGCCAGATTTTGCGATGCCAGATGTGTTTATAACTGATCTTTGACCCTCCCGACCTGGCTGGCTCGTCTTTCATATAAATGTAAAGAATAACAATAGATGTAAACGAAATGCTGATGGATATTGCAGTTTTTTAGGCGAGCTAGCCTGGTTAATCGGGCTGGTCTGAGAAAGGAGGGGCTTAATAGAGAGGGGGCTTAATAGAGCTTTTACGGTATTTGTCACAACACATGGTTATAGCACGCATTTCAATGCAAACATGTTCTTGTAGATCAGAATGAACCAAAAATTAGTCAGGATTGTGCAAATTGTGATACAAGCACCAAACTTTCAGAAACAGTAAATTTGATTCGCTGAAAAAGATGTGATATAGTAGACCTAATTTATATCTTGCTCTAAGTTCTATTTTTAGACTGGGGTACTCTGGTACAGACCCATAATTGTTCCATTGGCCAGAAACAGAGAAAGCCAGGTCTTAGAAAGCTGAAATTCATAAAATAAAGTCAGTTTTTTATGCCGAGAATTAGCCAACTTCTACGTGTTTTGATTGTTTTTGTTTTTGAAGCACGGAGAAAGATTTCAAAATGGAGAAGGGGTAGTACCACGATATTTGTGAACCAGTATCTTCATTTGTGTGCCTTATTAAGAGTGGTTTTGGCCACTAATAGTGGCCTTTGAAAAAGGAATCATTGGGGAAAATTCTCTCTTCGCTATCCTTTAGCAGGGCGACATCCTGTCAAGGCGCTTTTTACCAGCTGTGTAGTGTACGGGTATCGAAGTTAGTCAGAGTGAATATGAAACCTTTTGTTTTTATGGGGTAATGTTTTATTTACCCCATATGTAGGTTCGAAACATTTATAAATGCTAGTTCAACTTCAAAAACTTTATGATGTACACCATGATTTACAAGGTTAAAGTACAACACAAATATATTTCTAAACAAACTTTTATAAAAGACAACGGCGAATTCCATTAATTCACTACAAATACCCTAAAATTAAGAAGAGAAACTATGTGAGATTTGAAAATGTGAGAAACTATGTGAAATTTCAATAACTTAACTTGTTTTAGAAATGATTGATTATGGCTACTTTTGCTTCTCATTCTATCGTATTAATTTAAAATGTCACAAATTCATGCAAAAATGAGATAGCATAACAAAGTTTTGTTTAATAATACAATTTAGGCGAAGTATCAGTTTCCGGCAATTTTAAGGGCGCGGTATGCAACATTATACCCGGTTATGTACCCCTGGACCCCCTTTTTTCATTTATCAAAATCAGTGGTCTTGGTAATATGGCTGTAAGTTTATCGCAGAAAAAACTTTGCCCACATATCATTGATTCATGTAATGTGTTTTTGCACAATCTTGTTAAACTCTTTAAAATACCTTTTCAACAATTGTAGCTAAAAAGGGCGTTTCCTTAGTTCTCCGGGAGACTGACGGGCGTGGCAAAATAAACTTTTTTAGGGGGCCCAGTTTTGTAAATCACCCCTGGGCCCGAGCTGGCTGTCGACGGCCCTGAATATTAGTGCAGGCTCTCTAGTTTCTAAAAATTTCAAGTATCTTAATGCTATTGTTTAGGATTTTTGGATGTTGGAATATAAAACCATTTACACTATAAGTTAGGTTACATACTTTTTCAAACAGGGTTCCTTTGAACTTTTGCTGACACAACGCAATTAATTTATCAAGGATTAAAGCTTCTAATGAGCTTTGTCGAATATTGCATAACACTGTGATTGATGAAACAAGGTGAGAATAAACTGCGGGCCAAGGTACCTCTGATCTGACACCGTTGTTGCTCGATCCCTGTAGAAAACAGCGTTGCCAAGGGTTAATTTCATTAATGTAGGGGTTGTGCAAGTCTTCAGTTGGTCCACATTTTCAAAAGGAACTAGATAATCTTGAAAATAACGTTGCTATCTTAATATAAAACACCTATGCCTTTGCAATAACCCATAGTTTGATGATTATTTTGGTGGTTAACAGTTTCCTTTCTTAGGTCATTTTGTGGGATTTTTGTTTTTTTGTAGAGACGGCGGCACGAAATCGACCCTGGAGGGGGGGGGGGAGGGGCTAAGAATAAAGTTTAGTGACATAGGATAACCCACCATGGTTGGGTCCTATGGAAATTTTTTTTTTGAAATCAGGCCTTCTAGAATGGCAAAAATGCATCTCCCAGGATAAAATTTAACAAATTACTATACCGCTCAGAATAGACAATTCGACGATTCTCAAAGAAAGGGAGGATTCATGCCTGGGAAATGAAAGAAAGAAAGGGTGACCTTTGTTCAGGGTGCACATCAATGCAAATAACAAGAAGCTGTTATATTGATTAACATTTTTGGCTTACAAAAATTTGTTAGTTGGCGTGCGTACAGTTGACATGAAATCCACCATGGATTGATAGAGAAAGTTTCACTTCGTGAACAGAAATGTGCATGTTCTTTGTCTCGAGTATTTTCAGAAGGCCATGTTTACACATCCAATAGGCAGACGTTGCAAAGATATAGGATGTTATCTGCTGAATTGATAAAACTAATCGACAAATAATAGAAATATACCCAAGTAGGTTAGTAAATAGATCGAGTATAATCAAGCAGTAAATAAACAGTTTGTTCTCTTTTTATTTCATACTCTGTTTCCAAAAATCATAAAAAAGACGGTGAAAAAATTTTTATCTCCGAAAAGGTGGGGGGTTCAGCCCCCCAGTGGTGCCGTGCCTGTTTTGAGTCATTTTGTGAATGGTTTTGGGTCGTTTGCAGCTGGTTTTGGGCCATTTTGGGTGGTTTTAGGTAGTTTTGGGTAGTTTTGGGTAGTTTTGGCTAGTTCCATGTTTTAGTAAGTACGTAGCCTGCGTACTTCACGGAGGTTTTTGGTCTGTGACGCAGGCTAGTAAGTAGGCAATTTAATTGCCGCATTTAGGCCCTGTTCACACGATACCGGATTCATTTCGTATCGGATCGCTTTTCATATCGGATAGGCCTTCTGTTCACACGATGACGCTTGAATCCGATACGCTCCGTATCGTTTTTGCGGAGACAAACCATTCCGCTGTGAATGTGGAATGGAATCATATCGGATCGCTTTTTAGCTCATGTGAACGCATGAATCCGATATGGTTTCGCTCCGGAACTTCTGTCTCGAAAAAGCAGCTACCTTTTCGGGGTTTTTAAAAACAGTTTGGCTCTCTTTTCAAGACACAAAATGCCCGACAAAATGACAGTGGATCGCAGTTAAACACTAAATATGTTCCTTGCGATGATGATGAGCTTCACAAGATTAATGCAAAAGAAAATTAGATTGTTTGAAAATTGATTTCGAAATACTTCTTCTTCAAAACTCTTCAAAAGAATGCATTCAATCAGAAAAAGAGCAAAACAACGGACAACATTCCACGTTGCTATGCAACTGCTTCAAGACACTGGATTTTTTGGAGCCATGTTGAAGCGTAGCGTCATCGTGTGACAGAATTGAGTCCGATACGAAATGAATCCGATATCGTGTGAACAGAGCTTAAAATTCGTATTGGATTGGGTCAGTGAATCCGATATGAAATGAATCCGGTATCGTGTGAACAGGGCCTTAGTTGACTCGCAATAAAATGCCTAGTGTATTCGCAGAGGTTACCTAATTGTTGTCCTACATTTTCAAATTATCAACATTCCGGAGTTTCCGTTTTAAAAGTTGAATATGTTCAACTTTTGGGCAATAAAATGCCCGGAAAATCTTTTTGTATTTTCTAATCCTCGTTGATTGCTATTGTTCAGTGTATTGACAAGAGTATTTGAAGGACAGTTTCCAATAGCTCCTTGTCAATTTGTGGACGGCACGAAAACATGGCGTACAAATCGTCGTGATTTAGGGCGAATTTATCAACGCCAACTTTGTTTTTACGATTAACCTACTTCTATAGATGCCTATTCTTATGCATTTTCCCCTTCCTTTACAATTAGAAAAGCGATTACTGCTTCTGCACATTGCAGCCTTCGAGCAGCCTTCATGTTAGTCAAACGTGTATACAGAGAAGCGTTTTTCGAAAAATTTTGCCCGAGAAGGGATAAAAGAAAGGCAACATATATTTCACAGCCAAAACGCTACGAATAAGAGACAATGACGCAAAATGAATCATCGATGAAAGGCATCTTAATTGAATTAAACAAACATTTAGCTGACTGGCAATTAAATGCCTAGTGTATTCCAGCCTTAAAGAATATTTAATTCAATTGAAAAGAGAGAAGTGATTTATAGAATGTGTTATTCTATTCAACAATAAATTTGCGTTTGCGTGACCTCTTACAGGAAATGCACTTGTGTCACAGAATACAAGACACCCTGTGGTCGTGTCTCGATGCCTGCATCGATATTCGAAGAATCATGGCAAACAAAATGGGAGATTCTTTGATCCTAGCAGTTAATAATAAGGCTTTTCTTGAGTACAGTGAAGGATATTCTTCTATACAGCAAGATATATCTGTGGCATGGCAGGATCTTCGTGGGCTATTCTATCTAACAAACACTTAGCCCCGCAGTGGGGCCTGTTATATTATTTCCACACTTTGAAAACGAGCGTAAATAGGGCTGTTTTCTTCAGGTCTCTTGAAGAGTTTTGCTTACATTGGGAACGAAGCGCCTTTGTTGGTTCTGCAGAGTTTTGTAGGCAATAAACGACTTGTTGCTTCCATGATTTTTCGAATCGATTTCTTACTGACGATGCAAAGATGATGATGATTATAATAAAGGCAATCAACACTTGTCATAAAATCGGAGTATTTACCCTTCGGACAAAAAGTAATTTCAATATAAAAAAGAAGAGCTTATTTCCATTAGAAATTGGCGTACACAGTGTCATCCCATGCCATTTCATTACCTATCAGAAAAGTGCACCCCTCTTGCTTGTAGCAACAAATTCTGAAACACTTGCTTTTTTCAATTGGTGACGTTAGGGTGACGTAATGATCTACAAAATAATAAATGGTCTCTGCCCTGACAATTTGAAAGGACGACTTGTCACAAGATCCCAAATATCTAACTATTCAACAAGAAATTGCCTTCACCTAGACATCCCAAGGCAAAACCTAGAATTCTCCAAAAGGAGTTTTTTCTATTGTGGTGCACAGACGTGGAACGAGATTCCATTACAGATAAGAATGGGCTCCACGATTACCACGTTCAAAAAGAATTTAAGGAATTCCTGCAAAATTAGCATCCTTTCCCAAAGCACGATCCCTATATATATAAATTAGGATATAACAAGGGATGCCAAGGAAGGACAGATTTGGGACTGATAAAGTAAACGTACGAATTATGCTAGAAAATATTGTTTTTGTGCGGTTGTTGAGAAAAAATACTAACTCTACACGACCAGACAACAGGTTTAGGCCTTCTTTAGAGAAATCCTGAATGTATGATAGATGCGCTGGTTTTTTATATGTGTAGGCTTCATGGAAATTACTTTTTGGATTTTTTAAGGAAGTGCTTGTAGCTGCCACTGCGAGCTCGTGCGGCCTAACACAAAGGAAAGACTAATTACAGGCTTTTGCATTTCTTAGCCCCACAAAGAATACCTGGAATCAGCACGATAGTATTTAAGCTGAAACCCCGCAATGTTTTCCATTTGGTATTAAATTTCGCATAACTCGCGATATTTGTTCTAACACAGAGCTGAAAAAACATGACGATAAGCGCCGTCAGAAAGAGAGAGAAAGGCCAATGAAAATAAACTACACTTTTTTTATAAGAACCAGTAAATTTAGGTTCAGGCTGACTGTTCTTAATTTTTTCGAAAATCTGAGGCTGGATTGTTCTTGATTTGTTCTTAAATTAAGAGGGTGTAAGCAGTGCTATTACTAGCTTTTTCGCTGTAAGGAGGTGTTCAGGCCTCATTTGCCAACAAACTGAGTGAGACAGCCTTAATTTGTTGACAAATTTGGAATATTCACCGAAAAAGCACCAACGCATCGCTAAAAATCTTCGATTTCGAGAAAAAACGTTGTTCAAAATTGCATTTTTCAGAAGCTCAGCCTCAGCTTGTTCTTAATTTGTTCTTCACTTTTGACCAGTTTGAGGCTCGTGTTCTTATAAAATTGTTCTTATAAAAAAAAGTGTAAACTGCCGCGCCCAAACCCGCCTTATTTTCTTTGTTCTCTGGGGAAGGTTTTCAAAGCTTGAGGAAAGTGTCTGTTTGAAAGATTTGTCCTAGAACAAGGACCTGAGTATAAAATGGGTGCGTCGGCACCATAGAAATGGAAGAGAATATGGTCGGCGCTTCAAATAATGTTATGTTGTGGGCGCTCTTATACGATATAAATAAGCCACGACCTGATTGGTTGCGAGGCACCCTGTGCTTGTTGATCTTGCCACCGATTGGCTTGCCAATTCATAATACAACAATCGGAAAGTAGCAGCCAAGACAAAAATATTAATTGCTCTTAGTAATGCTAGAGGTTCATTAATAATTTTCATGGCGTATTGAAAGAAGAGGACAAGATGAAATTACTTTTTCTAGCTTCGCTATTTACAATTGCATCTTGTTCGTCATTAGGCACGGAACGAAGTTTTTCGGAAATAGTAAAGGAAATTTCCGGATCATCAAACACAACAAGCTTTGAAGTTGGAAAAATAAAGAGTCTTCTCGATCGAATTGGTTTCAAAAATTGTAGTTTAGAAAGAAGACAGACAGATTGTCAGTTGGTGAGTCTTCAAGCTAATTTATTATCGATGTAAAAGTAATTTTAGCTCAACAGTTCAACAAGCACGCTCGTTAAAATTTGGCTAGGCCAGCGTTCTTCGAGCTTCATATTTTTATCGAAGCTTTATCTGTCTTTTTTGTAGTGTTTGGGAGCTAGCAGCCTATTAACATGGAGTAAATACGCCAACAATGTGCCTCTCAACAGATCTCAGTTCAAAGGACTTTTTCCCAGTATTCTGTTTCTCCTGACCCCCATCCAACCAGGAACTGTTGGTGCCGTGTGCAACAAGTCAGCAACGCAACAAGCGAAAAACTTCACGCAAAGCGCTTTCAAGTCTCTACTACGGCAATATGGGGGAGTTTCTTCACTTACTGAAAGTCATGTCGATAAACTTCTGGACGATATCAACTCCACACTTAACTGGAGACTGACAAAAAAGCCGGTAAGTGAAGTTTTTTAATAGCAGCCGAACATGCTTGTTCATCAGTAGAGAAAATGGCGACGGGTAGCCGCCGGATATGGTGGGTTTGGCTTTCTGATTTTCTTTTTTACTCGTATCGTTACATTTTGAAATTTAAGGAGCAATTGCCAGTATAATTCTATGTCGATTCTTAGAAGAATCCTGCAACCACAACTTTCGTTTCAAGGTTTTTTGTGTGCTCAAAGAACCCTGGAAGGAACTCCATTCATTAATTGAGAGCGCGACAAAACCTCACAGGTTTACATGTACCCTTTGGGAAAACTTTAAAAAATAAGATAAAACACAGGATTGTCCAAAAGACTGATCCTTCCATAGGGAAAATCGATTGGGTTCCAAGCATACCAAAATGACGATTTTGAAAGACAGGGCTTTAAATCTATTGAAATTAGAGTGTACAAGAAATAAACGTTTGTGAGAGGCGATCTGCTGTAAATTAATGAAACGACCAATCGATTAAAAAAACATGTCCTATTTCGGTACTCTTGTGGACCAGTAACTGTCAGTGTTAGTCAGTGAAATGATTTGGAGAATTCGTGCAAAGATTCGTGATTACATGAGTTGCCGTCTCAACAATAATTGTACCTGCCCAGCGTGAATTTTAATGAGTCCATTGATGTTTTTTTGTCAATCTTCAAACAAGAACGCTTATGTGAATGTAACGTGCTGTTCGAGCATGTGGACAGTGAACTGAACAGCAACCAAACAGCATCCACTTCTATATCTATTCATACAACAGCAGGTCTTAGCATTTTTTCAATATCAAAGCTGCTGGAAAACTTGCCCTGTATTTGCCATTGGCCTTCCAACATTCAAATATGCGCTATTACGTCACAACCAAAATACAATGAACAGCCAGCTAAAAGAAAGGGTTACATAACTAAACATTGCCAAACATTCATTTCTTGTACAAAGCCGTTACTTTATTTTATCAAATTTTGTTCATTTTTGACATACAACACGCATAACTTCATTGATTACATAACCAAATATTAGATACAGTCAAATTTTAAGATTCAAATGTTAGGATGTAGACTTGGCATGTAATCCAAAACAAAAATGTTTCAATCAAACAGATAAGAAAGTTTGGACAATGAACACGATTCCACTGTTATGAACTATGTTTTGTATAATTTTATGAACTGAAATCTTGTGTGACAAAAAGGATTACATTAGTCATGCTAGTTATTGTGAAATGAGATCTGTCAAACATGAATAATATATTTATATTTTTGCTGTAAGTCCTCTTTTTCTCCCCAACTAGTTTCTGGTGGTTCATAACCATTTGTAAATAAACATACCAAATAATGTGATGCTAGGATGAATTGACCTTGTGCTATATTTGTACATCTGCCAGTTTCTTCATTTATGTTTAATTACTGCAGGCTGTTTGCAAAGTTGCTTAGTATGTTTAAGCATGTCATAGACCAGTTGTGTTAGTTTAGGATAAAAAAGATGCAGCCATTTGCAAAGAAAACATGTGATTTTATAAAGGGCCTCTTGATGTTCTTGAAACTGCCAATTTAGACATGTTTATAGGGATTTTGACACAATTTGCAGACATTAAGTTCCTTATGATTCACCAAGGTACTACAATCAGGTTTGTCACAAGCAAAGGGCTGCAGGCAGGAGCTGCCCCAAGAATTGCCACATGTGATATTTTCCCTTTATAATAGACAGTGGCAGATCCAGGAATTTCTCTGAGGGGTGCAAAACAGAGCAATGCTCTGGCTCCCCCAATTTGTGTACCACGCCCTTGATACAGCTACCTATAGACCCCACCCTTAAAACTGATAAGCTCACTGAGCTTTCGTTTAGGCCTATAATACAAGAGGTTCTGGTCATGAATGATGAGAATGTTCAAACTTCGATTTTTAAATATAGATCTCTCTTAAAAGGCCTTTTGCTGTTTTTTAACTCTTCATTTTGACTTTCGCCAAAAGTTCTGCTTCCAAAAGTAATGTTTAATTTGTCTAGCTGAAGCTTCGGCTATGCCACTTTGAAATTTGATCAAAATTTTTCAAAGTTCATCAAAATTTCAACCTCTACAAATCCCCCTAAGTGACAAATCCCCCAAAGATATCAATTATTACAACAAATCCCCCAAAGGTAGCGCTTTTACATTGGTCAGGCAACATTGTGGTTGGTCAATTGCCTTCTTATGGGTGCAAAATATCATGTGGGGGTGCAAAATATCATGTGGGGGTGCAAAATCTGCAATGATTTACAGACCACAGGTGCAAGGCCAGAATCTATTGTAAGCAATGCTAGAATTGAGGTTCTGTTTTTCAATTTAATATTGCCAAGTGTACAGGGGGTAATGCTTTAGAATTTTGAAGTATTTGACTGAAGAGGGAACAAGCAAGCAGAATTTACTGACTATGAAAAAGTACAGAATAAGAATGACGACACCATTTATCTTAATTGAATTTCTGTTCTGACTTAAAGATAACATGATACAGAATTTGGGACATGGATGTGATTAAGTTTGCTTTTCAGTTTAGTGATTTCATTTCTCAATAATTTGGATGTTCATGAAATTTAGAAAAATCAACTATCACTAAAGAAATTGTTTGTAAATTTATATTTAAGATTTATCTCATGAAGTAGATTTGTGACTGAGATAAACCTTATATTTAAGATTTATTTCATGAAGTAAATTTGAGACTGCCATGGGAACAAAGCTTTAATCGAGTTTTGTCTTTTTTTAATTCACTATAAAAATAACTCATACTACACTTTATTAACATAACAAGGACAATACCAAGGAGATCAGAAGACCCTGACTACCCAATGGCCAAAACTTAGTGAAATATGTAAAGGGCTTTACAAAATGATATTGACTGGTAAGGATGTACAAGCACAAGCAAGGGTGAAAATGAAAGTTTTCAAGAGTAGAAAAAGATATAGTTTTCTAGTTTGACAGAGCAGCTCTTTTTGCACTTAGAGCCCAACTTGGAATTTATGCAATTTTATAAGAAAATATTTGATACTATGATCTATGAACATCTTTCTTACTACCAATAAGCATAGCAAGAACTGGTGAATGTCAATATACAAATAGGTCAACTTGGGGGCTTTACCTAAAGGTAGTGAGCAGAAGAATTAAAACATGAGAACGTGTGCATCTAGGATTGCTTTGGGCATATATAAGCCCAATTAAAAATATCTAATCTAACTAGGCTGTCTGTTGCTGAAAGTTTTACCCATGTGTTTTAGTAAGTCAATAGCCAGTGTTTATTTGAAATCTTTGAAGTGCTTGCATGATTAGAGAAGTCAATGTAGACTTGTTGCAGACAAGTATGACAAACAATTATGGATGGCTTATTTTTTGCTTGCCTGTTGCTCTTAGATGCAGATAATACTTTCATTTCAATGTCCCAGATGCTAGTTGCTATGGGGTTACAGCCTCCCAAGCCTTGCTTTTGTTGCCCCTTAATTGCACTGACAAAGTATCATGAATTATATGTGTTTCCGCTTGTCTGTTTAGGTTTTTTCCTTTAAATTTTATAGAAGTTTATGTCTAATGACACGTGGATGGAGGGCTTTTTCACAAATTGTGAATTTTTATCGTTTTAGTGCTTTGATGTAGATGATGCTTTTAAAGGATCTGGCTTGTCAGAGTCTGTGAAAAACGAGCAAGATCTAGAAAACTTCAGTGTTTATTTGATTCTGCAATTGTTAGAGGGACATTGCATTGCCAAACATGGAGATAAAAAGAGTTCACTCCCAAAGGCAAAAGAGTTTATGGATTCAATTTTCAAAGAGTTTGGAAAAAATGGTACAATTAGTCTGGAAAAATTTGAATCGCTACTTAAGAAACTTGGGATAGGAAATGAGACAACATCCGGTACTTCATCAACAGGAACGGGTCATTCAGGACATGATCATCGTAAGCGGAGGTCCATTGGCACTGACGAGCATTCTAGAAAGAAGCGAAGTGTTCCTGGAGACAGTCATGTCAACAAGGTTTTTTCTCTTTGTTTTTGACATGGAATGTGTTTGTGTGTGGAATTTTATTTTGCGTATCACCAAAGAAAAATATTAATATTTTTCGCGCTTGACATGACGATTTTAAATGAAATACATAATTTCTGTAGGAAATACAAAATTAGAGTTTCCGAATCCACCTTTGCAATTTTCTTCCCTTTGATAGGTTTCAATTCCTCTTACCCAAAGTTGCAAAATGTATTTCTTAGAAATTGTTAAAATACAACTACAATTCTGGTCACGGTTTTCACTGAACAGTATTTTTCAATACCAGTTTAACATAGTTATGTGAAGACTATGCTTTGGCTGTGGATCTGTTAAATTGACACGGTTTCAAGAATTTGTTGACTGATAGCATCAGGACTGACAATGGTTTAGGGCTGAACTTCAGACCTTAAGCCATACGACCTAAGGTCTCCCACGCACTTCTTAGCAAAATAAATTTTCGAAATCTTTTTCAAATTACGCTGTAATGCAGGTCATATGACGCTGTAATGCACTACAGTTCTCTTTTGACAGCATTAAAATACCAATTAATGATTGACTTAACAGTTCCAAAGTACAGTTGCTTGCCACTCTTTGCTCAACAAACAGAAACTCTATGATGTAACTTTAATTTCTATTGTTTGGTTCAGGGTAACTTTTCTATTCAAAAGTTTTTGGAGCAAGATTTTTTGGTCGCAAAATAGTTAAATTTTTTGGATAAACTAGGTCATATCATCCAGCTAACTAAAAAGTGTCAATGATAACTTCTTGAGGTTCATTCTGTTTCATTTTAGTGCTTTACTCCAGAGAATCTTCTGAGCATTCATTCTATCAACCAGAAGGTTGGCCTAAATGAAGCCCAGTTCAAGGACGTTTGCCCCTCCTTGGTCCAGCAGATCGAAAGTGGCTCATGCAAACCAAAGACCAGTACCGTTAAAAAGACATCTTCCAAAGAAACAGGCTGGAAGCGTTAGTATTTTTTATGATTTCTTGAGATTTAATGGTGGGCAGGCCAAGATTATGCCTAAAAAAGTTATGATAATGGGGTTTTGTTTCCGCTACTAAGTTACTATACTAACCACTTAAACCAAGTTATAAAAGTCTTAAGTAGGGGTCAAATATCCTATCGTGTAGATTAATGAATCAATCATCATATTCCGTGCAGTTTATCTGTGATAAATAGATGGACATTGAATTTAATTTTACAAATGCCATTGACTGTGGGAATGCACTTTCACCAGATGTAAATTCTAATTGCCTGGAATGAGTTGGATTGAGGACCAAAAATGAACGTTCATGATGCCTTAAGCAGTCAAGCGTTGCAGTCCATATCTCTCTTACTTTAGTGACGAAATTGTTGTTGAGGTTCACTGAAACTGCTTGTTGAATGGCTGCTTTGAGAAAGGAAATTTGTTAACTGTTTTGTTCCGAGACTTGGCAGTAGTAGTTAAGACTTACAAAATAGTACTTTAACTTAATATATATTGCATAGTTTTCAAAACGCAATTATACGTATCATATAAACTAAGAGCTGACAAAAGAAAGGCATAAAAAGAACAACCTTGAAATTGAGTAGAAATAATCGAGATGGTCAAATCCATTTCGTGAGTTAAATACATTTGACCTGTGATTTTAGCCTCACACCTAATTTATAGTTATACAAATGAACAGACATGCGGTATAGAAGGGTTAAACTTTCTTTCAGCAAGAACTGAAAAATACTTAGCGTTTTAGGTTAGAAAGTCACGCTCATTTTCGTGTTTAAATTTTTTGAAAATTCGTTTCAGCATGGGTCAGTGCCATCGTTGCGGTTTTGATAATCAGCCTTGGATCCCTGGTCGGTATCCTCCTGGCACCTTTCAGTGAAGAGAAAAGCTTCACTTTTATTTTAACATTCCTGATTGCCCTGGCTGTGTCGACATTACTTGGTGATGCTATTTTGCATCTGTTTCCTCACGTAGGTCTTTGGTTTCTATAAAACTCAGTGAAATGATATAACTTTGTTTTTTTGTTAGATAGCGTTTTGATCGTTTGCCTCCCAAAAAAAAATAATTTTTAAGGCTATTGATAACTTTATTAAGAGATGATTTCTTTGTTTTATTTTAAAATAGCTCAATACCTTTATGCAAACTGCGTATTATAAGCAAGTTTAATGCAGCTCGGTTGTTTAGTCTGTTTAAAGAAGTGTGTCCGTACAAGCAGTATTTTTCAATACTGACACACTAAACATAAAAATCTCCAGTCGAAATGGCTTTCTAAATCACTTTTTAATATAGGTCTTTACTGAATTTTTCTTCGACATATTGAACTGAAACATAGGTTGAATATCGCTTGTACTAGTCATATATTGTTGGTCCTTCTCAATATACTTACAATTACTATCCTGTACTTTTTCGTATACTTATATGGGTTTTCTCTCTTGCAGTCTTTAAATCTTCATAAGCATGAAGAAGGTTCCAGCCATGCTGAGGAATCAATAACAGGAAAAAACAGTTTTATTTGGAAAAGTTTGGTCTTTCTTCTTGGTGTCTATGTATTCTACTTGTTTGAATTGTACATGCATTCTGCTTCCAAGCATAAGCATAGCCACGGACTAGTGAGTTTCAACTTTTCTTCTCCTTCACTTAAAATGCTATTTTTAACAAAGAAATTGTTTTCTAATTCTCCTCAAACCTATCTAGAAATTGCAAGTTTCTAATTTTTTTCTAAAACACAGAAGATTACTCAAAATTTGTTTGTACTGAACAAAAGCCTAGTCCTAGCTTTGATTGAAATATTGATAGTAGACAAATAATTAGTTTTCTTACTCTGCTTCTAGGAAGAAACACACCAGCATGTTGGCAAAGGCCGATCTCACAGTATGGTATCTGGCCCTGTTGAAATAATTCACGACCGTCAGAAAGATGGGGACAACTCTCTGGTGCGAATGAAACTATTTTTGAGATTTATTCCAAATGTGTACATCAAAGGTGTCAGACTCAACGCTCTGGAACCATATCTCGCTAGTGACAAAGTTTATTTTCTTGCAGGATAATCCTATTTTTTAATCACTTTACTCGTTGCTATTCAAATTTATGGAAGATTCTCACGGTAGTCTGGCTGTCAAAATTTGGATTCATGTTCAAAGTATTATTGGTTTTTGCCTTTTAAAAAAATTTTCGGTGATTGAGATTGGCATATCTTGAATATCAGATTGAATAAAGATCTTTGAAATTTTGATTGTAAAAAAGAATGAAATTTCCATCTCGGACAGAAATGGCCAGTCTTGATTATATCTACATTTGTTCGTGATGTGTTTAAAACAGAACTACTCTTTTAAGCAACGGCATTGGCTAATAATTTCCATATCTCTCCCTTTTCAGAATAGAAATGCTTTGATACCAACTGCATCTGGCATGCACAAATGCGATGAAAAAACATGCATTGAGCTGGACGCTATTGAAGCGAAAGTAAAGGACACCTCAGTGAGTCTTCGAATTCAGATTGTTTGACACAGTGAACGCCCGATATTTCCCATCTCTCTCGTCTGAGTTCTCTCTCGACTCAACTGTTACCGGATACAAAATGCCCTTATCAAGTATATATGATAGGACTTGAGCATTTATCTTTTTAACTTAATTAGTTTCATATAATGTAATCATATAATATGTAATTGCATATCTTATTTACTTGCTATATGTTATGTTATGTTATGTTATATTATGTTATGTTATGTTATGTTATGTTATGTTATGTTATGTTATGTTATGTTATGTTATGTTATGTTATGTTATGTTATGTTATGTTATGTCATGTTATGTTATGTACAACGTTATTAAGTGTTTAATGCAGGGTGTTTCTCAGCTTAATCTCCAAGTTTCGTGCTTAATACGATCATTTGTAACATAGTGTAGGACACTGTCTATAAGACATAGTCACGACAGACCGGAAAATTTAATCTTTTCCATGTCATATCTTACGTTATATTGCTTATGCTTTGTAAATTTTGTTACGTTCTCTAGGAGGTGTATGTAAACCAAAAATGCTCGAACGGCAACTCACGTGATAATCTAAAAGACTCATCAAAAAAGAATGGCGTGCATGAAAAAAATGAAAATGGTCACGCGCATGTTGTCACTAAAGAAGGTCCAAGATGGAGAAGTGTTGCATGGATGGTCCTTATGGGAGATGCCATTCATAATTTCTTAGATGGCGTTGCCATTGGCGTTGCTTTCACTGATAAGTTTCCAACAGGCTTTTACGGTGGCGTCAGTACTTCAATTGCTATTCTATGTCATGAGCTGCCACATGAACTTGGTGTGTTGATTTACTTATTAGCTCGTTTTTATTTGCATGATAAGCTGGCTAGGTGTGCTGAACTTGTTATTTCGGTAATGGCTTTGATAGAATTTGATGCAGAGCAGAGAAAAATGCTATTAGTTTTAAGTAGATATTTAATTTGCAGTGTGTTCATTAGTTGATATAAGCACTTTATAATTTTGTCAGTCTTTGTTGCTTACAATTGCTGGGTAATGTATGAATGGAATCATTGCAAGCTTCAAGCAAGATATCCTTGACAATTATCTGTGATTTTCTAATTAATATGGATAATCACGCTAGGATACGAGAAACACGTTCAAGAATCTGACTTCAAAATTGAACTTTTTGCATATTGAAAACAATCGAAGTTAAAATGATCTAGTCGAAATCTTAATCTAAATTTTGTCTGAAGTCATCTCTCTAATTTTCTTCAGGGGATTTTGCAATTTTGATCCAGTCCGGTTTGCCCATCAAGATGGCACTCTTGCTAAATTTCTTGTCGTCATTAACATCGGTTTTTGGCGCCCTGATAGGAGTTTCTCTGGGACAAGCCATGGACGCAACCTCTTGGATATTTGCCTTAACAGCTGGGCTCTTTGTTTACATTGCGTTGGCAGATATGGTAAGTGATGTCTTATTTCGAAGTCCTATTTGAAGAGCATCCATTCATTTTCTTTCCGGAAGTACGTGATTTTCACAAAAAGATTACCGTAATCGTTCGAATAAGGGGGGGGGGGCTTATTTAATTTTCCTTCTTTTAAGGGGGGGGGCTTATTCGAGATGGGCGCTTATTCGAAAGGGGTGCTTATAAAATTACAAAGCAACAACCAAAGACAAACGATTTGCTAACATTTTGCGAGAGAAGTTAGACGAGAAGAAGAAGATACTTAATATTAATATAGTGCACGGTGAAATTAAGAAGTTTCCTGATAAGAAAAACAAAAAAGAGTAACAATTGTCAAGAAAATGTTATTCTTTCTTTTCCAAGGTCTTCCCTTCCCTCCATGCGAGATATAGAATTTTCCAATCGATTTTTCCGTGAATTTCGAATATTCCTAGAACAAGGGGGGCGCCTATTCGAGAGGGGCGCTTATAGAAATGATTTTCTTAAAAGAGGGGCGATTATTTGAGAGGGACGCCTATTCGAACGATTACGGTATATCATTCTAGTTGATGTTGATTTTATACTCTATTATTTCGACTTTCTGTTGCATTATTGTAACGAAATTTTCACGCAAGCCGGCGAGATGGAGGCGGATTTTTTGCGTTATGACAAAGTAACCAATCAGAAACCGCTTTGTGTTTGATTATCGTTCAATTCGTTGAAATCACTTTTTAAAGGGCATGTGTCGTGAACATGATTGGCTAATGCAATGCAATGGTCTTTTTTGTTTCGTTCAAAGCATAGAATCGAGGGTGAATTTTTACGGCACTAAAGATTCAAGAAGATGAAAAGAATAGTCACGAAACAATGGAACTCCACTCCAAACGCTTTGTTTTGTTAGCCAACTGTTAATGAGACATATGCCCTTTAAATGGAAAATTCACTGATATTGGGTGATAAATCTACATAAAATTGCCTATAAAGTTTATTTAACAAGAATTTGATACAATCCGATACAAAAGCCCAATATATCGCAATTATAACCTCACACCAATGTGGTGGTTCACACAAGCCCAAACATAATCCAATACGCCCCAATATTTCATTTAGCAAAGGGCGTATCAGTTTGCTCAAGATAAAATAATTTCATCTTTGTTTGCTTCATTCTCCGGTGAGCTAAACTCAAACAAATGAAGTTGTTTTCGTGGCAACTGTTTCTACGAGGCTTGCTTTTCTTACTGTTTGCCTCGGCACAAGTTAGTTATGCTACGTACCAATATTAGATATGATCAAAAAAATACTTTGCATATCCGCCCTTTGAAATTGTTTTTTTTCTTTATTGCTTAGCTTTGAATAATGAGATTAAGGCAGAAATTCTTAGGTGATACGATTAAGGCATGTATTTCAGTTTGTTTAGAGAGAATATCTGTGGTTGTCTCTTGTCCCATAAACCTTTGAAAAGGATTTTAACTGCTTTTTAAGGACCCGCTGTTTGCTAAGCTTGTGTTACAGAAAAATGCAAACATTTTGAGTTGAGAAGAAATAAGTTTGGGACTGGAAAGAAGTTAAAGTGTGCTCAGTTTAGGACTCAAACCCCGCAACACGACAATGAAAAGTGTTTTACAGTGTTATGAAATACGAACTATTTTCCAAACATCGAGGATTAACATTAGTCACATAATTCTTTTTTATCGTTTTGCTTGGTATAGATCTTGTTAGGAAATTGTCTAGTTTGTTTTCGTCATGGAAGCACTCATAATGTGCGTTCGATTGTAAGTTGAACTTTCCGTAATGGTGAACAGGAATTTCCTTGCGTAAAGGCGTCTTCTTATGGTAAAAATGACATTGGCTTAGGAATGTAAACAGGACTTGAGCAAAAAAGGCTGCGCGATCTTTTGGATGACTTTTTAAGCTAATTATCAAATCCTAGACCTTACACCCCCCCCCCTTAGCTTCCAAGCTCTCGTAGAACCTGTGGCCCCTCCCTAGAGCTTCTAAGCGATTATGGAGCGAACTTTATGGATGCTCCATATATACTTTTTTATTAGAATATAATAGTATCGGGGCTCAAAATTTTTGAAATTTAAGAAGGAATTAAAAATAATAGACAGGCTCCAGTTTCGTTGACAACTTCTTATCTTCACGTTTTTTGAGCAAACAAGACAGCAGGCCTTCTAACAAATGATTTAACAATAACACACAACGTGTAACTACATGGCTAGAATAACATTCAACTTCGTTTGTCTCATTGCAGTTGCCAGAGCTGATTCACAGTGGAGAACTGCGACATGCACCTTTGAAAACCGTGATTGTTCAAAACGCTGGATTATACTTGGGGTTCGGTATCATGATTTGCCTTGCAATATTCGAGGAAGATATTAAGCTCTAGAAAATGTCATTTGTCACAGACAAACCATTGATGTATAGTAAGATTTCGTAGCTGAAGTTTTCTAGAAATTTTGTTCTTAGTAGTCTTATGAAAAGTGTCATTTCAAGTCAATTTCCAAAGTCATTTTTATACATGAAGGTAGTCGACCCTGTTTTTATTTCAATTAATAGGCTCAGATAAAACTACTACAATTTGTATAATTGCTTGAATGTTAATAGCGACCATATCTTTTCTGGTCAGCTGAATGTTTTGGGTTATATGAAAACTTTATCTCACTCTATTTCAATGAAAAGGTAATTGACTCCGAACATAAGGCTATAACTTTAAATCAAGAATAATTTCATACAAAAACAATTAGCGTAATCAAAATTGTTTGATTATGTGGCATTTTCAAACTCCATTGAAACTTCTTCATTGTCCCAGGATTGATACAACAATCGGATATTATTTCCAAGGAAATTTTCAGGAAAGATTTAAAGCATGGTCCTATGTTTTTTGATCAATTTTGTGATAAAATTCGTGGATTTGTTTCTAAATTTACCTATCAAAAATATTCTAGGAAAGAATATTCAACACATAAAAGTTTCTGCTTCCAAAGTGCCCATTTTTGTTTTACAGTTCATTAATTTCCAACACCCATTTATATTTTGAGAAATTAGTCCCTATTTGATAGTGCCTTGATAAAACTGATTGGCAGCTTAGGGCTTGACAAAACTATACCTTCTCAAACTATAAGATATCTGTGAATTAGGTCAGTAATTTTTCTATCACTTTGAGTTATAGTATAAAACAATTTCTCTGGAAGTATTGCCGAATTATGTACTTTTGCTGCTGATTTTTGTTATTTAATGTTAGCAATTAAACTGGCCGAATTTACTAAGTTCATTTCCTTGAAATTATTATTATAGGGGTTCTTGTGAAATATGAACTTGTAGTTTCATTGTTAATGATATGTATAATGGGCTTGGTTTCATGGTCGTATGAGCAAGCAGGTAACTAAGTTGTCTTGCAGATATTTCTTGTTCAATTTTGAGTGTCTGACATTGCAGGCATTGTCAGTAGTGATATTATGTTTGGTGTTTTATTTTATTTCTCTAAATGCATTGGAGTGGCAAATGAATTTTGACGGAAGACTGTAATTCATTGTAACAATATTATCCATATTTTAACCACACATTTGAAATCACCATAACTTATGATTTCATTTTTATTCAAAATTTTAATAACTGAATAAACCCAAATGACAATGTTTCTCATATGGGTATTAAAATGACATAATGTGTAATGGATTAAGCAGAGAGTTTGGAATGGCTCAAGAATCTTTTTTGTAGCCTGGAAGAAAATATGTTTCAATTTTTGCATCACATAAGCCATTGCTTTGAAACAACAATGACCCGGCAAATAGTAAAATGGAATCCAGGCCCTATGTTTTTTGCTAGAAGAGACCTTCAATAATAAGCTGAATAAGCACATTGAAACATCATTTCCCACCTTCCATGAAAAGCCTTAAAATGAAGACTGTTATTATCACAAACCAACTTTGCATTTTGTTGTACAGGTTTGTTTTCTTTATGATTCCCTAGATCTCCTATGTGGGGGTAATTGCCACTTTTACTGGGAAGAAGTCACCAATTTGCACTGCATGTTGATTTCTGGACTAAGTCACATAGAATCTTAGCCCTTTGGAGCAAAGCTGCTATTATGCAAATTTCTTTTCCCACCTTTTTGCCATGCATAACTTGAACCTTTAAAATGATAATTTGGTAGAGGCTTGTTATTTAAATAAATGAATTCAGGTTTTACATACTCTTGGAAACAATGCTCATTTAGCATTGTGAGTATTTAATTTTTATTGTTTAATCATAGACCATTTTTAGTGTGTAGCATAAATCCTATTCCATTGTTTGATAGTTGTGTAGCAAAGGTAATTTTGAAATACTTTTGAACTTTGTTTTGGCTGTAAATTTTTATGTCCAATGAATAGGGTTTTGTGGTAAACTGTACTAGCTTGATATTAACAATTACTTTTTATGTGTTTTTCTCTCAACTGATATGTAGAAGCAGAGGTTAGTAAAAAGATGAAAAGACATGTTAGTGTAAATGAGAGCAGTCTATCCACAAGATAGGTACTATTTAATACTAGAGCTACTAAATGTAATAACTGGCCTGCAGCCAGGAGTTTATGTTTTGGTCATGTGATCAAATTGAAAGCCTTATTCAATCTTGTATGGGAATCTGTAACTTTCTTTTTCCTATAAATATTTCAAATCATAAAATGCCAAATGTTTGAATGATAGACTGAAAGCTTGTTTTGGCACATAGTTCAACAATGTTACATTTGAAATGTTAACAGATTTAAACAAAGATAACAGATTTCTCCTCTAGAGGAAAATGTGTTACGTGTTAAGGACTCAACAAGTGTTTTGAGCTGAGTGGTGCCCAAATCAGTACCAGAGTCATTTTAACTGAAATATGCCATTTTTCAAAATAATTCTTGACAAAATCTGCATTTCTGCTTCTTCAACCCTTTTCTAGGCGTCCAGTAATTCAAACCATACAAAACTTGCAATTATAACGGCTGGGTTGAAACAAATTGATCTTGTAATGAAAGTTTGAAAAAGCTTTATATCATTTTGACCTAAGGCCCAGCTACATGAAAGAATATTCAACAAGAATAATGATATTATTTTATCAATCTTGTCTGTATTCTGATGAAGAATTTTTAAAAGAATAATCTTATCACCTCATTTTTCCATTGTTAGAATATTCTTGTCAAGAAAAATAACCTCTCTCTGACCTACTTATATGGTGGATGCCCTGTCAATTCCAGTCTGGGTGGTTGGTTAGGTATACCTCTGGACAATTTTCATAAGCTTTGGAAACCTTCCCAAGAAAAATAAGGCAGGGTGTAAGAATGGCAATTTAATTCATTTTCTTTTGGCCTTTCTCACCGTCATTGACCATAGGACCACCAAGTTTTCCTGACTATGTGTAAAGGAACTCACAACAATGTCTTTAATGTAATAAAGCTATTCCACATCAGACCCCCCAGTATTTGCGCAATTATATCCTGGATGAAAATCCCCTACAATATAACCTATGTCGTCCTACCTTGCTTAAAGCAAAACACCTAATACACAAAGATTTTCTTTAAGTTTTTTCCCATACTGTATCCAAGCATGGAATGACCTTGGCCCCAAAATCTGAGGTGCTCCGACAACATCCGCATTCAAAAAACTACAAATCTCTAAGATTCGCCCCACTCAAAAATTGTTGCGTGGTATTACCAACCGCCTTGAGTTGTCTATCATAACCCATCTTCAAGTTCATATTCTGACTTACACGAACATCGATTTAATCATAACTTTGCTTGTGCAAGCCCTATGTGTAAATGTGACTTAGGAGTCGAATGTACGATCTACTATTTCCTGCATTGCTGCCAATATTCACTTAATAGAATGAACCTGCTTGATAAAATATCTGATATAGTTGGCAATGATATTACTCAACTGCTTTAGGTCTCTGGGTACTAGGGGGCCTCATAAAGTAAAAAATTCAATTTTAAGACTGCAGTAAATAAAAGATGACAAAATTGTTCGGGAGATGAAACCTTCAAACCCTTGTTTCAAAACAATACCGTCTTAAACCAGTCAGTGTTGCAGAGTCATAGCACATGCACATTAATAACAGTATTCACAGAGCTGTTATTAACAGTATTCAGTATTCACAGGTCCGGGACCACACAACTTCCAGGCTTCTATTGATAATGCACATGTGCAATGACCCTGAAATGGGGGCTAGTGCATGTCTAGAGACAGGCATGATTCATCTCCTGAACAAAAAACATGCCTAAAAAAAGTGAAACATTTTAAATGATTGCTTGTGCCTGGACCTGTGTGACAATATAAACAATCATTGTTGGCAAAAAGGATGATTAATAGTTCTATTGTGTATTGTATCATAAAACATTTTGGAAAAATCATTAGCCTGTAAAACCTTAGGTGCAGCTTCACAATTTACTGACCAACATGGATCCCACCCTGGAATTTCTACACTTTCGTTTAATTCGTTTAACTGAACGTATCACACAACAAAAAATCAAGAACATTTGTTCATAAGGTTGGACGTCCAAAAATGTTCATCTTTAATCCAACTTAAATGTCATGCAATCTCACTTCTCCACGGCAAACCAGTTATTGTTAGTTATCCTCTGATTAGGGGTTGAGGCGAGTCTAGTTTCGGCCATCCAGCCTGTACTTGTGCTGTTTCTTCCCTGATGTTTTCAAGACAGTGACCGCATAAGTAGCCTTGTAGCTTTTCATTCCCACAAACAACGCAAGTTTCAATATCTGTGCGATTTTTGGGAAACTTGCTATGATTTCGAATTCTTTTCCGTCTGTGACTCACTCGTTTTTTTGGCACGGCTAATAGAATTCCCGTCTCCCGGAAAAATTCAATCGCAGCAACAGGAACCATTTTAAGTAGAATATTTGACCAAGACTTGGTTAAAAAGACTGTTTTTACTTCATTTCTCAATATATAATTAGACTGTAGTATTTTCCTAATGCTGCCAGTGAACCATTCTTTAGGCATCCATCTCCTTGCTAGGTACGCCGCCATTTTATAAAGTGGAGCATGATATGGTGTTGCTGTTGTTGTGGCTTGAAGAACTACAAAAATGGCGGATATGATTGCTAGTGCTAAAGAAGAAGCGGCGAGAAAACGCAAAGAGAAGATATTGCAGCTACGGAAAAAAGCAGAAGACGTAATCAAGTTTTGAGCATAAGCTATTATTCAATTTGCTCAGACTTAAAATTCTTAAAATGTCAGAATTCCAAGTCGAACTAGAAAAGCTTTTATTCAGATAGGCCACTCTCATATTGAGAAAAAAGTATTTTTATTCAAGAAAGCAAGATAGTATGTACTGGGAATAAAAACGAAGGGCTGTTTAATTTTTTCTGAAGCATTTTTTCAGTTCTATCTTGTTGTGGGGATGTGCTGGACATCAGCAAGCTGTTTAGAGGTCACTGTTTGCTGATCTTTATGCCTAAATGACTCTAGCCCTAGTTGTTTATAAAGAAAATTCTGTACACAGGAAGAAATATGTTGGGGTAGACTTTTAGCAGTGAGGAATATTACCATGCTATTTAGATATGGTACATCTGGTAAGATTGGCCAGGGTTGGATCCATGAAAGGCTCACCTGAGAAATGAATAAACAGTAGAACACAGACTAGAAACTTTGTCGCACGCCTGGGATATATTTTCCGTCCCTGCACTTTTGCATATTGACTGCGCAGAGTCTCTTTTGAATGCATTTCACATTATTAACAATACAAATTTCTTAAAAGTGCTAGACATGTGAACTTGCTTGCGCAAGAAACAAAGTTTCCAGTCTGGAGTAGAACAATGAGTAGTACAATGGCATATTTCCAGCATAACTTACATGGATTCCACCTCAGAGGATTAGGGAGCTATGGAATTTTATGGAAAGATTAGGGAGCTATGGATAAATGAATTGTAATTTTTTAAATCAGCTAATCCAAAAGAATTCACATTTGGATGCAAAAGGCAGTATAGTCCTGTTTTGGAACTCTAATACTTACACAAGCAAGCCATCTTATATGATAAATGTTTTTAAAGGATAAAATACTGTAGCTTTTCCATGTTTCTGCCATGTTTCTGCTTTTCCATGCTATCATCAAATAATCTTATAAATAAAATGTTGTAGAGCAACCAGACATCAACTGATGAAACCGGAGAGACAGAACAAGACGATCAGTAAGCATAGCATCATTTGCCTACTCAATAAATTGCTTAATATGCTTGTGATGGTGTAGACATGAAGCTTCTACTTAAAACTACCTGTATTTTATTATGCTGTGATCTATTAGGGCCTTCAATAGCACCTAAAAGTGTATTTGAAAGTATAATCTAATGCAAGAAAACCACTTTTTTCTAGTACATATTGTAATTTCTTTCTACCTTCATTCACAATTTAAGACCAGCACCAAAGAAGAAGCCATTGAAGTTTAGAAGTTATGTTCCAAAAGATGAAACTCTAAAAGAAAAGAAAGTGGAGGATGCAAAGCCTTTGTCTGGTAGGAATCTTGGTTTTTCTCTTGATTGAAAAAGATAATTGATTCAATATGAGTTAAGAAAACTTTTGTATCCTGTTATGAATTTGTCATCCTTCTCAATTGTAAAATTTTTCCTGCTGTTAGTTTTGTTTTTACTCCTTTTTATGCTAACATTTTAAGTTGCTTTAATCTTATGATCATCATTGTTTGTTTGAAGCTAGTTCTGGCCACAGATTGTGTTGTTGTAGTCTGACAAAGTGATTCCCAGTTAGACCTGTTCTAACATATGTATAATAAATCTGTAGAAAAACTCTTTATCTAATTTGAGGTATCCTAATAATTTTTAGTTAAAGAATCTGTCAAAGAGCATCTTGAAAAATCAAAACCAGAGGCAATTATAGATGAAGTTGTAAGTATTACTGCTTGGAATTGTATTTGTGTCAGCAAAATACATCTTCTCTGTTCGATTCAATATTATTTGTAACCTGTAGAATAGGAAATACTCTATTAATACTGTAATATACATGACTCAAGAAAAATATGGTCTGATCTAGTTGTAAAACAGATCTCTTGTATCTTGTATTTGGGCTTCACGTTCCATTATGCATTTGGAAATAGCATTGTCACTTGGGTTTTTGAAGAAGATACAGTTGAATCTTGGTACTTCAAGATTCTAAGGGAAACATAAATTTATTTCACCTGCTGAGGCTTAAACTTGTAAAGGTTTATACCTGAATGGCACATTCTGCTTTCAACTACTGCCAAAGATGGCAAAAATTGATACCTAGTCAAGACAGGTAGCATATAAAAATTTGCAAATTTTCATATTTTGTTCCTGAACGTAGATCCAAAAAATAGAAATACAGAATGAGAGTTAAAATGCAAGCAAAGAGGTTTGTTCAAAGAGACAGAGTGCAAAATCGATGCTTATTGACAATGATGCCAAAACAAAATTTACATTGTGGCTGGGCTGCCTATTCTATCGCTTTCATTCAATACACTGTTAAAAAAGAACAGAACATAGTTTGGCAGTTGAGGCTGAAGTACCCAGCTCAATAGACTCGTCCTGCTTCTAACAGCCTTAGTTGCAGTTTTTCATTATGATTTTGACATTCTTTTAAATCAAAATTGTTTCATTACTTTCGTTTGATCCCATTTTCCCTGCTCATAGACTCAGATTATTCTCCAGCGAACCTGTTATTGACAAAATTTTATTAATATCACCTTGCAGGACATTGCTAATCTTGCTCCACGCAAACCTGATTGGTAAGAAAAGCTTTTTAGATTTTGTTAACTATTTCCGTAATTTTTCAAAGTTATTTTTGAAAAGAAGAAAATTGCTTTTTCTTGCTTTAAAGAAATGACTGATTATTTTGCTTCTGAAGGGATCTAAAGAGAGATGTTGCAAAAAAATTAGAAAAATTACAAAGAAGAACACAGCGAGCCATTGTGGAGCTCATAAGTGAGTAATTACACTTGAATATTTGCCAAATTATATATTTGCATGGTAGCAAAATGTGTTCTACGAATACGTATGAAATTAGGTTCCTATATAATTAAGTATCTTTTGGAAGTGCTCTGAAATTGTATATTATATGGTCTGTTGTATTTCCATGTCTTCTTTTCGTCCATACAGAAGAACGACTTTCAGAGGGCGATGAAGACTTGGCCTCTGCTGTGAATGCAGCCACGGATCTTGCCGAATAACGGGGTTAAAACGAAAGTACCTGATGAAAGATGCTATCTGGGCTGTTTATCTCGTTCTAAGTTAGTCAACGGTGAATATGAAGCGTTTGGGAGTAAGTCATACAACAATACCACAGGCTCTTGCCACCAGCAAAGAGAGAGATTGCAATCAACGGATGAGTGTCATTTGTTCATGAAAATTGCTTTTCCCGTCACATTGTTTGGGTTACCTAGAGTAATCAGCAAAAAGATACAGAATGTTATATCAAAAGATACTTTGTTATTGTACGATATTTTTTATGACAACGCAATGCATTATGGACATATTTCAGTCGAAAATAATTAGTAAGCACTTAGTTATGCTTCAATTTTTGTGGTTTCATTATTTATCAAATGTATTGAAACCTTGGGCTAGTGATTTAATTCCGGTGCAGAAACCCTGGTCCCTTTTCTTTCCTTCACACGATCATTATAACAAAAAAAGATAAAAATGTTTTCTTGTCTGTTTATGACAACGGTTTGTTAGCTTTACACGAAGCAGAATTTAGACACAAATTAAATGGGTGTGTCGTCTATAATCCAGCGCCCGTGCCGCAAAAGGAACCACATATGGGAAAAAGTTTTGACCTTTGATTGCTCGAGATGACTTTGTTCGTTCGGTTTCTTTTCACAGCTTGCTATAATTTTTACGACGACTTAATATATAACAGCTCTTCCCTTTGAAGTTTTATGCGCTTCGCATGAATTACATACTAATCTACTGTTTGACGCATGACGCATTAAAACTGACCTATGTTTCTTCAGTATAGTTGCAAATTGGATAGGTCGTGAATATATAGATAAAAATTGGACCACATTATCTTAATGAACACCTAAGAATACTCATAAACTTCATAATACTTAGAAACCTTGAAATATACAAATGTTGTTACATCTTTTACATACTGGCTGAGGTATGTAAAGAGGAAAACATCGAGTTTACCAATGGATTACAGTTGTTTTGGCTGGGATGTAGAGTTTAAGAAACATAAAAAAAGTGAAAGGATTTGATGGGGAAAGAGCTTGTAGTCATGAAAAGTTGAAAAGAGCATGTGGCTATTTTCTTCAGGCATTTTAAAGGCACATAATTCAATTTTCAATTCAATTAATATTAAGATTTAAGCTTGTTTGCCATCAAAAACAGAGCATCAATTGAGAAATGCACTTGTTACGAGAATGGCTCAGTTGTTAGGCGGACCCAAGGGTCCGTGGTTCGAGTCCCTGGCATGGTCAAATTTTCACCCAGAGTGAGGAGAGTCGCCATCTCTCTGTAATTCCAGGCGTAGGAATCTCGAGGAGGTGTCAATATAAATAGAAATATACTAATACCGGAAAGCTTGGGAAATTTGGAATATGATAAAACCAAAGACAATCGTGCCTAGTGCCATTTTCTCAATGTGAAAGGTCGACTAGAAAACCTGATTTGGGGAAATGAACACTTAGATAATCACAGGTCAAAGCTACATCTAACATAAAACCAATATCAACCTAACTGAACCGAGCCAGGTCCAGCTTCTACTTTGACCACGAAATTGTTTTCGACCAGTTTTTGACGTATATTCTGAAAAGGGCGTACATAATGGACCTTGTTTGTATACAAACTACAAGTAAGCTTCGATAATTCAAGGCTGGTAACTAGGTGTTATCAGGTATGTTACAAAATGCAGATAAGACAGTTCTAAAGTCTAAACAATACAATTTGTAATCTGGCGATCATAAAGTACTGGAATCCACAGACATAATTAACCAAGCCACTGTATTTTTAACAGAGAGGAACTACCGTTGCGAGCTTATTTATGCTTTGGAGAAAATGTTGGCTGCCCAACTTCTGAATCATGTTTTGAAAACTCCAATGGTCGTCCAATTACAAACCGTCCAATACCTTTCAAATAGTAAACAGGCTAAATTTGTCAAGATAACCCCCAGTTCAATCAACTGGCCTCCATATTCTGCCACAAGATACGGAGGATTTTTTATATCTCTCAGTGAGGTAAAGCTTCTCTTGCAATCCGTAATTCTTGCTTGTGTTTTAAAATTTCTAATCCGTGCTTTAAAATGCTTGAATTGTGCCATAGATGAGATGGCAATGGAAATTTGGAGACGACTTGCAGATTCAAGATTGATAGCTATCATTGAAGATTGATTAATAAATATTTGAAAATTGGTTTCATTCGAGATCTCGTAGAAAAAGATTGAATCTAGAAGTAAACCTGGTAAGCATGCTCACAATAATTGTAATTTTTTGTCTCACATTTAGCCCAAATGTTGTCATTTTTTTCAGCAAAGCAGAGCTGACAACTGTTTTATGATATTAAACCCGACCTAGAGCAGATAGTAAAAGTTGAAAAATAACAAATATATCAAATATAATAATAAAACTCATTTTGAAAATATATATGTACACAAGATATATACTTTTTACTTACAAAATTGTAGAATAACATATTCTGCTTCCCATTCTCTGTTGGTTTTAATCAAAGCAAAGTATAAAGCCTGGAAAATTTCTTTCCAGCATTAAAGAAATATTAAAATATAGCTATACATTTTTATTACAGAATATGTATGGACATATTATGGTCAATCTCTATTTTTTCATTTTAGTTTTACATCATTTCATAAGCTTTCAACAGTAGAAGTTTTAAAATGAATATTTACAAAACGGCATTATTCATACGAAAATAAATGACAGAGCGTATATATATATTGTAAATATGGTTTACTTCAATTATGCGGAATATTGCAAATACTATATAACATGTACGATATGCAAAAAGCAAATTAGTTTGAGGAAGGGCTTATCTTGACACTTAAGGAGAACTTAGTTCATTTACGATCCAAACGCCTCTGGCATATCTAATTATGTGGCAATTGTTCTTTGCCTTGTGCTCGCATTTGGCTATTCAGCCTGCTCTCAGTTCAAACATGTTGAGTCCTGAAATGGAAACTTTTTATTTACTTTTAACTGCAGTTGTGTCTTATGTCGATGACGCGTATCATTTTGGACCCTGTGACTTTAACCATGTATGGCGTATTTGTACCATGCAAATGTGCGTTTGATTGTGTGTAATGGATTGAGGCTTCACTGTGTCTAAAGAATGTACATTTTGCTTCTCCCTGTTGATGCCATACTGATGAAGCTGCCTTTTGCTTTTGGTACCTCAGATTTCTTAGTATCTTCTAATTCGTCTCTCTCTGCATCATTCATCATTCCCGTGTTCATCATTGGTGCTTCCGGTTCTTTTTTCGCGGCATTTCTGCTCATAATCTGATCTCGCTGGTAATTCCTATACGGGGATGGCCATGGCATGTTTTGAAGAAACGATTTCTTCTTTCTGCGATCTTCTTCCTCCTCTTCATCGTCATACTCTCTTTCCCGTGGATCTTCCTCGTCATCATCATAATCATCGTCATCATCATAATCATCGTCGTCGCGCCCCCTGTCATCTTCTTCTTCTTCGTAATTCTTCTGGTGTCTTCTGTGTGAATGGTGCTGCTCTGGTTCTTGGTACATTGGCTGCTCACCGGGACTGGCATACTGCTGCATTCGCTGCATTTGCTGCTCTTGCTGCTCCTGTGAAAACAGTGGTTTCTGTTCTACGTTATCAATAGATTTGTATGCATCGTTCGCTTTACCTTGGCTGTATAACGTGTCTTGCAAGCTTGCTGCCTGTTCTTCAAGATGTTCTGCTTTAGCAATGGCATCATCATTGCTTCTGTTTATCACGCCACTGCTTGGCGACGATGAAGATGATGTTGATGTCGTTGGCGCTGATGGTTGTGCTGAGACACTCTTCTGGTCAACTACTTTTTTCTCTTGACTTTTGCTTTTTTCTGTCACTTTGGCAGTTGTCTCATCTTTCTTTAGCTTTGCTGTTGGTTTAAACAACTCAGCATCAACTGGATGTGGATTGGAAGGATCCTTGGCGTGTGCTTTCATTGCATCTTCAACAATCTTTCTAAGTCGCTCATTTCTATCCATTTCTTTAGTTTTTTCTTTACCCTCCTCTTTTGGTTTCTCGGCGGCACTAACCTCTGGCTTTTCAGTTTTCTCTTCCTTTTTACTATCGTCATCTTTCTCGTTTTTCTGTACATCTTTCTCTTCCTTTTTATCAGCTTCTTGTTTTGGTTCCTCTTTCTTTTTATCTTCATTTACTCCCCCGTCGTTTGCCTTGGTAGTTTGTGACTTGATCTTCGCACTATCTTCTTCGTTAACAACAGCGCTCGATTCCTTGAATTCAGGGGGTTGTCCTGAATCGCCTTCTTCAGTAATAGCTTCCTTTGCTACGTGTTTCAGTGCTTTGGATAAGTAATCTTCAACTTCCTTGAATGCATCTTCTGCTTTTGTTGATATATCTTCCTTTTCCTTCGGAGGCGCATCATCCTTTTTCTCACCCAAAGCTTGCATAGCTATTTCTGGCTTTGTCACTGCTTTCTCCGTTGGTTTTTCCTTATGACTATCTTTGACATCCACAAACTTTGAGATTAACGGCCCAATCACGTTTTTCAAATCCGTGCTCTGGCGCTCCTCTTGTCGTTGCCGTTTTTGGTTCTCTTCGATTTTTTTCAGGTCATTTTTGATAGCATCTGTTAAAGACTTCAACGCCTCATCCTTGACTCCACTTTTCCTAGCTGCCTCCGTAGTATCACTACCTTGTAACCCTACTTGATATACTTTTTCCACCAGTGTTTCTGGAGACTTGCTTTCTATATCGACGATATGTGCTTTGCTTTTGCTGTCCATAACGCCTAATGTGAAGCCATGATGCTCGCTATCATCACTTGGTGTACTGACTTTCATCACCCTCTTGTCACTAATACCTGCTAATGCTGCTCCAGGATGCTGGTCTTTATCCGGCGTCTGATCGATGTTTGTCCTCATTTCTTGGGCGTCTTTTATTGGCTTTTCAAAGGATACTGCCATGTCGTATAGCTTCTTGATTTTGGACTGAAGCTCCTTTTTCGCAGTCTCGTACCTTCTTCTTGCCTTTTTGGCATCTTGAAGTCTCTTTAATGTTTCCAATTGACGATCTATTGTTTTTGCAACTTCTTCACGTATTGTAACTTCACTGAGATGGAATCTCTTTGTCCCTTGGACAGTGCTGGGTGCTGCAGACGAATTGTTTGGGGAAGAACTGGCGTTGTTTTTGCTCGCATCAACTCGTGAGATATTTTGCTGCTCTGGTTGTTGAACACCGTTGATTCTCATCTCTCTGTGCTCGGTTGCTATACTTTTCATTAGCATTATTGCTGCCGTTTGGTCACCTGATGTATTTACTGGTGTTATAGAAGTATCATTCTTCGTTTCGTTGGCTTTAATTTGGCTAGTGACAACCTTAGGTGCTGCCTTTTCATTGACTTGAGCTTGATTTTGTGTCTTTGTATCATTTGAAGCTTCTTTGGTTGCTCCCAAAAACAATGGGTTGATCTTAGTTGGACTTTCAGCTGTGTTATTTTCATGTTTTGATTGTGCCTTTGTTTGCTGGCTTTCATCTGCTTCTGCCAACGAGTCCATCAAAGAGGATATCGATGTTGTTGGCGTTGCCTTGGGTGCATTTTGAGCCATTTCTTTTTTGTGACTACTTTGTTCTGACGTTTTGTTCTGAATATATTGGTTGCTATTGATGACTACTTGCTTCTCGTTGCTATTAGTAACAGCTTGATTTTCGTTACTATTGGTGACTACTTGCTTCTCGTTGCTATTAGTAACAGCTTGCTTTTCGTTACTGTTGGTGACTACTTGCTTCTCGTTGCTTTTACCTAGTGTTGCCCCTGTTTGTTGGTTTGTTTTAGACTGAAACAAATTTGTTAAGCCACCAATGTTCGCAAGATCTTCTTTCTCAGCCTTCTTAATCATGCTTGATATTGCCATTGCAGAGTTCACATGTCCAAGTGACTCCCCCCGCACCTTGTTTTCTCCTTCCGCTAGAATGGATTTCTTGTTTGTTCCTTTGTCATTTGTTTCAGCTGATTTTGTTGATGCTGACGCACCTTTTAATTTCTCTTTCAATGCTGCTATTGCTTCTTTTGCTTTCGAATACGCCTGTCTGGCTGCTTCTTTTGCATCTGATAGTAATTCCATTCTCTTTTCTGCTTCTGTGTCCCTATTTGTATTTGGTCGCAGTATCTGCAATGTGCCTGGCGTCATTGCCCTCTGAAAAATAAGGTTACCAGATTTCAAGGCTACTCCATGCCTAGCTATTTTGTCTTTTTCAATGCTTTCTTGTATATCTTGGTCATCTACAATGGTTGGCTTTGCAATCTGGTTTCGTTTTGCAATCTTGTTTGACACCTCATCACGTAGAATCACGTATTTCTTCAAAATATCACTGCCCGCTTGTGTTTTACCGATATCCAGTAGGTTTTTGCGGGCACTTTCGTAATCTTTCCACGTACTCATTACGTCATTAGAGAGACTGTACATTCTTTTGAACTCCTTCAACATACTGGCTGCATGCTGAATCCTCTCAACTGTATCGTGAGTTAGTGACGTCACAGTACTTTTTCTCTTTGTGTTCATCGACTTAAGAGCGTCGAGTAGTGCTTTTCGTAACTTTTCACGTTTTGCAATATCATTAGCTTTAGCGTAGTATTTCCACGACTGTGCGAAGCGCCGAAGGTAACTCTTTTTCTTCGATAAGTCAGCCTTTAAGTCTTTCTTTGTGATGATTTTCGCTTGGTCAAGTGATGACACAGAATTTCCTTCTGTTGCCTCTATAGTGGTGTTCGACGTTTTGTCTTTGCATAACACGATGGCTGCAAGGGCTAAAGTGCAATAAAAAACAGTTAAGAGAGAATAGTGAACACAGTGATTCATTTACAACACACTCTAGGCCCACCCCATCACAGTGGGTTAACTGCATATACTACTATGAATTTTTCAGCCAAACTGTTCCTGATGAGCGAGGCATAATGTATCAGGGATCAGGGTACAATCCTTGAGATGAGCTGTCTTGTGCTGTTTTTATTTTTTCAAATCGATTTCTTTTCTAAGTTGAATTTTTCGCAAGATTTTAGATTTTGCTTTCAAAATTTGACTCGAGTTTAGTCTCTTCATCATATAAGAAACCTAGACAGGTTTGCGTAAGTGTATCTTTATTTAGATTAGACAAACTTCTGTAGTTATTAATTGCTCTGTATTCGTTTTTTGCATGCCCAAATTTCAAAATACTGGTTTACAAATCATAAATCGTAGAAATGAAAGGGTGGCCTTATCAAATTTTAAAATTGAAATGACATTTCATATGTGAAGAACCTAAGACCAGTCGGATCTGGATAACATGGTAATGACTGGCGGGTGTGGGAGTGCATTTTCAAAGGCAAGCTGTGTGTTCAGTGATAAAGCTCAATAGTGCTGATGACGTCTGTACAATATTGTAAATCCAAAGGCTGTTGCTATAGACTTCATCTTGTTCAACGTCTGCATTGTAATCCACACTGGTCTTGTTTCTTTCATTAATTACTTTAGTCTTGTGTTTTACTTTCATTCCTCTAAAAACTACATACCCACGTTAATAGAATTACTTGGCAACATTTACATACTAAATGTAACATTTACAAAGTAAATGTATTCGAGCACGGTCTTAATGGACAGTTTGCTGTCAGTTGCCCGGATTATTCTCCGTTACTTCCATATACGGTTTGAAAGAAGTAGTGCTAGTACTGTCTGTGTAATAATACTTTCTATGTTCTTTTCAAATTTTATAAAGATTTTTAGTTAGAAAAGTAAGTATCTAGGACCTTTAAGTCTTAGGACGATTTCAGCAATGATATTGTCTTCTCTTTCGATGTACCTACTGCTACGCACATTTATTCACTGTTATATGGAAAAGCAAACTCTGCTGCTTAAAAGACATTGCTTTATCAATTACTCGTGCTGTTTAGTTTTAACACAGTATATCAAATCAACGGATGTTAAAACCACATATAAAGGTGTACAAGCCCCTGCAATTCAGTAAACTCTTGCTAATGTGAAAGATCCTCAATATATCTATTGCTGATGATTAATACGTGAAGCATTACCTGAAATAATCACTATCCATAAGTAATTGTATCTTCTTTCCATTTTGTTAGTTCATAAACAAACATCAGCATTCATAGCCTTGGATCCATTTGAAGTCCTAAAAATTCGTTGATACGCTTGTAAAAAATCCTGCAAAGGGATCAATCATATGACAACAGTTTGAATTGTTTGTCCACTCTTCACCAAATTTTACACTTTTTTCCTGAAGTTTTGTCTCTTTATCTGTTGCAATAAATTTAGAACGAAAGCAATATCTTCTCCATTTATTTTGAAAAATCAAGATTCAGCGTGATTCTGTGAGCGTTCGACAAAGGCCTAGGGATGCAAATTCTCGGCAGACCTCATTAATTATGCATGAGTGTTTTGCTTTTTACAATTAGATCAGAGCACCAATTTTGCTAATTCAGCTTGGCGATTTCGTTTATATATTGCGTTGTACTTTTTGTTACGAAAAGTTACGTTCATTTTTCCATACTTAAATATTCATTTCGTGTAGAATAAAAACTGAAGGATGCATTTATTGCGATCTTCTTAGTTTGTTAGTGAACATTAAATTTACAAACACGTAGCTAAGATCAGCCAACCGTTGTAAGGCAATTTGAAAGCAAGCATGCTAGCAAGACAAGGTTGCATTTATCTAAGGGCAGAGGAAATTCATAGATTTAATTGGTCTCCGTAAACCATGTCATGAAGGACATGTTATTTCATTGGTTTGTAAATAAATGATTCCGAAAGGTTAAGTGTTACTACTTCAAACTTGCAATCGAGCTGTCACATTTTGTTCATAACTATCTCTTTATTTTAAAAGATTAGATATTTTTGAAATATCAGGCAATCCAATGTGAAGGATGATCTTACTTTTCTCTCTTTCACTGTATCCCTAACGTGTTCGTGACAATGAGAGGCTTAAACGTTTAGATCTTTCTTCAGAACGGAGAGGGTCCTGTTTGGGAGGCTGTCGGTGCCCATGCTGAGTTTGGTTTCTAAACGAAATTGTCAACCATAGATACACTAATAATAAAACACCGCAGAAGAAGGTGGTGAGAATATTTATTTGAGTAAGCAACTTTGCAATTTTTACGCAAAACCTTCTTCTATTGCAGACAAAGTGTCGATCCACACTCTAAAATCTTTGAAAGAAATTGTAAAAATGGCACTGTCTCCACGAAAATAGGAAACCTTTCCCTTTTCAATGCGCAAGCACCGTACATTGTTTCTACTGTTTTATCTGATCACAATGATAAGACTCGTTGTTGAAACCTTTACGGTTTTTCAACGCACAGTTTGTAATTTGTGCAGGCAAACTACTGAACGCATGACCTGTTGGCCGCAGTATCGTTAGCTTGAGAAGACTTGCAATTGTGCTCACTCGCTTCGCTGATCTGCTTTGTTCGACAATATTACGTCACGCTCAAGCACAAACTTGCTATTAGCTTCAAAACTTTAATGTAGAATAAGGTAAAATTTACAATATATTATAATTTGTGCTTGATTTTTTCGTGGTATTGATATTGTGGCTTGAGAATATCGTTACAGAGGAATTGCGAGTTTTTCTGTTTGCAAGTAACATTGATTTTGGCTGGTTATGAGAGCCAAAGTAAGGAGGTGAACCGGAAAGGTTGTTTCTGAGCAAAGTTGTTGATGCAGTCGTAAACTACGTCTGGAAGCAGAGTATCTTAGCTGCCATTGAGAAGGTAAAACCCATCCAAATGTACTTCTCTTTGCAACATTACACAAACATCAATCTTCTATAGTAGAGGAAAATTCTCAAAGCATTTGTCTGCGGCAACTAAATTTTCTTAATTGAAGCCAATCAACTTTTTTATGCAAAATCTTACTGAATGAATATTTCTTTAATATTATTTTTCAAATTCTATATGCCAATGTTTAAGCCAGATTGCGTTGCCATCAGATGACAGGATATAAACAGTTAACTTAAAAACTGTTCCTAACTTAATCATGAGAGCCCTTGACGCGAGAAGCTCTTAAATGTCAAATTATTCCCCAATTTCATTAAACAACCCCGGGGTATTTGTAAAAATATTCATTCTTACTCTCCTTTTTATAAGTTTTTGAGTTCCCCATTTATCAATGTTGAATTTTCAGTACAATGCTCAACATGTTATAAACTCCGTCTTAAGCATCATCATTTTTTACTTCCACCATGTCATCAATATAGAAGTATTCGTTCAGCATTCTAAGCTATCGATTTTGATGAGGGCTCTATAGCACGTCGAGTCAGTTATTCAAGATTTGACAAAACTTCTTTATGCGTCATTGAGTATTTGGTTTATATGATGCTTCCCAATTGATGTTTTCAATCCAAGCGTTTTATCAGCTCTCATTCCACAATAATTCCCTTTTTTTCCATCAAATACTTCCGTCAATAAAGAGCAGCTCGCATTTGTAATAACATATATAAAGGAAAATAGGCGTTTGCTTATAGCAAGTTTTAGTAAATGAAAACTTAAGCTTGTGTTTAAACCTAAGTTGTTTTTCATTTTATATGTTGCCCAGGAAACACAGAAAATGGAGCCGCCATCTTTAACTTTGCTGTTTTTGGTTGTTACTGCAGTGGTTTCATTCTCGTATTCAGGTATGTCTCTACGTCATAATGTTTTTAATAAGCCCTCAATGTGCCTGTCTATTTGCAGATGGCTTCATACCGAATAAACATAATTTCTTTATAACAAAATCTTTACAGTTGGAATGAAGGAAGATCAAACAAGCCATTTCAAAAAACGAAACAAGAAGAACATTTTAGCTCAAAAGATTAATATAATCATTAGATCTAGCTAACGGTTATGTCTTTAAAGATAGTGACTTATCTTTTTTTAAATAAGATAATTTAAAATGCTTCAGTAGTGTTTGAAGTCAAATTGGAGAAGAAATCAGGAGAATTGTTGAAAATGTAAAAGAACCTACTTCCTGGAGATCAATCTCTAATAGCTACGTATTTAATGCAATCAAGCTTCTATATGGAAAAGTATCTAAAAGGAAACAATAGTAAAAAAGATACAATTAAAACAAAAAAAGAGATGGAAACATAAAACTTTTGGATTTTTTTATACAGTTTGACACTTTCGACAATTTAAGACCTTTTGTTTGGCTAATGCAATTAACGTTTTTTCAGTTTTTGATAACATTTCTTTATCTTGCAGCTCCAGTCCAAGAAAAACTAGCCGTAGGTAAGGATTTTTTATGAGTTGCTTTTAGGTAACAGTCGTCGGGTTTAATGACATGTAACAGCAGGGATCAGCTCCTCAATAGTTTGAAATTATACAGGAATCAGTTATCAATTTTTTCAAGCTTCATTAAAAGAAACATTAAGCTGAATATAATACCAAAACAAACTTTAAATGAAGTGTATGAATTGTATTTTCTCTAGGAGGCTGAATTCATAAATCCATGTTCATGAAAGCTTTTAAGATCCTAGCCATCTTCCAAACCAGTAGTAGATGACTTGTAAATTTGCATTATGACGTTTTCCTTTCATGATGTTTTCCTTTAAGGTTGCAATAAGGCTAAAGGAGCCGTTCGATCGTCAGTCGAAAGCACAGATAACAATGCTCATTTGCTAGCAGACTTGGACGCTCTTTCTAAAGGGGTCAAAAGATCCGGGATCGACAAAGGGTGCAATGAGAGCCCAGCTGAAAATGTCGAAGGAACAAAAAAACAGACTTTAAGCAAAATAAAAGACGAAAAAATAGTGAATGAAGATGATGTGGATAAAATGCCAATTGTCGAGACTGGCAAAGCAGCCATCAGATCATCAATAGTTAAAAATGAAACTAACAGCCAAATAGCACCAGCGAATGCTACTGCAGCATCACCTGGGAATGCAACAGCAGCTTTGTCGAGTGTGAATAAGGAAGTTGCCACCAACACTACTGCAGTCAATGTAAATGCTAACGACAACAGTACAGTTCCAGTACCGGGAACGGCTGCAAAAACGTTTATTGCTAAAACACATGGAGTTATTGATGTCAACGCGAATAAGAGATCACATAAGCCAAAGCCTAGATTAGCAAAAACAAAGAATGCAATGAAAAAATCCAAAGCAATGGCAGCCACTCACAAGGCGATAGATACTTCGATAGATGACGGTCCCTCTATGCAGAAAGGCTCTTTATCCAAAGAGACAGAGAACCAGGAAAAGGGTACTGCAAAATCAACATCCAATCTTTTGGAACCTCTTAGCTCGGCAATAAAATCCCTTGATTCGGCATCAAAACTTTTGGGGCAGGCAACATCATCAAAAAATACCGAGCCTGCGTCAAATACTGAAGTAACCGATGAAAAAGCAACTGCGGACCCGGCAGCAGCATTGACACCGTCAAATAAAACATCCGTGGATGCATCAACTCGATCAGCCCCTTCTACAGGATCAACAGCAAAGGAGTCAAGTGGGAGTCCTGCAGCAGCTGCACCGGCGACCAAACCTGCTGCAACAGCGGCAGCTGACCCATATGCAGAGATAGCCGTTGGTCCAGACTCACCAAAGATGCCTGATCTTAAAACAGGCAGCGACAAAGCTGGTCTTCCTGTAATGAAAGTTGATCCCACGAATGGTGGTCCGGAACAAGTTTCCTTCAACAAAGAAGAACCTGGAGCCATGGCTCCAAAACCCGTTGCTGCTGGCTCCTCCAACAGGCCTGGGCCTCAGGATGTTGGCGGAATACTCGACCAGTTAACAGACAAACTGAATAAAGGTATGAAGGAACAATGTCGGTTGCCACATTGAGTTTAGAAATCTCAAATTTTTTGCAAGTTTTAGATACAATTAAAACTTAGCAGTTATGCATTAAAGCCTCCAATTTATGCACAGAGCTCTTTTTTAAATATCTTTATTAAATACAAATGTTTAAACAGATCTGAACACCCACGAGTTGAAAAAAGATGCAGAAAAATCTCTGTTAAAGTTTGTTATCTTGACATTATCCATTGCCTAGTCAAATTGGCTCATTACCTGTTATGTCATGAAAAGCCTGATAATATTAAATCGTTTTATTTAAGGTGGTGTAGCCCCTGAAAATCCTTTACCGCCCTCTGAGTCAAAATCAGTAATGGACCAGCTCACTGATTTTGACCATGATGCTCTTGAAACAGCTAAAGGATGGGAAACAACTGGGCTCAAAGCAATTGAAAAGCTAAAATCTGCTGAATACAGTCATGGAAGTATGAAAAATGAGCTCAGCAAGGAGCTCAGTGAGAGGCTAGCTGGGGGTGGATACGGGGCTTCTCTTGGCGCCAACATCGATTCGGCAGAACCAGCAACCATGGTCAGTAATCTTGACGCCCCCTCGCAGACAACCTACCCTCAACAAAGTTATAGTCGTCAGCAATCATCCCAATGGCCAGAATTCAACTCGATGGAGAATTTAGATTCCGAGGCACAACGGGAGGAGCAGTCGTTCAGCCAATACGATGAAGGTCACGAAGGAAACTACGGTGGAAACAGCGAACCGATGATGCCATCGGAGCAAAACAGCTATGATCGCCAAGAAATTCCTTCTTATCTGAATCAAGGCCTAGAACGAGAGGCGATGGATAGCAATCAAGAGCAAGGACAATACTACAAACGCAACATTATCTTAAGACCTTATTACTATCACTATGATCATCATTTGCCCTATGGCTTCAGACATCCTTACGATGATTAGAGACACAAAATAAGTAATACGAAAATGCTTGTTTATGTAACCATGTTGCATTATACTGTGTACACGTTATGCGTTATGACGTCGCGTACAGGAACAGTTGGTGAATACACACCAGGTTTTCAGACATTTCATCATATACACTGTCTTACTGGGGGCTGCGAAAGTGATAATTTTTGTAGTCAGTCTATTAGCTTATACAGACATTATACCGGGAATCTTTGAAGAAATCATCCAGCTTCACAGGGAAAGCATTACAATTCTACTCAATTAATGGAAGCCAGTGTAATTAGAATTTTCAGTGTAAAATATATGTCGATAAAACGTTAACTGTTGTCTTCAGAGCAACGAATGAAGATTCTAAAGTGCATCGTAATTAAGTGCTTCCGTACTTTGCGTCTCGACGTGCGGTATAAACCTTTTGCAGAATTTGTAACGTCGATGTTCATTGACTCGTATATTCATTATGTATTTTGATAATTAAATGTTTTCATATCAGGCCGAGTAAATATAGTTAGGTATCCTTAGTTGTGACATTTTTAGCACATTTAGGACGACATACAGAGTTTGTAAAGTAAAAGCTGTTTTCAAATAAAGGTATCTGTTCGAACGATTTAAGGTACATTTGTTGGTTGACTTCCAAGCCATCTGACTTGCTAGAGGCTGTCAGGAAATTACTAGAGGCTGTCAGGAAAATCCAAAATAAGGGGCTGATTTTTCTTACCATCTACTTTACTGACACCTTTGAAAAACTTTCAGGTTAGTTTCTTTGTTAAATCTGTAACAAAGATTATTCCTTCATTTGCAAAACTTTTCTTCATTTACCAATGTCATATGCATTTGAATGAGTAAACTAATGCAAATCTGTTCTTGTGAAAAGAATCATATAAATTCATTATACGCAAAAGGTATGTAAGACAATATGTTAAAAATAAATAAAGAAAAATGAAGAAAAATTTATGTGACACTGGAAGATTCAAAACATTTCGAACACACAAAAGCATGGAAGTTTTGCAATCCAAAATGTTGGCGTTGTTTAGAAACAGAGATTCAGTTAATCAATATACTCGTCCCTGCCACTGCTTGGGAAGTTTTTCTTATCTAAGCAAATAATTAAGGAACCAGAAATATAAAGATAAATATTGAAATTTTCTGCATGCAATAGGACAGAACACAGAACCAAGAGTCTTACTTTTCAGGACCAAGAGGGGCATTGCACAGTTAAGGCACTGGAAATTTGCTGCCTGTGTGGCTATTGACAATCATGCCTTCGATAGCCAAGACATTTTTGAAGGATTGCCACTCTCCTAAGGTAATGAAAATCGCCAAAATGTTTTTCTAAATAATGTGAGAAAGGTAAAGGGGCGGGGGTCAGGTCCATTTCTCATAGCACCAAAGTTGTGAAATGAAATATCGCAAATCCTTATGAGAGGGAGGGGGCGGCAAATTGGAAAGAGTTTTAAAAGCATTATATTTAATGCAGAAAATCTTTTATATAATCTTAGGAAAGGACTTTCTTGATTCCTTTTAGCTTCAAGTTCAGTTTGTGAAAATGATGATATTTTCTTTAGATTAAAGATACTAACTCAATCACCACTGCAATCGATTCCAAGTTGTCTATTATGATATCATCGGGTATAGGAAGGATATCAGATGATTTAACCTGCCTGACCAACGGTAGTTCAAAGAAACGTTTTTGGCCTTCAATGATTGGAGAACTTTTATCTGAAACTTTACTGGTTGCTGCATGCAATCATCAAAAGAAGTAAGAACTGCTTGGCAGTTTAAAGATACCTGAACTTTGCATATATTTCGATAATTTGGTATAAGGTAGGATAAACATTTAAGAAACTGATACCTGCAATAATAAATTTCTAGAGCAAGCTATCGATAATGTAGAACATTGCCATTTTGAATGTTTGACCGAAAAGCCAATAGGAAATTTTCTTTGAAATAAAATTTAGAATCAGAGATATGGACCATAGTATGGAACCGAACTTAGCATTCAGTACATGCCACATATCAGCAGAAATTTTTTCAAGTAGAGATAAACAGTTTTTTCTAAGAAATTTCAATCCAGTTCCACTTAATCAGCCTTGAAATCTTTAGAATACTGGTAGCTGTATGAAGAAAATGCTTCCATTTTCTTGCGGGAAGTCAAACTGCCGATACTAGCCACATCCTAGCTGGACCATCAGTCATTGAAATTTATTTGGATGTATTAGGCCCCACCTCTTCACAGCAAGACAGAATAAACTTTTAGTAGCTCAGCGCTCACCTTAACGCCATGATGTCAATAATTTTGATGGGGCGTAGCTAGCGTGGGGTGTTGGGGGGGGGGGGATTGGGATGTGACACTCCCAACTTTTCATGTGTTTATCGTTAAATCTTCAGTTAGTGCAAAAAATTCCTGGTTTGTCGTCTATCAGTAGATGAATTAGAACTTAAATTTATTTTGCTTTATCTGTCTTCGTTGGTAAATTTTACCATAAATGACCCTCCACCCCCTAATCTGGAAGGTCAAGCTACGCCACTGTTTACCAAGGTAAGTAACTGATTTCATTTTTGTAATTATCGAATTTTTATTTAAAGGAAATTGGAGAATTTATTCTAATTATGTTTTTATCTTACAATATTTTAACTGATCAACATAACTTTCATATATTTCGCCATTTCTCCCTTACGATACGAAAGCGTAGAAAACCTAAGTCAGAGTTAGATTTGTTTCGTACTTGTACCCCTGTATCCCGCTTGAAGTTTGACCCTCAATAACAAGGATCAAAATTATCCGCGGGCAACCCGCGTTAATTGTGCGTTTCCTTGTTGAGGCTTCAACTCACGCATGAGGAGTACAAAAGATGGAGAGGGGCTTGATCTCGCTTAAAGGATGCCAAAATTAAACTGAAGACGAATCATCAACTGCAAATGCCTGCTATATTAACAAAAATTTAGGTAAGCTTATGCAAAAAACTATTTCTTGCTGGAAAACTACAATCGATCTTATCAAATTTATGTCTTTTTACACTGACCTCCAATTTTTAGGCCAGATCACTATTCCTTTATTTTGTCATAACAAATATTTAATAGCATGATAATGTAATATGTTGTTATAAATTGAAAGTAAAACAAGAATAAAATTTTTTAGAAATCTTTGAATGTTCTTGTTACTCACTTTATTGTCTTCCTGAAGGCATTAATTTAAAACATATTTGGCCAGCTCAGTTGCATAATCTACCTAAATGTAGTTCATGGCATCTTATGGTAAATAAAGAAAACTCAGATTAGAATATGAGTTGTCATTTAAATGCATATGCCCTTTCTGGAACGTTGCTTCACAGGTTTTGCTTTTTTCTTTCTAATTTTATATCAAGCTGAATTTTCATGAAACTGTGGACAAACTTTGTTTCTTAGTGTCATTTCAAAAGAGCAATGTCGTCACAAGAAAGCATAACTATTTTTAACACATTCCACCAATATGCAAATATAATTGCTGATCAGACACAACGTAAGTAAAAAAGATATAAACAATTGATCTTAACTAAATTTCCTATTCAGTCTTGATGTGCCAATTAGAAAAGTTGTAATGTTTTTCGTGCCACAGTTTTTTGTTGTGGCTCATGATGGTGGGTAACAAAGCTTTTAATCAACAAGACTAGCAGCAATAGGAAGCACCTCTCATTTTTTTAAATAGTTGACACTGAAAAAGGATTTTAGAATGACAGCCATCTGGGGAAATAAGACATCTGTGCCAGTTTCAATGTTTACTATTTCCAGCAGATCACAATTTTCCCCTGAGTCAGTCATTCATTGTAAGATGTGAAAAAACATACCCATTTCTAAAATACTACCAAAGCTATTCCAAGGCAATGTATGTCTAGGTTCTTAAGTATTTTCTTACTGAAAGCTGGCATGTGATACTATTTTTGAGAGCATGTTTTTATCAATGAGTAAAGTGCTATCCTTTTTAGTTTGGGGAGCACACATGTCTTTTTATTTACCTTTGCTTTACAAATTTATTGTTTTGTAAGAAGAGCATGAGTCTCTGAACATGATCCACCTTCTGTGCATTTCGTTCCTAGTCTTTAAAACAAGATATAAGTTTATCTTCCAAGGTATCAACAGCCAATGTAAGACCAGATTATTTCATCGAAGTTAAAAATATTTGATGCAAAACCATTGGCACAATTTTAGCAACTAATCACAACCAGTTTGCTCTTCACATTATCCTAGTCTTTGTTTTATCTTCCACCCTATGTCTCTTTTTGATAGGGGACATTTTATCAATGTCTAACAGTATTTATCACATTTGGCATTTTTTCTCTTAAAGCGATAAAAAACCGTCTTCTTGCTGCTGAAAGCATAAGTGCTGGATTTGAGGTAAGTCGATGCTTAGTTTGCTTGTGCTTGGAAAGTTTTATCCAAAGCTTGAATTTTGTCTATATATCCAAAGCAAGTGTCTGTGTGTTCTATTTACCATTCTTGTAAACCACTTCTTGCTGAATTGGCACTTCGCCTAAATGTATGGAAATTTTGTTTCTCTTCATCCACTTAATGATTCTATACATTATTGATGTATTATCCTCCTGTTTTAGAACATTGTTGCATCACCACATTACTCAGCCTTCTTGGAGTATGCTATTCCAAAATTTGTGCAGACTTTAAGAGATGGTGAGTCTAATGATATTTGATCAATTGTGACTGAAATACTATGCATGTCTAAAATATTTTTTAATTATTATGTTTTTCTCTTTATAAATTTGTCTTTTCTCATTCAAATTGAGAAAAATTATTTTCTTTTAGGGGAGCCTCAGTTTGTTGCAGAAACTACAGAGCAGGTACTGTAAACAATTAAATCAAATCCAACTTTTTTTAAAAATGTATATTATCTTGATTATTAGTATGTATTATTTATATTTATCTTGAATAAGCTGCCATATGATGGACAAATTGATTTCTGAGATGATTTCTTATACTTTGCCAATCCAGGAAGGGAAGTATTAGGTGACACTGACATCCATTATCTCATTTTTCACATTATTTTTTAAGTCAAACTTGTTCTTCTAAAAAACTTTTTGATTTTGTTAGGAGTTCAGAAAACAGCTTTTAGAGATAATACATAGGATTCCTGCAGATGAACATCTCAAACAACATCTCAAGGTGTGATATAAATAACATTATATTTAAGGCAGTATTGTTAAACTAAGTAAATAGTATATTCCTGACTATTTGGAGATTTTTATTCATAAAGATGCAGGGTGTGATTCTGTTGAGTTCTTTTCAAGTTATTAGTATTTTGAAGAAGACATTTTAGCCAGTGTTTGTAATGAATGAGACTATACATATCCAGAAACATAAAGCTACAAACTGACTTCCTTTTAACTAGCACTTGCATCTAACTTTGTGTTAAGTCCTACTATTTACATTTTCTCAACGAGAGCCGCCATTCCAGCCCCCTTGAAAAAAATTGCTTAATATTCTTTCAGTAATAGTTAATCACATGCTGCAGGTCAAACCAATAGATTTTATTTTCATGCTTGAAAATGCTTTTTGTGTATGATTTTTTTCATGTATGCAAATTTATATGATACAAAATTACAATATCATATTTAATTGCATAAAGGATGCATGAACTTTCTTGGTAGCCCCCATTTTTCCAGTTTCAGTACAATTAACTTTTTATCGGTTTTGATTTTTGTTATTTGGTAAGTTTTGTTACAATATATTTTCATAGATTTGAAATAGATTTAAACAATGATTGTTTCTGTTCAATTTACATCTTAGAATAATAAAGAAAGAAGTTTCACCTATCTAGAATAAATTTGAAAGGGAAACTTTATTAGTTTAATTCATTTTGTCAACTTGGAAGTGCTAATTCAGGCAGAATGATTACCAACCAAATATTTGTTTTTCAGCCAATACTTACATTGATGTTTGAACTGCTTGAGGTAGATATACTATTTTTTCTTAACATATTTTGAAATTTCTATGAGTTATTACTTTTTGAAGTTATGAAATTTGCAATTTGTTGATGTAAAAAGGCTTGCTTAATGTTAATCTGTTCATTTAACTATTTCTAATTTGAAATGCTGTAGTTAGTTATTTCAAAAGCTGCAATCAGCTATCAGACATTTTTATTGAAATAGTTTCACTTTATTTACTGAAATGTATATGTAGAAGTATATCAATGTTTCAGATAATGCTTTACTAGTCATTTTGAAGTTATTAACCAATTTTATGATTTTTTTTCTGATAGATTGATAATGAAGAGAATGTACTTGTTGCTCTCAGAATTATCATTGAGTTGCATAGACAGTATCGTCCACAGATGCAGCCAGAGGTCTGTTGAATTGTTGATTCACACATTTTGTCCCACTTGTAGTAAGAATTTGCGTGTAACACTTTCATAACTTTTCCTATATTAATTATGATGACCAAAATCAACATTGTATCAATATTATGCTTGTTATTTTTTTCCTGAATATTGATGATTGTTTATCCAAAAGTATCTAATGCCTTCAAGGCGTTATGTGATTTTTAATAGTCTGGGTAAAGTATTGAATTGGGTGGAATTGACAATAACATGCTATTTTCATCATTCAGATTCAAAATTTTTTGGCCTTTGTCAAAAGGATGTACAAGGAATTACCAAATAATGCTGTATGTATTCTTGTTAGCGATTAATTGTATAGTTAGGTTTTTTAATTTATTAGAGCATTCCTGAAGTAATTAAAGGTAAGAGTTTTATAAAAACCATTGCTCTCCATGTCATCAATCAAAATTCAGATCCGAGTTATAGAGTTTAACTTAGAGCTGAAGTTGGTCAATAAACCATGGCAGAAAATGAAGGTTTCTAGCTATCTAGGAAATATCGGTATATTTTGAAGAGGAAACCACAAGGTTCATGACCAAACAAGCCATACTTAAAGCCATGTTCAAGCTCTTCCATGATTTATTCTATGAAGTAGACTTTGTGCTTGGTCTTTTGGTTTTTGGGGTATTTAATAAGAATAACCAGTTTGGAAACACTGCTAATGCAAACAGACAGGCTTTAAATCAACAAACCATAGAAATGTAACACAGATTGTTTAGGTCACTTGTGTCTGGAACTAAGCAAGTCATGCTGAAGGGGTACCTTTATCTATTACAAGAAATCTGTAGCCAAATGTGCTCTTATGCACTAGGTGTTCAAGAATGACATTTAACTGCAGATTATATTTAATTCAATTTTTTGACATAATTCTTTCTAACATGGCTGTAAGAATAATTTTTGATGATATATTTTTTTTAGACTTCTTATTTTTGATTTTCATCATAGCTTCATTATGACTACCTGCTTTAAAACAGAGTATCTAACACTAATAATATTATTTTAGCTAAGTATTGCTAGCATTTGGTCGACCTTTATAGCAAAATATGGATTAGAGCAGATGCTTTTTGTGCATCAGTACGCTAATAACTCCAGCTTCCTTCTAGTTAATATCAATCAATCTTAAAATTATGATGAGTCAAAATTATTGCTCTTCTTGAAAAATCCTCTCGGCTAGTGAAAAATCCAATCATCGGCTAGTGACTGTGAGTCGTGTTGATCGGTATGTGTGTGTTTATTCTTTAGAAAGTACATTTCAATGTTGTGTCAGTTGGGCCTGATGGACTGCTTCCGCCAGAGAGCATGGATTCTGTCAAAAATGCCATCGGAGGTGTTGCAAACAACGGAAAGGCATCTGAATCGTCATCAGCTGCATCTGATGTTGGCACAAAATCGCAGGTATTGTGTCTTCCCAAAAAATATATACTAAGTACGAAAATTTATAGAATTTTGACATCTCCCACATGCTTACGTCCCAGATATAAATCCTCATTTTGAGCCCCCATATCTTGTGTATATACTTATAGATTAGATCTTTGAAATATCATGGAAAAGCGGAAACATGTCATACTAACGTACTTTTCGTCCGACACTGGTCAGATTTTAAACGTCGGATAATGTACAAAGGTACCAAAGGCTTTTTGATTAGACCTTTTTAATTGAAAAACTTCAGGATTTTGCAGAATACGTAATGCTGAATAAACAGAAGGCTGTCTTAACTTATGTGCCACTTGGTAACTTCAACCCACAGATAACCCCCATCAATCATATAACTAATGGCCTAATCTTTTTCTTTTAGTCAAACTGTATCCCTAAAGCAACATCATCTTTGAAAATTCTTTCAGAGCTACGATTTTCATTGTTCTAATGCATCAGGTATTTTAAAACTCAATACTTTGTTTATGGCATATTAATATACTGTTTGGTACCATCTCTCTAATATTTTTTTTGCTTTTATTCATTTTTCTAAGGTTTAAGCACTAATTTTACGTTTTTTATAGCACAGTTTTTCGAATGATCTGATGAACATCTGGCAACACGATTCATAAAACCCTGTTTCCTACTGAGTTTGTTAAATTCCCCTATTCATGTCCCCTTTATCTTATCTTAAAGCCATTCTTTGGGATTGTCCCTCGCGTATACACGCTTGATATGTGTTCTATATGTGTTCAAACACTCTTTAATTCTTCAAATAATTGACAGTTAAATGTCACAAGAGCAACCTTAACTTGCCTGGGTAGCAATGCAGCCTTGTAATCTTTGATAACACTTTTTGTAGCTTTACAAGCAAAACGTTCATGGTGCTATAAAAGATTTCATTGCACTTGTCATGACCACCATCACTCTTCAACCAACTTTGGCTGCCAGGTATCAACTCATTTTCTCTTTCAATACAGATAGACAGCTTTATCGCACAATATCTAATTTCTTATGTGTTATGTCACGACATTCTGCTTCTGTTAAGCAATTTTACATTGAAGCTGTTATAAAAGGTTCTTTTGCAAATGTAGCAAATGTCTCGAAAATACTTACTCGTTGCACTTCTTACGCGTTGCATGTTTTGTACTTGACCTTAAATTGTCTCGTCCATTGTGAACTGTCTAATGGTAAACTGTTTCTTTTGTAGAAAATCACCAAATTTTAACAAAGAGATATATGTCGACTTTACCGCCGCACAAATAAAGACGCTGTCAATTTTAGCTTATTTCATAAGGATTTTTCAGGTGGGAATATTAAGTGTTTTTGGCAAATGTTACAAGTTTGGTACAAGTACTTTTTCATTGAAAGGTGTTCACACATTACAACTAATGCATGGTGCTATTTTCCACAATGAAGAGATTTCAGCCAGCTATTTTCTCTTAACTAAGGTCACCTGTTACGTTTTCAAAATAGGTTTGTGTTCTCCAGCACTTTTAGAATCCTTTTGCTCTTAAAGATCACATCTTTCATTTTTAGGATCTTGTTGCTCAAGCTTCTACAAACCTTGTTGGCAGCATGCTTGGTCTCTTCCGTTATTGTCCAAAGGTATTTAAGTTTAAGATCAAAGCGAATTATGGATTTCACTACTCTAGAGAAAACAGTTTCTTATGTCGTTTTAGCTTTGCCATTAATTCTGCTGCTTCTGGTAATAGACCTTTAAGGAGTGCCTGCTTTTTAGTTAGTTTTATAATTGTGAGTTCTCGTAAAAGCATGGAATGCTCATAGGGTTTATGATCAGCTCTGCTACCCGGAAACTGAAATGTTTCCAGCGAGTCTTTATCAAGAAAACTACAAATGCCAGGCACCATATACTGCTTCAGTGATCTGACTGTTTGTGCATCAATTTATTTTTCAATCTTGTTTATATCTTAAAGAATCTCTTCATATATAAAGTGCTGTTTCATGGTAGCTTTTTCTCTTGTAGGAGGTTGCTCACTTGCGAAAAGAACTCTTGATAGCTGCCAGGCACATTTTAGGAACTGAACATAGAAACAGTAAATTTCTGGCTCAATTGTTTCTTTATTCATTTAAAAATAAATTCATGCATTTTATAATTCTAAGTTGTCCTTCGATTTATTTTCGAAGTTCCAACTATGTCGTATTTTTTAATCTGGATTTTTTCAACAGACCATTAACCCTCAGATGGAAGACAAAGTGTCTACGCCATTGTTTATTATTTTTTCAAAGATTTTTGGTCAATTTGTTTGGTCTTAAATGAAAAAAATTACTTGATGATGCCTTCAAGATGCAGTGCTATGCTGATTTTCTCTATTGCTTAATCAATAACTTAGTGATTTTTCGATCATTGTAGTGTTTAAAAGATCTGCCGGTGATGTATAAGTCTGAGTTTGTTCGCCCTAAGTTTAAACGTCTTTCTCCTAGCTAATCATTCGGTAATCTCAGAGTTTTTTATTCTTGTCCTTTTTTATGTTCTTAACCAATGTCTCTTTTATAGTCCATCTCTGTTTCTTTCTAGAATTTTTCCCATACATTGAACAGCTTTTCCACGAAGACGTCCTCATTGGGGATGGATGGACCATGAACGAAGGTCTTCGCCCCCTAGCATATAGCACATTGGCAGATTTTGTTCACCATGTCAGGTCGCAGCTATCCTTGCCAAATCTTGCACTGGTTGTCCATCTGTTTTCAAAAAACGTGCACGATGAGTCGTTGATCATAAGCATTCAGAGGATGTCTTGCAAAGTAAGTGATCAAGAATCTATTTTCACTAATCATAGTTTGTGCTTCGGGAATATTCAATTGCACCAATTCTTCTTGTCTCACGACATTTGTTTGAAATAAGCATTTGTTTCACGCCAGACGATGCTTTCAATCATCTGCTTTCTTTTTCCTAGCTTTTGCTAAACCTGGTCGACTGCATAAGACAGAAAGGCGACGAGCAAGGAGTGGTATGTTGGCTTGCTTCATATGATTTCCTCTGCTCCATACTTGAATATATAGAGATGCCAGGCTAAGTAGTTTGATAAGCAGTTTAATAACAATATCTATACTACACAGTAGGAGAGGGCTTCTGACCACCATAGCCATCTTTCTTTTTCAAATTTGCAAATATTTGAACCTAATTTTAATGTTAGTTTATCACCATTTTTCTAGAAAATTTCAAGGACCTAAGTACAGCGGTACCTGCCTTTTCAAACCATTGTTTGAAGTGGTACCCCATTTCGTAGATAAAATTCTGTTTGCATTGTATTGATGAGAAACTTATATTTATTTTCAGGGAAGAGAGATTTTAATGAAAATGCTGGAAGTTTTTGTACGAAAATTCAAGACCACTGCCAAACATCACATCCCAGCCATCCTTGAAAAGTGGTAAATATTCTTTGCATATTTAAATACCTTGTAGTGATTACTGCAAACCCCTTTGCTCAAAATTCATTTGTTTCCTGTTACATTTTGTGATTTTAGATATGCTTTTCTATTGGCAAGTTTTTCTTATTCTGGCATAAGACTATTCCACCAATCTGTGTATTTGCAGAAGCTTCAGTTACATTGTAGCATGCTCATTGTTCACATCTGTGCTGTCAGCTCCACTGGTAATATTGATCATTGCTGAAACAATAGGGTGATGGCCAGTCTTTTTTCCCGTCAGCCATCCGCATACGAGTTTGAATATGAATCAATTTATGCATCTCGCCAGTTGTGTTAATATACATCACTGGTATAAATTTTTCAACAATCATATTGCTTGTAGTTAAATAAACGTTAAGTATCAACCTTTCTTTTCGAAAAACTCTTGTTAGTAATAACGTTTCTTGTTTTCAGTCAACCATCGGAAGGAATAGCCTCTCCTAAAGCTGATAAGAAATCTCCAAGCATTTTGCTGGAAAGCCCAAAAGAAAAGGTTTTTCTTTGTTTTGCATAAAAAGCCAAATTGGTTTAATGAACAGATTGGGTTTGAAAACCTTGATAAATAGAGTGTTTTATGATCGATGGCCTTGCAGCTTTGAATACATTTACGAAATATTGCAAAGGATTTTTTTCTGAAATCCGACCCTTATTTCATGATTTGTAATTGTATATAGTTTTTATATAATTTTAACTGCATTGTTTTCTCTTCAGTAGTTTTCATGATTAAATCGTTCAATTTATTTTTAATTTCTTTTGTAGGGAAGTACTTGGCGTGGTAAGTTGCGAGTCTTGATTCATGGCCATCTGTTTCTCTGCGTCTTGATTTATCGACTGAACCTCCGTTCAGTGCAATGTGATATAAATTCAATACATGATTATTTGATTTTTCAAATATACATGAAGGCTATTTAAAATAAGATTTGCTTACATGGTCAGTAATGTTAATGGTGTTCAATAAAAAGCTTGTTAAAATCTAACTGTTTCTCTCTTATGTTTTAAAATGTTTAGATTTCTCCAGTCAGTAATATGTGTTGTCAAAGTCAGTTCTTATTTCGAAACTCGTTACTATGAATAAAAAGTACCTAAGCGTATTTATATTAACAGACAAACAGAAGAAAACTATCCATAATGTTGCATGCAGGGGAATATATTTTGAAGGAGTTTTCTCAACAGTTTTACTAATCGTCGATTTTGCAATGATTGGTGTCGTTTTTCGTTTATTTTGTTTGTAATGTTTTGTAAAAATTTTGTCATACCAGGTTCAGGAAATAAAGATAATGTTGCTGTGGCTGACTACAGAGAGATGGTTAAAACGCTAGTTTGTGGAGTAAAGACAATAACATGGGGCGCTGGCTCTTGTAAAGTGTCAACTGGAGGTAATGACATAGCATGAAGTACCACAGCTCTTATTTTACCTCACCAATCATACAACACCGCTTTAGCCTAAGTGCATGCTGTCTTTTTATAAAATATATGCAACTAATCTGTCTGCCGATATTAAGGCTCTGGATTGTAGTGAGAGTCTGGCGCCACATTTCCCTCGATCTTCACTGTCAAATCGAGGGCACTCTATCACAGAATAGAAATTCGTCTTTCTATTCTGTGACTCTATGTAAATAGCTTGTTGATATATTTGTCTCTCAGCAGCCATTGTGGCACGATTTTTTATTGCTCAGCCAAACCTGGTCTAGAGTCAATATGATTAGTTCTGATTGCTCTCCTGATTTGCCATTACTTCAGCATTTTCGGTGTATTTTAAACTTCGGGTTTTTGTCAATTTTACTTTTGAAAGTCCCATTTGAACTCAGAAGGAAAAAGGGGTTTATCATGCAAGTTAGCCACTTCTGCTTTGTACATTAAAGTTGCATTCCCAGCAAACATAGTTTTTTATCTGTGTTAGCTAGTCCTCCTGTAAAACCCCTTTTTTCTAGAGAGTGTAAAAAAACCTTATTTGCCGTATTTTTAATTGTAGATGTGCAAATCCCAGTTTATCCACAAGGGAACAAAGTTTTCCTGCCGAGTGAGACGAAAATGTTCATCAGACTTCTCAAATATGGTACATAGTTTTGGAATTCATGCAGCTTAGAAACGCTTTTAGAACTAGTTTTACAATCCAATTTGTATGTTTTTGTAGGTTTTTAATATCTAGCTTATGAAAAATTGACTGGACGAGAAATATAATTTAAAGAGTCTCTTGTGTATGCTGTCAACCTTTTTATGCTTAGTGAGTGTTGATTCTTAAATAGCTAGCCTCTTTCTTGCCGGTATTACAAAATATTCAGATTGGATGTACTCAATTCTATTTTTTGCATCAACAAATATTTTTCAAATTGAGTTTAGTTTTGTGTATCCGGTTCACAGTAACGAAAAAGCTAACTCTTTTCAGCGCTCGAGGCCTTAGACGTCTACCAAATATCTGCAAGTCCAACTGGCAATGGGTTTATAAAAATGGCTAAGTGCGTTTGTTGTTTTTTGGGAATTTTTTGAGTCAAATATGAATCCTTAGACCTCATGTCATTGAATAAATACATTCCTCCTTGCTTACCTAGTTGATCTATGTCTTATCTAATTTTATGTTTGGGTTGCATCTTTTCATTGAATTCTTATCTGTAGTTCAATTGAGTATGGCTGTTTAGTAAGCAGATGGGCATTGACTATCATCTTTCAATCAACTTTCCTACCCTGCCTAGTTGTGAGAAAAAGTAAATCGTTCTATCAAACGTTGAATACGTTGCTGTAAATGCTATGTAAATAAAGTTTTAATCGGTTTTCATTTTGAAAATTTTTATTTTAGTTCACCACAACAAATTAGAATGAAAGAGGAGAAGGAAATCTTGGAACATTTTGCTGGAGTTGTGAGTTGGATTTTTATATTTCTGTAATCCAATCAAATTTAACACTATCAAAGATAAATAGAAAAAGCAATATTCCATGTACGTTCCTGCATAGTTGATGTGTAGGTAATTTACTTGTTTGATAAATTTTATTTGCTTTAAAGTTTGCAATGGGCCTCTTGTCTCAAAGTAATGGCCTATAAACTTCCAATATATGACCATGTAAACGGCACATTGTCATATCTCGGTTCTACGCATATTTGCAGACGGTGTAAACGGGACACAAATCTGTAAATGGTTTATCAGATTATATGACACGCTTTACCATGGAACAATATTTTCTCCGCAGTTTACAATGCTAAATACTGCTACGTTCAAAGAGGTTTTCACGGCTACAATTGAGGTAACTTACTTTATTCGAATTTGCATCAAACCCGTTATCAATACTTTAAACATTTAATCGTTCAGCAGTAAATAGTACGTAAAATGTCCTCTGTTTCAAGATTACTTAAATCATGATTGTTTTGACCTTTGTGCCTTTTCTTCCAGTATCTGGTTGACAGAATTCATAGCAACTATGCTTTACAGGTATTTAATGGCTTTTCTTTGACTATGACTGTTCTTCAAGTAAAATTCTCAATGAGGTGTGTAGTTTGCCAGTCATTAGAACCCTGTTTCCACAACATGCGTGAAAAGAACGTTTCCTAGGTGCCACGACGAAACTAATTTACATTAAAATCAAGATTTAACTCTATGGTCCAACTGTTGGTGACCAGGCAATTTGGTCTCGTGTAAATTGACTATTATGGCCACACCTTGTAACACAGGTTGCAAGTTTAGAACCACCTACGCAAGGGAAAGATTGTGAACATTCATCTACGCTTATTCGCTGTCGTTTTCAGCTAGTTTACAAGTCACTCACGGGGCAATACTGTGAATATAATATCATTATCTAGCTGTTTTATCTCTGCATGCTTTAAAGATTGGCCTTCGTACGGTCTTTTCTCATCGTTAGTGGAAAAAAGAGACGTTGCTTTCCTCTGTCGAGATTAATTTAACATCTCATTAGGCTCGCTTTAAGTTGAATTTAAGTTGAATGGGCTGCTTGTGTTAAGGGGACGGCCACACAGAGTTTTCCAATTTTAAATTGTTATGGGAAACTGAAGAATACCCCCAGTACTTTTTACCAGTAGTAAGTTCTCTCCAATCCTTTCCTCAACCCAACAAGCATTTAACATTAACGGTAAGTTTAGCAGGCATTATGAAGTAAACAATGGCGTTTTATTTTTAATTCCAGATCATACCAAACTTCTTCTTGGCTAATCCTCACACTTCAGCAACATTTGCGACGATTCTCGTAAAATTTCTTCTGAAAAAACTCGAAGATATGGGAAGTATGTGGTGTTTTTTATTAGATTTGTTCACTGTTTTAAACAAAATATTTTAGAATTCTCCCCCAATTTCTTTATTCTGTTTCAAGCTTGAGTTTGATTGGCGAAAATAATCGAAGTTTGGAAAGGGATTGAGACACTATTACTTACACTTTGTCATTTTCTGTTCGTAGTTGTCCATCACTGCGATTAAAGAGTTTTAAAGTTATTTCTAATTTATTGACTGGATGGAAACTACTCTGTTAGTTATATAAAAAGCTATTTAGACGGCAATAGTATAGTATCTTGATATCATGCTTTCATTGTAGCGAAATCGGAAAAATCAAATCTTTATTTGAAGTTGTTCAAGCTTGTTTTTGGCTCAGTTTCACTGTTTGCTCAAGATAACGAGCAAATGCTCAAGGTGAATTCATGCTTTTCCTAACTTAATTCTCAAAGCTGCCTGAAATATTGTGTGTAATAGTACCTGAACAGTCTGTATCTTTGCTTTTTACATTTCCTTTCACGTCCTCCGATATTGATCAAATCCCTTAGATTATTAGTCATGCTAAATTAGGGATATTTGAACAGACAGAGGCCCTTTATTCCCCGTGTTCCTCCTCAATATGGATGGTCGATTGAAAAGTAGGGAATGAAGTGTGTAAATCCTTAATACCCCTCCCATGGCATTGTTTTAGCTTAGTCAAAAGACTATGATCCGTTTCTCAGCAGTCTGTCTTGTTCGTGTGGGTCATTTTCAGAATTTATGCTCATATTCCAACTGTTTGTAAATCCTTTGCCACATTTTTTACATCACCAGTCAACCAGGAATTGGCCTCTCGATCTACTGATGTGTTACCAGACCTTTCTGAGTTTTTGACAAGTGATTTAGTAGCAAGGAATGTCTTCGTATCAAGTGCTTTCGTTAAGTCTCTTGAAATATTTTACACATTTTCATGCATAATCATGTATTTGTCAATTAATAAATCAATTCATATCCAGTTTCTCAAACATTTTGCACTTCCTTACAAGTTAACACACGTTGTTATCCAAATGAAAAGTTGTCATTATGAATTGTGGCTTTCATAGCACCGTTTAATTTGTTACAGCCTCATTTGCACGAAATTGTAAATCGATCCATGGAGCTTGCAATGTCTGCGAAGGAGCCCTACAATTATTTCCTGTTGCTGCGAGCGTTGTTCAGGTCCATAGGAGGAGGTTAGTCCCAGCTGTTGTTTTTTCCCGCGTGCCAAATCTTTATTGTCCTTTAAACACCAATGAGCTAGCCCAAGATCTTGGTATGATTGGAATATTTATCGGATTTCCTGTATTTATGTGAAGATTTCAGGACATGAGATGGTCATTACTTGCCTGAAAACCCAAAATGGAAATCATATACAAACATAGATGATATTGACTGTGCTTCAGGAGAATTTTATAGAGTTTGTAGCCATTTCCATCTGTCTTTCGTGTAGGCTCATTCCTCTTCAAAAAAGGGACAAATTGTCTGCTTGAAAATGTTGCCCTTTAGACATGAAACCTGTAATTTTCAGCTTTAATTCCTAAGCATTTTGCTGTTAAATCATCTCCGTTAAAGGCATTCGAAAGTTTCTATCCTTCCTTTGAAAAAGTTGCTTGGTAGCAAGATGTTTGAGGACAATCTTGTTTTCTATATGTCTACAGACCCTCAACAAATCCTTTGTTTTTGGTAAAGTCTTAAAAATAACGCCTATTTTTTAAACTGATTATTTAGACTGAAACCTTGTACCTGCCTGTTAGACTTGTCTTGATAGAAACCAAACTTTTGTAATGACGAATGTGTCACCATAGTAACTTTATTTAGTTAATAAATTTGTCTTCCTTTTTAATCATTTCCTTTTTTATTTTGGAGCAATAAGTTTGCACTCTAAATTTTACCGAACTGTCAAGAAAAGAACCTAAATTATTTTTTGATCATGTTTCTCAGGTCACATGAAAGTTTCTTCGCACACACATTAAGAAATTAATTTTGTTGGATTTCCTTACAATTAAACTATGAACAAATCCTATTTTTCTCGATGTGTGGCCTTCTTTTGTCAAAACATTTGACAAGATGTGGATTTGTCTAACAAAGACAAGCATACCGATTTCATTTGAGATTCGACGAATCTCAGACTAAATTTACCTCAGCAAAGATTGCTAAAAGTCTGGTTTTCCTTTGTATTCAATGCTTGCAAAGTAGAATTTACATTGTGCCAGAGAGTTTTGTGGTAGTTCCAATTTTAATGTGATGATTCGGCCCTGGATATTACCCAAAGAGATTTCCTTGTTTGTACCTGGGAAATGAAATTTTCTGAATGCCTTCGTGTAAAAGGTTTGAAGAAAACAAATGGAAATCTTGTTCATCTCTATTTAACCACAATCTGGGAATATTTCGATAAGAGACAGTATCGCCAAGGATATTTTATATAATTACCACCGCGAAATTAGAAATGCTATTTTTATCCTCAATCCAACAAAAATAAAAAATTCAAGCTGGGAGGTCATTTATCAAACGCTAAGCGCCTAAACATGATAAGGAAATTTAATAGCAAATCTCATTTAAGTGAAGTGTTAATAGTATTTGTCGTGGTTTTTTCGTTGTATTTTGATTTATCTTCGGCCCGCGTCGTTGGAATTTCATGCGTTGTTTTTTTGATGCACTGGAAACTTAAAGTTCTTGCTGTTATAACCATTTTTACGGCAGAGATAGAACATAGGTCACCCTCCCTATTTCAATGTTTTGTTTTTTGGCATTAACTAAGGATGTTTTATATTTGAACATATTTTTCCGTCAGAGTTTCGCCATTTTTCAATCTTTTCGTGCAATCATTTATCATCGCCAATAACCTTAAAATACTTCTTGTTCTCGCATTAACATTTAGCAACTTGAAGAATTATTTCTTAAATGTTGTCTTGTTACCTTCTAAAATTAAAAAACAGTTTTAATTATGCCTCACTTTTTTGTTACTTGATTATCGTTGAAAATTCAAAGTACTTAAATAAGCTAACTCTCGACCAACTGCCAGTTCTCAGACGATTAGTTTGAAGGAACATTCCCTAGTGAAGCCTCTGATAAGCTGCTTACAATAGTCCATTTTAGGCCTGTATTTGCAGTCTTAGGGTTTTCCCTTCCTAGACTTAAAAATACACAAACACTTTCATTCAAGTTTAAAAATTTTGTTTCAGGGAACCATGATCTGCTGTACCAAGAATTTTTGCCTTTGCTGCCAAATCTTTTGCAAGGTAATTCGATTTTGATTTGTGTTATATCCGTTGTCTTACATGACATGCTTCATTTCCAAATGAATGAGATTTGTAATAAGATGATCCAAATTTTAAAAGATTTTTTATGGTGTGACCCGTCTCGTGTGAAACCGAAAGTATTTTGTAGAGATAGTTTGGATTTTGTTCTGCTGTTTTCCGGGGGTCAAACTTTGTCCGGACCATACATTTTAGAAATTCTGCTAGACATTCAACAACAAATTTTTTGTTATACTCAAACGATACGGTGGAGTACAAATAGAAGGTTGGCAAGTTAATTCTAGCTCATCAAGTGTAATTATCAAATGATTTTTAAGGAAGATTTTTGCTGAACCAACAAAGGAGCAATGCACTGGGTTACGCTATCTCTTATGTTTGGTTAATGCTAGAGTCAATCCACCAAGACTTGTATGACGATAAGACCAGCTAAATCTGTTCTACAGTGATCAAGAGCAAGAGCAATACTTAGATAAATTGAAAATGAGGCGATAGAAAACAGACCATTTCCATTTTCTAAGACGAGGTCAATTGGAGCAAAGCAAATCTTAAATCGTCTCATAAAGCGAGATCTCATAGAAAACAGTCTTTTAACGGGAATCATTTCTCAAAACACTTTATGGATACTTTGCTAGCAACATCGCAACGTTCACAGAAAAGAGAAAATCGACCTAGGTGCTTTGTAAATACCATCTTAGACAGAGCTTAATTTTACATCTTAGGTAGACCTCAACCTTAATGAAAAATGATATATTAAATGCTTGTTTGAAATCAAATTTCGAAGCCCCTTTTTGACCTTTGGTTTTTTATGAACCAGCGGATTAATCTTGTCAGCCTAAATGCGAAAAAAAGCTCGAGGTAAATTTGGAAACTTAAGAAACTATACCAGCTCTTCAGTGGTTAAGTGGTGAACAAATGTTTGAATGGATATCATTGCATTGAAATTCATGACTAAACTTGAAATAACAGCAATCTGTGACTTGCTTTAAGTTTTACCAAGAGGTGATACTCAAATTTATTGACCTGTCCAACTTCTAGTCCAGCTAGGTCATCATAGAAACTGTAATCAAATATCTAAGTTATGCGATAAGCTTTAGGACTTCATTGAACAACCTTAAGCTGGGATCATTATCAAAGCCAAGTGGAGTAGGTCTTATACATAGAGCGTTCCATGTTTCTCCACATAAGCTTAAAAGAATATATGTACCCCTATCTCAACACCATTTCATTTTTTGTAAGTACAAGACTAACCATATTTTATTTGCAGCTTATCCCAAGATCCAATGCTAGAAGTTGCCTAAAGATTTTTAAACCTGATACAGATCTTGCTAAAACCCTTACGCTACTGTAGCTCAAATATGTCATTTTTCTGTCTTCCAAAGAAGGTCATGGCGAATCATATACAGGATTACCGGAGAGATCAGATGGATCTTTGTGTGAGAGAACTTTCCAGGAATCACTCCCTTAGTTAAAACCCCTGTTTACTCGTTGCTCATAAATTCTATTTATGTAAAGCCGTTTAGATTGACCCTCACGGAGAAAGTCACAGGTTTTATAACATATGGTTATAAGAGCCTAAGTAAAAAAGGTTGTTTTGCGGAAGGAAGGCAAAAGCATTTGCTCCCGTCGTCATGGAAATTGCAACCTATATTTTTATTTCATTTAGCATTTATTTCAAATGTTGACTTGTTTGCTTTAGTTGCCTAAAATAGAATTCGCTAATGATTTTCTATATTTTGTTGGTAGGTTTAAATAATCTCCAGAGTGGCATTCATAAGCAGTACATGAAGGATCTTTTTGTTGAGCTATGCCTGACTGTTCCTGTTAGACTCAGGTTAGTGTTGGCCTTAGCCATTGTTTTCGAATATGTTGTTATCTCTTGCATTAAGGAGGTGAAAGCCAGGTATTTCTTGATAATTGTTTTATCACGTATTGCTTCTCATTTTTATTTCTTATTAGTTTTCAATCTCGAGTAAGATGTTGCACAGCAAGATGTAGTGCAAAGTTTGATCTCTCAAAAAATATAAGCTTCAGGGGCCTTTAGACATCAGTAAATCCGTTCTGAAACTACGTTCCCCCGTCATTGAGAGCATGTTGAGCCATTGGTGCATCAGCGCAAATCACTCAACATACCATGCACCACTTACAGATAAAAAGTACTAGCGGAAGCTAAGGAGAACCCCGACTGTATTAATTTTGGGCAGGGAATGAACAGGAAATGCCCTCTTTTCCCACAATTGACCGATGCATCAGTCATACCAAAAATCATCAAAGCCTAAAATGTTTAAAGTAATGCCCAAAGGCGGAAGAGGCTTTGATGGTGCTGAAAAAGGGAAACTGCAACTTTAAGCATTATACCAGGAAACGGAAACATCATATAAAGAGAAGCAGAATGAGAGCGGGAGGGTTGGTGAAGAACGAACAACGTGTAGCGAGTACGAGGCTTCCCAAGCTACAAGAAACCTACCCAATGTTGAAAACTTAAATACCCATAGTTCAAATAAGGGAATACAAAAACTATAAGACTACATAACTATTTCATTACAAAGCCCTTCTGATACCAGGAGACTTTCCAGCATTACCATAAAGCAGGCGCATAAAAGTGTGATCAAACGTGTCATAAAAGATGGTTTTGTTCAAAATGTTTTCTTAAGCGCGTAGTTTCATAGGATATTTTATTTTCTAGTCAGTTTATTTGTACCATCATATGTACAGTGACTCAGGCAGTTAGAACAGGAACATTATCTTGTCTTAGCCCTTTCTCTGACTCTGTTTAGAAATACAGGGCACGGAAAAAGTTATAATTTATTTCACTTCAAATCGACCAAAGGCAAGTCCTGTTTCTACGATAAAAAGTGACAATCAAAAGATGGAAGATAAATGGTCTGAGTAGCCTTTACATTCTTCTTCATATTTCATGAATAGCATAAAACAGTGAAGTAAATTTAGAAGGCATAATAATCCGTGAGATCTTTCAGTCATTCGTCAGTGAAGATTTTTATTTATAAACTCTTGGAAGTGAGTTCAACCCTCTAATGTGGTGAATTCTTGTCATCAAATTGTACTTAGGTGTAAATGCGATGAAATCGTATGCAACTGACGTCGAGAAGCGTACCAGGTACTCAGTATTATCACCCTTGAAACCGATCAGGTCGGGAGTAAATTCCTTCTCTACTTGCCTGTGTCAATGCCACAGAGCTTATTTACAAGATTATGTGGGATAATTAGGAAGCTTTGAGCAGGGTTATGCTGGAAAAGCCATCATTTCTGACCTGAGAAATACCATAGGTTAACTGATGGCTCGCAAAAATGTGGAACATGAACAGCATTTATCTTTTGCTGAACGGAATGTTATACTTTTTTTCGTTCTTTAATTCGTTTGTTGTTTTTTTATAAACAAGGCCCTTAACATTAAGTTTATATCTATGCAACAAAATCAAGTGTCTTTATCGAAAATTTGTTCCTATGTGGAAGCATGAAATAAAATTCTGAAGCAAATTTTACATGAATTTAGAAAAAGGTTCACAACACATAACAGATGGTCAATTATGACAGGATTGTGTCGAGATTTACGCTTCAAATAGGTTTTAATAGCCTGGACAACTTTGCCTTTGAGACTTATATTTAACGTCATTTCAAATCACCACTTGTCCAACCTGGAGTCTCTCAGTTCATGTCTCTAAAAACTTGTGGTTGAGCTTTTCAAATCTTGTTTCTGACAGGGGTTTTTTCGAATCATGTGATAGAATCTCTCAAATCTTGTTTCTGATAAGGTTCTATGTGAAAATTGAATGTTAGTATTTCAATTATTCTTTCGTCAGATTCACTTAAAGGATTGGTGTTTGTTGATAAAAAGATAAAGGGGTCTTCGTCAATGTACAAGTTACATGTAGGGTCGTACAAAACCCGCTAATTGGGTGGCGACGCGGAAAGATTTTAATCATACCCCTTATTGCTAGGGACTAATTCCGACAATGTCACATACTGTTGTTTTGGTAAATCTTTTCTTTACATTGTTTACATCTATATACTTTATCTTAAGTTTGTTAACAAGATTGATGTGATATACGGTAATTCGGTTAAGGAAAGCTTATCAGTTTTTTCAACAATTTCTTATGATTGCTAGGACTGATACCCAGCACACAGTATTAAGCATATTTCCCATGATCATCTCCTATTGAGAGGGGTGTTCGTAAAGCTCTTTGTAAGCAGCCTTAATGGTTAGTTTCGTGTCCCAAGTTTGCTCATTTGTTCATAAAAGTAGGCCCCATTTGTAGAAAATTGTTGTATTTTTCAAACCATGTAAGTCATTTTGAATTTTCCTTGCAAGGAACACAATTCTCAGTCGCATCAACACCTGTTTTCACATTGTGTATAGGTTGTTACTTTTTGTTTTTTTCCGTATACACTTGTATGCTCATTCTAAGTTTTATTGACTTTCATCAAAAAGATAAATTCATGAGCAGCAGTGGAGATTTTTAAAGATTGTTTCAACCGTCACTTATGAAACTATATTTAAATTATTCAAAGATTTTTGTTAGCATTAGGTTAAATACTGATTATTTTTGTTGTCAAAATTTTTTCTACATGCATAGGAATTCATATGATATTAAAGTGCGATCATCTTAACAAATTTATCTTTTATAATGGCATATACCCATGTGTGTACATAGCCATTAAAAGAAACTTTTTGATTTTTGGAGAATAAGCTCCAAAGCGTTTTTCTGGAATAAGAGTTCCTAATTTCGACGGTTATACTAGGATTGGGCTGAAATAAGCCATTGTATCCAATTTTTTGAAATATATTTCATCAGAGCACAGAAAACATGGTGGCCACATTGTCAATAACTGCCAATAAAATTAAAGAAATTAAGGTTACAATACCCACACTCCGCCTCGATTTAATTATTTATTTGAAGGTCTTCAGATATTAACGGCATTGTCCTAAGCAAAGATCGATCGTCACTTTACTCGAATTTTACTGGCCTACCTTGAAAGAATAATCAGCACTAACATTTGGTTCTGTTTTATCGTTCAGTTGTTTTGTGCCATAAAGGAACCAGTACATATGGTTGCAGTGCCGTCGGAATGAAATTCATATTGGGGGGGGGGGGCGCTGCCCATTGTTTTCCTTCTCATTCAGTACACTGTTATAAAGGAAACATGCTACAGCTTGACAATTATTGGGAGGCTCCAGCCCCTCTCAGCCCCCCGGTTCCGACGGGCCTGGGTTGGGGTTCTAAGAATGCATTTTGATTTAGCAGTGAGGTTGAGATCCACTGGGAGGATCATAGCTAGGCAACATGCACACTGTGTTTGGCTGTTTTTCAGATCACATTGCCTTAAGAGGATAATGCTGCGTTGCATCCCTGGCCCTTACCGCAAGTTGTTAAGATCAAAGCATTGATAGTATTATATGGGTTTGTGATTAGAATAACCGACAAGTTTGGCGAGGAGAATAATATTTTCATTCAACCAAAGGGTTTCGCTTTTGGGTGAGGAGAATATTTCATGCTTATGATTCTACGAGAGCGAAAGAAATTTGGAATTGATATCAATGACTCTGAAGTATCTTCCTTGTAATGCCGTGATTTTAGTTCTTACTTCGTATAAAAATGCCTACTTTCGCATCAAATAATCTTACTTTCGTATCAAAAAATCTTCCATCAACCGCAACCCACATTGACAGCTTGATGCCTAAATCTTTCTCAGCACGGCGAAAGATATGTCTCCTCAAAAGCCTTTCTACGTAGCTCTCTGACTGCCCGCTATCTACCTAACCTAGCTGATCACTCGTTTGAAATCCAGCTTACTTTTAAACGAAGATAAAAGATGTATCTTCTTGCTTGCTATCACAATCTTCAAGAAATAACTCAAAATATTTTATTTGCATACCCTTTTTAAGGAAGATAACTTATGCTCGTATCATACATTTTATTCAGAATATATAATTGATAGTCATATAACTATGTACAGAGATTAAAATAAATGCTATCTTTCTACAGTTTATAGTCTGCGCACTGGTTCCAAAAGTTTTCTTACTTAAGAATGCGACATTGTGATTACATTGTCAGTTCTCGAGCAGGGCTGAATGAACTAGTGGTGCAGATAAAAAGCTTGTATCTTTTGGTGTAAATGCAATCATCTGGGCCGTGTCGCAATCATTCATCAATAATTGTGCAGTCACTCATCGGCTGGCGTTCCAGGTCCCCACGTGCGCTTATCTCCTTCTTCCAAGCAAGACATCGTTGCATCGTCTCTTTGAATGCATGTCGAAATGCTGGCTGCAATAGTGCGTAGATGAATGGGTTGCAACATGAATGGAAAAACTGCAGCCACTTGAAGAAGATGAGCAGGCTATTCACTGGGGCACATTTTGTGCATAAGCCAAAGTAGAGAACCATACTGAAAAAGGGTGCCCAACACAGGAAAAATATGACAATTATAGCCAGTACTGTGTACGCAAGCCGGAGATCTTTCAAGAAGCGGTTGCCACAGTTTGCAGCAAGCTTAACACGCACGTGGAAGATATAACCATAACAAACGATAATCACAGAAAGTGGAATGGCAAATGCAAGAATGAAATAGAAGATTGCAATCATCTTTGCGTCCATGACTTTTGTGTACATGGCTATCTTTGGGAAAAGCAGTATCACGGCAACAATCCATGGTATTGGCAGTAGTTTCTTCATTGATTTCTTATTAGCCAAAGTCCTTGCATGAAAACTTGGGGCTACGATTGTAATCGCCCGTTCCAGACTCATAAGTGTCATGTTATATATGGAAGCGATGCCACAGAAAATATCAAAGCAGATATATACTGCATAGAAATATGCCCCGGCTTTGTCCCTATGCAGTGTCTCCTCTGCAATGAAAACACAGTAGGATGGGATGACAATCAGTCCAGTGAGCAAATCTGCAACTGCGAGAGAGAAGATCATTAAACTGAACGTTGTCCGTAGCTTGACATTTCTGTACAAAGCAACACAAACCGTAAGATTTGAAGTGACGGCCGTTACTGCAAGTATTGACAAGGCAAATATCCGCAATATGTCTTCAATTGTCAGTTGAGCCATGGCAAAGATTGAGTGTTTCGTCTTCTGAAACTTTCCGAGAGCTCCTAACTCGTACGCTCCTGGAATCAACGTGCGTCTAATGAATCAAAGACCCTGACTTGTTTTTACACTACGCATCTGTCGTATGCGGTTGTTTTTGTAGTTCATGTCAGCGCATCTGACGGCTTATGACGGGGGTGAATGCAGGTGTTTCTCTGACTGCCACTCCGCTTGTGATATGAATGAACTGGAGATAAGCCAACCCGATGAGTACTACGAAATGTAAGGTAATTAGCAATCATTGACCAGAAATCCAGCTCAACGAGTCTCAGAAAGAGGGCGTTGTCGGTAGCATGTTTAATCTTATTATTTTCAAGTTTAATAGATTTAATAATTTAAATTGATTTACCTGAGATCAGCATTTCTCGTCATTCGTGTACAAAAGATTGAGGAAAACTCCAGCACACCCTCGCGAAAGAGTAGTTTTTGCAAACTGGGTGTGAACAGGTCTTAGATATAATAATTTTCCGAGTGGAAGTTAAATTGTCCTACAGACAATGCTTCTTAGGAAGGAAGCTCTCACGAGAATAGATCTGGCCGGTTCCCTTAGCAAGAAATGAAATGATAAACAAAACACTAATCATGGACTTTTCTAGCTCGAATTTTCTTAGCAAGCACAGAGCAAGTGTATTAAATGGAAAAATATTTTTGGTCCTCTATGATAAACACTTTAAAAGAATATCGCATATTTGAAATCTCAGCTATTGCCATATAATTTTTCTCTTATTGCCAGGTTTTCTCTTTTTGTGTCCTTTGTCCACATTGTTCCTTATATTGCTGCTCTTTCACAAGCTCAATGCGGAAGACTGAGCAACATTGCTCGCATTTTATGCAAAATTAGGGCAAAAGGGAAATAGTAGTTCCTGAAAAGTTCCTCTATGATCTACGTTGGTACCTGCAAAAACTTTTTGTTAGAGTCTGATAATACGTCGGTCCTTTATGCTGAAATTTAGTTGCAACACGGTAGGCTCTCATTTTCCTTGTTATGATGCGTTCAAGTAATCACCCCGTTCAGCCTATCATAACTTTACTAGTATGAATTTTCTCGATTTCTAGGTGCTTCTCGAGTATGAATCATCTGGTGCTTGATTCTCCAATTTTTTTCTTTTCCTTGACCTTTTCTTGACGGCCAGTTGCACAGACCGTGACTTGAGTCCATTGTATAATTTTTTGTTACTTGTATCTTCAGACCACTAAGAAATTCAAGATAGAATACAAACTTTGTATTCTAGAGAATTTTTTGTTGGCTGTAGAACAACGGTGTACCAATGCTTCTGTTTTCTGTCTCCCGAATCTTAGTTCATTTTCACCCCCTTTGAAGCGCAATTTCTTACAGTTTTTTACAATTGTGATACTCTCTGTTTGGAAACTGATCTTGCGCCGTGTTGCGTCACGTCTCCGCCTCAGGTAATTCAAACCATATTTCATGCTCCTAACCAAGCTATCCTCCTTAATGAAAGTTTTGCTATTCACATACATATCGATTAAAGTGCACAATTTACAGATCCCCTGTTCATTCATTCGTCATTAATAACATTGGCTCGTCCATGTAAAAATCTTTACAACCTCAGATATTTTAGGTCAGACACTTCATGTATTTCCTGCTATAATGCACAGTCATTTATTTGGGCGGGGCCGCTGCTTGTGGCATGTTGGTTAATGCATCATACTGCGTTGCTAAAAGTCAACTGCTTCTAATTTTTAGCCCTATTGGGACTGCATACCACTTGAATGGAACATTATTCTGGTGAAAGTGTCGCCTAGCAACATTCACAGCTTTTCCTGCAAAAGAGGCTAGGGGAACATACGCTTATTCACAGGGCTTATAATATTTAGAGAACTAGTCAGTTTGCCCCCGCAACAGTTTCCGCAGAAACTCTGTAAGAAAATACGAGATGCTATCCAGCGCTTCCTTGACACTTTCTTATCTGTCTGGAGCCAAAAATGTGAGATATGGTCCAAACCATTATCGCTTGGATTTTCACGCCGAATGACGCGCCAACTGCGACCACAGCGTCAACCTGGAACTGCAAGATGGCACATCAAGGTCGATTTTCGTGAGATAAAGTTATCCTTCTTCTAACCGTCGTGCGCAGTGGTTGTGCATAATGACGTAACTCTATTCACGGAGGAATCCTTTTCAAAGCAATAACAGGACCTGTAATCTTTAAAAGTGAGGTCGCCATTGATTTGCATCTCCAAACAACGAACAAATATAATTTAACCCCGAAATTTATGCTTGATGATCGAAGCCTTTAACACGAAATCTCAAGACAAAAATCGTTTATGGCACCCACCAGTGCCCCTTTCTAAGAGGGTTCAAATATTTTCTCTCTTGATCATCCAAGAAAAATCACAAATGAAAACAAAAAATAGCTAGAACCCCCGATAACTCGAACATTTGCTAGGTCGAGCTGAAACTGCATCCCTCTTGCGCAATACTGTTCTTGAAAACAAAACCTTTGATAACTCGACATTCGTTACAACGAACCAAGTTGCTGTTTTAAAACAGGAATAAATTTGTCCTGTAGTTTGCAGACTGCAAGGAGCTACCAATCACCAAGGCTTTGGCGATGCATTTGCTTCCAGATGACATCGTTGGAGAAAAACTTAACGTCCAGTATCTCCTTTTATAAGATTACCTGTAATATTTTTACCATTTACGACATATGTCGCACAGTTATCAACAAGGTTTTCAAGCTCACAACGAACATCCAGTTATTGATCTTGCTTTGGAGTCCAAATTTTTTTTAATATGTGTCCTTGATATGGATTTCAAGAGTTATCGTAGTTGTAGAACGACCGGCAGTTCATTTTGTACAACTTTCGCACCTTTTTTTGATATCCAGGCCTTTTTTAATTGGGGCACGATCTATGGGTGGCTTTTTCAATCTTCTGTTCCATTCTTATATTATTTTGTTGATGTTGTTGCTGTTCACATGAAAAAATTCCCGATAACTCGAACTATTGGCTGCTTTAACCTAAAGTTCGAGTTATCGAGAGTTTTCTGTATGTTGGCTAATTCGGCTGCCGACAAGGCACCTTAAGGCTGGTGATCGTGCTTTCACAAAGGTGCCCCTTCCCTCTGGAACAGACTTCCCTACTCAGTTAAAGCATGCAACACTTTAGAAACGTTTAAAACCTATTTGAAGACACATTTATTTAGAAAGTATTTTATTGAATAAATTGTTTTAACTTAGATTTTAATAAAAAAATTGTAAACTTTTACCCCTTTTTAACATACATTTTAAATTAGACTTCATACTTTCAATTGTAATGCGCCTATGAGCCCTGTGGATATATGGCGCAATATAAGTGTTTTTATTATTATTATTATTATTATTATTATTATTATTATTAAGGCACTTTATCTCGGGGTTTCTTTTGAGATACAAATCGAGAAGTTCGGTCTTTTTTGGTGCCGTGGATGTATGATAATAGTGCCGTGGAGACTAAAGAGTACCAAAGTGAGACGTCATAAGGGGTTTATTTTTAGAACTTTCAACTATCGACCAAATACTCAGGCAGAATCTGAAACTCTTTCTATCCAAATTTTACCATACATGTTTTAATGATTGCTACTAAAAGGCAATTCTGTATAAAATCAGAAAAAATTGTATTTTTTGGGGGCACTTGTAGAAGTCTTTGGTCTTATGAGCCACCCCGTCTTTGAATAGTCAAAGACAATGCGCATCGAAGTGAATTATTTCTGCGCATACTCTTGCCTTGACAATGACAGCCAGCAGAGAGGTGTGCTTATTCAGTAGTTACTGGGGAGACGAACTAGCATTTGTGCGAAAGTCCGTTGGCAAGTTATATGTGCGAAAGTTATATGTGCCTGCGCAGTTAAAATCGATGACGTTATTTTCACATCGCATGTGGTAGGCATATTCATGACACTTATAGAAATAAGACAGGCTCGAATCAAGAGACGAAGACAATTTAAAGAAATAATTGTTACGAAAAGAGTGAGAATGAAACTCTTATTTTTTATAATGCAGCTATGATACCGTAAAATCTCTTTTCAGCCCCCCTCTCAATTTAGCCCCCCCTTTTCAGAAGGAAAAATTTAATTAGCTCCCCTCTCACGTGAGAGCCTTTTATCAAAATTGCAGGCCATTGGTACTCCGAGGGATGAAATCGCACCTTTCTAATGCTCGATTTCAGAAGGTGACATGGCCCAAGAAGATATTTTAGAATTAATAATTGATACGATGACGATGACAGTATAATTGATAAAAAAGATTTGATTTTTTTATTTCGCAAATAACAAAAATTATTTTACCACTACTAATGATTTTTATTACAAAATATTTATTAAGCCCCCTCTATCAATTTAGCCCCCTCTTATATAAGCCCCCTTTTAAAGTGCTGAAAAACAATAAGCCCCCCGGGGGGGGGGGGGCTAAAAAGAGAATTTACGGTATATATTGTTTTGATTAAACGGTGTGAAGCGCCACCAGATGTTTTTACAAGTCTTGCTGATGCATGTTATGCATTTCCTCTATAGCTCAGAAAAATTGATAGAACAAGTAGTTTTATCGAATAATTTTATCGTATTTCATACTGTCGAAACCGCTGTGACGTGACATATGATTATTCGAATAAATATGGTTATATGAATGAAAAAGAGAACAACTACTCGTTGATTATCTGTCATCAGTAAGAAATTTCTCTCAGGACGTTGTTTGCCAAACCTATGCTTATTGCCAATTTTTTGTCTTTTTTAGTTCCCTTCTTCCCTACTTGCCGATGCTTATGGACCCTCTTGTGTCAGCTCTAAATGGAACGCAGACCCTTGTTAGTCAGGTTTGTGCCGTAAAACTTTAAGCATTCATACCGAAACGAAGAAATCATATTCCTACGTTGATTGTTAAAGTTCAATTTGCAAATACGAAACCGGCTGTGAAATACCTTCAAACATAGTCAATGCTTCAAATAAGCAAATTGTATTAAAATTTGACTGCGATATGGCCACGTAAGTACAGTACAGGCTCTGTCATCGTGATATTGGTCCTTAAATTTTTGAGCCAGGACAGAAAAGTTATCCATTATTGAAACTCAAGTTTTTCGCTTTAGATATTTCAGTCAGTTTGCAATATTTTTAAAGGGTTTTGCATTCAATGTCTATGAATCCATAAATTCTATTCAAAAAATGAGTTCAACGACGTCGTCAATTTGCCATTCTATAAAGAGGTAGTTTGTGCCTGTTTATATGCTGTGGGCTGGCCCGTCTATCCAGGAAGAGTGGATTGTTTACACAGGTGGATATTCAAACTATCATTGGTCGATTGCATGCGCTATTCAAGAAAAATCACCTGGCTTAACTGAGCCAGCTCATTTGCGGGTGTTTGTAAGAAATCTTGATCTCGTTCAAGCGATTTCAGGTAGCTTGTCGTGTAAACACAGTTGAAAGAGAAGTTATTAAAACCAGTTAGGTTTCGACTCAACCACGTTTAAAGATCTCCTTAGGTAATTGCGAAGCGTCTTTTTAAGTTTGAGCGTGCCGTTGATGTAAGGTCAAATTTAAAACGTAGCCCTAATCTCACTTTTATCTGCAATAAGATACGTTACTTTCTTAAAGCCCTCAAAACTAGGTGTCATGTTATAACTCTTTAGTGCGAGTTGCTTACCGACTCTGTTCCAAACAAAAACAATAACTCGAGCTTTTTATCCACTATTTGTTTTTATTCAGGGATTAAGGACTCTTGAGTTGTGTGTCGATAATCTTCAACCGGATTTCTTGTATGACCACATCCAGCCTGTCAGAGCCGATTTGATGCAGGTGTGTTATGTTGTGCCTTGATCGTAGTGTTATCCATAATTTAATAAACATTCGGGTTTATTGTAATATTTATATTTCTTGAACAAATTTGTTGTTAATCTTGGTCTGTCATGGCTTTCATTGTTTTGCAAATGACATCAGAAGAACTGTCTCATGGAAAACAGAAGATGTGAAGCGCAAGTTGAAGCATCCAATTTAGAGACTGTTTCAAGGAATGAATAACTTTAAAAAATCTTTGACAGCTGACCCTAGATGTTCAAAATTCGCAAATCTAAAACACCTTTTGGTCGTTTCTCACTAACTTATGATTTTTGAATAGCTGCAGCCAGATTAAGAAAAATTATCTGCCTGGAATTTTTAAAATGTCTCATTATTATTTCAAATGATAACATAGAAAAGCGTCGTGTTTTGCTTTTATTTATAGTCGAAGTGTGATTATATTTTAGGCTTTGTGGAGAACTTTGCGAAATACTGCAGATTCAATTGCACATGTTGCGTTTCGCGTCCTGGGAAAATTTGGAGGTGCCAGCAGACGAATGCTAAAAGAGCCACAGAAGGTAGTAGAAATTGTTTGTTTTGTCTTCGTTGCAATATAATTCAATTTGGCATTCGATCCAAAGAATGATTAGAAGTCATGCGTGCTAAAGACATTAGTTTTTCTATTCAATGAGTTAGATGTTTTATCACTTTAAAATTGTTTATCCTTGAGAATATGTCTTTACTGACTAAATTTATTCATCGATACTGAACTGAGTTCATATCGTGATCGTGTTAGAAAATTTGTTTATTTTGTTAAGACAGATCCGTCACCGACTCTACATTCCAGATTTTTTAATATTCTAGTTTTCAGTTTTGACATTTTGCGCAGGTATTTTTGTTTTGATTAGTACTGAATACACATTTATGCTTGCAGCTGACATACAATGAAAGCGAAAACATTGGCCCGTGCATTTTACTATCATTCTTTGATGCAGATGTTGATGTGTCTTTGCCTATTGCCAGTGTAAGTAATCATGAATTACAGACATGTATTTTCATGATCAATTTATTAATCTCAGTCAATTCGAATAGTAGCTAATCGCCTATTTTATGTGTAACCAATTACCATAAGTAATCGCGTGTTATCTCAAATAATCACTAGTTGTCTTCAGAGATGAAGTCAAAAAAGGATTACAGATAGTAATTAGAATTGATCTTTTTTATTATCATACCTGACCTGTAAAATTAATAGATGTATAGATGTATATCGAATTTTCAAATCTTATTCTCTTCTTCATAACGTTTTTCAAAGTGTTTTTACAGTGTAATAAAAAATTAGAACACTTTCCCGAAAAAGCTTTCTAAACGAAGAAGTGTATTTGCATAACTTGATTTGTAAGCTTACTGAAGAGTCTCACTTATATTACAATACAAAATCACAAACTCCGTTTACTATCTGATCCTTTCGAGTTGTTGATGCATTGCCTTTTTAGGTGATAGAGCGTGCTTGCAATGTGCTTAAAACACCGAAACCAACAACTACAACGACAAACCAACAAAGCAACACGTTTGACAATACACCATTCTACAAGCAACAGTCATGGCTTATTGTCAAGGTTTGCCGCAAAATACAAATTTCTTTCAACATCATTCAGATATTCCTGTATGCTTTTTTTAATTTTTTTTTAAATTCACGTCGGTACTAAAATGGTTAGGCAGAGCAAATCCCTATACGAAACGACATTTAACTGAAAAGTGCTAAATATCCTGAGCCATCCGATCTACCAAATAACGATACCTTTGAAGGAACAAAAATAAGACCTTGCTCTATGCTTTCTTTAGATTTTTGTTGTGCTTAATTTGTGAAGTTTGCTTAAAATAGCTTTTCACTTGGATTTCAAAGCTATATCTGTTAGTGATGCTTTGAAAAGGCGCTTGCCCCTTAAGGTCTTTTTGTTATTCAATTTTATGACTTTTTTCTTTAGTACTTCATCATTGCTGCAATGTCACTTGAAGATTCTACAGAATTCTTAAACGAACTTCTACTGGAGCCAGGGTAAACACCATAAATTGTGAACTAAAGCTGCCATTTTCTTAGAAATTATTTATTAATATGAAAAAGTTACTTTTTTTTAAATTAATGAAATTCTTATTCTAAAGTTGCAAAAATACATTTAGATCTATGTGTAAGAAAATCAAGAAGAAATTTGTGTTTTGTCTTTGTTATGCACTAAATACCTATTTATCTAGTGCTATTATAGTTCATGAATTTTTCTCACTTCGTTTCGACGAATTGTAACCCTTTTCTAAGTAGAGTTCTATTTTCATCAGCTATTTTTTATAACTTGACTACGATTCCTATAAAGGTTCAAAGACAAAGACTTGCATGCAACTGGAAAGCCCCAGGTTGCAGCATGTGCTGACAAGCAGTCGTTGAAAACCCTACAACAGGCGCTTTCAGGAATGCTTTGTGAGTAGCTAGACAACTCAGAATAATATATCTAAGCTCTCAGGAATGCTTTACTAGTTTGGGGTATAAATCCCAACAGGAAACGTAATAAGTTGAGTACTCTGTGGTGAAAATCAGACGTGTAGTAGACATGGGGCTAGGAGGGTTGCATCCCCTCAAATCACGCAATGTTTATAGCATTTCAGGCTCCATTCAGGCGATTCTATCTCAATGAAGCAACCATACTTGGGCAAGACCCATACTAGGACTCCCTAAACGTTTTGCGTCCGCTACGCCAATGGTAAAAGTTTCTCTTAGGTTGTCTGCTGATGTCTGATGGAAGTAGTATTTCCTATTAGATATGGAAAGAGGATCTACAATAGGGAAATGTTAAAGAGGTGATTTTATAATGATTTAAGTAGGTCGTTTTGATATGTATGAAACTTCTTTCAATTGCAGTTGCTGCTGCTACTTCCGAGTTGCAGAGTGAATCACTCCCCTTCATGTCTGGAATACTGCGACAATTTGCGCTTGTTACAGTGACTCAGCAAGCTGGTACGCTCTTCGATATTTGTCGTTATCTTTTATAACTAAGGAATAACGCTTACAAGGAATTCAGGATGCGTATGTTAATTATGCGAATGTGATTTTATATTCGATGATCACGACTTTGTTCTTCTCTAGAAAAGATCTTAAACCACATATCAAGTCTTTTCATTCAATATTTCTTTTAATTTATTTTAATTTTCTTCAAAGTATGAATGGTATTTTTCATTGTTTATTGCAGGCTCATTTGCATTGATGTCTCAGAAAAGGTAAAATTTGGCTCACACTATTGATGTAAAAACCCGCCAGACCTACAGACCTGGTTTTGTAGAAGGATTTTTATTACAAACAAAATTTTGTTTTATTGTACTCTTCTTCCAATTTTTAAAAATAAATCACTGATATTACATAGAATCACTAGAGATTTTACCCAATGCGTGATAGTGGTGAGGTTTTTCTACAAATAAGAAATCAAATTTAAAAGAGTCAGGCTGGAAGGTCAATACAAAAATTGAATGTTAATCTATGAGGAAATATTGATCTGTCAGGAAAACTTCTTCTTATAAATGTTGGTAAAAGCCTTGATGCGGAGCTGCAACACAAAAATGTCATAGGAAAAATTCTGGTTTCTTTATTTCGTCTGGTATAAAACACCGCTCAGCTGTTTTTTAAGCATTTTTATATGGTGTTAAAATGAGGAAAGTTGAAGCCAACAATTGCAGGTTTGGGGGGGTAACAACTTTTTGCAACTCTGGTTCAAACTTTTTTATTGGCTACCTTTTATCAGTTGAAATTAACAGCCTCTTATCACTTTCTTATGCTAGAATTTTCACGTTGTTTATTTTTTATCCTTTCCTTTTAATACTTATACTGATTATTTATTTCCATTTTGTTTTGCATTCTATTATATTCACAAATTCATACTCTGTTGCTTTAGTTTGCTGAAAGTCTTCCAAAGCTAATTCCCATTTTATCATGTTGTTATTTTAGTCCGGTTGGGATGGACGTGCACATAATTATTGATTCAATAGCAGATATAATGTCTCATGAAGACAAAGATATTGGAAAGATTGGAGAGCTTGCTATTCAAATCTTATTTGAAACAATATCTATCGTTTTACGTGACAAACTGAAGGTAAATTCACGTTTTGTGGATAATAGTTCTCAAATTCATTCTTTCTGCAATTATTATATGAAGAAAGTTACGTTTGTTGTAATGATATAACTGGAAACCAACGCACTTGCTTTGTACTGCATAAGGTTTTTCTTTGGAAAGAATTTGCATGTGATAGCAATGAATGATGTCTTCTTTCCAATAGGCTGCCCGCTTGCCATTTTTTGAGTACATGTTAGAGAAGCTATGTGGATGCTGTTATGAAAGAGCCTGGTTTGCTAAAGCTGGCGGGTGAGTTTTTACTGTAATTTCGTAGAGTTCTCTCCTTAGATAAGCATTCACATCCCTGCATTTTGTATTCTTTTTCATTAATTCCTTGTTTTTGTTTCTATAGGTGTATGTCAATAAAGTTTTTGCTGAATTACATGCCACTGCCCTGGCTACTGGATCACCAACCTGCTTTCATCACAGCTCTTATGTTTGTTATGATGGATTTAACGAACGAGGTACCTACTTGAAAATCACTCAATCTGTAAATTAGCGTTACTTTATGCTGTTGCTCGTAACGTTTATGTATTGTGGTGCTTAGCTATTCTAACTGTCACTATTTGCTTCTAGTTAATTGTCAGTCGTATAGATGTGTCGTAAGAAGTTCTAGATGACACCTATTGTCTATTCCCATTCTCTGGTATCAATAAACAATAGCTTTCGTTACATGAGACAGATAATTTTAGCGTTAGCAAAACATGACTGACGTTAGAATTAACGAATTTCAGGTTTCATCAGGAACAGTCGATATTGCAAAATCAATTCTCGTGGATTTGTTGAAGAAGTGTAATTGCGATTTGAAGGACGAAGAGCTCACAAAAATTCAAGCGAAAGTTTTTCCACTTGTGGTACAACATATGGTTAGGGAGGTTGTCTCTCCAAATCACACTGTCAGGGCTCAAGTGAGTTATGAATGCTTCCTATATGCAGTAATATCGTATTCTTTTTTCTTTTCTTCTTCGCTTTACCTTATGCAACATCAATTAATCTTGTTTAGGAGCACTTTCTATGTATGCGCATCTAATAGGTGTACCTCTCTACCTTTGCTATAACGATACAACCACGGTGTTTTTTCTTTCTCCTTTACTACGTGCATGAGATTTGTTTGTCACCTTAGAGTAGCACAAATAGATAATTATCTACTTTTTATTTCACTGATTTGATAGTTATTAGATTCTTGATCGTGGTGTTGCTCGTCCTGTTTTTAGGCCAGGTATGCCTTGGATGTTTTGTCGAAGTTGACTGGAAAGAGTGTTTATAGCCTAATGGAACCCCACAAAACCGTGAGTGATGACTATAACTATTAAATTAAACCGTATTTTTTATTGTTTACTGGGCTAGTTTTATTCTTGGCTAGTCGCATCAAAGCTTGGTGTTCAAATATTAACTTCTGATTCCTGTAGCTCATTTCATTTTTCTAAAGCAGTGGAAAGATACCATATGGAAAGATACAGTCCTTCAGATGTTTTGCCTTTTTCACTCAACTCTTATTTTGCACTGAATTTTAATTTATCATTGCACTATATGATAAATATTTCATTTTGCAGCTCCTGGAAGACATGATACCACCAAAGGTATAATATTGTTATTTGTTTAAAGCAGGAAAGAGTGTACAACTACGAACAGATTTGTTTATGTAGATGTAATTTCAGGACTCATCAAATTAGGTATTATATAGCCTGTGCTGCAGCATCAACTTCTAATTTCTAACTTAGACATTGAAATAATTGTTTTATGCTTTGAAGTGGCTTAAAAAACTTTGATAAGACCTCGAGCTGTTGTGTCTTTTATGCAGTTTGTTTATCAACATAGATTTTCCTGTAACAAATGGTGTTTGAAGTAATTTTTCTGATTGCTTGATTTAAAATTGTTTTCATTTTAGAAACATCTGCTTCGACATCAACCGGCCAATACTCAGATTGCTCTAATGGTAATTTAATGCATTCAAAATATTTGAAATCACGAATGTCAGCTTGTAGTTTTGTTGTAGCATTTATCGTTTCATTTTGACATTAATTTTTTTATTTTATTGGGTATAGAAGATTACGTACACCTTGAACCATCTTGAAGCTCAGCAACATAATTTGACCTTGGATTCTATCATAAATTTTTCAATTTTCGAAGCAAACACATAGTGAAATTCTTATTTCTTATTTGGTAGGACGGGAACACTTTTTGCACTTCGTTGACCCCTAGACTCTTTACGATGGACCTTTCTGTGATCGAGCATAAAGTTTTCTTCACGGAAGTAAGTACAAAACAGCTTTATTATTACTGATGCTTTCACTGTGGTCATTGATTAACTTTTAATTTTTTTGACATGCTCAAGATTTCGATGCATACTGTCTCTGGAAGCAATATGGTTTGGGCACTCACCTTGCAGAAATGTACCAACAAATTTATACTCTCTAGACATGTTTCCTAAACTACTTATCTTCTCAAGATTTTCCTGTAATGTCTCTATTTGTTGATAGCATTTATTCTTGCTTCTTACAGCTCTTCCTTTTCAATTTTTTTAGCTTTACACTTTTTGTGAAGCAGATGACAGTCAGCTGACCAAACTTCCCTGCTACAAGAATGTTCAGAGCTTTGCACAACTCCGGATTAGTGCTCTAGGTTTGATATTCCTTTTTCTCGTATCCTTGTAAGATATATCAAAATTCCTCCTAGACTTCCCTAAACAAATTTCGTGTTTACCTATTGATTCATGTTTTCATTCTAGCCGCCTTGACGTCCTGCCATTACATCGTCCAAGCAAGAGAAAAGATCTTTAATGTGCTTGTAAAGGTATTTCGTTTATGTTGTTACACTTTTCTCTAACTTGGCTCATTTCGATTTTTTCAAAGTCCAGGCTTTCATGATAATATTTTCGATACATTAAATGTTTTGTTATTTTATGATGCCAAAATGCACGTGTAAAGGAATCTTCGATAAGACAAAACCGGTCAGGAAAACAATCCAATATTAAAACTTTGGTTCTTTTAAAGGCAATCAATTCTTCAGTCCCAGAAGTTATGGAAGCTGGAAAAGAAAACATGAGAAAGGTATTGGTCTACTAATTTACGTCACTTTACCTTAGGACCTTATGTGCTTGAGACTTTAATTCAAGTTTGTATGTGCGAAAGGTTGTATTATAAAAGGTTTCAACCTGGACAAATATGATATAGGTATTGTAACTGGTTTAACAGCGTAAAAATTTGAGCGCATTCCATCTTTGCCTAATTATCAGAAAATGTGTGTATGAAATCTTTGGAAATTTTAGAAACAATTCCGACATTGATTTTCGAAAATCGATATGAAAATTGGCACTAGCGTTTTACATTGATCTTTGGTTTGATAAATTGATACCAAAATTTAGCAGTTTTATTTCTGTGACTATGAATGAGTTTTCTGTGTTGGAAATTGTCTACCAACTTCAATTAGAAAGCAGCTGATTTTACAGGAATACTAAGTGATTCCCTCTTTCTGTTTCAGTTTATAAATGGCGGAGCCTTGGACAGTGTTAAAGACCACGTTCGAGTTAACATCAGGCCTCTGTTACTACAACTTGGAGATTTCCGAAGCCTGAATATGAATGTGCTTAAGGTATTAACAGTATATATGTATATGTAATTTCCCCGTGCCTTTTCTCTGTTTGCTACACTTCCAGTCTTTTCCCGGTGACGCAATTTCTCATCTTATCTCTATTTTTAGAAACTTACCTGCTTTATGGAGCTGTTCCCGGATCTCTTCAATGAAAAATTATGTGAACAATTATTGGTAAGTGGACCTTTTAACAAATAGTTTTATTAATTTTGTTAGACAAGATTTATGGTTTTCTGTAAGCAATAAATTCAAATTCTGTCACGCCAGTTGTTCACTTGATATCCTGACATTGCATTGTGAAACGTTTTAAAAGGTTATCAGATCTTATCGGATTTGCACTTCTAGGAATGCTCGCCAGGGCGTTGAGTGGTCTTTGGTAGCATGGAATGCAGCTTCGGTAACAGGATATAAGGAATTCACTCTCTAGCTTTTAATCAAAATTATTTGTCTGTAAAGTATATGTGTAATCAATGTGATGTTGATTTTATTTCTTTGATCTTTTTAAGGCACATTTAAATCGCTGGACCGAGGCTGCAAAAGTTGCTGCGAATACCCAGTCACAACAACAGATTAAACCTGCTTTAAGAAGCAGTGAGGTAAAATTGCCTTTAACGTTTTATCGATTTAGAAAATATTTAGCCAAAGAAGCATTTCCTAAAATTACGCTTAATCATGCATACCTGTCAAGTGATTACTAAGAAAGTTTTTTATTTCAGGAAGTAAAGATCTGTGCGGCTATAATGAACATGTTCCAGCTTGTCCCTGCTGCATCATCTAAGCTGATTGAGCCATTAGTGCAACTGACTGTTAAAACGGAGCAAGCACTCATCTTAGAGGTTAAGTGATGTTGCCAACAAGATTTTGCTAGACTTTGCTTCTTACGAAAGATTTGCAACAAGCTGTTTTAGTTTTTGAGACATTTTGAGCTCGAAATGCTGGAAATGATAGTTTCAAATTTTTTCCATTGAAAGCTGCTAGTATTGTTAAGAAGCTAAAATTATAAAGCCTGACGATTTAAAGGAAATTTTTTCTTTTTATAATTTCATCTTTTTATTTGTAAAAATATAAGAGCTTGGATTATTGTAAATGGCCATCAGGTAGCTAATTTGAACTGAAATCGGGTGTAGAACTTAATATATTTATTGTTCTTTTTGAAATCAGGTTGGCAGCCCGTTTAGAGAGCCATTGATAAAATTCCTAATGAGATATCCCAGTCACACGGCGGATTTCTTCCTCATTAACATAGCAAACCCGCTGATGAACAGATTTTTCATCGTAAGTTCTTTAACATCGATTTAACTTCCTCAGATATCTCCCTTGTTGCATTCCTGTGATATCAATTTTTTAAGATTTCGTTTAAAACTTTTGAACGAATCTTTTACTGTGTGGTTATGCAGAATTGAACCTCATCTGTTTGACACGCCTGGGATGGTGTGAGTTCAGGCCCAGTTATGATCCGCGAACTGATTTTTATTTTATATACTTTGATTCCGTACCAAACAGTACCGTCAAACCGAATTCGAAGACGAGTGCATCCTTGCTAAAGAAACTGCAATACTCCTTGAAAATTTGGATAATATATTTAGATTGATCATCCAGTTTATCAATTTAGTCATAGTGGACATATCACCTATTTATATGATATTTCGCTTTACCAAAAAAATATGGCTATCTTTCCTTTTAGTACATACTAAACAGAGAAGACGCCAAGCCTCTTAGATCTGCTGTAGAAGCCAATCCATTGAAACTTGTGAACAGCACTTTCAGTGCAAATATTCCTCAACCGCAGGTATTTTCCCTTCCATTGATTTACATTTATTTCGCAGTTATATTTCACCATCGACACAGAGGCTTACTCTTGATTTTGTTTTGTCTATGGTCTTATTGTTTTCTACAAAATCTTCTCTTTCAAGGCATTTACGTCTCTAGGATTTTTCTTATTCAACATTGCTCTTCATTTCTCCTATCAACTGTTACTATCACTCAATTGCAAAATCGACGTTTCTACGCAGACTCCTGACGAACAGTCATCTGTTGGAAAGAAGAGACAAGAGCTTCAGTTCCAGGGAATTCTTATCATAAGGTTTAGTTTAAAGTATTGTCAATACCGAGATTTTCCTTGCTCAGTTATATTTAAATGGATTAGTTATACTGATTTAGTCAAATTGTTTCCTTATCAAGTTGTTTGAGCACAAAAAAAGTTTGGGACATCTCCAGAAGTCATCATTGCCTCGTGCCTTTTCCAGATCTTTGGTAGCTTATCTTGACATCTTAATGACAATACTACCTCATGAATCTGTGATATGCAAATCAGTGATTCGGTCAGTGCTCTGAATCTTCTAAAAAATTGAAAAGAAATCGAATACTTTCAATCATTGTGTGAGGGAGGGCGGCCTTGCAGACAAAACAAAAAAATTGTTTAACCAAGCAGCTTTCTGAAGCAAATAAATTGTTTTTGCAGTATAAAATACAGTACCCAATAGGCATTTATTGCCCTATCCATGCAGGGTTTTGTGGTCTGTCTATGTCCGTGTCAGTTTCTCTAGCTCCCTCGTAATTCTATCTCTTATCACTTTCCTTCCAGAACACTTGTAAAGCATAACGAAAGCTGGCTTGCTCAACAGCCTGTCCTCGTAAGTGACAAACTGGTTTGCCATTAATCCCTTTAAGGTCACAATTACTTAAATTCCATCAACAGTTGATTATTTGGTTGACCACTTTCGCTTAGAAAGTGATTTTATTGGGTTAATAAAGTAGTTCTGCTGGAATAGTTTTCAAAGTTGACTTGTTTTTTGCTGTTGATTTATTAAACATTGCCATTACTGCCATCGGTGACACCTACTCGATTAGTACCAAAATTGTCATCAGAGTTGTTTCTTTTGATACCCACCACAAGCACTCTCTAAGAATTGTCCCAACTCGCATATGTATTGATGATGTTTTAATTTCCTAAATTATCAAATCGCTATTTTTTTCGAAGTGTTATTTTCAATGGAAAAATTTCCAAAGCATTCTCGATTTCATTTGATATAAGTAGCCTAGAAGTTTTTAAATACCAGTTAGTGATATAAAGAGTTATCTTTCATTTTGTCAAAACGGACTCCTTTTCTACTTTTTCAGCTAGGCCTGTGCTTGTCTCGAAGAATATTGAATAAATTTTACTGAAATTTAACCCGTCTTTTTCAGATTGGTCACCTAAAACGAATCTGGATGAATGAGGCATATTTTGACAAAAGCAAGAAAAATGTACGTATACTAAAAGCAATTTTATAACTTAAATCAGTAAAATTCAATTATACAGTTGGGAACAACTTATCAATTTCTTTCATTGTTTGTCTATGCATGAAAATGGTTTATATGATTGCAACTCTGCAAATTTCTTCGCTGGTTTTCATTTAGGATACCTCGATCAACTCAGGAAGATGGAGGGAACCGAAGTTGCTTGCAAAATGCTTGCTTAATTATGTCAAGTAAGAAAAGTATTGATTGATAAAAATGTTTTAGTTTTAATGATTAATATGATGACTGCCTACCATTGTTAAGTGACTTTATTTGCAACCGTAATTGCATCAAAACTGCATCATTTTTTCGTTCGTAACCACCAAGTTTTCTTCTTGTCAGGAACAGGCCGAACGAGATCGAGCTGCTGTTCCAGATTCTTAGAATACTGACAGTCAGGATGATTCCAGACCTCCACTTTCTGCATAAATTTTTAGAAGTTATAACAAAGGTGAGAGGATGCTAATTCTTACAGCTGAAAAAGGTTATGTAGATTAAGCGTACTTGGTATAGTTCTAGTTTACTTAGAATCTGCGAAAATTGATTTTGAACCATTCTCTCTATGATCTTTGTGCCATTCATCGATTGAGCATCAATGGAAATTACATCACTCGGCAACGTTTTAAGTTGTCTTTCATTTTGATTCCTCGGTTGTATCGCATTTTGTGTTAACTGGGTCAGAACAAAGTGACAAGGAGAACTATTGGGCATTATCTTAAGATGTTAATATGCTGATACTTCTCCTTGGCAGCGACAAAACAAACAGAAGCTGCTTCCTAAAGAACTTCAATGAAACGAGATTCAAGTATAGCCGATTTCGTATCAGGAACTCTTGTTTAAGTTATGCCAGGATAGCTCGTTTGTGACAATTTTAAGTCCTACAACCCGCATTGTTTTTCTAGGAATACACCATAGAACAGAAACGCAGTATCTTTTTCAAGTTTGCTGACTGCTTCCTCGATCATAATTATGCCCAAGAACTTAAAGCAATGGTAAGCTCCATCTAAATATTTTCATTCCATTTTTTCAGACGGATATTCCTATCATTTTAGTTTTCCTTGTGCTCGATTGTTTTACTCTTACATAGTACTAATCCAAAGCAGTAGACCCAGATTGCTTGATCCTTTCTCATATATTCTGTCGTTTTCTGTAATTCTTTTAGAACCTTTTTTTGGTTCATTCATTAGATTCTCCAATACATAATCGTGCCGATGTTTAAAGCAAGTTTTGAGGAGGGTCATGTTGATAAGGTAAGTTTGCCAATTATGAGTTTGCTGTAACTTGTTTCTATGCATTGCACACTTTGCTTTCTGTAATCATTTGACGCCTTGATTCTCCCTATTTAAGTACCATGCAACACTACAGTTTGACAACATTTTGAATCTGAATCTGAATCATCATTTTAATTCTTTTTGTTCTTACTTTTTAAATCCTTAAACTCTTCGGTAATGCTTTTTAAGTGTAAAATATTTCGTATGTCTTTATTTTTTACAATAGATCTGGTAGGATATGAAAACATTTTAGTTAAGCTTTTTCGCACATGGTTAGTTGGCAAATGTAGCATCGAGAGAACTAATTGATGACATTTTTCTTCTAGCTCATCGGTGGGCCTCCAAATCCAGATCAAGACAGCAGTGACAATGTTATAAGCGTCTTTATCAATAAAGTCATAGACCCTCAAAGCCCATTTGCAACGTCTGTAAGTCTCAGTACAATGCTTCAAATGCCACTCATCACTCTTTGCTGATAACTTGAAACAATGTTGTAAAATTATCAGTGGGCCTAATCACTCCAGCTAATCTCTTGCATTAATTTACTCTCAGCTCTTGTTGTAGTAGAATCGGGGAAATTTTGTCCTATTCATTTGTTATTTAACCAACTCTGTTCGTCAACAGGTTATTGCCTGCAAGCTTTCTTTCATAAACGTGATCTTTCAACGTTTAACTTACGGAAACGTTATTGAAACATCTGTAGTTTATCATGATAGTCTTCTTTTGCAACGAGGATATCTTTATTCTTCATGTGTTTTTTGCAAATCTGTTATCTTTTTTGCCCTTCAGGATTCAGTACGAATACTTTTGCTACAGTTTTCTGCCTTGCTTGTGGAGTATGCTGCACCCCATATTCACGATGCTGCAAATAAGTATGTTGAAGACCGCCTTGACGCTAGATTATAATTCGTTGTTATTTGCTTGCTGTGAAAATGGACGTTTTACTTCAAAAGGGAAAACTATCGTTCAGAAACTATAGAAAATTGATTGGTTATGATCAGTTTTGCTCTAGCCAATCAATTCCTGCTACCAATTTTAGTTAAACCTTCCGAGAAAACAAAGTTTTGAAGATGTAATGGGTGTTCTCTTTTTTATCGACTCGATTTAAAAACCATTCGTTTTTTGCTTGCTAATTTTACGCATGTTGTTTGATAAATCCGTTTCAATGTATAAAGATAGGTAATTTCGAATTACTTAAACATTCATAACTTCTTCAATTTCAATGACAATTCGTTTTGTTTTAGAAAACAAGGAAACAAGCTAAGACGCCTCTACCAATATGCTTGGCCGTGTTTGCTTTCAAAGCAATGTGTTGTAAGTCTATCTATTAAGCTGTTATTGTAAGAAAAATAGTCTAGACTATGATTTTCATGAAATTTGAAAATTCTTTGACATGATTTTATGATTCTATATATATATTTATTAGTAATTAATAACTTAACTTTTGTTTCACAAAAAGCAGTAGTGTTATAAAGAGAAATGTTTTAGTAAGACAATGAAAAAAGACAATTTATTGAGGAAATAGGCTGATGATTCCTCGTTGAAAGGATAAAACGCGTTCCGGAAAAAAAAAATAGTCTTTTTGCATTGTCTTTTTAAAACATTTCTCTTTATTAGTAATTATGTATATATATGTTATATCTTAGTAATTTCTTGCACTTTAAGTAATTTCTCTTTTGTAAGTAGACAAGTTAAGAACACTGGCAAATGAATTTAGAAATATTTTACTGAAGGATCATCAATAAACTAGAACAATTTTTACTTCTGCTTCACTTGCATATCAAAAACTTTATCTACTTGCTTCTTTGATTCGCTTACCATTTTTCATTGCTCACAAACTCTTTTTTCTTCAATTTAGGACCCTGCAACCAAGTACCATGGACATTACCTACAGGCGCAGATCATTGCTAAGTTTGCAATTCACAAAAAGTTTGTCCTGCAGGTAAATCTTGTAGCAAACTTGTAAAACTCTGTCAAACTAGAATCTGACTCACATTTTGCCAAAATGTGGATAAATCCACTGCTATGTGCACATGTCATTGAGCACTCTGTCACAAAATGATAAATGGTTAGTTTCACAATCGCTTTACTTTGCTGTTTTTCAGGTTTTCCACGGTCTTCTGAAAGCGCATGCCCAAGAAGCCAGGACGATCGTGCGTCAAGCACTGGATATCCTCACTCCTGTTATGCCGCATAGAATGGAAGACGGAAATGTAAGTAGTTCATCGCTGTAGTATAGGAAACACATCTTAGGCTACTTAAGACCATAGTTCTATAAACAGTAGCTATTAACCTCCTCGTTGTTTCAAGCTTCTTCTCTTTCAAAGAGGTCAAATTGAAATTAAACAGTCGTATCGTCTTAATTTTTAAATTTTTCTCAGCATAATTGTTAGGCCCGATTTCCTCTAAATGCTTGCTTGAATCCTTCATGGTCCCAAGAACTTTTTATTCCAAAGCTTTTACTTTAGCGTCGATTTATTGTAGCAAATGTTGTCTCATTGGACCAAAAAGACGATAATCGAAGAAGGACATACTATTGGGCAGTTGATTCATATGCTGTAAGTAGCCACTTAGACGCATTCAAGCTCTTTGTCTTGAATTTCCACGAATGCTTTTCAGTAAAGGAGAAGTCAGTAACTGTGGGTTACCATAACATTTTGTTACCATAAGCTTATACTGTTTGCTTTTATTTATGCAACAAAAGTATTTTTTAACCTCTTCAGTTTAAATTCGCAGACAAGTTAACGTGTTTTTACTTTTCCTGCATCGTTTTCTCTCACTTGCTTGGTGAGAGAAAATTCTGAACACAAATTTTCCTTGTGCTCAACACGAAAACGCGAGGAGATGCAAAACATTTTTTTTTATTTTTAGCTTTGGTATTTAGTTACTGAACTGAACTATTTGTAATTACACTTTCCTGTTTTTGTCAATCTTTTTCATGGATGTTTTATACTTTTTTGAAATCAAGATTTTTCCTCCTCTGTAGACATTTGGTTGTGCGCCATCATGACGTTTACTTTAACGTAAGAAAAGACCTCATTCCTCACATGGTCAACTCAATGCAGAGGCTTGGTTTCAATTCAAATGTACGGTCTTTTGCGTTTTTTATTTACGTTTTGTTAAATCTTCCTTTTGATAGCTCGAGTTAACTTTATAGCGTTTCTAGACCTTAACAATTCATAAATATTCAGGGCATCAAGTAATTTCAGTTGATAACCTATTCATGCATGAAATTTACTTTAGGTTACAATTGAGCAACGCAAATTAGCTGTCGACTTGGCTGACGTCATTGTGGAGTGGGAGAAACGAAATTCCCGGGAGGAAGGAGTTGAAGCTTGTGAGGTATGACAATTATCATCGTAATATTTCCGCCTTTCGATTGGAGGAGACAAGTAATTTTGCTGTAATTTATATAGGCTGCATAGTGCTACGTAACCTTTTTAACGGTTTGTAAATTTTAGCTAATTTGGGAATGTTTGCCCATGGTAGCGGTCTTATAAATCTAAGAGGTTAACATTAAAAGCAATGAAATAACACAAGTTTCAAAATACCTTTTCAAAGCTCTTCTCTTTTCTGTTGGCTGTCATGGATCTTTTACTGTCATTTAGCCGCTGTTTTGACGCGTAAAAGTTGTTTGTTTTTACGCGTAGGATAATTCAAGTGAAAACCAATACATATGTTGGAATATTGTTTTTTCATCCTTTACTCATTTTTATCTAAGGATTTCTAAATACTAATGAGTTTTTCTAGCCTGCCATGTAGATGATTAATAAATTGGGCTGATTTCACTAAGTATTTTTGACTGTACTACTATGTGTGTTTCCTAGTGCGTGCTTAATTTGATTTTGTTTTATTTTAAGCCTGGAACAAAAAGATCATCTTCAGATTCATCTCAGGAACCATATCCAAAAAGACTGTGCACCTCAGGCCAGGTAAATTTTCTCCTGCTATACCTCGTATTTTGATCATACTTCGTTAGCAACCAAAATAAGATATCATGCTATTTCTCGCTTCAGTAATATCAGTATCGTTAATTAGTATTTAAGAGTGGATCTTTCTTGCCAGAGTACTCGACAGTCCACTTCTGAGAAATCTTCAAAGATATCCATTCCAGGAAGAGTTGAAAAGAATCATTTTGATACAGTTTGCAACTTCCTTTTTCGCCTAGCAAGTCAGGTGAGATTTCCTTATACATTTTGTAGGTAGACAGTCAAGCAGTTTCCACTAAGATGGATCATCAGTCTGATTCTCTGTAAAAACATAGTGGCATTTAAGTAGTAAAGCCAATTATAAAGAAGTAATTATTGTTCGTATTTGAGAAGAAATGGTATCACGTTTACACGTTTACCTTGCTGTCTTTGATGCAGCATCACTCGATTTGTTGTATACGTAATGCTTGTTGGCCTTCTATGGTGATATGCTATGTTTTTTTATCCAGTGACGTTTTCTGTTGCGTTGCTTTATCTTGGCTTTTTCATTGAGGTAAAATCGTTTTAAAAGGTGGAAGCTGGCTAAGCTTATAAAAGGTCGCGTATAAGACAATATCATTAAATAGTATTATTCGATTTTACATTGGTACATTGGTACATTGATTATTTGACACATTACCACTTGATGCATATCTGGTATGTTGCTAATTGGTGTTTCAAATTGACAGATAAACGAGACTTCTTCTACCGGAAACTCTGCCGGGGAAGCGCTCTCCCGCAGGTGCTTCAAGATTCTAAAAAGTGCTTTGCAGCAAGATTGCTGGCCAGGTAAAATCTTGAAAGTTTTTTTGTAGCTTCTTCAATACACATCCAGTTGTTTTTCACCTTATGGAAATGGTTATGCTATCCCTTTCAGTTTCCAAATTCTGTACATGGTTGCTCTTCCAACTATTCTGTTCTGCACTAAATTATTGTCTTCTTTGTCTAGATGCTGATTTGAAAGTCTCTTGGCTCGATAAACTGTTCAATATTATGGTATGTTCCCTTGACTTTAACTGATACCTCAGCGCGAAAACTGGAATAATATAAATAAATGTTAATTTTAACTAAAATAGAAAATACGTCCTCTTTAATTCGCATTCACTTTATGTTCATTTATGGTATTAATTGTGGTGGTCTTTATTCGATCCTTCAAGTAGTTGTTTACCAATACAGAAGTCAAAATGGCTTTGAAAAAAGCAGACATTTTATAATAAACTTGAGCTTTTCGTCTGACATTCTCTAGAGCTTGAGACGTTAGATTGATGATCGATAATTCAAAGCTAGATATATCTTAACCTAGTTTTAGATCGAAATAGGCCAATCAGAAACGTAAGCGCGTGACTCAATGTTGCCCAGTCAGTCCCGCTTTCTATTGAAACGAAGAAATCGGAAAACAATATGAAGTATCAACGAAATACCTAACTTAAATTTCATTTAAAGATTCTAGTAGAGTCCTAATGCATAATCTGCCTTTTTATGAGCTGTTTAATTTGTATCCCCCGTAGGATCAAACTCCAAATGCAAATTACGGAAATGTTTGTACGGCACTGGAGATTCTTGCTTATCTTTGCACTGTCCTGGTAAGATCTTGCAATTTTTTTTGGTACCGAGATCTTTTCAAGTTCTTTCATACGATTATCAAATTCATATGATGTTTTATTTAACAAAATCTTAACAAGGAAGCTTTTTAAGGACGTTTAAGTGACGTCATTAGAATTTTTATAGAGAGATCATATCAAGGATTTTTCTTTTGAAGTATGGAATAATATAAATTTAACAATTTGCTTTAAGTCTTAATGGGTCTGTCTTTTAAAGCAATGATCTAAGTGTACGCTCAAAGCAAACTTATAGTTTTACAAGTAAATAATAACCCTTTCTATGAATATTTCCCAGTCAAATTTTCCATCTTACTCTAGGAAAAAGACGATCTGCTTGGAATATTCAACCCTCTTCAACGAGGAATTGTTAGCTGCATGGCTTGTCAAAATAAGAAGGTAAGAAAATTGCTAAAAAAAGTTTGTTTTTTCTAATGTAGATTGTGTAATAATTTTTAAAAAAAAAAACTTGTTATAAAATCTTTTTTTAACTACAGTATTCAGAATTAATGAATCACTTCACTATGTGTTCTCAGGAACGTATTTTGAATGTATTTAATGCTCTTATATAATGAAATTTGACTATATAATGAATAATGTATAATATAATGAATAATGAAATTAATAATGAAATTACGATGTTTTTTCCAAACAGGTTTTGAAATCCGTGAACACCTTATTGTTGCGCCTTTGGCTGTGTTTCCAGTCGATCAAGGTAAAAACCAACTTTTTCTTCCAGACCCATATCATCTATTCATTCATGTATACAATGTATAAAGGATAGATACCTAACATGTTGAACAGAAATGGCATTAACTTTACCCGTTCGTTATTGTGGTCTCTTTTATGCTGATAGATGAAATGTCGATAGTTTGGCTCTAGCTATTGATTCTTGCTTGAACACTATGTACTTTGTTTGCCAGGTAATGGACAGCAAAAGAATGATCTTGAATACCTTTACAATAACATTGGCAGTAGCATTTATGAAGGACTTTTGAGCTACGAAAGGTATTTTTTAAGAGATATTGTAAAATAATGCAATAACCAGACAACTGTTCCATTAAGCGTGAAACGCGAAGTAGCAACTTAGAACCGTCCTGTACTATGTACCAGATAACCCTTTTCAGTACTTTTCCTTGCAATGCCATTTCTTTTTCTTTCTTGCAATGTAATAAGAATTGAATAGTTTACACCCGTGTGTAACAACCGACGATTTTGCCTTGCAGTCTGAATACTTTTGTGTGTAATTGAATTTAAAAGGGAAAGGAACCTCTTTATCGTCTTAAAGTGGCTCTTACCTTATTTCTTATATTCGATACCATCTATTGTCCTTTTTTCTGTTGTCTGTTTCTTCAAATTACTTTTGACAAATCTTCCATTTTCAATTTTGGTGATCTGCAAATAATAACCTTTTCCGGTTTTTAAAGTCAGTTAATGCTTATAAGACTAAATCTCATTCCGAAGTTTTAGCTAGTGTGTTCTCAGTCCACAGGATTCTCATAGTATATCGCTGTTCATATCGTCAACACTTGTTATATTAATGTATTTTGGTTTTATAGGTCAACAAGTGCATCAACCAACATCATCTATGGTCCACTTATGCTTTTAAAAGCTGCTTGTAGTAGTTGTCCAACCTATATCGACAGGTGAGCTGCAATTAATACCACTCTGGATTGGCTCCATTGATCTGTGTTACAACAATTAATTTCTCTGTAGCAAAAAAAATTCACCAAACTGTACATTTATTATAAGGCTTACATCAATTCTAGATTTATGGTGCAGTTCATGAAGGCTTTGAACAGAATGCAGAAAGATCACGTTGCCGGCCAACAAGGAGAGGGAGGAGGTTAGCTTTTTGCTTATATGGTTGTCCAACTTTGGTTCTAGTGTAAACTTCCATAAGCCTAGCTCAAGTCAGAGGATCTGCCTATTCTTTTATTGTAGATAAATGGCATTTGTTATTTGCGTATAAGCTTCATTATTATTTTATACTGTATGACAACTTGGAATTATTTTAGTCTGTATGGGTATCCTTGAAGCATTGCAGATATTTGGTGTACTCGATTTTCAGGCTGATATGTCAACAGATATCATTTGTTTCTTCTTGTCTTTAACCAATAATATGAGCAAATGTATTACCACTTTACACATTATCTTCAAGGCACATCATTCACTCACCCATGTTTTATCGTAGCATTTAGCACTGGCTTTTTCTCACTACTTGATGATTTTTAGACAAAATCCAAATGAATTTTTCAACAGGTTTGACTGAAATGCTCATAATTTCACTGGAGTTGGTAAAAAATCGTATGGCAGCAATGCATGGCGATCTTCGCAGAATATTTTTGAGCACTTTTACAACTTTGATCGAGAAGTCGCCGGTGAGCTTGGATTAAAACGTTTTTTAGTATTTAAATTGAAGAGCTTTTTCCCTTACATAGGTTAATACAAAAGGTTTTTCCCTTTGCTAAATCAAATTTTCAAAATCCACGTTTCTTTTCCAATGTCACTCTTCGAGAGAGCAAGTCGAGAACCTAACATTCTTAGACTGAATTGTTATTTTGCTCATAATCTATTCTTCATTATTGTTGCAAACAAACGCATATTTGGTAGGCTAGAAGGTCTTGTGCTATTTTACAATTGTTGTGTGGTCTATCCTTCATGTGTTCGTCTCTTTTCAAACTACTCATAGGAAGCAAAACTTCTCAAGGCGATGACAAAAATAGTTGATGAATGGATGAGAATAAAGCCGGTATGATTTTTTTCACAAACATGAATTGCAAAGTTTGCTTCAGCTGTAATATTAAAAAGATTTAATCAAGATTTAAATTGTTATCTTGTTTAGTAAATTTATGGAACAGTGCATTTTTAGTGCTTATCAAATTATGAGGAAGTTGTTTGATCTATTAAAGTTCATAGTTGGGCGTGACATTAACTGGCATCTCTAATGACTATTGTATGTGCATTCTTCTGGCCAGGTTATCAGCCTGCTTTTATCGAGTGTCATGTGTGTTTATTTGAATCAAGTCTTGCCACTCTACCATCGCATCCTTGCATCCAGCACTATACTTACAGAATAAATAACTACACAATAAAGGTCAACAGATTAATTTGGCGTAATTTTGCCACTTTTGGTAAATCTTAACATTTTGTGATTTGAAAGCTTTATTTCAGAATTGCAAAGCTTTATTTCAGAACTTCAAATGTTTATGTGTTTTTAACATTTGTCTGTATAGCCAAAAGGTATATTGCACGTTCTTATGACTTAAGCCTGGCGTCCTATATCAAATTTATGTGGAGATGTCATATTTTGTAGATGCAGAACAGCCAACACCATTGCCCGTCCATTAGAGAAAAGTCAGTCATCCTGTATCGAATGATGCTAAACTTCGAAAAACGCTTCTCTGATGATCTAGAACTTCATGCCCAGTTCTTGGAAATAGTTAATTATATTTACAGGTATGATTTTTGAAATTTTTTAATCATATGTTGAAAGTTTTTTCGTTAGAGAAATAGAGGTAGATAAAGTTCTCTTTGCTTTTCCAAACATATACACTCCGCAATAGGCATCCTATTAGAATTTTTTCAATATCTTTTGATAGCAGTTTATTCGTTGTTATAGTGTGGCAGTATAACAACTTTCTCATACATGGTAAGCTCTTCCAGGATTCCTTAATTACGTAGTTTCATCAAGATTTACTATATAGGAGTTCAAATGTTCTGGCTTCAAACTTTCGAATTCTAGTTTGATTATTCTCCACCCCTCCGTACTATAGAACAAAGATGGGTGTCTTAGCTAGGTGTTTGTCTGATTTCTGTTTAATATTGTTTCTAAGGGAGCCTTCGCTAGCAGGAAGTGAGTTAACAGCGAGACTGGAGCCAGCGTTTTTAGCCGGTCTAAGGAGTGTGCAGCCGCAAATTCGGATGAAATTCATGGAGGTACGTAGCTCATCGTTTGTGATTCATTGAGTTTTTTCCTTAAATCTCAAAGAAAAATGGTAGCATCTACTCTACCCATAATGTTTCTTTACAGTTGGTGTTGTAACGAGCTTTAACATGATAGCATCGTTCCTTGAAACTGTCCACAACCTATAATAACAATCTGCTATCTACACATGTTTTAGGTGTTCGATAGAGGCATCAAAAGAAGATTGTATGATCGCCTTATGTTCCTGATAGCAACACAGGTTTGCAGATAGCATTTCATAGATATTCCTAGATTTTCATAGCACAATTTAATAAGTTTTATCTAGAGTTGATTTTAATAAGGGTTTTCGAACTTATACTAGGAATGATGACAAAAGAACAGTAATTATGTATATATTTAGATTTACTTCAAAATTTGTAACTTTTTGTTTGTTCTTATTGGCTTTTTGTTTTATTGCCTTTTTATTTATTTTTTCTGATTCATATATCTGTGATTCTTTACAGAACTGGGAACATATGGGAAACCACTTTTGGATTAAGCAGTGTTTAGAGGTAATTTATGCTCACTATTACAATATGGAAATTCAATATACATAAAGTATGCAAGATATGCCATATAAAATATTGTATAAGATATATAAAATACAATATAATGCACAAGAATAAACAATGATAAGAATAAAAAACTATATAAAAGATAAGCAATATACAATAAAACAAGCAGGAGACGATTTAAAACTGAATTATATATGCATTCTACAACATGATATACCATAATATACAAAGTCTACAACGATTCAAAATAATATACTGTTTGGAAAATAGAGGTATGCAGTATACAGTAGTCCAACCTACCAGGTCTCTACCTATTAGTAAATGTCCAATGTTTAACCTCTGTTATTACCGTTTGCCTCCTTGCTTGCTCTGAATCGTGTTCTTTTTTCAAATACATACATGCACAACAGTGTTCGCCTTAAAACATCCATTTCTTTTGTAGGTCCTTTTAGCTGTCGTTGATGGCGAAAGTCCTGCAAGATGCAGCAGTGTTTACAGCAAACTGCCTTCCATGAAATCTGTTCTCCGACAGTCAGACTTAGCTGACGCTCAGAAGCTCGTCGAAACAAGGAAAGTAGCGCTAGAAACTCCTGCAACTGACCTCGACAGCTCAATGGATTCGTACAAAACAAATATCCACGTGACAATTAAGCAGGAACCATTAGATACTGACGATCCGATGCAAGGAGATGAGAGCGAGGCTTCCAAGAGCTCTGATCCAAACCCTCCGCGTTGTTTCTTTCAAGCAAAGACGTCGTCGGAAATTCTCGCAAAATTTGAATGCAGTACGACAGATTCGCCTGCAACTGAAGATGATACTCCGGTCAGCGAGCTTGCTGCATGCCATGGCAAATTCTTGGAAAATCTTCAAAAGCAAACGATTGGGCCGTGTCTGGCAGCTGTTTCGCAGCTGTGCCATCGGAGTACACTACTTGCACACAAAATCTGGGTGGATCTTTTCCCTAGAATTTGGGAGCTGTTGGAAAGTAAACACCAGAATGTGATATCAGGAGAGGTGGCTCCGTTCCTTTGCAGTGGCAGCCATCTTCTGCAAGGAGATTGCTACAGGTCCTCAATAAATACGTTTGTCGAAGGAATGGCCAATTGTTCGCCATCTATCCCAATCAGGCCAGCCGTTTTGAAATATCTGGGAAAAACGCACAATTTATGGCACAGATCAGCATTGCTTCTTGAGGAGGCGGCCGTAGCTTGCGAAGACATGATTGCAGTAAATCCACAATTACCCATGCAGCAAACGTGGCTCGATTATGGTAGTTGTTTATCGTATTGCACCTCAGCTTCGTATGATTTACATCATTCGTGTGTGCTACCTTCCAAAAGGCTGGAAGGAGCCAGGCATACTACTGTTTTATAATTCTTTCCATAGCTCGCACCGTCAAGGGTGTGTTGTGAACCTGCTATAAATCCGTTTTCTTTTCATTTCATAAGGCATTATATGATAAAAATGTGCTAGACACTTTCAAACAGATATTGTACAATTCAGGAATAATGTTTTTTCTTATCATAAATTGTTAGGTCAATATGATGAAGAAGTTTGTGAGCTGCCGATTCAAGAGACGTATGATTCTCTTGCTGAGATGTATTCGATGCTGTGTGAAGATGACATGTGGAGTGGGCTACTACAGCGTAAGGCGCGCTTCCCTGAATCAAGCACAGCTATTGCCTATGAACAGCAAGGATTGTTCGAACAGGCCCAAAAGGCGTACGAAACTGCAATGGTTAAAGCTAGGGAGCAGTACAACAACGGAAAAAGTGACCCAAGGATGCTTTCTGAGTATGCTTTATGGGAAAAGCATTGGATCAGATCCGCTAAGGAACTTGGCCAATGGGACATTCTAATGGAATTTGGAAAGAGCAAAGGCCAGCAAAACCCATATATAGTACTTGAAAGCGCATGGCGGATCCCTGATTGGACTGTGATGAAAGAAGCTTTATCTCAGGTCTTTGTTTTTTCAAATATCTGTCTGCCAATCACTAGCGTAACAACTGTTTACTTTTCTGTGCTCTTAATTAAAGGCTCTTGCACTATGGTGATCTAACCCCATTTTAATTGATATTTTTTCTTATCCTGGAGAGTTTCTATTTCACAGATAAAGGAACTTGTTAATAACCGTTTGAATGATCGCCGGTAATTTTACGACAGTGTTTTTTCTCTTTTCACTGTCATCTAGTTATTTGGCATTTATTTACTTTTTAAATGGTTATTCGATTTGTGATTTGTTGCTTTGCCCAACGAAATGAAAATTGTGTATCGCCTCTTTCCAGCGCTGGTTAAAATTCTCGTTTTCTATTATTGATCAAAAACTGTATTTCAGGTGGAAATGAGCAGTCCTGATTCCATGGCCTATCGCCTGACCCTGTACCGTGGCTTTATTGCCATCTGCCACCCAGAGGAGCAGCACCAACATCAGCCGTCTTTGATCGAAAAACTCGTCGAAACAGCAACTTCACAAGCCATAAGACAGTGGCGACGGCTGCCAGCTCTTGTTTCAGACATTCACTCAGATTTACTGAGAACGGCGCAACAAATTATGGAGCTCCACGAAGCATCACAGGTTCACGTGGGCTTACAGCCGCAGAACATTGGGCGGGTCACAAACCTCCATGATATGAAAGCTATAGTAAAGACATGGAGAAATCGACTGCCACTGCAGTGTGATGATCTGGTGCACTGGAGCGATATTTTTATGTGGAGGCATCATCACTACCAGGCTATTGTCGCTGCTTATGAAAACCTGTCAAGCTCGTTACCGGACACGCAGTCGAATAATCATGCGATGCTTGGCGTTCATGCTTCTGCATGGTCGATTATTCATTATGGTCATGTAGCTCGTAAGCATGATATGACTGGAGTGTGTCTCGACTCTCTTAGTCGAATTCACACGATCCCTAGTGTGCCAATCGTTGATTGTTTTCACAAGATTCGAGAGCAGGTTAAGTGCTATTTGCAAATGGCAGGTGTTATGGGCAAACAGGAGCTGCAAGAAGGACTAGAAGTAATTGAGTCCACAAATTTAAGGTATTTCTCCAAAGAAATGACTGCAGAATTCTTCGCATTGAAGGGAATGTTCCTTGCACAAGTAAATCGATCAGAGGAAGCCAACAAGGCATTTTCAGAAGCAGTCCAGATGCATGATACCCTTGTTAAGGCCTGGGCCCTATGGGGCGATTACTTGGACAACTTATTCGTGAATGAGCGAAGCGTAAGCCTGGGGGTTTTCGCGATCATATGCTACATGCATGCTTGTCGAAGTCAAAATGAATCAAAATGCAGAAAATATTTAGCAAGAACCTTGTGGCTGCTTTCATATGACGACGAGAAAGGGTCCTTAGCCGAAGCCTTGGAAAAGTATTGCGTTGGAGTGCCATCCACTCACTGGTTACCTTGGATACCACAATTACTCACGTGCTTCGTGCGAAAGGAAGGAAGCCGTGTATTGACTCTGATTTTTTCTGTTGCTCGCGTGTTCCCCCAAGCCGTCTACTTTCCAATAAGGACGCTCTATTTGACACTGAAAATCGAGCAGCGAGAAAAGCACAGGATGGAGCGACGCCAGATTTTGACAGGAGAGAACAAGCAGGCAGGAGAAAATTCTGATGGCGAAAAGAAAGTGGATGCTTCACAAGGTTCTACTTCAAACAATGATGTACCTACCACTAGTGTTTCTCGTGAGTACTCGATGAAAATTAACGCCACATTGCCTATGTTTTTGTCTCGAAATTGTGAATTTTGCTTTTAGAATATGATCCAGTGCCGTCAAAACTGCACATTCTTTGAAAAATTGATCATTTTGACTCAATTCTCTGGACGATGTTTGCTGATTATTGGTGCCTTTGGAAATGATCACAGAGTCGTATTACACGAGTATAATTTTCGTATTAGCCATTATGGAATTTCATTAGTCAAGTTCCAAGTTTGCAAACCGACAATGATTCTGCCCCAAACATCGATTTAAAACCGGCGAGAAGTACCTGTAGTTGAATGATTTTTATGGTTTGTCCAGAGGTTAAGTAGCTTAGCTCCTGAAAAACATCTGTTTCTTATTCTATTGAATCTTTCATTTATGAAAACATTGTTTAAGTTTAAATGTTGTTTCGAGTAGTTGCCAGAATAATCTTTTCTTTAGAGAGTTCAATTTAACGTCTCATCTATTATCAATTTCTCTCTACAGGAACATCCACCCCTCCAGGGACAACTGCGAAATCAGTAAGTTATTTTATGGTTGCTGTTAAAGTTTTACTTATTTCTACAAGCATGACATAATGGCGATTTTTCTTTTACATGTTGAGATGATTTTGATTTCATAGTTTTTCATTTTGGCATTAGCATTTGACATTTTGCATCTCGTTATCAACATTTGACATTTTAATCGCATTTAACATTTTTCAAAGTTGCTTAAATACGTTATCAAGCCTCTCCTTAGTGCAACAATTTGTAAACAGTTTTAGTGTTTTTGATTCTATTGAAATATGTTTCAAAAAGCTGCCCAAACCCCTACAATAACTGGCACATCATGATTCTTTTTCCATATATAATAAAATACATGTATTCTATGCATTTTCTATCGATAAATGTTTAGTTTTTTACTTAGTTCTGAGGTGTTATTTTTTTCTAGGGCCTACAACTTTCTGGTCAAGGTTCCTCACAAGATTCGACGGATAATTCATCAACCACGACTACGCCCGTCCCAGCAACAACGACAACAGCTGCTTCTGCAACAACAGTAACAAAAAATACCTCATCAGAAGGCTCCATGCAACATACGACAACAGCAACAGCAACAACCCAGTCAGCAACCCCTGCCAGCACCGCTGCTGGAAGCACAACAGGTAGATAGTGCATGTTGCTGGTTTCTATACGTTTTTATCAGTGATTGCCTTTTACATTTCTCTACTTTTACATTGCCTTCTAACAGTTCTCATAGCTTAAACCTTAGTGCGCTTCAGTAAAGTCATTTTCCTTCTTTCAGGAACAGCAAATGCGAGTCAGTCGGCCAGCAGCTCGGAGACTGGCATGATCCGCGCTCCTGCTCCGATGATGCGATGCAGCAAGATTATGCACATGATGCGTGACTTGCACCCGACATTGCTCTCAGCTCTGGAGGGTATTGTTGATCAGGTAGGTTGTTTTTTATTTCAATTACTGATTTAATGTTTTTTGTGACTGAAGCACTTATTATTTCTTATTGTCAAATCTGAAGTCAGACTTGTAGCCCACCTCTACTGGCTACAATCCTACAAACCCGGTGTATTATCCCCCCTTATTCAGTATTAATATCTCTGTTATTAGGGTACGTATGCCCAGTTTTGAATGAAGGTTTTAGAATCTACATACTTGCCAACAGCATGTGTTACAGATGTTAACATGATTGTAGACATTCAGTTCTTATAGATATTTATGTTCTTATAGATGGTTTGGTTCCGAGAATGCTGGCACGAGGAGGTACTGCGCCAGTTACTCCAAGGGTTGACTAAATGCTACCAAGTGGCTTTCGATCACCGTGGAGATGGTACGATTCCGATATATTTTTAAAAGATAACGCTAAAATAATATTTATAGCATTTTCAAAGGCTACCACCATATTTCATTGCAATTTCCTTCCACAAAGTTATAGAATTAAATTTGCTTAGGAAAATCGCCAGGTTAGTAGAAGAACAGATAATTATAATATTCATAAGAAAAGGCATGTCTAGCTTGATTCTTCTCTGTCACTCGACAGCTTGTTTCATGCAGCCTTTGGCTTGAATGCTTCTTTAAATAGAGGTTCAGTAAGAATGAATTTTGTATGAGTTTTTCATGAGTACAGGTAAACAAGACTTTTTCTAGTTAATGTTTAAAAGAAATCAGCCATGCATATCCTAATTCTGGATCTTTCCACGACTTTCTTTCAGTGAATGGAGCTCAGATAACTCCAAGGACACTGACATTTGTCAAAAAGCTGGTTAGCACCTTTGGCATTGGTTTTGAGTCAGGGTCAAGTGTGTACTCGTCATTTTCTTCATCTGCTTCGGAATCTATCGCACGTCACGCCCAGGCAACGGCACAGGATCCAGTCTTTCTCAAGCTCAAAGAACAATTTGTTGAAGATTTTGACTTCAGGTGTGCATCTAGCCATTTTAATATTCAATCTATCTTATTGACGTGGACTGTTTCGTTAGCTCGCATTGTTTCTGTTGATGCTTTTTATCAGTAGACTTTTGTGAACAGCCATCTGTTCAATATACGACTTCATTTTCGGTGAACTGTCACTTTTTCTCTGTAGACCGCATAAGCTTTTTCTCACACTGCTTTCAAAATCTTGAACAAGAAAAGAGTTTTTGAAAGATGTGATTCAGTCAGCAGATTCTTCTCGAGTAGCAGGCCTTTTTGGTTTTTTGCTAATGGAGAATTTTCTGGTACATTGAAAATCACAGTATTAGCAACCAAACATTTTATAGATTCTACGTAGGGTTTTCTATGTTAATTCTTTTTTGTTGTTTTTGTAACGCTCGAGTTTGAAATTTCACTCTTTCCAAACATATCAAAATAGCCAATAAATTGAAACAAAACATGCCAAAGAAAACAGCAACTTTTGAAGGTATTTTGCACTCCCCACTTTTTTATATCCATGTCTTATGTCCGTTTTCACTCTTAGCAAACCTGGTTCGATCAAATTGCACAAGTTGATAAGCAAATTGAGGAAATGGATCAGAATACTTGAAGCAAAGACGAAACTCCTTCCAAGGTAAACACACAGTTGTAATTCACAGTCTTGATTATCAAGCAGTTGTATTCCTGCTATGAGCCAACAGTCTTATTTTTTTCTTGTGTTTTGATTATTTACTGCCAACCTCCTCTTTTTTGTTCAAAGAAGAACAACCTATTCTAAGGTATTACTGTAGTGATGTAACGAAGATACCTGTTTTCCACAGTGAAGACAGAACTTGAAGACGCAACTTGAAGTCATACAGTTCTGCACATCAAAGCGTATTCGAAGATATTTTTTCTGCTGTGTTGAAAAGGTCTTATGTACAAGAATTTTATTTAGTTTTCTTCTTTTCTGCCTTAAAAATGTTCTATATGTTTTCTCATTTCTGTCTCCACAGCTCCTTCTTGTTGGAAGAGCGCTGCCGCTTTCTCAGCAACTTCTCACAAGCAACTGCTGAAGTTGAACTCCCAGGAGAATTCCTAATGCCAAAAACAACGATTGTAAGTGGACATAGCAAATATACTTAAATATAATGTATCAAAATGTAAGGATAAAAGTTTACGTTAATTAAACACACTTCTAAAGTAGCCACAAATTCTATGTCTCCGACAAATGTTGATATTAACGTGGAGGGACACTTGTAATGATGCACTAAGAAAGAACCTCCTCGCTGGAATCTATGTATAGAAAAGCTGCTTGAAAATGGCTATAAAGCAAATGAAATCTTTATTACAACTTTTCTCGTATGGCAACATCTCACTGAATAGACATATTATTGATATTTAACAAAAATTTTTATTCAGGAAACTGGTCAATTTGAATGAAATACTAAAATTCTTTGCCAAACCCTTTTTCATAAGCCACTCAGTTTTGTAACTTATTTGTTTTAATTGTGGTGCAGTTTGTTAGGTTATATCTTTCTTTTTATATAATGACCTCAGAGTAGACATGTGCTTTCCTGCCCAGGGTATTGCTATGTGATTCACAAAGTAACTTTCTTTATAACTTGTTATGTGTAAATAACATTTTATTGGAATATGCATAAAAGATACCGTGCCCGTATTTGCAACGTTAAATAGGATGATGTCACGTGGTATTGGAATACACTGGAATCGAGAGATAGATGTTACTGGCTTCAGGGACAGAAACTACGGCTGAATCATTTTCTGTTTAAGATTTTGAGCCTGGATGTTTTATTTTCATTACCGAACGATTCATCTCTTAAGTTCCTTCAAATAAAAAAGGAATGATCCACTCTGATTTTTTTTAGCACAATGCCTTCTACGTGCGCATTGCCAAGTTTATGCCAAGAGTTGAGTTAGTACACAGGCATAACTTCTCCGCACGCCGCTTAACAATCAGAGGCCACAATGGAAAGGTATGTTAGAGTCAACAGTTCAGTCAAATCCACGGAACATTTGTCTGTCGTAATAACATAACCCATGGTGGGAATGAACTTCAATTTCATTTTGTGATTATTAATCTTCTTAAAAGAGTTTCAATTTAACGATATCGCTTCTTTAACGACTCATACTCTGAGCTTCTATTCTAATGCTCAACTACCTATTTTAGTTGTATCCATACTTGGTGGTTAACGACGCATGGTTGACAGAATCCAGGAGAGAAGAAAGAGTGCTTCAGCTTCTCAGAATGGTCAATCTGTTCTTGGAAAAACGAAAGGTATTTATTTTCCAAAAAACTATATCTACTCTCTTTACGCAGAGTCGGTTCTAGAAGCTCGCAAGAGAAATTCATTTCCTTTTAAATCACATTTTAATGATTTTCTATGTTTTGAACGTATTTTACCATTCGGTTTCTTAGGAAACAGCCAGACGACAGTTGCAGTTCAATGTTCCTAGAGTTGTAGCAGTTTCCCCTCAAACGAGATTGATAGAGGTACGTGAATGGTCCTTTTACTAAAATGGAATAGCAAAAAACTTAGAAATTATGTCTCAGGGATGATGCCTCCTTTCATGTTTCAAACTTCTTAAATTTTTGGCATCTGGACACCAGTCGATGTTCTGTACTCAGGTTCAACACTGTGAAGATTCAGATTTTTATACCTGTTATTTTCAAGCTCACTTTCGTTGTGCAACTTTTAATTATGTTTAAATGACACGTTCTATCAAATTCACTCAAACATTAATTTTCTCTCTACAGGATAATCCAACTGTGATTTCACTTGTTGAGATATATAAAGAGGTATGTTGCTTGACTGGTTTTTCCATCCCTTAATTATTGCATTTAATAACCAACACGCCTAAACATCATCCTTCCCATTTATTAATTTTCATTTACTTGTTTTTGTGTTTCTAACCGTCTTGGATATGTTTTAGCGTTGCCAGAAGAAGAAGATTGATTCTGAGGCTGCGATAGCACACTACTACGAGAGACTGGGTTCATTACAGGGTTCTGGTTTCTCAACAAACCACCAGGTTTTGCGTGACATTTTGAAAGAGGTTAGCAGCTAATACTGCCAGTTGGGTTTTATATCACCTGAAATGACATGTCATGACATGACACTAAGCGTCAAAGCATTCCTCTTTTATCGCATTAATTTATTTGGCATTAATCTGACAACTTGAAATGTCAAAAACAACTGAGATGGGAAGTGATGTGAAACGGTTCCTCTGAAAATTATTCAAGTAGGTACCCTAGCAGCATATTTGCCTACAAATTGTTATCGCTGGCCACTTAAGTAGATTTATATCATTCATTTTGGCTCGAAAACAAGTAAAAGTTAATAAAAAGTTGTTTTGAAGATTAAAGCTAGGTATCAAATATATGTTTGGATAGCCAAACATTGACAAAATAAGCTTGCTGACTGTTACCTTATTTTAAATATATTTTTTTCACCTCTGTTTATTGGTACTTTATAGACATTCTCATGTAGCCTTTTCACTTCCATTTCTTTATTTTAAAACTAACGATGGTTTCATATGTTATTTAGATCCAGCTTAATCTTATTACTGACGGCATGTTCAAAGAATGGGCGTCTTACACCTACGCGAATGCAACTGAATTTTGGATGTTTAGGAAGCTGGTATGCATTAAAGTCATTTTTACATATTATGTTTGATAGAAATTCAAAAATTGCTCATTACCTATTTCTGAATATCGTAATCCTGGTGCGCCCGTTCCAATTTATTTTTGAGAAACTTTGCTAAATAGGCAAACAAATTATGGTAAATAAGATATGTATTTGAAAACCACATCACAGAAAGAGGTTTTGGGCAAAGAATGGAAAAGGTCTCTTAAACTCTACCAGACTACAAGTCTATTCTAACAGGGTTTCTAAATTTATAGAAAAGTGGCTACTTGAATGTGTTTAAAATGTCTTCTTGCAAAAGAAACTAGCATATTGATTGTTGCTTTGCCGGTTTGTGTTCTAGTTCACGCAACAAGTGGCGCTTGCAGGCTTCGTGGAATTCACGTTTCATCTGACAAGACTAAATCCGGAAATGATAAACATTGCACGTGATTGTGGTCATGTCACCTTCAACTTTTTCAAGTTCGACATTGATGATTCGAAAGGTAACCGATCCTGTTAGAATGTTTCTTTACTTGTTGTCTTCCGTTATTCCAACTCTCTAAATGGCGGTTTTTTACCAAATTTAGTACTGGTAGACTTGTCTTATATTTAAGAGTACATGCTTTTTTTAATTTTTTTGCTCAAGTATAACATGAAAGTAGTTAATGAAAAATTGAAGTGGTTATACACCTCAACGAGGAAAACGTTTCTCCTCTTCCTTATCTTTTGTTGCGCTGAGCTGACTTTCGGTAGCATTGCCTAAATTTGCGATATTTGAGTTACCTACAAGGTTGGCCTACATTCGCTAAATATGTTGAGAGTTTAAGATACTTTGCAAAAAATTACTATAAGCCCAGCAATAATGAATATTTCTAATTGCTCATTATCGGGTCACTGATCATTTGATTCTAGGCGAGCTTGATGCAAACAGACCAGTGCCCTTCCGACTCACACCCAACATCTGTGAATTGATATCTCCGGTTGGTATCACTGGCATTTTCACTCACTGCATGATTGCTGTTGCCAGATGTCTTGTGCAACCGCAGTTTAGCATTGTAAGCTACTTGAAGGCTGTACTCAAAGATGAAATGCTAACGTGGCACAAAAAGGTAAACAATACATGCTGTAATTAATCTTTTACTCATTATCTTGCTTTTTACACTGATACTTAATCATTTTGTTATTCATTTCATCTTGATTTTGTTGTTTGACTGTCACTAATATTGTTGTATCTGCCGGTTTTATCAAATTTGTTATCAAATAAGCCCATTAAATGTTATCTATCCCACTCCTAGACTCCTCCCTTCGTATTCAGTAGCATTATTTACATGACAACTTTAAAGCATAAACTTACACTTCTGTTGAACAAAAAACCTGTATAACTTGCACTGGCTCCACAGCTTTGATTTAATGCAGCAATGTGATGTCATGCATTTTTTGGGATGCCATGTTTAATTAGTTTTTGCAAGATTCTCAATTATACTAGACCAAGTAGCAGTTATATGACGTAAACAACAATCTTTAATCCTGATCGTATATTTTTCTTAGAAACATGACGAAGTGAATCTTGCACAGAGCTCAGTCCCATCAAGTGAGATGGACAGTGAGTTGTTAATCACAATGGTAACAAATGCAGCAAACGCCATTATGACCAGACTTCAAAGTAAGTTTTTTTCCTGATCCATGTTAATACCTATCTGCATTTATAGTTTTGTTCGATTTTTATAGAACTGTTTTGAATAAAAAATTGTTCGTTTTTAGATATTGCCCAATTTGAAAACGCAGAATCAAAAGTGGTTACATTGATCTCAGCAGCGATGAATCCTGACAACCTTTGCAGAATGGACCCAGCTTGGAATCCTTGGCTGTGAGCATTTACCTTTTCTGTAACTGGGATTTTCTAGATTTGATGTCATTGTCCATGTTGCTGACAAGAAAATTTGTATATACTTTGGGTATATAAGCATATCAACAATGAGAACGCTTTTGGAACACTTCATCTCAGACCTTCTGAGACAAGTGATTGTAGCTTTAAAACAGTGATGCAGCTTTCTTCCAGACGCTTATTTGCTCCCCGTTCCCAAGACCTTTCAAGTCTTTGTATATGCTTCAAGTTAGCATTTCGATTCGTCTGCTTTGGAGCACAAAAAAGTTTTGTTTTGGCATGTTTTAGCTATCTTTTGTCATGAAGCGAACTATTAATATTGTGACAACATATTGTTTCGTTTCCAGATCAAAACATTTTTGCAAAACAAATGTTTTCCTCTCTGATTATTAGTGTTTTGAAATCCAAAACGACCTCTTTTGTGAATAGTCAGATATATATTTGAGGAACGCAAAAAAATCTTCAGTTGTGGTTTTAAGCTGTACCATTGCGCCTCTGCTGTTCAACAGTTTTTATAAAATATGGGACATTTCACATAATATGAACATTGTTATTGGTAATTGGTCTTGTAAACTTATTTTTAGGCCCTAAACTTATGTTTAAAACTTAGAAAGTTGCAATACTTTATGCAGCCCTCTGTTTTGTAGCTTATTTTGTTTGCAAAATTATTACGGTTTGTCATCTTCAATGACTAATGGTGAAACTATTTACTCAAAACTGTTCATTAATATTCCCATTCCCCACCCTTTTCTTATTTTCCTTGTATTTTGCTTGTATCATGCCTAAACTTGTCATATGCAATAAGCCTTTTTATGTATCATTATTATATATAGAAAGATATATAAAAGTAAACAAGAGCGTTTTTCTACCATTTATTCAACTTTTTGATACCTCTTCCTTCTTATTCAGAAATTTCCAAACAATTTCTCAATTAAAGAAATTTTCATATAAAATTTTACATCGTGAGTTCGAAATTGTCAGATCCTACAAGGCCGTGTATAACCCCTCGTTTTATAATTTCCCCAACAATTTTTCCAATACCACATTGGTTATCAGTACTTATTTTTTTATGAAAATTATTTGGTACAATTTTGTGTTGGGTATCGCAAAGGAAGTAAGAGCCCTGCCACCTCAAGTGTGAAGGAGATTTCTTTTTTATATCTTTAATTATTATTGATTTCTTGTTGTTAGAAGCATATGCCTAAAATCTTTATTGGCTGAGACCTTGCGCAAAGTCACATGCCCTTTCTTTACAACGTTTCCTAAAAACAAAGCGCAAAATCTGTCGAATCATATTTTAAAAAAAATAATCCACGGCCTTGCTCAATGAATTTTTCAAAAGTAAAAGTACAATTTGACACTATTATAGTCTTAGTTCTGAAACTACATTCATATTTACTTAGTTTTGAGGAACCCTATGATGAATTACGCATTCAGTCTTTACTACAGTTTGTAATCGAATTATGTCTTTTTAAGGTCAAAACTCTCATTACTTTTCATTTTTCTGATGAAAAAGCCCCACTAAGCACCAAAATCCAAGATAATCTACCTATATTAAAAAAACCAAAAAATTTCCACCTCGGTGTCTAAATTTCCCTGTTAGACAACAACACGCTTTTTTATAAGAATGCTTGTCTCCATTTTCATCCTGACGTTTCTTATCTCTTCGCAAAAAATCGATAAATTCAGCCTAACGGGTTTCTCATTTTGTTTTTTAATGGAATTAGTTTCTTACAAGGGTTGTTCTTACAAAAAAGCGTGTATTGCAAGGACTAAAATAAGATTAACTGTGTTCCCTGTTTGTAGTGCAGTATCTGGGTTGTAAAACTAATAATGGACATCTCCTCAGTTGTGGGTGTACCCCCTCCCCTGCCTCTCCTTTTAAACACTTTGCTATTTCAACTCAAAAATCTTGCATTTAAACAGAATCTCTACTATGGGATGACTGAACATAGTTTGTTATAAAAAAAACATGAGCTGGTACTTGGTTTGTCTTGAGGTTATAATCTCAGAAATCGTACAAACCCCCATCCTTCAGACATATTTTTCACAGGAAACCCCCAAACTTAATGTGCAAAATCTTCGAGTGAGTGGAACGATATTGAAAGATCTCTGCGAGAGATTTGATTGGTTGATTCTTTCACTATTCGATTTCTATTGGCTATCAGAGTGGTTACATATCGTACGAGGCTGATCGAATGTAAAAAAAAGAATGGGATGATGGTAGAAAGGGCCTAAATTATGTGTCAAGTGGTTATTGTTTGATAGTGTATAGCTGAAAATGTCTGGAGAAACATACTCGTTGATGAAGCCTGTAGCAAGGACCATGGCAGCTCTAAGCTGTGGATTTTACTCAAGAGCATTTATACTCTTTGTTACTGGAAGCTCCCTGTCTATATTAAAAGTGCTACAAGAACTTGGCAGTCAGACGAACATTAGCGTGAATATCAGAGTGAAAAATGCACTTTACTACGCATGGTGGATACCTATAGTGACTGGAGTATTTGCTTGTATTACTGGACTTATTTATCCTTGTATGGATAGTAAACTCGGCGAGCCCCACTATTTCAGAAGAGACTGGACTAGCGTCGTACGTTGTATTGCCGTCTTTGTTGGTATTGGTCATTTCAGTACAGTATCCTTACTGATAGTCATATGATTTGTTTTGCTTGCGAGATTACCCATATCTATCCACTTTAAGTGTAAAGATCTAAACTGTTTGGCATACGAAAATGCTCAAAAAGCTCAACCCTGTGTGACAGCTGGTTGAAATTGAATCTTTATGTATTTTGTAGCTTGTGTAGCTTTTTTTCTGGATCAATAATTATGCCACATATCCCTTATTTAATGGTTTAAGTTAGGTAATTTTGACCAATAGGTATTGATATTGCAAGTTCCGGGTTTTCCCCCTTTTTAATTAAAAAATAATCCTTTCAACATTGATTTTTCCGTTTCAGTTCCCAGTTCATGATGTTAATCATTAGTTCATATACACTGTTTTACTCTAAGTTTCCTTAATTCTGTTAAAGAAGTCATATTTTCTTGCTGACAAAAGCCATCAGTTTACCCTGTTTTTGTGCTTGGCAATGGTGCTTTGGTGGATGTTTGACAGGTCACCAAATGGACTCGGCATTGGCGTTATTGCTGCTATTTTGGGGACTGCTTGCACCTTTGTCATTGCACATTTAATTTACAAGTATGTTTCTTGTTTTATTGATGAGATGTATATTATCTACATTTAAAGTACCATTATAATTATATATTACATTTTGTGCTATTCTCCAATCATAGGAAATTTTCAGTGACTTCTAACTCAGCCATTTTATGTCAAAAGATGTACCACAGTAAGATATAAGAAATTAAGAACTGTATCTATGTTTCATCTCAAAATTTTTTCTTGATAATTCAAAAGCATGATTTCATTATATTTGTAAATTATCTTGAAAGTACCCTGAAGACTTAACTCTAATAAAAAAGCCACATTTTGTCAGCCATTTTTAGAGCGTAAGATTCATGTGTACTATTTTTCTATTCTTTTGTCTATGGGAGGTATATTTAACACACAAATTTCAACCCAACTTATATATTTAGCAAAGAATTCAACCATCAACACATGCACATATAATTTCTTTGGCTATCAGCTGTTCTTTTTGGTGATTAATGAATAACTTTTGTTTTCCAGACATGCAAATTTTCTGTATTCACAGTCTTGGCTCCCTTGCCTGTATTTTGCCGGTGCATGTACTTTTGGAAGCTTTGGGAGGCAATTAGCATTGGTAAGTTTATTGTTTTCACGTTATTCATTGCTTTTTTCTATTTACTTTTTGTATAATGATTTCAAAGCATTTTCTCAATGATAACATGAAAATGCCAGGGTTGCCAGTGCTGTTTGTCTCCCCAAATTGAACATTCTGTTTGATAATCTATTGGTCTGGCAGTTAATAGAATAATGCTATAATCACATGATTGCAGAAGCGCTAAAAACAGGGTATTTAAGAGGAAACCCCCAGGTCACAGGCTCAAACAATGCTTGTGGAAATTTGATACTTTGAATGACAATATCTAGAAGTCTCAACAGAAGATGGTTAGTTCTCAAGTTTTAGTCTAAGTTTCAAGTTCACTTTTGATGGTCCAAAGCTATGGAAAACAATTTGCAGTACTTGCTGCTCTATTTCTAATCTCCAAATATTTATTATTATTTCACTTTTAAAGCTTCATTTTTTTGTATTTTAGATGGACCAAGGTTTTTCCAAGCTATTAGCTTAAAGTGTGACTATTACCTGGAGAACTGTTTTCTTTGATGTTCAAGGGTTTGAGCAACATTTTCATGCAGACAATGGATCCAGATAATCAAGATACACATCGTGATTCTCCCCAGCTTAGGATTTTTTACATGTGAACAGACCACTGTTAATACAACAAGTGAAGCCTGTATATCACGCCAAAAGCATGCAAATTTAAAATTGCACTCTGAATTGATAAATGTGATCTTATCAAAAAATTATATCTGCCAATTGGCAAATGATATTTTTTCATGTGGCATGTATGGCTGAAATGACTATGCAGGCTAAGATCTGTTCTAGATCAGTCATACTCTGCAGACTTAGTTGCTTGGCTAAAAATCTTTGATTGTTTCTAAGCATGGTTTGAGGTTTTATATTTCTCACCAATGTGTGTGCTTAGGGCCTACATTCTGGCCAGACTGTTTTCTACTGATTACCTTTAAAGACGATTTTATCATTTCAAATTCTAGGATGAACCTGTCATCTTGATCCTAATCAAAGCTTTTACTAGTGATTGGTAACTTAAGGAAATATATAATGTCACCAAAGTATGACAAAATTTTTCTCAATCATATCAGTGGGCAGCTTATTTTAAAATGATAACCTGGGCTACCTTTTCCAACTCTGATTTAGAAAAATTATATCAAATACTCTTCAAGAGACCAAATTATCATTAATTTTTTAATCAAGTGGCAACCTCCTATCAATGCTCTTCTTCCATACGTTTTCATGTATTTATGAAAAGCATCTTTTCAAAAGCTAGAAAATTTCACAAAGGCTTGGTTGAGCCTATAAGATCTCAGAGGCTGCTCAGATATTGCTGGCAATGTAGATGCAAGACTAAAGTTTACCTTTGATGTTGTGCATGATTTACCAATTGGGAGTAAGTGAGCTTGTAGACAGGTTACTGCCTAGTCTAGGGATGCTCATTAAAAGCCTGATACAACCCTTTTTGATGTTAAGTAGGCTGGACCAATAAACTTACATCAAGTTACGTATATTCCTCTGAATTGCAACCATGCAATATATTCCCTCCGTTTTAATTCAAAGAATTGCAGATACATTAAGGAGCACAATATATATGTACTAAATTAAATGTGGTTTTACAAAAAATTCTTAAATTTTGTATGTAAAGCATATGTAATTTGGTTCAATTTATCAACTTGCATGTGTGCATTCACCCTGGCCTAGGCTGTTTTGCAGGGTGTCACAGTAGATAAAAGTGGAATGCTTAGTGCAACTTAAGTAGTTTAAATGCAACTTTACAAATTTTGTATTTTAAATTGTAAATTGATAGTTTGTAAATCAAATGTATCAAAAATATTTAATTGCTAAATTGTGTTAGCAAATAGAGTTGGGTGTGTTTCTTCTTCTATCTCTTTAATACTATTATACCTGTTCCTTGATACCTTGATACCGATTCATTTACTCCTTGTTGCATTTTGTAATTTGGTAGATCACCTATTTTTTTTCTTCAGTTATCATCATCATTGTAATTTATATTCATTTTTTTAATTGTAACTACATAAAGTTGTATAAGGGGCAAATTATACAAAGCCTTTTCCTGAAAATCAAGATACCAGAAGATGGGGCTAGTTTCAACTACAAATTACAAATTTGTCAGTTTTATCAAAATTTAAATCCAGATTTCTTAGTCATGTTTTAACTTTGTTATTTTTTGATAAAAAATTGCCACAGTCAGTGTTAATCTACTAGTCTTTGTAAATTTCCTCAATATTTGGTGAGTTCAGGATCCTAAATCTTTCAAATCTCAAGTAAACCAACTACCAGTTTTAGAGCTAGCTCACAATCAGTTGATTTATGTGGCATGCAACTCTTGGACTTAAATAAGCAATAACCACGCAAGTTTCCAGCAAATCAAAACTTTGCATATAGGATGCAGAAATAATGGAAAAATTGAAAATGAACTTTCCCTAAACTTCCAAGCAACATCCTAGTCACATCCTAGTACATCTGTAATTTATCTGTGCAATAGTAGATTTTGGGATTAAAACAACCTTGTGTAGCCGGTTCTAACTCTAGCCAATACTGTTAATTGTTTCCCTATATGTTCATGAGAGACCCTTCCAGTTAAGTTCAGTTCAATTAACTTTAATTTTTTATTTTATCAACTTCATAGTACAGTTTCATATCCAGACTCACACGAAGATCTGTTTATTTAGATTTTTGGCATCTGCTCGCACAGTTCCTTTCAACTAAAAGTAAGAAGGAAAAGGTATTGCTAGCCTAATACGTGATCGAAGGTTTTAGAGATATATGAAACATGAAAAAATACGTGGTTTGAGGTAAGAAGTGAACAAGTTTAATAAGTTTTGAATAGCCAATTCTAGTAAAAGATAAAATTCAAATTCTTAATTTAAAAATTTTTCTCGAAAAGAACGCTGAAAACTGAATTTGAGCGATTTGATCTCTGCATGCAAAAGAGGCTCTTCTTATTGCATTTGCCCGCGAAACGCAAGCAGTTTATTGCTGACGACAGCGGTACCAAGGCGAAACTAAACTGTTGTGCACATGATTATTATGCTCCTAAACTGTTGTGCTCCCTGGCCACTAAATCGCTTGTTGCTGACAACTTCACGGGCTCAGTTCGATTCCAAGAGGTAACCATATCAATTACGTTATGAAAACAAGGCGGATCAGTAGGATAATGAGGCTTTTTACATTGGCAGGTAAGGCGCCTTGCACTGCAGCTTCTCAAATTTAGGCCTACATTCTTTGAAACGATTGCCATAGGTATTTTTTATTGTCCATTTATGCTTGGTAAGGAAACATTGCTTCTCTGAATACTGTTATCAAACAGCACCTAGAAAGGCAATCCAGGCGCGGTAATATATTTATAACTCATAAATCCAAATTGTTCTCTATTGTATGGTTTGATTTTGGTTTTGGTGAAGAATTTGGAATGGTGTTCCTGAAGAACAAAGATTGTCTATCAAATCCTTCAAAGAAAAGTCTTCCGATATAAAACATTTATGATATTATTAAAAATATTTGAATATGCCCTCGGGATAAAGGGAGCGAGCTCTCCTATCTCATGACATCAGAGAAGCTTACTTTTAAAGTCAAACTGAAGTTAATGTCTTGTTTGCAGAATTATATGGTTTTGGTTTGCCATTGTATCACCAGCCTTTTTATATTAACAAATCATTCACCTAATTTCTAACATATTCAATTCAAATTTATTGCTAATTGACATACAAATTTTTGATCAAATGAAAACCACTCAATTTATATTTTCCAAGCCCTTGATCAGATTAAATTCTGCTTTTAATTTATCTTACTTAACTTAATGTTGTTTTTTAGTAATTATTGCATAACATTTGTTTATATTTGTACTCAATAAAAGTAAACTTGCGAGCTTGTAACCAGAACTTTTCGATTTAGTTCTTATTTGCATTCTCAGACATACTTTGAAATTAAAGCACAAATTATAGACATTTGCAAAAACCAGCTTTCAAATAAGAAATGTTTATTTGTCTTGAAAAGGATAATCTTGTCTAGATGCTACCAATTTCTCAAACTGTAAAACTTTCTGTGATTAGAATATTATTAAAATTTTGATAGTCAGACTCAGTGATGTCAGCAAAACTGAATGAATTTATGATAGTTAATGTTAGGAATTTGAAATATTTTTTTAGCAAAAATTTTATAAATATATCTTTGTAGCCTTTGAAGGCAGTTTTTAGGACACTGAGAAGTGTGCTTATCAACCAGTGTCCTGGTCCTTCCTCTTGGTGTGACCACATCTAATTATTCTGGAGGCCTAACTACTGGGCCATTCTTACACCCTTTGGCACTAACATATCAGTACAAGATAAAACAATGAATGAATGAATAAATAATTAAGTAAATAAATGAATAAACAAAACAATAAAGCCTTTTGTAGAGATGTTTTTCCTTTTTAAGATCACAGCAAGCCATTCTGTAAATACTAACATGAATCAACTTTAAAAGGTCAATGTTAATGCTCCAATTTAAACTTGCTTCATCCATTGCAAGAATTACAAGTTTTATGCTACATCTTATGCGCTCTTGTTCTTAATACATTTACCTTAGATAGAGCCATTTTAATTGTATGTATATTCTTTTTGACAAGTAAACAACTTAAGTATATGTAAGATAATACAAAAGACAGGTTGAAGGAATTTTTTTGAAGGAGTAAACACTCAGTTGCTAGAAAACTGATCAAAAAAAGAGAGCCCCTAGAAAGCTGAAAGCATTTTAGCATAATCTCTATTGCACAAAGTTTAGAAAATAACTATTTGCTCACTACAGATGAAAATATTCAACGTATTGTCTTATAGAATAAAGTAACATTTTGCCGGTAATCTTCAATTCTGATGCTCTAATTTCTCAAGTCACCATCACCTATTTTATTAGTGTTTTTATGGAAATGAAATAAGTATTAATTTCTAAGAAAACTTTTTCAATTGACCAAGAAAAAGTTTTGTGTTTAAATTTGCCTAGCAATGTGACTTCTTGCTAAATGGGTATATTAAATCCTGTGTGCTGGTTGGCATGTTTCTGTGTATTCTATTCTATCCTTATTTTAACTGCCAAGTATTGTGAGAATTGTGTTGATTGAAAATATTGCTTTGCTTTGTTGCAAATAAACAATTTAATGAAAACGTAGCCTGTTGTAAGGCTAATGACACAAAATACAATCTACGTTGATGGGACTAGCATCATGTAGATGAAGATGTTAATAAGAAAGGATACCAGGCTGATATGAAAACAGTTCAGAACTATGCTTAATGCAAGTAGTTAAGTTAGTTTCATTTTCATTTCATTGCTTATTTGAAATTTAACATGCATAAAAATCCAAGCATAGAGATAAAATTGTAACAAATGTTGGATGCAAGTCTAACTATGAATAAATTAGTAACGAATTATAAGTCTAATAAAAAGTAGCAAATGTTAACTAGAACATGTTCAAAAAAGTACTCTCTACTTGCACTTTAAAAATTTCTTTTCTGTATTGCTTTAAAATGTCTGTAAAATTTCTGTAAAAATTTCTTTTCTGTCACTCTAAAGGAGGAACCCCACCCCCCTAGTAGTGTAAAATCAATGAAAGGAGAGCACCCTCTTGGCTGAGTACATATGTATTTTACATTTCCTAACAAATTATATTGAATTGAATAATTACATGGAAATAAAAATGGATTTTTTTCAGATTCTTTTAAAATGAAAATTTTGATGGAGAATTTCTTATTTTTTCTGGAAGATCAATCCACGTTTTTGCCCCCTGATAGTAAATGGATTCAAACCATTTTGGGGACTATTTCTTATATAGTGTCGACGTGTTCAAAGAAAAGAAATTGTGAAAGCAAGTAGGATTCATTTTTATTGGTCGGTTATTCGATTCATTTTCAATAACTTGGTAATTTTACTCGAAAAGGTCCTGAACCCCTTGAAGATTGAGGTTCTTAAATCGTGAAGATGTAAAATAAAATGTTCATGCGAGATAGCACTTTTTTCTGCAATTTATATATTTGCTCAATTATCATATTGTAAAGCATGACATAAATAATGAAGTATAGACAACTATAAATGCTGTAGATGAAAGGTGACATGTCCTAGCCAGCTTCCTAGACAGCTCGGAATAATGATGCTTCGAGCTGAGAGGAAGTCCTAAAAATTTTAATTTTGGTAACTCTTTATCGTTCCTCAGGACAATACCCTATAGCTTTCCTCAGAAAAGACTATGTTAAGGAGAAGTTTGGGTGTGGAACATTTTTTCTTTGGTTTTTGCTATCCTTCGTACAGTTGTTGATCGTACGGCTCCCATAATTCTTACTCTGGTTTAATGATCCATATTTCGTTCAAGTTGTTACTTCTTTAGAAATATTTCAAATATGAATAGAAAAATTATGCGCGATTTACGTGGCGTCGAAACTCAACGACATTCTAATTAAGGCATACTTTACCTGTTTTCTGTTTTTGCCATTATGTATAGCTTTGTATTCAAGCTGCAGATAAAATGTGATGCACAATTGTATCAAAAGTAGCGCTTTTGAGATCAGACTCAAAGTTTCATTCACAGAATATTCCAGCATCTTTGTAGACCCCAAAATTGTCCTTAGCACACTTAATTGTTTTAAACTACTTCCAATTAAAAAATCATTTGCTGTTTATCGATCAAAATAGCTCCATTATTTTGGAAGAAAAACTCCTTTCTGTTAAAGCTTTCCTGTATTAACGTTTTTTCTTACATTTTGGTAACCTTGTTGATTGTTCCTGTAGCTTTTGAGGTTTCCCCACCTGGCCGTCAAAACAACAAAGTTAGAGCAAGGCCACCAATGTTGTTTTATCCGTTGTGCACCACTCTGCCA